ATTTGTGGTGATCGTGTCGTACAAATAAAAAAATTTTATTAATTTTTTTATTTTTTGTTTATATAATTTATACATTTGGAGTTGTCGTGTTTGTTGTTGATGGGGGAAGATGCATGAAATCGGGATCTGATTTGAATGGATCAGAACCTGATGATGATGATGATGAGAAGATGTCTCTGTTGATTGATGATGTCGATGATGAGAAGATGTCTCTGTTGATTGACGAAGATGACTCTGTCGAGTCAAAGTTGGAAATGTTGTCTCGTCTGATGATTCCGAGCTTAGTGTCTTTGTGGAGTCGCTTTATCATCAGGAATTTAGGAATGAATATGATCGCCAGACCAGACCCGGCTGTAAAGAGGAAAGCTACGCATAGAATAATGATATGGTTGAATGTACTTGTACTAGATACAAACAGTGGTATGATAATGAATAGGGCAAACATCACTGCGTACAAGAATGCAGCGATCGACTTTGATTCATTAAACTCTTCAATGTCGACCGCTCTGATTTGAAACGATACAAAACAACCGACCAACAGAATCAGACCGTGTATAACAAGGATCGCATAGAAAATGATATCACCGGCAGTAGTAAGATGACACTTTCTAACAAACTCGTATTTACCAATGTTGTCGTCGTTCGTATCCATGATTGATTTGGTATTGCCAACGGTCGACCAAATAATAAGCAACAGAACATGAACAGATGTGATACCGATGGAGAAGGGAAGTAGTTTTAGGTTGGTGATACGAGGATTCTTCATTGCTTTGAACAGGATATAGATACGGAAGTTCTTTACCACTAGATTTCCAACGATTAGACCGTAACCAATGCTCGGAATCCAGTACCGTAGATGACAAACGATCGTCGTGGGATAAGACACCCAAATAACACAACCAACAAACACCAAGATACCTCCAACCAATATAATTACACAAAACAATGGACTTGCAGATCGAATCGGTCTTTCATTTCTTAAAACAATAACGGCAATGATCAGCACTCCACAGGCGATGGCAAATCCGACACCCAGTGCAGTGAATACCAATTGAACACCACTTGCTATCTTTACCTCTGTTAGTGGTACAAAAGCAGTTCCCAAATCAACAATCGAAGGCAGCAACTTATTTATATTAATCCATTGTCTGTTGGAGATACACCCATCGGTACAATTTCCTTTGAAAATAGTATCACAAGCAGGCGCAAAACAGTTTTGTGGTCTATAAGTTGTGTTTGTTTTGAATTTTAATTCCTCCGCTTGAACCATTTGAACTGCAGATCGAGGAACCTAAAAGAAAATATTGGTTAGGTAATATACAATTTATTTCAAATTGAAAAAAAAAAAAAAGAAATGTTAATAACTTACTAAACGACTAAATACATCGAGATGTAATACACGGTTATCAAATCCACCGTTGTAACTCCAGCCAACAGTCCAATTATTGGTATCCAATCTAACGATTGCATCGGTAAAGAATATCGACCAATCAATGATATAACTAGTTCCGACGGTCGCACCAAATACTCTACGTTGTGGAAATCCATTGGTACCGATTCCCAGGTTACCTTGGTTCATGGAGATGGTAGACACCGTCATGTCGTCCTGAATCTGTGAGAGTACGTCGGCTCCCACCGCCAGAAGGTTCCAAGCTGCAATGGTTGCAACATCGGGATTCAAATAGGAACCAGTCTCCACCGAGTACACCGTGATGTTCTTACCCAGTACTTTGGCAGCACAGTACGCTCCAACCGCGAACGAATTAGCCTGGTGCAAAGAGTTTAGAGCAGCTCCCGGAGTGACGATACCCACGCGATTCGTCTTGGTAACCGTGCCAGCAAAGTAGCCAGACATATAGTCGGCAGAGGTTACATCGTAGGTTATACGTGCAACATTTGGTCGGGTGGAGTTTCCACTGCCTCGCGTCACAAAGAAGACATCGGGGTAGATAAGCGAAGCATTGAATGCAGAGTCACCTTGGGTCAGCGAGGTTGAGATGATCAGATTGAATCCTCTGGTCACCAGATATTCGATGATCTGCGTTGTCTTGGCCGGTGTATCTACGTTCTGGAAGAGACTGGTAGTGAGATTCAGTATCATCTCTGTCCTTAGACGTCCTGCATTGATCTGGTAGTTGAAACCGAGATCGTTGACATTGCCGCTCAGCAGCACCGCCACTGTACTATTTCGGGAATCTAAAGACATTGAAGCATTGGAGAAACCGATTATTACTTCCTCCGATGAACCTTCGCCAAGCGTCACCACTTGACAATGAGCGACATGTGAGAGCAACAATAGTAATAACAATAGTACAGGCAAGACATCAATAAAGATAAGACTACAAATAGATCTTTTACATAGCTTCATTGACTTGAAATTGATTGTATTGTTTATATATTAATATATAAACACAAATAATATATCCTAATCAACTAGACTACCAAAAAGAACTAAAGAAGTGGTTTATAAACCACTTACTTTATTTACTTCTTTCTTGTTTTTTTTTCCTTACTAATTAAATTTAATTTTATATCTACTATTCTATTGATTCTTTTAAATATGTATTGTAATGTAATTGTTTTGAACTTATTCTAAAATGTATCATATTATCTACTAAAATAAAATAACTTTTAAATAATATGGTATGAAAAAATAAAAAATTTATCTATTCTTTATTCTCTTGATTCTATCTAATAATAAATACTTCAATCCAACTCTTTATCTATTATTGAACAGCAAAACAAAAAAAAAAAAAACTCAAATAATAATAATAACTTTCTAACTAGTTTAATAGATATAAAGTAAACTATCTATTTTTATACATATAAATATCTATTTTGTTAAATATTGTATCTGATAGCGTTTCGTTTATGTTTATACAACATTGTTAAGAGAATTAATTTAACTCTCTTTTTAAAAAGAGAGACACGTGTTTCATATTCTAACCCTACAATGAAATAAACAAATAAATTTATTTAATTAAGTGGTGCGACAATCTAATTTGTTTGTAAGTGAGTGTGGGTGTGTGTGTGTGTGTGTGTCAAGTTCAATATTAAACACACTCTTTTTAGATTGATATAAAAAAAACCAGCAGTCTTTAATTAATTCAAGAGATAAAAACTTTTGTTGACAAGCCATTTTTTCATTTATTTTTTTGTTGTGTGTATTTAAACTTTTAATTTTGAACTTCATAAATATTTCTTTATAATTATATTTTCAAAAATATTTCACTATTTAGGTAAATAGTTAATATCGATATCAACATAATCTTTAAACCTCGAAAGTCTCACTAAAATCAACTACATTAAGATTCATATGTGGAATGAATTTTAAAATTTAAATTATATTTCTTTTGGTTCCAAAATTTTTACCAGATTTTTTCCAATTTAGGAAGTTTTGTTGTTTTTTGAATATTTTGTTACAGTGGATAACTGAAGACAAAAATTGTAATCAGATAAGGTCCATGGGGAGGCCTTAAAATGAAAATTAAAAAAAATTAAATTTTAATATACATCAGGTTTTCTGTTCCTTAGGTCAAAACACCATTTGTTCAATGATTCTAAAGGTAATTCCTATTTTCGAATTGTTTGTCGCAAATAACTTCTTTAGAAACAACTTTTAACTTTTTAAATATTTTATTAAAAAAATTTTTTGACTTACTTCTTATATATATAGTTAATGATTATACTTTAGAAACAAATTACAAATTAAAAAAATTAATTAATTTATTCTATTTTTATTTATTTTTTCTTAAAAAAAGTAATCTATATAGTTAAATTAAACTGAATCATCTCAAAATTCAAATCAATAATTATTCATTTCACAGATATTAGTAGTTATATATCATTTAGTTTTCCAAATAATCAAATATTTAGTTAAAAATAACAATCAACAAGTGTACTTTACAAAATAAAAAAATAAATTGGTAAATATAGTAACTAGATTTGTTTTGTTTTCATATTCCATTTCAATTTTTCTTTAAATACAAACATACATAGCATTCATTCAATAGTTTTATATCTTTGTTAGCTTTTTTTTTTTTTTTAAAAAGTAGATATTACTTTTTTGTTGTTCGAACAGTCTATAAACTTTTCTACTACTTAAGGCATCATAAACCATACCGATCAAATTGTTTAAACATGCAATTGAATGTTTTATCGTCATCTGATGCTTATTGTTTAATTAATTTCACATTACCACGACAAAATGCTTTTGCTAAATTTACTGATAGTAAATTTGCATATTTCTTTTCAATTTTTAAAAAATAAAAAACCAAAAAGACAAGCAATCAACCAAAATATCTTTGCTAATCAAGTGACATCTTATAACGCATGCCATCACCAACAACATTTGTAATTTCAGACTCTAGCAAATGTAATCATTATCTTTTGTTTTGCTTTTCTCATACAAACATAATTAATTGTTGTCTGTCAATAAATTGTTATAATGTTTTTTAATTTTTTGTGGAATGAAAAAAAAAAAAAAAATAGAAGGTGGAGCTCTTTTTACATCTAGAACACCATAATCGCGAATACACCCCACACTTTTACTCAAACAAAAAATTAAAAAAAATTAAAAAAATTCAAATTTTTTAAATTGCATTCCCATTTAGGAAAGAACACCATAGATTTAATTTATTTCGTGGTGTGGGTGTAGCATTGAGTTTTAATAATGATGATAGATTGGTGATATGACGTTGACGCACCCTATTTATTCTCATCAAATATTAATCATACCCCCCCACGCACACACATTTTTTATTCTAATGTTTACTCTTTGATTCTCCTTCTTGAGCTTTGCAACTTAATAAAAGTGATGCAAAGAACAACGACCAATAACTATATCCCAATAATAATACCTGGTGATTCAATTCATCTCATTTATTAAATACTCATTTGTTGTAATCTTTTGTATTACAGAATTAAAACAAACCTTATATTATTTATTCTATCTAATAATTAATATTAATTAGACAAATAATAATATACTATTTATTTATTTATTTATTTATTATACTAAGAGTCATTTATATACTTCAACTCATATATATTGTTACAAATTACTTGGTAAATTTCCAACCACTCTTTCTTGTTTTTTTTATTTTCTTTTTATCTATAAGATTGAAATAAATAACAAAAAAAAAATTGTATTTTTTTCTTGCATTTGAATCCCAACTTTTTAAATAATAAATACTTTCAATAACTATATTATGTTAAAAAAAAAAATAATAATTTAAATTAAAATAATAAAAACAAAGTCAACTGCAAACTTAATGTATTCTTCTGTTGATCAGGTGCTTCGAAATCAACCACTACATCACGATATATAACTCATATAACACGATCATTGTAACTCAATTTTTTGTTTTAACATTTTTGCAAATTTTTTTGAAATTAAATTAATTAAATTTTCATTTTACAAATATTATAACCCAACACCAGTTGCAATAAATAACCTATTCCACCTTAGAATTCAAAATTAACAATTAACCAAAAGACACTATAGTTTTATAATAATTATAACTTGTATATTATTGTGTTGTTATCATAATTTTAGAAAAAGGAAATTCTGCTCAAGTTTACTAACATTGAACCATTTTCTACATCTCTTAATTACATCATCACAGATTACGCAAATCAAATTCTCTAAAATATTTCCTTATATATAATTATATACTTTTTAAAATATCAACGATACTAAATACACTAAAAATGGAACCACAACCAGCTTTCAACCCATTCGCAAATCTTACCCCCAAACAATTAGATGCCTTCAAGGAGATGAAGAAGAACCTCTCTGATTTTACAGATCCAGAGGACGTTGCATATCTTACCGATATGTGCATACTCAGATATTTGCGTGCTCGTAACTACACAGTCTCCAAGTCGGAAAAAATGTTAAGAAACACCCTGGCCTGGCGTAAGTCATATAGACCACAGGATGTAAAATTATCAGAGGTAACAGACATTGCCAAAACTGGTGCCATCTATGTCAACGGTAAAGATGTCAAAGGTCGTCCAATTATTATTGCCAGACCAAGAAATGACACCCTCAAGAAAATGCCACACGAACTCAAATTTAAGAATCTTGTATACTGGCTTGAGCAAGGTTTCAGACAAATGAATGAATCCAAAGGTATTGAAACTTTTTGCTTTGTTGTAGATTATCATGGTTTCTCAAGAAAGAGTATGGACATGAAAACTAATTTGGTAAGTAAAAAAAAAAAAAAATTAATTAAACAAAAAAAAATGTATATTAATTTTTTGATAAATTTTTAGGAATCAATGCATCATTTGTTAGATAATTGTCCAGAACGTATGGGTCAATCATTGTTTTTGGATCCACCAACAATGTTTTGGGTGGCATGGAAAATTATTTCTCCATTTTTGAATGAAGTAACATTATCCAAAGTAAAATTCATATACTCAAAGAAAGTCAACGGTAAAAGAACATTCCCAGAGCTTTCAAATTATATTTCACCGGATCAGTTGGAGATGGATCTTGGTGGTGAAAATCCAGTTACTTTCAATCGTGATCCAGCCAGTTTCCTTAATAATCCTTTGGTTAGTATGTCGTCAAATAGTTTATCTGCACAAATGCAACTAGAGGAAGCAATCGAGCCAGAGGAAGAGGAGATCGATGAGAAAGAGTTTGAACAATTTAAAGCATCAAACTCAAATAATCATATTCAACCTACACCAATATCAACAACATCAGTATAAAATTATTTTTCAATATAAAAAAAAAAAGAATTCACAAAAATAAGAAGGAAAAATAAACAAAAAAATATCTACAAACAACAATAAGAATAAGTGTATACTTTTCAACGATTTTCTCATCACATTTGAAAACTAAATGTTTCAATCGACCTTGTAAATTTTTCTTAATAAATAATAACATTTTAATAATTGACTTTTTATTTTTGAATTAATCAATATGCTTATTAATCAATGATTAATATTTAGTAAAAAAAAAATTAAAAAACTGTATATTTTATTTACAAATAATTAATAATAATTACAAAACTTAAAATTTTTTTATTGGGTTTTTTCTTTTTTTTGAAATGAGGCGCAATTATATAATCTTTATATGATGCGTAATTGCTTGGGTGAAATGATGTTCTGTGATTTTGAGGTTATCTATTTTTGGAGTTTATCTTTGGTATTTTTTTTTTGTCTTTTTACAATTGTTTATGTTGATATTGAACTGGAACCAGTGGATGAAGATGAGGATGTTCCCACAGCAGAGTTTGGTGAAAATGAGTTTGATTTTCTTGAGGTATCTTGTAGAATGGATGAGGTTGGTGATTGCTTGGCTGATGGTAAGAATAGTTGCGATGGAGCCATTCCGCCTGACGAGTTAAGTGGTTTGGATTGCATTTGATACGTCAGATACGAGTTGGAAAGTCCGGGTGTTGATGATGAAGAGCTTGTCATATAGGGCACCGACGCAGCAGTATTGTATAGCGGTAGCAATGATGATGCCATCGATGGAGTTACATAGGATTCATGAATGTTGCTACGATGATAGTTGTAGGAGTTGCTGTGTTGTAATAAAAGTTTTTGGAGATTGGATTCATCTTCACGTTGCTTCTTGGCATAGGCAAGACCACATGCATTGCACAGGGTCGCAGGACCATTCGGACCTCTTCTCCACTCTGGTGTAGTTTTAGTGTTGCAATGGTGGCAGTAGAGTGTGGATTTGTCAATGTTGGCGGGACGTCTACGATGGGTTTTCTTGGCAGGTGGATGGGTGAATGTTTCATAGTATGGATAGTGACCGGGGTAGATTGAAGGGTGTGATCCACTCGATGACATTTGATCATAGTCACTGTATTTAAGAGTGTTGGTCAATTTTTGGGGAATCGATGCTTGCGAAGTGTAATAATTTTTCTCATTTTGCATTTGGTTGTTGGCGTTGGACGAGTCGAAAGAGTTGCTTCGTTGGTATTCAATGTATGGTGGTGAGTGGTTCACTGTCTGTGGAGTGTTGACACCGCTACTCTGAAGATATTGTGAGCTTGTCACCGATCCACCAGTGGGTGAAAGTGCCATATATTCATTGACTTCGTTTCCATAATGTTGGTTGGTGCCGGTGGAGTTGGTGGATGACGATTTATAGCTGACGGTTCCACTTGATTGTCCAACAGACTGGAAGAAACTGGATGGATCATTGGTTTGATAGCCGGTTCCATATTGCATTGGCATCACTGGTGATGGTGACGACGAAGATTGTGGTGTGCTGTTGGATGAGTGGTAGTTGAGAAGGAAATCATTTCCATAGGATTGTTGATTTCCACCACTGTTGAGATTGGTTGACGATTGAAGTGGTGACATGACATTGCCGCTACTACCGGTGGCTCCACTTGAGCTTGGACCCATCAAAAGTGTACTGGTGTTGAGTGCATTGATAGAGTATTTTGATGGTTTTGATTTTCTTTTCTTTTGTTGATTTTGTTGGTTGGAATTGGCAGGTCCGCCTGTTTGTACGCCAACTCCTCCACTACTATTTAAATTTATTCCACTACTATTATTTACAATACTGTTGCCAGCATCATCTAATTTGTTTTTATCGGTTGCATCCAACTCTAGATGGTGGATCGATGGTAATTTTTGTTGTTGTTGTTGTTGCTGTTGACCGGTTTGCATAACAGATTTGGATGTCTGTTGATTTGGTTGTGGCTGGATGGGTAAATCCTTTTTTATTTTTATGGTATATTCTTTATTTGATTTTGACGCGGTAGATCCAACTGTTCCCATTGACTGAGAGTATAATGATTGATTATATGAATTTAGGTTATCAATATTACTATTATTATTGTTGTTATTATTATCATCGTTATTACTACGAATCAAAAAACTTTCCATAAATCCAATCATTGTTTCCTCATCACGAGTTCTCTTCTTTTGCTGACTTGGTGAAGCATTTTGAGGAGTGGTGTTGGTGAGAGATTGATTGGAGATTGGTGGACTATTAACAGAGTTTGATGGACTTGACAAGTCTAAACTGCTGTTGCTAGCACTGTTTGATACGGATGAAGGAGCGCTTGAAAGCGACTCATTCCATTTTTTATCGACATTGTTTGTCGAGGAATTGTTATCAAATGATGGATATGACATTGGTAGATTATGTATTATTGAATTATTTGGTTGTTGATCTTGAATATCCTGTATGGATGCTGATGATTGATAGTTATTGGGGCCTCCACTTGGTTTATAGTTTCCATATAAATCTGTTTCAGAACTAATATTATTATTATTAATAAATAAATTATTTTGTTTGGGTATTAACCAGTTTGTATTAATATTATTGGTGTTGGGACTATTGATAATATTATTTTGATTTAAATTATTATTGTTTAAATTAATATTATTGTTGTTGTTAGTGATATTTATGTTATGGTGGTGTTGTTGTTGTTGATTGTCAACCATCGCGATGGAAGATGGTTTCATTATGGAGATTTAATGCAGACGAAATATTTTATTTTAAATAATAAATAAAAAATATAGTAGTTGGATCAAACAAAAAAAATATTAAAAAATTAGAAATATTAAAATTATAAAGTGGAAATATGGAAATGGATCTATTTAAGTTGTAAGTTGGAAAAGCCAAGTTAAATAAAATAATAAAATTATGTTTGTTGTTTTGACAGATTAAATGTCAACTACCACCTACTCAGCTTGAGAACAACACCAACATAACTACACAACAACATAAATGCAACAACCAGAGAGAGTTTAAATATTTAAATAGTTTGAATAAAGATAGAATGTTTTAAAAGTTGATATCAACTTGTATATTTGTTTTTAAATATTTAAATAATTGCAGAATAATATTTATAATAGTCGTGTTGTTGTTAGTGTGTTTTATTTGTGGTAGTGGAGTATATCTGTGTAGATTTCCTCCAAAATGAACGGATTCAAATATAGTTTTTCTTTTTCCCACCACAACAACAAAAACAAAAATAAAAATATTTGAATCAATTCAATAGTCAACAATAACAACAACAAACTAAAAACAATTATAATCAAAATAATAATAAATGTTGACAGTAATAATTAATAAAAAAAAAAACAAAGTTTGGTTGTATAATGACAATCAATTTTGACAATATCATATATATAAAGGTAGGTCGCAGAGGTTGTGGTGGTAGATAAAAACGATGAAACATGGAAAACAAAAGATAGAATATTATATTCAACAACAGAATTAAATGTATATTATTCTTACATCTTTTATATTGTTTTCTCACTCTTTATTTTTTTAAGAGTAGTGGTAGTGGGGTTAAGAGTCGACGGGTGACAAAAAAATAATGGTTGGATAATAATGATTAGGTAGTAACAATTGTCAATACTAATGACAACAGATTTTTTTTAAAACAAAATTCCTACACACAGTCTTGATTATAATCGATTGTATAGTCTTGGTATGTGAGTGATGTTTCATTTTTAATTAATACTATATAATACATCTATGTTTTGTTTTGTTTGGTGTGGTAAAAATAGTGGGTTTAGATTGTGGTGATGTAACATATCAATATGTTGACAAAGATAAAGTGAAATTTTAAAAATTATAAATGTCATCATATAATAAATTTAAAAACACACATCATATTTTGATTATTAAAGTGTGGTTTTTTTTTCACAAATATAAAGTTTTAAAAGTAGAAATACTCGTAACAATAAGTATTTTTCAAAAACGCACCATTTTTATATATATGATTAAAGAAGCAGTAACATGGTATTATGAATATTCATTAATTCCATCAACAATTATTTTCAACCACACATACAAACACACACTTGTCGATGATATGCTGATTAATTGAGCATATCATTATATTAGACAACAGGTGTAAACGGTATTTTGAAAAATATAGAAAGATTGAATGGGATTGGATATATATAGTGTTGTCTGATAAAGATTGGTAAGCATTGTACTCTATTAATGCCTTGTATTACTACTTGTTGTTTGTAGAAATGCTTTTTTTGTTTTTGTTTAAAGAATTTCAATAAAGGTGGTGTGTGGTTGCTGATGATATTTACTTTAAAGTATATATTTGGTGTTACTCATTATAGAATGAATAGTGTGGTTAATCAGCTTGCATCTACGTTCAACTGCAAGAGGATACAATAGAAAAAGGTGATTGGAGAAAAATCAAAGGTTTTTCATTTTTTTTTGAAATATAGATTTCAGGATGTTTAATAAGTGGCAAATGAAACAGATAATCTGTACATGGTTGACAGATGGAATTGAAAACATGATACAATCGAGCTATGTTGTTATTGTGCTGATAGGAGTTGGTTTTATTTCAAAACCAAGTTTGAAATTGTTTGAGATGTAAAGAAGTCAATATTATAGAGAAAAAAATAATGATGAAAAGCGGAAACAAATATGACATGCATAATATTATTATTTTGGTGTTCAAACATATCATGTATGTTATGATTAGGATTAATTATTATTGATATTATGAATAATTGTTATTATTAATGAGAAAAAAAAATATTGTGAATTTGAAAAAAACTGGAAATTTTTGAAATTGAATATACTTGATTGGATTATTCTTTTTTTTTTAGATATTTACCTGTTATATACTTGAAGGTGCATGTTTAAAGATTTAGTTGATTGGCCAAAATATATTTATAGTACATATAATAGTTATAGTTATTTATAAATATTATTTATTTTTATAGGTAATACAGTTTAAGTAAATAGGGAGTAGTAAAAGAAAAAAAGAAATTGAGATTAGATTAAAGTCAGAATTTTTAGTTTAATTAAAATGATTTGAGGATAAGATGATGTAATGATTTGAAAAAAGTGTAGTTGGTTGGAATAGATATTTGTATAGTTTAAATTATATAAATAGTATAATAGTATTTTGGAATTGGCTTGATAAAAATAGTTGGTATTTAAATGTCAAATGTAGAGAGAAGACGAAATAGATTAATCTTTAAAGAATTTATTTATAAACTAATTAAAAATAAGGATGAGTGATAGATAAAGGATTTAAATCAACAACAACAACAACAGGAAAGAATGTTGTTTTAAAGATGTGATTGATAAGGTAGTGTATTAGGGAGATCGATAGGAGTTGTATGGAAATTTTCCAGTTGTTTGACCAACAAAATATTAAAAACACTAAATTTAGAAAACACTGCTGTTTGAGAGTGGAAACTCACACTATCTTACAACATCAACAGTAACACAATATTAACAGTTGAATAAGAGAATAATTTTAAAAAAACCAATTATTTAATTTAAATATTATAATTTTTAAAACAAGCAAGCAGAAAAAAAAAATATTAAATTTCCTGTCTTTTAAATAGTTATATATGATTTACTACTGCAACTACTGTATCTCTTTTAAAATAGACATTCGTTTTTCATTTTGTTTTGTTAACTTTTTTTTTTCCAGCTTCCATCCCTTATTTTAATGATTTTTTTGATTTTATGTTTATTTGTTTGTCGACAGCGATGACCCATTTATGGTTATTAAAAGAATCTCAAACAATAATAACATCATCGGATAGAAATGATATAAATTGAAGAAAAAAAAAAGAGTGTGTGATTTGGTTTTGGTTGATCATTAGAAACAATCAACAGCAATAACAATAAAACCAAACCGTTGGGTGGTTTCATTTTAATATAACTTGATTTTTACATCTTTTTTTTCTATTTTATTGCAAGAACACACACATTTGTTTCTGATCGACAGAGTGTTTAACAAATAAAGTGTTTATATGCTTTTTGTGGTATGGGGTTGATTGAGAGAGTGTTAAATCAAATTTAGTTTGAATATATTTATAAATAAAATGATAATATGATATTTTAAAATGACTCTTCTGATTCAGTGTGTGTAGAATGATGTGTGAATCACAACCAAGTGTGAAAGTTTGTTTAGCTTAGTTTAGCGTGTGAGGGTTTAATTTAATATCTATGATGTGTTGGTATTGCTGATCAGCACACTGGTGTTAAATATTGTTAACAATGTCAATTTTATGAAATTGTAGATTACACTCTCTCAGTTCGTACCTCCTTGAATTGATTTTTTTCAATAAAACAAAAAAATAATTGTTTTGATTCTTGATACTTCACTCAAGCGACAAACAATCACCTGTCCAAACACACAATATCAACAACAACTTTGATGGAACATAAACTAACCTTATTTGGTTATTGAGACTTGATGACTTAACGGTCAGGTACTGAATTTGGATATGATCGTTAAGTGTGAATGAGTGAGATTAAGAGTGAATTGAAGTGGTAATGAGAATATTATTTAAAATAATCAATCATTTATTGTTTTGAATTGTACAACACAATTTCCATATCATATATTGTGAAATGAGATATATTAATAATAACTATTGTGTTTGAGAAAAGTGGGTTTAATGGTGAATGATATCAGAACGTAGTAGTATAAGGGATAATGTATCAAATTTGAAATCAAATAGTGTTGAATGCAAATGTGGTAAATTAACTACACTATAATACTGGTCAATATGTTTATGATTTTTTTGTTTTAAAATAATTCCAATTCATCAGTCATTAGTGTTTATCATATATGATTGGATATTTTAAAAATAAATAGTTATGACAAAAAGAGTGATGTAAATGTTAAACTGAGTGAACTGATGAGTTGTTTATCGAATTAGTGAATGAGTGTACTTTCGATTCACAACCAAATACTCATAAAATTAATTTTAAATGGAACAACAACCATACAATTTTAAAAGGTAATAAGATCAACAAACACATATATATAATTAGTAAAAAAGTAGAATCAAATAATTAATTAAACAACTATATATGGATGGGAGGATGATCAGTTAATACTGAGGTATGTCGTGTCGTGGGTGGTGATTAATGTGAGCACAGTTTTTGAAAAGACATTTAGAGGAATAGATTATCAAATTGTTATTTTTTCAGTTGCTGTAGTTTATGGCTGGTGTTTTTGAATTCGTTAGAGATAGAATGTGGAAGAAATTTAAATGTTGAAATACAATCATTTAAATTTGAAATCAACAACACCAATATAATTCCAAAGGAATGAAAAAACACAATATACAAAAAAGTAGTTGTAATAAAATCACTAAAGATTTATACTTACAAAATCTGAATTGTTAAAGCAAAACAGGCAGATCTATCCACAGCTACTAAAATTGTAAAAATGAACTACAATTTGCTTTTTAAGTATAGATTTTACTTATTTGATATGTTAAAACTTGAAATAATAATTAAGAGATATGTCAGTATTGTGAATCCAAGATTTAATCAAATAGTCCAGAAGAGAATCAATTGAAAAAATTAAATAAATGATATAATAAATTAGATAGATATTTAAATATTTAATTTAATACATATTTATTATTATAAAGGTTGGAGGAGGAGTATCTTTGAATATTTGAAATGTTATGTGAAATCATTTATCTTACTTTATAACTCCTATTAATGTGATATTATTTTTTTTTAAGTTACTTAAAGCCTATTGTTCCAAACTACTAACTATTAATAACAGATAGATAGTCTTTGGAGACTAATGGATTAAAATAATTGCTATCTAAAATAATTATAGTAGCCAAAATATTATTGTGATTAATTTAAAATATTATTAACAACTGGATTGTAGTAGTACAATTTGTATCCAGTATCTAAAAAAATATAAAAAAATATTTATCAAATGTACAAAATAAATTACAAAAAAGTAAAAAGTGAACAAGTTAGAGTTAGATACTGTCGATATTTATTTTTTCATTAATGTTGAGAAAAGATAAAGTTGAAGATGGAGGAAAGGAAAGGGGGAGTGGTCTACTACAAATTAAAATTACTGGGATAGTAATGTTGAAGTGGAGGGTTCAGAGTGATGTTAAAAATACAAAAAAAAAGTGTAGTGGAGACGGTTGATTTTTGTGATAGCTATATTTTGCTACTTCAATTATTTATAGGATAATATATAATTAAAAAAAAACATAGAGATTTCTAGAGATAATAAACTTAAGAAAACCAACAAGTATTTATAGATGTCTTTGGTGACAATGGAAAGATAGACTTGCTGTTGTGTGTGTTTATCTGGAAAACAGGACAATAGTATTTTCCGGTGGTGAGTCGTGAAATTTATATATTGTAACAAATTGAATAATAAAATGGTGGGCAATGGTTAGGTAGGTGTGGTGACAGTAGTGGTAATTATTACCTCTCAATGACAAACATGGTTGTTAGCGTAAAGATTTATTTGTGGTTAGATTCCATTTCATTCCAATCATCGACAATGACTTTAATTAATTAAAATAAACCATAGTTATAGTAAGTGGGAAAATAAATGAAAAATAAACATCACTAAAATGAAACTAGTAGTAAAACAACAACAAGGCACAGACGGCAAAAAAACATTGCCGCCACCCCAAATAATTCAAACATCATATTGCCCATTTATCAGAGCTAGATCCCGAACCAAACTATTAAATTAATTAAAATGAATCCACATGTGACCATCCATGAATGAACAGGTAAAGTTAGAAAAAAAAAACACATACATATATTAATATATATAATATAATTTACACAACCACAACTAATTCAATAACACACTGTTTAATTATTTCTTTTATCCACTAATTTTTTAAATTTTAACTTTTTGAGACCAAATAATATACCAAATGAGGATAGGTATTATATTTAAGTTAATTTTTTGTTGCAAATAACATGCAAATAAACAAATATTTATTTTTTATTATATGTTGTTTTATTATTTCAAGTGTGTGGTGTGTGTATGTGTGAGATCGTCTTCCGATTTCATTGAGTAAAAATTCATCATTGTAAGTATTTGTTACCAACATTGAGTGTTACCCACATACCACAACAACACAGTTTGTTTTTAAAGATGTACTATTAAAATAATTGAAACGACAGACAATCCAATTCACTACTTAAATTTAAATGATGATGTTTTTTAATATGTTGTTATAAATGATGTTTTTTATCTATAGATTGTCATATGAATTGCTCTATTTAATATATTTAAAGTTTTAACTAACGCTGCTTATAGGTGTTTTTTGCTGTAAGGTACATTTATAGTAATAGACAAACAAATGAAAAGTTACACTTACACTTAATATGGGTGTGGGTCCATGAGTATACTTTAGTTCTACGCCATTGTCTCCTTTCAAAACAGCGACATTATGTTGCAATTTATTTAAGATACTGGTAACCCAATAAAGCATAGACAAGCCTCCATCCTATCTTCAATTTGGATTTTTAAAAATAAGTAGTTCTTAAGTTATCATTAACCACTAAATAGTATTATTATTATATCTATTATATGATTCAAATGGAATGATGAATCCTAACATTATTATTACTAATCATTTAATTTGATAAATTATTATTAATATATGTATGAAGGAATGATCAAATTTATTTTTGAATGATCAATCAAATTTTTTATTTTTTATTTTTTTATTTTTTGATCATACATTTTCATATTTTATAATAATGTAAATGTTAATAGATAGAGAGTGAATGTGTGTGGTATTATTACATAATAATTAATAATTGTATTTTATTTTTATTTTTTTCTTATTAATATATATTATTTTTTTATAATGGTTTTGCAAGTTCGTTGAATTCCAAATTTTCGACAAGTGCTCTATCCAGTTTGTCGTCTTTATTATGGAAAGGAATGACTTTACCTGTTTTAGAGTAACCCATAGATATATACCAGTTGAGCAGTTCGTCACGAATGGAGATGACGTGCATTACTGCACTGTTTAGACCCCATGTATTCTTGATGTAGTTCTCTGCAATCTTGAACAAGACACCACCGATTCCGCTGCTCTGTAGCGATGGATCTACACCAAACATTCCAATCATTCCACTGGTATCCTCTAGAGTATCTCTCTCGATTTTAATGGTACCAACGATTCTTCTCTGTTGTTGTTGTTCACCTTGATTCTGATCGACTGGCTCGGCGCCGTTCTCTTCTTCGACCAACTCAACCAAGACTATTGTCTTTAAAAGTGGATCTGTAAGCAACTCTTTGGTGAGGGCAGCTTCATTGATACGTTGTCCTTTGACCAAGTGTTTCTCTGTTGTCCATGGATTGGCACCTTCTTTACCACGGTATGCCCAATTGATAATACGAGTTAGATCATCGATATCTTTAGATTCTGCACGTCTGGCATAGAGTTTAACACCTTTCTTGGTTTCAACAATAGTATCTAATAGATTCATATTAAATCGTTATATTTTAATATTACAAGATATAATAATTATATATAAAATAAAAATAAAAAGTTAATCTTTGAATTAATTAAAGTCGCAAGGACCATCCATCAATCAAAAAACGTTCGCATTATTAATTTTATTTTTCTTGGATTTTTTTCAGTTTTTTTTCTAACGGAATACTTTTGAATGATTCCAAAAGAACTCAGAGGCATTCTTCATTTTAAATATTATTTTATTTTATTTTTTGACATTCTACTTTATTAATAGAATTACAGAACAATACCTAAAGAATCTTCAAAAGAAAATATTAAACTCATAAACAATTATAGAATAAATAATATCATATTTTCAAACAAATTTCAAAAGTACATTTTATTTACAATAGATGTTTTGATTTACAAAGATTAAATTAAAAATCAATGTAAATATAGAATTTGATGATTAATACAGCAAATTTGATTACAAGTCAACATTAACATTGGCATAGATATTGATACCAAGGATATTAGCACAGAGGAGAACATGCACATCAACATCATTTCCAGGATTACAAGCAACACTGTTCAGTGATTGAGTTGAATTGACACCTGAAACACCTCCGATTTGACTCTTGATCATTGAGTTGTTTTGAACTGATCCGAGTTTAGTGATTGATGCTATTTTTAAATAATTAATCAAATTTGTTAGTGTTTCAACTTTATATTAAAATCTTTGGGTTTTTAAAACATACAAATTAAAGTCATTTTTGTTTTCTTTTAAAAATATATATATATTATATTATATTATATTGTTGTTGTTGTTTTTGTTGTTTGATGATTTATAAATGATTGTTTCATCAACTATTTATAGTTTTAACAAATACAGTCAAGACCAAATGAAATAAATACTCTTTTCATTCGTTAATCGATAAAAATATATTCTGTGAATATAATAAAACTAAATATATCTTTTATCTCTTAATAAAACAACTGAATATTTAAATAGCCATCATAAGATTGAATATCATGTTATTGGACAATAAAAATAAGATAAGTAAGTGAGTTAAGTTGCTTTGATCATTATTTTATTTTAAATAATTTAAAGTTTTACTTTGGATCATATAGAATCACTTTTAAAATTTTATTATATTCCAACATTTTTATAAAAACATCATTAAATTGTTTAACCACTCCAATTACAACTTCCTTTTTTGATTGATTTTGATATTATTGATCGTGTTTATGTCAAAAGATTGATAAAAAATATAAATAAATCTTATTTTTGTCTTTAAATTAGATATTTATTGATTAAAGGTTTTATAAACATCAATTTTAATACTTTTTTTGGTTGACTTTAACAACAATTACTGGAAAATGAATAAAATTTGGTCAATTTCATTCAATGTGCAAAAACACCAGATAGATCAACAAGTAATTTAACAAATGAAAAAGTATACTTTTTAAGCTGTAATTTGAGTAAAAAGACTATACGCAAAAATTAGAAATTATCTTAGGCTGTAATTTGAGTAAAAATAATTATTTTTTTTATAATCTTTGATTGTCTATTCTAAAATATCTTTTAATTTAATGAACTAAAGTCGTAGTCGAATATAAATAAATTAAATAAAATCATAGTTGTAAAGTTCATTAGAAAAAAAAAAAAGATATCATATGATAGAACCCCTAAAATTTTTTGGAAAATTAGATATTTACATATTTTTTCCTTTTTTGGTTTTTCATTTGGCAATAATAAAATTTTTTATTTTTTTATATTTTCTTTGCTGTAAAAGCCGAAGAATATAGAACACGCACTTCAATATAAGCATAAAAATAAACTACTCTTAATCTTCACTACTATAATCAATATATATCTTTTGTTTTTTTATTATTTATTTAATAATTATTTATTTAAAATAAAAATAAATAAAAAAAAACAGTAAACCGATGATTGCTAAAACAATAATAAGCGAAGCAACATCGTTTGTTAGTGGTGGTGCTGCGGACGATGATGAAATAGAGGAAAAGGAGATGCTCATTCTCAATCAAGAGAATGACCACAGTACGAATAATAACACAGATACCGAGAACGAAGATGAAGACGACACCGACGAAGACCATTCAACGATACATAGTAATAGTATTCGTCATAGTAAGAGCACAAGTAACAACAGTCTAAAGTTAAAGACAATATCAGAGGTATTACCAGATAGTATACTATTAACAAAAGATAAATTAGATGTTAGTGATGATAATGGTAAAAATCTAAATAAAAAATATAATATTGTTGTTGCGTTATTTACTAATTCATAACTATTTAATATCGAAAAACAATAGTTAAACAAAGAATTATACAAAAACTACAGAATCAATCACATGATGAACAATGTGATGATAAACACGATGAACAATATAAATTATCGAATTACGAAGAGATTCCACCCTATCTTCAAGGCAATGAATTCATTCAAACCGGTTACAGAGTTAATTTTTCATATAGACTATGTTTTCTAAGTATTTTTAGATTACATAATGAAACTTTAAATATTTGGACACGTATATTATCTTTAATACTTTTATTATATAACTAAAAGTATATAAATATATTAATATTTTTTATTTATTTATTTATTCTCTTTTTTATAGATTTACTTGCAACTATATTATTCTTTATTTTGATGATAGTAACCAGTACTAGTATTCTGGAGAATCCTCAACCAATCGATAAATTCATTTTCACAGTGTTCTTTATATGTGCACAAGCACAGATGGCATTCTCTACGATTTTCCATACATTCTGTAGTGTATCAAGTAAATCGTATACCTGGTTTGCCAGATTAGATTATTGTGGTATCAGTTTAATGATTGTAGGATCTCACTATCCACCACTTTATTATTTATTAAAATGTCATCAACGTATGTATTTAAAAACAATACTTTTGACAAATTAAGTTTGTAATTTGTAGTTGAATACATGTATTAATTTAACAAAATATTTTTTAATATAGCATTTGCAATTGTATATATTTCAGGTATTACATTCTTGGGTGTAGTTGGCATTGCCGTAAGTATGGCACCATTTTTCCAGTCATACAGATTCCGAACATTCAGAGCGGTTTTCTTTATTATCTTTGGTCTATTTATTGTTGTCCCATTGCCACATATTGTTGTACTCGAGAGCTTCTCGTATGCATGGCCGATACTCTGGAGATTGGCAGTGATGGGCTCAATATATATCATGGGTGCTACAATCTATGCTTCGCGATGTCCAGAGTGTTGTGCACCTGGCAAGTTTGACACTGGTTGGAGCAGTCATCCAATCTGGCATCTATTCACAATCGTCGCTGCACTTGTCCAATTCTACAACTGTATATACGCATACAAAAACTATGGTAATAGATGCTAAAGCACTCTATAACCTCATTCAAATAGCAACATTGAAAAATTAAAAAAAGACCTATAACAAAACAAAAAACAACAATTAATTACAATGATAAATAGGATTTATTTATTTAGATTATTTAATTGACCATTTTTCAATGGTAAAGGTTAACAATTGTTGCTTTACGAATATGTTGTTTCTATTTTCGTTAGTTTACAATACAGTGGCACCAATTTTGATACCCAAAATACCTAATACGGTTGCGAGTATATTCAAATCAACAAGTGATTGATTTGAGTTGGATGATTGACCAGTCAAAGTGTTGTTACTGTTGCTCAGCATTATTTCATTTTTCAATGTTGTCTGATTGATTTGAGCAGATGATCCGAGTTTAGTGATGGAAGCTAAGATATTAGAAGGTTAATAAATTGATTTATTTTGTCTTTTTTATAAGAATTACTTACCAATTAAAGTCATTTTAGATAGTTTTGATTGTAAGTATTGTATATTTTTATATTTTACTTTATTTTGTTTGTTTAATGATATTGATGAAGACAAAAAAGTAAAGTATTTATAGTTTCTTTTAATTTACATTCAACATGATCTTAAGAACGGTGAAATCTTGTAGAATCTAGAATCTAGATCAACAAGTATCCTTTGGTTACAAGATATTGGTTATAATAGCATGTATGAATAGATTACCATACCTAACTAATGACTCTGATCCAATCATTTCAGTTAATGCCCTAGTATTAAATTTTTGATGTTAAATGATCATAAATTAAGTTACTTTTCAAATATTAAAGTATTGGTTATCAATCTGATTTAATATTTAACAACATTGATACTAAGCTGAAGTAGTTGTATTACTGATAGATTAAGGGTAAATAGATGTACACTTGATTGAAATGTATTAACACACAATTTAGAGTGGGTTATATAATTTCCTTTTTAAAAAAAGTGTCATCATTTTGAGAAATCTGTGTGTATGTATCAGTGTCCCATTCAATCACAATTCTATACGTATCATAGTCTATTGAAATCTAATCAATATCTTTGATCATATCTAACATATCATTTCACCGATATCAAATCCAATAAAATCTAACTAGCACATTTCAAACAGATTTTGACCAAGAATCATGAAACTTAATCTCTTTTAGGAAATAAACAACTGATATTACCCTTAGATATTAATTATTTGAAAGTACTGGTCTTTTAAATAATTTTACAAATTAACTTAATATATTTTAATAAAAATATTTAATACTAGGTTATCTGAATTCTATAAAAGCCATCTTTTATCTATTTTGATAAGCATAAAATTAATAATTTATTAGTTAATAAATCTAAAACAAAATTCTAAAATGACTTTAATTTGTAAGGAAAAATAAACTTTTTAAAATCCACAGAATGATATAATAACTTTTTTTTCTTTTTATTATTAAAAAGCTTCCATCACAAAACTTGGTTCTTCCGTTCAATCCAATCAATCTTTCAAGAATGAATTGATGATGGCAGGAATCAATGGTAACAGTTCAATTGGACAAACTTCAAACTCAACTGAATCACTTATCAATTTGAACATTCTAGCTAATGTTCTAGGTATTTTGGGAATTAAAGTGTGTGCCTCTGTATTGTAAACCAAAAAACCACTATAAATAATATCTTACCAATGTAATTGGTCAAAAAAATAAATTCTTGTATTTTTTCAAATTTATAAACAATTAAATAAATATTTTACGATTTTAGAGTAAATAATCTTTTAAACTCTAAAATAATATAAGTTTAACTTTACTTTGTTGAAATTATTTTCAAAAACATTATAAAGTTTTAATTTCCCGATAGTGAATAAATATAATTGATATAAGATTTATTTATTAAGAATTTTCAATCTTTTGACATAAACACGATCAATAATGTCAAAATCAATCAAAAAAGGAAGTTGTAATTAGAGTGGTTAAATAATTTAATGATGTTTTTATAAAAATGTTGGAATATAATAAAATTTTAAAAGTGATTTTATATGATCCAAAGTAAAACTTTAAATTATTTAAATTAAAATAATGATCAAAGCAACTTAACTCACTTACTTATCTTATTTTTATTGTCCAATAACATGATATTCAATCTTATGATGGCTATTTAAATATTCAGTTGTTTTATTAAGAGATAAAAGATATATTTAGTTTTATTATATTCACAGAATATATTTTTATCGATTAACGAATGAAAAGAGTATTTATTTCATTTGGTCTGGACTGTATTTGTTAAAACTATAAATAGTTGATGAAACAATCATTTATAAATCATCAAACAACAAAAACAACAGTTTAATATAATATAATATATTTTTATAAGTAAACAAAAATGACTTTAATTTGTATGTTTTAAAAACCTAAAGATTTTAATATAAAGTTGAAATACTAACAAATTTGATTAATTATTTAAAAATAGCATCAATCACTAAACTCGGATCAGTTCAAAACAACTCAATGATCAAGAGTCAAATCGGAGGTGTTTCAGGTGTCAATTCAACTCAATCACTGAACAGTGTTGCTTGTAATCCTGGAAATGATGTTGACGTGCATGTTCTCCTCTGTGCTAATATCCTTGGTATCAATATCTATGCCAATGTTAATGTTGACTTGTAATCAAATTTGCTGTATTAATCATCAAATTCTTTTATTCATTATTGATTTGTAATTTCAATCAAAGATAGATAAAAACACAAACTATTGTAAATAAAAATGTACAATTTGTAAATTTTGATCATAATCGCGATGTTAATGATAATTGATTGTATTTTATATTATTTAATTGAATTCAACTACCATGTTTCAGTTGTATAACGTTTATCTTTTTCTAATTTAACCAAATAATCGTTTGCTAATTGATCCAAGTCTTTGGTGTCGCCGCCACTCTCATTCGACGTGTAGAATCCGGACGAAACCATTCCCTCTTTGATGATTGTCAGCAACTGTTGTCTTACATCTTTAGGCATTCGACCAGACGAACCCGATATATAAAAGCATGCGCCATCCTCGAGTAGTCTCCAAATCAATTGTGAATCCAACTTCATCAAATCCTGTACGTAGTGTTTCCTATCTTGTTGTTCTCGTGAGAAGCAAACTGACAGCTTTGTAAGATGACCTACATCTCTGTAATGCTCGAACTCCTCCTGATACAAATAATCCATCTCTGAATATCTATTGCCAAAATAAAAGAGTGAATCACCAATTTTTGATTGTCGTTTTGCTTGTTGTTGCTCTGCTTGTAGTTGTGATAGTTTAAAATCTCTCTCCTGTATGAATGATCTGAAGATGGCACAACCAGTACCTGGACCAACCATAATCAGAGGAGTGGCAAGAGAACTTGGCGGTTTAGCACCACTCGCTTTAATATACATTAGAATCTCAGTACCACACTCCATGGTTTGGAACCAACGCGAGCACAAACCCATTCTCGTCAGCTTTCTAAGTGGAGTGGTATACTTGACGAGACCAACCGTAACATGAACACAATTGGGATGTACAAGAGGTGATGATGATATTGAAAAAGGTCTTGCTTTAATTGGTGATATCAAGTCAAATAGATAGTCGAGTGGTATCGCTCCACACTTGAACTCCTTAATAACATCGATATAGTTTCTTAATTCTTTTTGATTATATATTCTTAGATCATCCTAAACAAATACAAATAGACATTAATATTTAACAATAATAATAATCAATTATAAAAGTATTCAAGTATTTAAAATACTTACTTGACCTTCAGATGAAGAGAAATATTGTAATCTCTCCTTGTGACTTTCCTCTGTAACAAAGAACTGTAATAATTCGAAAAAGTATCGTTTCGGTGATCCTGAAATATCGAAATAACAAGTTAACAACTCTCGCACACTAACAGGATATCTAATATTCAAAGGTTTTTGTGTTGTATCGCTATTTCTTGGTTGTATATCATAAATCAACAGATCCTGATCTAATTCTAAATAATTAATAAGTTCATCAACAAGTGATGCTGAGTTCTTAGGTAGTATATAAGCAACATCTCCTGAATTATATCTATATATATATAATCAAATTTTAATATAAATTAATTAATTATACTTAATTGATATCAACATATAAATAAGTTTTTAGATACTTTACTTTAAATCTGTATTATGTATATCAATTTCTAAATGTCTAACATCTTGTGTCCACTCATTATTAGTTATTCTTTTATTCTTTATTAATATTGTTGATTTATATTGTTGTTGTTGTTGTTGTTGATTGTTATTTGTTGTTGTAATATCACCACCATCATCATTATATTTAATAATATATTTAGATGGTTGTCTAAGTTATAATAATAAATTATGTTAATACACTAAGTAGTTAGTTATTAAATGATATTAACCTAAAGATAACTATAGTTCTTACAATTTCAATCTATCTATTGGTGTAAATGATGGATCTATTGGATAGATTGTTGTTAGTTGATCGATGATTTCTTTTGTCCATTTTTCGACTTCGTAGTCGATACCGAGATCGTGTTGGTCATCGGCATCACCTCTGCGAACAAGTTGGTGTGCACCCAGTGACAATAGTCTTTGGTTGAGTTTCTTTGATGCGAAATTGAAGGTGGTGTACGATGAATCACCAAGTCCGAGTACTGCAAACTTCAAGCCAGCGAGTGCGTTCGAAGGCAAACTTCTTATTAACAAGAAACTCCAGAACGTCTTCATCGTATCAGGTACATCACCATGACCCTGTGTAGACACAACAAACACTACCGATTTCTCATTGGGCAACAAACTCTTGAAATCATAATTTTCGATATCAACAACCGAGTTGGCCAGACCAATTTGATTGTAAATCTCTCTTGACAATCTCTCTGCTACCTCTTGTGCACTTCCACTTTGAGTTGCATAGATTATCTTTAACTTATTACTATTAGTCATTATCTATCTATCTAATCTTTATCCAAAGGAAAAAAATAAATATGAAAATACATAATCATCATATGATGAGTTAATTAAAAATCTCATTTTGGAATAAAGAATTCCATGTGCCAACAAATTATAGCGTTTTTTGCCAAACAATGAATTCTTTTATTCGATAATTTGAAAATTAAATAAAATTATTATTATTATTGTGTTATTCTAATATCGCACACAAACCAGCAAAAGCAGTTTTTCTCTCTTTAATTGTATTTAATATATACCATTTGTTCTTATTAACCAAATAACAATAAGTAACTTTATCAACGAAAAAGTAGATCTTTGCAGATTTAGTGTGTAGTCTATTGATTTGAATAAATGCATCGTGTTGTTCATTATAATTGTTATTATTATTGTTGTTGTTGTTGTTGTTGTTGTTTTCGTTGTTATTATTATTATTGTTTATCTCTTCTTCAAAGTGCTTATTGTTAACAATGTAGATCATTGGATAGACATTTGCATGCGTTTCAAAAGGTGGTGATTTTAGAGCTTCTCGGTGTAAAGTGTGAATATTCACCTTGAAGAAATTGCTATGTCTATCCAAAACATAGAGGTTTTCATAGCCATCGTAACAATTTGCTATAACGACACCATCGAAATCCAGATTGGAAAGATGTTTCTCTACTACGCGACTCTCGATGTTGAATCTATACATATTTTTAGCACTACCTCCAGAGGTGTCTCTGCCACATCCGATGTAAATGTAACCATCGTTCATAAAGCAGATTGTATTGTAAAGATGTTCGGTCATATCGGTTACATGTTCGAACTCACCGGTTTCAATATCCATTCTGTCGATACGTCTGAGGTACTTTCGTTGATATTGTCCGCCAATCAAATAGATATAACGATTGTTGTCAAAGACGGCTGCTGTTCCCAGACCTATAGCCTGATCGGGAACCTCAACGTCGAAAAGCTCTTCCGTTGGAATATGAAATTTATAGTAGGTATTGGAATCCATCGTTCCACCGAATATATAGATATCGTCGCGCACCTGACATACAGAGGGTGCCACACAACCAAAATTAATATCGACATTCTTGTATGTAGTCCACTGATGCATATTTAAATCGAAAAACTCTATTCCCTCTTCGGAACATACTAATAATCTGTTTGCTATGACAGATTTATACTGGGTTGTCTCCAATTCCACCATTTCATACATATCCATCAGACTCTGTTTATATTGCTCCAATTCAACAAAGTAAATGTCGAAATAGAATGGTGGACTCAATAACTTGCTTTGACATTCGTCATTATATTTCTTGAGAAGGCTCAATACTAGTAGTGGGTCGTTCGAGTCATCTCTCTCGTTATCCCGGAAAACACCAGAACTGTTGTTGGAAATAAATGAATAGACATTACTGTTGGTCTCTTCTTCTGGATGGCTATTTTTCTCTAGTTCGTAAAATGGACTCGGTAGTGGGTCGATTTGTGGGGTAGAGACTGATTCTGATAGTTCACTATCACTGTCATCGAAAGTAGAAACCATATTATGAAAGGATATATCCGTAGATTCCGACATAGTTAGCGATCTTTCATGGATTGGTGTGTAGGAACCAAATGACTGGTGATTGTTTGATGATGGTTGAAAAGAAGTTGGAAATGTCATGCTTGATCCATTGTTTGAAAGTTCAGAGAAATAGATTATTTTATGTAGTATTTTCATTCTCTCTAAACAACTTTCCAATAAGATATTCGTTTTCTCCCTTTGCACCTCTATAGGTTTTAAGAGTTTCCTTTCCTCGGTTTGAAGAAAACTATGAAGCTCCTCTATATATGATCTGACAGAACCATCCAAATAGTTGAAGTGTTGCAATTTTCGATAGCTTTTACGATAGATATTGTGAATATTTTCCAATTCCATTCGCATATTACCGATTTCATCAAAGACAGAATCTGAATGTAAATAGGAACTAAAATCGGTACAATTAGGGTGTTTGGGAACACAATAAGCACAGACCAATGTATTACACCCTTTGCACAGAAACATGACAATATTCTTGTCATGGTATGGACACTTTGGAGTATAATCTACCATTTTTAAATATTAAAAAAAAATTTAATAACTTTCTATAAATAATTAATTTTATAAATAAATAAATAATTTGCAGTGATACTGATGAATACAAGTTCAAATAATAAAAATTTGGGATCTATCGATTTATTTATTTATCACCAACCAACCATATGTTACAAATAAAAATTATATATTTAATAGTGTTATTGTAAAATTGTCTCTCTTCAAACCCATATTTGTAATTTAAGGTGGTCAACTCTTTCAAACTGTGTTAAATCACACTTCATATAAGTTTGTTTGCAGTGTTATTTGTAGGTGTGTTAATAAACGAGGAGCTACAAAACTTAAATATTTCATTTTGGTGATTGGATTGTGTTTCGATTTACATAATAATTAATATATTCTTTTTTTTTTATATTTGTTTTTGTTAATTTAATTAATTTTACAATTTTATTTGTTGTTAATTAAAATGTGATAAATAGTGTTTTATCAATTAAAATTTTAATTCTCGTAAACTGGTTGAATTGAATTCCACTCGGCAAATTCGTTCTCCTTGAACCAAAGCTTGATCTCATGTTGTGCACTCTCTGGACCGTCTATTATAATTTATCAAAAAAATTGGTATTAATTTTAATTATATTTTAAAATGTATAATGGTGTCTTCTTACCTGAACCGTGGACAATGTTACGACCGACTTCGACACACAAATCACCACGAATGGATCCTGGTAATGATTGAGCTGGGTCAGTGGCACCAACTAAAGAACGACCACCCTTGATAACACCTTTACCTTCCCAAACCATCTATAAACAATGTTAATTAGTATTTATAATTTAAAGCTATAACTACCTGTTACTTCTAATAATGATATAAAAACATACAGCAACGATAGCACCAGAGGAGAAGAACTTGACGAGACCATTGAAGAATGGCTTTGAGCTCAAGTCAGCATAGTGAGCCTCAGCTTGTTCCTTGGTTGGGTGCAAAATCTTGATGGCAACCAACTTGTATCCCTTTCTCTCGAATCTGTGGATAATCTCACCAATCAAACCACGGGCAGTACCATCTGGCTTGATAGCAATGAAGGTTCTCTCATTCTTGGTACCTGGAACACCTTGGAATGGAGTCTATAAAGATAAAAAGAAAAAAAGTAATTTATTTATAAATTATTAGATTCATATTTATAAATAACGAAACTAAAAGCTGTAATATGTTATTTACCTTATCGGCACAGTTGGCAATACCAAAAGCGGCGGCAGTGGTCAAAGCAACACCGGTGGCAGCATACTTTAAGAAACGAGCGGTGTTTGATGATTGTTGAGTGTTGAACTGTTTTGAGGCAGTGGAGAAAGTTCTGGTGGCAGTGAAAGCTGCAGCAGTTCTTGGAATAACTCTAGAGAATCTTGAGAACATTTTTATATGTATGAATTTTAAAAAATGATTTGATTTAATATTCCCACACTGAAATGATCAGGTGCTGAATTTCAAAACATTTTGTAACGTTGAAAAAAATGTGTTTTTATTCATGAATAAAAAAAAAAAAAACACCCACACTTTTGAACATCACCCACTTTTGCAAATGTTCATTTTACAAAGTTTTTAAAATTATAGTGCCCAATAGAGTGATTTTAGTGAAAAAGAATTTGAATTAGAACAAACTCTTAAAAGATATTGTTGTACCGTCGACTATATTCCTCAGGTGTAATTGTTACTAATTCTCATAATAACACAATGAGTTCTCAATCCCTGACAGATTATCTTGAAAATATTAATAATATTTATTTATTATCTTGATGATATTATTAATATTTATTTTTTCTATTACTATTTTTGTGTAAATCGATTTATTCGTTTTTGACACAGTAGAAGGTTGGACATTGTCCGCCTGTCGAAACGCTTGTTTCATTTGGTGCACAGCTGACAACAATACCGATTCTTGGACATGGAACGCAATGTGGAATCTCACAGTCTCCAACCTTTTTGAAGGCAAGACGGGTACCTACTTGACAGACTGGGATGAACTAATATTGTTTAAAAATAATGTTTAATAATTTTAAAGCAATCAAACTTATTTTTTTATAATTAATGTTCATACCTGAGGGCATTCAGTAGCGGAAACAGTGGTGAAAACCAACAAGAGGGCAATTAAAGCGAGGGTAATGGTGGCAATGTTAATCTTCATTTCTTTATATTGAGAGTTAGATAGTTAATTATTACTATTTAATAAATATTTATTCTATTTGTTTGTTTGTTTGTGGTTTGATACAAACTATTAACTAATTGATCGACTATTTATAATCATTCTAAATCTTATGTTGTAATTTTAAATAATAATTATTATTCTAAAAACTATATTGTTTAAAAGTATATAAATAAAAGGTGAGATTCTTACTTTAATACCAAATAACTATTGGGGAAGGTCTAAAACTAGTTTTTTTTTTTTTGAATGATTCAAATAATTTTAAAAAACGAATACTCTAAAAGAGACTTTCAATATAAGAAAGTAAGATACTTTGTTTTAAGTAATAAGTCAGTAAACATTTTTAAAACCATTAATTTGAGATTCTGCAAAGCAACCAATCAATTTAAACAACAATTTTCTCAACTTTCAAACCCCGTCAAAAACCAAATTTGCGAAAAGGTAGTTTCAGAGCTCAGTGAATTTGAAAACCACAACTTGACATCGGTGATTAACTAATTTTAATAATATTGGTACAAGGTGATGAAAATCATCACCTATGTTTTTTGACCACTTTATCAATCTATTATCAAAATATATCACAATTATTTGTATGATATGATTAATACTTTTTTTTTTTTTTTGAACTATTTTTGTCTGATAACAAAATAGAAAAAAAATTTAATAATATTTGTAGATAATTCATAATAAGAGAAATGCTACCCACCACACCCACACTCAATTTTTTTTTTTTGAGTTAACAAACATTTAATTTTGATTATTTATTGAGCCTCTCTTAATATTAGTTTTTAATAGAAATAAATGAAATAAGGTTAGAAGAAACAGAAACAAGGGATCTACACTGGCGTGTTCCTCTAAAAGATCTCAAACTGTCCCTCTAGTCTCTTCACCAGATTCCGCACCAACTGTCTCAGCAATATCACCCGATACCGTACCAACTGTCCCTGCAGTGTCTTCACCAGATGCCACATCTACTCTAGATGAATGTGACATCCCTAAATTGCTTCAACAGCATCGATTGGGTGCCTTTGTATAATTCAAAAATTGAGAACAAGTTGGATTACCCAGTAATCGTTTTAGATCCAAAAACAAAGGAACCGTTTGACATTAAACTTGTCGACGCATTTGGTCCTGGTTAAAAAATATTTGGCAGGGCTGAAACTCTTATTTTCCCTTTGATGAAGCCAACCGAGGTCAAGGATTTGAAAGGAGCAGAAGTCATGGATATTCGCAATCCAAACCATTCATACCAAGTTAAAAGAATTGTCAGTATTCAGAATCTATCCCAAACTGACAATCTTATGCGATATTTAACCTACTCACAGATGGAAATACAAAGACTTTGTATGCCAAACCAGGACTACAAGAAAAAGCCATATCAAAATATATCATCGGACATGTGTATCAGCTAGAGCTTTTGGTTCTGTTCTTCAAGCAACAGAAAAATAGAGCCATCAACCCAATCGTCCGCGTATATCAATTTTTAGACTGTTTGATCCTATCTTTAAATTGTATCACAAACATCTAATTCTCAAGTATAATACCAAAACTGGCATGAAAGATTGGAATCCAACAGATGGAGTAAGAGAATACTAAGTCCAATAGGTCAAACTCCTTTATTAGAAAGCGAGTTGTAAATGCTTCATTTCAAATCAATTTAGTTACTGGTGCTGTTTATTTTAGTGCCAAATTTCAAGTGTCTAACATGCTCGCATCTTCGATCAGCGACGATTGTAAATCAGCCACTCTTTCTAAAAAATATCTTATATAAAAAAATAAATAAAATAAAATAAAATTAAATTAAATAAAAAATTGTTTGGTTTATGGTTACCAATTTTATTTCTTGTTATTTGATTGAACGGGTATTAGTTTGTTCGTTGATTATGTAGCATTGAGTTGTTCATCAAATAACTTTTAATGAAAAATGGTATAACTCATATTAATGATAGAAAATAATAAATTATAAATTAATTAATATTTGTTTTTGAAAAAAAAAAGATCAATTAATAAGTAAAAATAACAAATGATGGAAGAATATTAATTTATTGAAAAAAAAAAAGGCGTTGTATCATATTAAAAAAAGAAAAAAAATACACATCCCAATAATGATCTGGTGATTCATTTCGTTTATTAAAAAAAAAAAAAAGAAACATAATAAGAGAAATGCTACCTGCTTTAAAGCACATCAAAGTGTGGGAATACAATTTTTTTTTGTAATTTATTTCAATCTGATAGATAAAAAGAAAATAAAAAAAAACAAGAAAGAGTGGTTGGAAATTTACCAAGTAATTTGTGACAATATACGAGTTGAAGTATTATTATAAATGACTCTTAGTATAATAAATAAATAAGGTGGACGAATGAAATTATGAATATTTTTTTTTGTTACCTCAATATCGAGTGAATAAACTGAGGGTATATTAAATATATTAAATCTTCAATTTAGTTTGTTATTATTAATTAATAATAATATAATAATAAATCCCAAAATTTCAATAGTAAATTATACATTTGTTTTAGATTGGTTTTAGAAATTTTTTAATTTTAAAAGTAAATATGAAAACTGCATTTGTAACAGGTGGAACAGGATTTCTAGGTTCGCATGTCGTCGAACAGTTAATAAAGAAAGAATATATAGTTTGTGTTTTATATAGATCAGAAGAAAAAGCAAATAAACTAAAGAAAATTATTAGTTCTTCAATTGGAAGTCTGGATTTATTGAAATTCGTCAAAGGAGATGTAAATGATTACCAATCTTTGATGGAAGGAATTCCAGATTGTGATAATCTATTTGTTTTTCATTTGGCCTCAATAACTTTAACCAAAGATAGAGTAGCCCAAACCAAAGTGAATGTAGATGGAGTTTCCAATCTAATTGAAGTTAGTCTAAAGAAACAAGTTAAACGATTTATTTACACATCTTCAATAAGCACTTTTGTAAATGGAGCTAAATATGGATCGATACTAAGTGAGTCATCCAAACAATGTGGTCCACACAATGCATATGGATATGCCAGAACTAAATTCTTGGCAGAGGAATTGGTTAGAGATGCTGGAAAAAGAGGATTGGAATATGTGATACTAAACCCTGGATATATTATCGGTCGATATGATGAAGATAATATGGGCCGATTAACGAAACCTGAGTTTCAAAATCTTCTCCAGACAACAGGTAATGGTGGTGCAACCTTTGTGTCTGGAGAGGAATGTGCTCGTGTCCTTATCATAGCTGCAGAAAACGCTATTTCACCTGAAGGATCACAATATCTCTTGGGTGGAGTGTATTCGACTTGGAAAGATGTTGTCATTGCATTTAGAAGAGAATTGAACTTTCCAAACCCCGAAAATGTGAGAGTGCTACCTACTTTAGTACTCAGAGCAATTAGCAATCTATACAAAATTTGGAATTATTTCACTGGTAAAGAGATAATTGATGAAGAGATCAAAATGATAATTGAATCTTTTAGTGTCGATGATTCCAAAGCAGTAAAGGAATTGGGTTTTAACAATAAGATTCCAATTGAATGGATGATAAAAGATTGTGTAAATTGGTCAAAAAATGAAACACAAAAACAACAACAACAACAACAACAACAATAATAATAATAATAAAAAATGTCTTACTTTGCTTCTTATAATATTAATTATAGTTATTCCAAGTCATTGGTTGTTAATTTGTTTATTGATGTTGTTGTAATTGTCTTTGAACTAAATTATAGTATTGTCCATTCTTTGACATTAGCTGGGTATGTGTACCAAATTCTGCTACTTTACCGTTGGCGATGACTGCAATAGCATCGGCGTTCTGCACCGTGGAGAGACGGTGTGCAATGACGAGTGTGGTACGTCCAGCCATCAAACGAGTGAGTGCATCCTGTACCAGTCCTTCACTCTCTGAATCGAGTGCACTGGTAGCTTCGTCGAGAATCAAGATTCTTGGGTTCTTCAAGATCGCTCTTGCAATTGCAATACGCTGCTTCTGTCCACCAGAGAGTTGAACACCCTTCTCACCGACCATCGTAGAATATCCATTTGGGAACGATGAAATAAAGTGATGTGCATTGGCTTGTCGACAGGCTTCTTCAATCTCTTCGACGGTGGCATCGGGTTTACCATATCTCAGGTTATCGAGGATGCTAGTTGCAAAGAGTGCAGGCTCCTGGTTGACTATACCAATGTGATTTCTCAGCCAATCGGCTGATAACTGTGTAATTGGAACACCATCCACCAAGATTTCACCTTCGTTGGCCTCGTAGAAGCGTTCTAGCAGTGCGGCAACAGTCGACTTTCCACCACCGGATTGGCCAGCCAATGCCACTACTTGTCCTGGCTTGACGGTGAGATTGAATTTATTCAGCACTTGAACATGCTCTCTGCTTGGATAACGGAAACCGACGTTGACAAATTCGATTCTTCCTTTGATGTGGGAGAGTCTCAGTCCTGGACGACGTGGAATCAGAGTGGAGCGATTCAGCAACTCGGTGACACGCGACATTCCACCGGATGCATTCGATAGCTGGGTGAACAAGATCGATAGTTGACTGAATGAATTTTGCATCGACATGGTGTGCAGTATAAACGATGTCAGTTGACCAGAGGTGATAGTGCCGGCCGACACCAACGTTCCTCCGTACCAGTAGACAAGAAGACTGACGGCATTCAACGCCAGCGAAGTCACACCCTGGAAAATACCGATTTGAACACCGGCATCCGTTGCGAGATCCAATGACTCTTGTGAGCGTTGAGCGAATCTCGACGATTCCGTATCCTGACTAGCAAACGCCACCACCGTTCTAATGTTGCCGAGTGCTTCCTGTGCCATGGCAGTGGTCTGTGCATTCGCCTGTTGTGCCTTTATGGAAAGACGCTTCAAGTGTGCAGCGTAGATCGTTCCGATTCCAACCATTGTAGGAAGCACCGTCAACATTATCAGTGAGAGATGTGTGGAGATCAAGAATAGCGAGACGACGCCACCCACGATTTGACCGGTTGACTTTACTCCGAGAGTTACGGTGTGTTTCAGTGCGGAACGAACCAGCTGAATATCGGCAGACAAACGATTGAGCAAGTCACCAGTCGAGTTTTTATCAAAGAAAGCAATCTCTTGCTCCAAGAGATGAGCATAGAGCATGTTTCTCAGACCGGAAGTGTATCGCTCACAAACAACAGAGATGAGTGTCGTCGAGATAAAACTAAGGCCCGCCTGAAGTAGCAACACTGCTATGGCGCGGATTGCAGGGTCCTTCAAGGAGTCACCACGCTTCGAGCAATCCACAAGATTACCAAATACTTTCGGCAGCTGAATTCCAACCCACGATGAGAGTAGTGCAGTTACGATGCCGAGTGACAACACCCAGATATCGGGGCGAATCAACTTCCAGAATATCTGATTATTTGTTAATTGTTGCTCTAGTTCCGCAACGATTGAATCGGTATCAATTGAAATGGTTGAAGCTTCTTCGTCCAATTGGATAGCAGTGCTTTCCGCAACAGTACCTGTAGTAGTGGCATCTTGACAATGAACCACATTTAAAAGTTGTGCATCACTTCCGAAATTGAAAATAAATAAACCACCAATACAAATCGAGACAACACCCACTCCTGAAATAGCTATATATGATTTCGATTTACTTTTATAATTATTTTGATTATTATTATTATTATTACTATTACTATTACTATTGTTATTGTTGTTATTACTATTGGTATATGAATGATATCGTTTTTGATTGATATTGTAATTAATATCAGAAATACAATAATTTACTGTTTGGTTTAAAATTGTTTGTTGTTGTTATTTTGACATTTTCTCTAGAGAATGTTGGATTAAATATAGGTGAGACATATGATTTATAGATTGTTGATAATCTATTACTATTATTATTATTATTAATGTTATTACAATGATTCTTATATACAATACTATTATTACAGAAAACAATACACTTAGTATTTATTTGATTTCTAGTAGTTGATATACATTTAATAGAGTTTTGATATCTTATGTTTCGATTTGAACTGTTAAAAGATGCTTTTAAATAACAAGATATATTTGATTGCATTATTTTATAAGTGATCAAACAAACACATTTTAATTTTTTTTTTTTTTTTTTTGTAAAAGGCATTTCATTCATACAAAAAAAAATGTAATAATAAATCAAATAAACATTTGTTTGATGATTTGATGTCTCAATAATAGATTGTAATATCGGTTGAAATCTTATTACATATATTCTAATAATTACTTTGACAGCTACTACACATACAAATTTTTATTCTATCATGATTTTTTTTTGTTTTACAAAACAACTAGTACTTGAACAGAACTCTGGATCACCTAAATTCAATTTGATTGTCCATACCTTTATCATGTCTCATTTGAATAATACTAAAAATGAATAAAATTGTTTGAAAAAAATCATTCTTTTTATTTTTTTTTAGACATTTTGTAAATAGACGATTAATGGAGGATATATTAAGTTGTTTCGATAGCTATAATGAATTAGAGAAACAATGGATAACATATAGAGATAAAGGCACAAAACTAGCCAATACACTTGTAAATAATCATTTAAAGTTGATATATTTCGACCTGACCGATTGGAGTAATATCGCAATAAAGAACAACACGATCCTTCAGAATCAAATAAAAAACACAATGTTTAAATCAAATGTTAAACAATTTCAATTACTATATAGCTGTTATTGTGAATTAGTAAGCAATTTCTTTGTTAAATCAATCAATCAATCAAACACAAATCAAAGAAAAAAGGTTATTAATTTATTTGTTTAAAAACCTAGGAAGTGATTAAAGATAAACTACAACAAAAACAAGAATCTTTAAGTACTTTAGAATCAAGATATAGTAAGAATAGCAACAGTAGTAGCAATAATAATAATATGATATTAAGATTAAGTATGTAATTAAATAAAACAGTAACTATCAAGATTTATTATTACTAATTACCATATTAATCTCGTTACATTATTAAAAGTAAATTACTTTAAAGATATAGTTGATATGTATGTCAGTTCACTAGCGAATAAAAAGACGATTTTAGATACTCTTTTGAGTTGTAATGATCGTGATCAACTGATAACATATGTATCGGCATGGCAAAATGATATACACATCAACAGAGATACAATAGAGACAATACAAGATATGCTAACAACTCATGTTTCAATAAATATATAACAGTAAACTTAAGTTTGGTTAGAGTTCTATTCAATTCAATTCGGCTAGATTCGATTCTAAAGAAGTGAAAGAAAAGATATTGAATGTTTGTGAAATAATTATATAATTTTATTATTATTATTAAGTACAATTAATTGGTAATGGCAATAGGAACATGGATCCTATCGAAAAAGAATGAACTGGTTTACAACTTATGGCAACAATATCAACTTGGTATAGTTCTGCTTCAAGCTGCTGCAGGCTCTTCATCTGCTACTTTACCTTTTCTACCTTCTTCTCCTTTACCACCTTTTCCTCCTTTACCACCCTTTCCTCCTTTACCGCCTTTATGATCACCTTTTCCACCTTTATGATCACCTTTTCCATCACTTCCTGATGGTGGAGTGGTTGGACTTGGAGATGGATTTGGTGGAGCAACACCTCCTTTATCTATAAATATTTATATTGTGTTAGTTTAATTGTTATCACAAATATCAATTGAATAAAAAATAGCAAATAATATATTTACCTTCTGTTTGGTCAGTACATTGAGTCTGTACAATAAGTAATAAAACAAATATAATTGTTAAATAAATATAAATTTTTGACATTAAATAATTGATTGTTTTTATATATTATTATTAAATATTTATAAGATAAGATATAAAAGAAGAAAAAGAAAATTTAAATATCAAATATTGTTAGAATTTTTGGTATTTAATTTAAATTAAATCAATCATTTTAAATTAAATTATTTGGGTGGTGTGGTTGAATATCAATGTGTGAGCTTTTATTGGCTTCATAAATAATTGTATTTTAATGAACATCTTTATACTTCTAGATCATAATAATAATATTTTAACAAAAAAATAAATAAACTCACACTCACACACTTTTAACACAATTTAAAAGTCAGTGCTCTTTTTGTTTGCTTAACGTACACGTTAAAAACAATCAATCAAATTATATTTAACACAAATTTTTTTTTTTTTAAAATTATTTATTTGGTTATGTTTGATTGTACATGTACAAAGTATTAATGATAATAATACATTGAGTAATGATATGAAAAAACGATTTGAGACATCTTTCAAAGTTTTTTACTTGGTTGTTGTTTCAACTGGCTTTTTGGCTGATTCTTTGGTTGACTCTTTGATTGTTTCTTTGATTGGTGCTGGATTTTGAGAACCAGAGGTAGCATTGTTTGGAACTGGTACTACTGTAACTGTTGGCTTTGGTGTTTCAGTATTGGTTGAGACCTTTGGTTCATCTGATGGGATCAATGGTGCTGGTGTGGTTGCAGCTGGTGTTGAAACTGGTGCTGATCCTGTTGTTGATACCGGTGCTGGATTTGAAGATCCACTTGTTACTGAAGCATTGGTTGGTGCAGGAGTTACTGTTGCATTAATCTTTGGTGCTACAGTTTCATTTACAAAGGCTGGTGACTGTTGAGATGTTGAGCTTGAAGATCCACTTGTAGTTGGTTCAAATACTATTTATTAAAAATTAGTAAATTAATAAATTATTCATTAAAAGAATACTTACAGAATTCTTGATCACATTGTACAGAAACAATCATTAAAGAAGCAACCAAGGCAAAAGTTAAATAGAAAGATCTTGACATTTTTGTTTAAAGTTTAATTTGATTTAAATAATAAAGATATTTAATATATTGATTTTAGTTTAGAATATTAGTATATTTGTTTGTTTGTTTGTTGTTTGATGATTTATTTCAATCAAACATGTTTGCTTTTATAGTATTTCGTAATGCATATTTAGAGTTTATTCAAGTAATGATTTACATCTTTATTCATATAATTTCCCTATTTTCAAAAGAATAATCATTATTTATAATCTTTTAAAATAATGATAATATAGATTTATAACTATACATAACAAATAACACAACTTTATAAGTGATATGATAAATTCTGGGGGTAGATTGTCGTCTGATCATATTTTCCTCCATCAGCTGACTTTTCACTTTGTGGGTAACCACAAACATACATGAAATTAAGTAAAAAATATTGATTTACCTATAAAAACTGCAATATTACTATAAATGTAAATTGGACAATTGTTACAATGCTGCATCATCAACACAATTGTGATAATTATTACTATAGATTTTAAAATATTTATTCATAATAGATTGTGTGAAAACAATAAATATATACACATCTTGATTAAAATAGTGATAAAGACACAACAGATATTATAATATATCAACTTTCAAGTCTGTGATTTTGATTCGTTAATCTTACCACCCAAGAAAATCAATATTAATGTCAATGTCATTCGCAACCACTTCTTTTCTTTGGCTGATCTTATTAGCTAATAATACATTGTCGTTGAGGTTTAATCAAATCATATAATTGTTGTTGTTGTTGTTATTGTTGTATCTCTATTCATTGAAATAACTATGTTATTATGTAAAATACTATTCTATCTTGTTTAATTTGTTGAATTTAGTCACGGGTTGTTATAAATTTTAATAATTATCTTTAGAAGGAATGTTATAAGAATCTAACTATCTAAATTGATTATAGATAATACTTTTTCTCTATTATAATAATTATTAATGGATTAATTTTTAAGTTATATATCGATTATAATAATAAATAAATAAATAAAATATAATAATTAATGTACTATATTATTATTATTTCAATTTATTGATTCTCTGTAATTCTTTCTTCTTTTCTTTTAGTTTTCTCGCTTTCTTTTGTTTGAGTGTCAGTTTAAACTTCTTGTTTGTATCATCGGTGAATGCAACTGTCTTTTCTATCAATTCTTGCTTTTTCTTTGCTGACTTTGAACGTGATTTAATATCTAACTTCTTTCTAAATCTATCTAAATTACTTTGTAAAATATCTTCTTCATCTACTTTCTTTTCTATTATTTTATCTGTATAAATAAAATATACAATTTAAATTATATGTTAATATCATTTATTAATTAATTAACACAACACTATAAGATTCTATCGATATTAGTCATACCTAAAGGTGATCTATGTTTTCTCTCTATAAATGTATCATTTCCGTCGTGCTCGAAATCTAAAGATGATTTCTCTTCTTCTTTTTCTTTATTTAATAAGTTTAATTGTTGTCTTATAATTTTAGACATATTTGTACTGTATATTACTAAATATATATATATATTTACAAAGCTATAATAAAAATAAAAATGATTGTTAATTAATCGTTCGTTTTTTTTGCAAAAATAAAATATTTAATTTTTTTTAAATTTTAATATGAATTAATTAAATATCTTAAAAGAATATATAAATATTTAAACACTTTTAAATAAATATCTTAAGTTATATTAATCAAAGAAAGATTATCTTTCTCTCTGTTTATTCATTATTTTTTTTTTTTTTTTTTTTTTTACTTGTGAATAAAATTCAGATGATTACTGTGTTTGATGTTCATTGATCTTTGAAACACACACATGTTCAAATATTGTAGTGGATCATTTTTGCATAATAGTAAATCATTTTTGTTATTTAATTATAATAGAAATTGTATAAGAAATATGTCTACTTTTAAAGAGGTTATTGGTGCTTTGAATGAGATAACTCCTTTGGAGTTGGCAGGTAGCTGGGACAATGTTGGTTTGTTAGTAGAACCATCGAATGCAAACAGCTTGAAGATTGATCGTATCTTTCTTACCAACGATCTCACAGAGAATGTCTTGGACGAAGCGATCGAGCAGCGAGCATCGATGATCGTATCGTATCACCCACCCTTATTTGCACAGTTCAAGAGATTGACATCGAAGGTCACTGCACAGCGAATTGCAGTGAAAGCAATTGAGAATCATCTACCGGTGTATTCACCACACTCTGCTTTGGATGCTATCAATGGTGGGATCAACGACTGGACTGCCGACGCTCTCAAATCGATCGCCAGCGGTAAAGGTGCATCGGCCAGACCGATCCAAGCATCGATGATGTCGACCAACAAGCAATTCACTCATAAGGTTGAGATTCTTCTCAATAGCAATGACTCTACCCAATTACAAAACGAACTTGCCAACCTCGATAACATCAACATCAACACCATCGAATCGAAGCAATCATCGAAACTAGAGGTTCAATGTAGCGAATCAAAGATATCTTTAGTATCACAACTAATTGAAAAGAATATAAAAGTAAGTAAACGATTGAATGAATCAAATTCACTATTTATAGTTGCTCTTAGTTTATATTAATTTACTTATTACCATTTTTTATTTAATGATTAGTCGGTTGTATCTTGGAGTGTATATAATGGTATTAAATACTCATCTGATAATGTTGGAATTGGAAGATTGTTAACATTCAATGAAGGTGTTTCGATTGAACAAGTTATTGAAACAGTAAAGAAGTTGTTTGGTTTGCAATATATTAGACTTGGTCGTCCACAAGGTGGAAAAGATCGTCCAATAAAGACTGTTGCTATGTGTGCCGGTAGTGGTGCCAGTGTAATCTTGAACACACCTGCCGATCTCTATCTCACAGGTGAACTCTCACATCATGAAATTCTAGAGGCATGTTCCAAAGGCAACTACGTCATCGTATGCGATCACTCCAACACCGAACGTGGATACCTCTCAACCTACAAATCACTCATTCAATCTAAACTCGCAAACGTTGAAATCATCATTTCAAAGAGAGATGCTGATCCATTAGTTGTGGTATAAGTCAACTACAACTACAATTTTCAACACAATTTTTGTTTGTTTGTTAAAAAAATAAAAATTTATACTTTAAACTAATTTTAATAAAAGTAACTTGTATATTCTTTTATTTATTACTTTATTATTACTATTATTATTATTAAATGGTTAAGTTAATTTAAATAAATAAATAACTAATGAATAGGATTACGAAATAGATAAAGTTAATTTGGAAGGTTGATGCATCCGATGTGTTCTGACCAGCTGTGATAATTGGCTCGAATGGAAGTGGACTACCCGATGTGGCAGCACCAGCATTTGGGAAAGAAGATGGCTCCGATGGGAATGCGGTTGGTGAACAGGTATTGTCGTTTGGACAGACGAGAGTGGTGTTTGCAGAGAGAATCAATGTTTCTCCGGCTGGACAGGTGCTCCATTTTCCGTTGAATTGAACCTGCAACTGAAGTCCTTGACAACGTTGTGGACGACAACCATATCCGAATGTGGTTGGTGTCAATTGTTGTTTGAAACAGAAAGAGTCTGCTCCATTGACTTCACCTTCGTAGGCGGTCTTACGTGAAGTATCGAAACAATATTGGGAAGGCATATTCCAGACACAGCAGTCAAAGACCTGCGAAGCACCACCGGTTTTTGGATTAGTGAAATGTTGACTGGGGTATGGCAAATTTGAGTTATAGTCTGCCCAGAAAGCCATACCGATACCTGATCTCGAAGCAGAGCATCCGACTTGATTGTTGGTTGCTGGCCAGTATCCTTCACGACTCCAAATTGCAGGAGTACAAAGTTTATCAGCGAAATCACATCCCATTCCTTTACCCCAACTGGATGATCTAGATTCACCAAGATTGAGAAGTCCATACCATCCAGAATCTAAATTCAAACAAGATAAAGTCATATTAATACATTGTAATTGGGAATAGATCACAATCAACGTTTCACCTACCATAGAATAAACCAAGAGTCAAATTTGAGAGTGGAGCAACTGGTCTTGCATATCCAAGCATCAATTCTAAAAGATGATATCAAGTAAATTAATATTTTTAATTCAAAAAAAGAGATTAATTGTTTGTAAAGATATTTACCTTCACCAAATCTTGTTGATTTCCAGTGAGATCCAGCAGTTCCAGGACCACCAATGTTTTCCAACTCGGCACCTACGAGTGATTGGCAACCAAAGTGATTTCTGGCAACATGAAGCACGGAAGGAGATGTGATGAAAAATCTCTGGTATGGGAAACTGACACCTGCTGGTGTGGTCAATGTGGTGGTAGTATTGATCATAATGTTGTTTTTGTATCTGTTACCAGTGGTACGGTCATAGAAACTATCATACATTGAACTACTGAATCCGAGTGAATGGGTGGCTTCGTGGAGACCAACACGGAGGAATTGATTCCACATCACTTGATTCTGTTGACGATAGGTGGCATTGGCAAACGGTGAGAAGTAGAATGGTGAAAAGTTAATAATACCGGCAAATGGTGCACCAGTGTCACTATGAATGAGACATGATGTGGCGTAGGCAATAGTTCCAGAGGATGCAATTGGATGAACAGATACATAATTGATAAAATCACCCTCGAATCCATTGGTAATATCCATGACGTATTCTTCGATACATCTGAACTGTCTGCTGTATGAATTTCTGGCAGTACCACTAACGGTGAGATACTTGGAGAAAGAAGATGCAATGAATGGCAGAACCTCTTGTGTGAACAAATTGACCAACTCTGGTGTCAAAATGTCACTCTGTTTACAGGTGTACGAAGTTGGACTGTTAGTATCAGGATCCAAAATAACTACTTGGCCAACTTGATAGCAAGTCTGTGATTCAGTTCCCGGATTCAAATAGGTGGTGTTGAATACCAATCTGATTGGGTGAGTGGAGGCAGTTGGATCGGCCTTTAAATTTCTGTTGCCCGATGACAACTTTACGTTGTGATTGATCTTGTCGTGGATACAATTGTGTCCAACCAAATCATCGTCGTCGTGGGTGTGATGTGTTGTTTGACCATCGATGGAATCTGGATTGAATGCCAGACAACTGGCAACAATTAGAAATACAAATGTTAAAATAAATAAATATGATTGACGATTGGACATCATTTTATATATCTCTATTTTTAAATTTAAAATTACAGTAATTATTAAATAAACCTCTAAAAAAGCATAGCCCAAAAAAGTCAAAATCTAGAAAAAAAATAATAAATCAAAAAAAAAAAAAAAAAAAAAAAAAAATAGTTATTAAAACAAAAATCCAAATAAATCATTTTTTCAAGAAGATCTTGATGTCATGCCCATAAAAATTTTAAAAATCAATAACCATTGGGGCAACTCCCTCACAATGTTTGATCTGTTTAATTTTGTGTCTTTTTGATGTTTTTTTTTTTTACAAACTTACCAAAGTTGTACAAAAATTTCTGCGAAAAAAAAACAAACTTGTTTTTGACACACAATTTTGATCCCACAGAACAAAAGTGGGTTGACGTTAATCAGTCATATGTTTTCATAACAGAATTACGGTTTACCATTGCAAACCATTTTTTCGAAATAATCATAATTTATGCGAATATAAGCCTCTAAAGTTGTAGATTTTTTTTTATTTGATCATTTTTTTCTTATTTCAACTTTGTATAACCAATCATTAGTAAGTCGAAGGACATAGTTAGTGACATGATTCATTCGTGGGCCTTCATTACTAGGCGCGGTAATGACCAAGTTTCCCGAACGTATATAAAAAACTGATGTCCTAAGAGCCCACGGGCAATACATTGACACCAACTCGTGAGGAGGTGATAAAAACACCTCCTTAGTGCAATGTACCTAAAAAAAAAATAAATAAAAAAAATAAAATAAAAAAAAGATAAAAATAAAATGGTATTTTTTTGCAAAAAAAACCAATCATCAGTCATTTTAATTTGTGAAAAAATGTTTTTTAAAATATTGTATTTTCTATTTTTTTTACTAGTAAAAAAAGGTTTTTTATTTTACAATTAAAAGTAAATTTAAATAAATAAATAAATAAAGGAGAGGATTGCGAGACAGAATAGATTAGTTTTGAAAGTTGATGCAGAGTTGAGTGAATCAGTATCAGTTGTTTGAGCAGCAGTAGTTTCAGTGGTAGCTTCGGTAGTGTTTCCCGTGGTGGTAGTTCCAGTAGTGGCCCCTGTTGTTTTTCCAGTAGTTCCAGTAGTGGCACCGGTAGTAGCTCCTGTAGTTTTACTAGTGGTTCCAGTGGTTCCGGTACTAACTCCGGTAGTGGTTGAGGTTTGACCGATAGTAATAATTGGGATGTATGGAAGTGGCGCACTGGAAGTTGCAGCACCAGTATTAGGGAAAGAGGATGGATTTGTTGGGAATGTAGTGGGTGAGCAAGTATTTTCGTTTGGACAGATTACAGTGGTGTTTGCAGAGAGAACCACAGATTGTCCGGCTGGACAATTGAACCATTGTCCTTTGAATTGAACCTGCAACTGAAGTCCTTGACAACGTTGTGGACGACAACCGTATCCGAATGTGGTTGGTGTCAATTGTTGTTTGAAACAGAAGGAGTCTGCTCCATTAACTTCACCATCATAGTTAATTTTACGTGAAGTATCGAAACAATATTGGGAAGGCATATTCCACACACAGTTGTCATAGACTCCTGAAAATCCACCGGTACTTGGATCGAGGAAATGTTGGCTGGAGTTTAACAATGTTGTAGTAAAGGTCATCCATTGTGCCATACCGATACCTGATCTTGTGGCAGAACAACCTGGTTGGTTGTTGGTTGCTGGCCAATATCCTTCACGATTCCAAATTGCAGGAGTACAAAGTTTATCAGCGAAATCACATCCCATACCTTTACCCCAAGTAGAAGCTCTAGCTTCACCAAGATTGATAAGTCCATACCATCCTGAATCTAAATTTTAAAAAAGAGTAATTAATATTAATCGTTATGAAAGGTGGAGTTATATTTACCATATAATAAAGCCAGTGTCAAGTTTGAGAGTGGAGCAACTGGTCTTGCATATCCAAGCATCAATTCTATACAGAGATTTAAGAAAGTTAATGATCAATATTCAAAATTGTTTAGATTAATTGTTAAAATAAGTACCTTCACCAAATCTTGTTGCTTTCCAGTGAGATCCAGCGGTTCCAGAACCACCAACGTTTTCCAATTCGGCACCTGCGAGTGTTTGGCAACCAAAATGTTTTCTGGCAATATTGGTAACTGTAGGAGATGTAATAAAAGATCTGGTGTATGGGAAAAGGACACCTGCTGGTGTTGTCAGATTGGTGGTGGTAGTGGTCATGATGTTGCTGGGGTATCTGCCACCAGTGTTACGGTCAATGAAATTGGAATACATGCCTCTACTGAATCCGAGTGCATGAGTGGCTTCGTGGAGACCAACACGGAGGAATTGATTCCACATCACTTGATTCTGTTGACGATAGGCGGCATTGGTATATGCAGTATAGTGGAGTGGCGCAAAGTTAATAATACCGGTATATGGCGCACCAGTGTCTGCATGGGAGAGACATGATGTGGCGTAGGCAATAGTTCCGGATGAGGCTACTGGGTGAGCGGATACAAAGATCATGAAATCACCGTCGAATCCATTGGAAATATCCATCGAGTACTTTTCTATACAGGTGTATGGTTTGGGGTAAGAGTTTCTGGCAGTACCACTAACGGTGAGATACTTGGAGAAAGAAGATGAAATGAATGGCAGAAGCTCCTTCAGCAATAAATCTACCAACTCTGGAGTCAGAATATCATTCTTTGTGCAATTGTAGGGAGTTGCGCCAAGCGAAATGGTTTGACCAACACTGTAGCAAGTTTGATTTTCTGTACCTGGTTTCACATTCAAATAGGTGGTGTTGAAAACCAATCTAATTGGATGAGTGGTGATTGGATCGGCCATTAAATTTCTGTGATTAGAAACCAATTTTACATTGTCACCGATCTTATCGTGGATACAGTCGTGTTTAACAACCAAATCATCGTCGTCGTGGTGGGTATCATGTGTTGTTTGACCATCAAAAGAATCTGGATTCAGTGCCAAACAACTCGAAATAATAAGAAATACAAAAATTAAAATAAATAAATATGGTTGACGATTAGACATTTTTATATCTGCCTATCTGTATATGTATAGAGTATAACAATTATAAAAATCAAACAACCAACAATCTTGCCCTTTTAAAAGATTGGACAAGAAAACCGACAAACCCATCAAAAAAAAAAAATCAAAAAAATGGTGTTTGAATGAAAAAATCTAACTTTATCGAAGAATTTGATAAAAACTCATGATATACTAATCCCATTTCGAGTGGGTTGGGTGACAATCGATAAGAAATCTCACCAATCGATTGACTGTTTTGTTTTTTTAAAGGCATTTATGATGATAAAAGATTTTTTTAAATTAATTAATATTTGCAACTTGATTGTTTCTTTTAAAATCCAAAAATAAATACTATCATGAACCCCATGAAGTTGACACAGACAATAACTAGCAGACGTAAAAACAATGGGAACATCATCCCTTATTCAAAAATGATGGCCATCATCTCAGCCGGCCTGTGGCTGAACTGCCCCAACAATAAATAAACACGAACTATATGTTAATATCAAGCTCTACATCTTGACTATTAATGGTAGGACAAGGATAATTTAAAATAAAAATAAAATAAAATAAAATAAAATATGAAAGTTAGCAAGGGTCTTTTCAATTTTTATAATAATATGTTTTAGATTTTTTTGTTGAAGAGTGATCTGATAAGATTTTTTGGTATTTAATTAATATTTTATTTGATGTTCTTGGAGGATGGAGCAGTAGGTTTTTTTGTTGTTTTTGATGTTTTTGTTGTTGAAGATAGATTCTGTTTTGGTAAAGAAGGTAATTTTGGTAGTCTTGCTTCCGGCATAATAAAAGTATTACGCTGATTCTTAAAGTTGTCCTTATCAAAATTTGTCACTTCAAGGATGACCGATCTAATTTGTTGAATACCTTTCATTTCCTTTGAACTGCATTGAATGATGTTTGGCACACAGCTAACATTGTTCATGATTTCCTCTTTGACCTGGTTGTAGAATCGCTTCAGACCAGTGGTGGTAGCCTTATCGATCTTTGTTAGAATTACCTGAAATGCAACTCTATGTTCATCTAACAGCTTCATCACCTCTATATCATTCTTTTGCAAACCAACTCTACTGTCTACCAACAAAAATAATTTCTTTAATCTAGTTTTTTCAAATAATAAATTCAATTTGCAACTTTAATATTTATACAATTTAATATAATCGATCTTTCAATTAATTAATTACTTACTGATGTGAAGTTAATAAATATTCAGATATACTTCTACCCCAAACACTTGCTTTATCTTTGCTAACCTTTGAATAACCATATCCTGGAAGATCTACCATCATAATTTTATCCCACAATGCATAGAAATTAATTGATTTTGTACATCCCTTTTTGTAGTAAATAAATATTAAGTATTTGATTAGTTAATTATTGGATTGATTATAATACATAATTATAGTTATTAATAGTTACAGGTGTTTTTGATACATGTGCCATTTGGTCACCTAATAATGTATTTAAAAGTGATGATTTTCCAACGTTTGATCTACCTATGAACGCTATTTGTGGGAGTGGCGATGCTGGAAAATCCTCTGATTTGATTGCCATGGTGATGAGCTTTGATTGATGTGAAAAGAAGTAGTCTGCGAATCTAAGTACTTCGGGATCGTATCTCTTTTTGAAATCGATTTGTTCAATTAATTCTCTTGGGATTTTGACAGAGGATATCTCTTCTGTGCCTTGTTCGATCATCAGTCGTTTCATCTGTGCTTCAAACTCTATATCGTTCTTTGTGGAATTCTCATCAACAAAGTATTGTGTATTCATGATCTTCTCTACATCGATCTCCTTCTTCTCTACCTCTCTCTTTTTCTTTTGTTGTCGTTGACTCTCTATCATCTCTGACTGTGTCAACTTTATATATGAATCCTTCATTAGCTTTTTCTTCTTTAGATCGGTGTTCACCACTTGAAAATGTGATAAACTTGAACTAAAATAAAAACATTTTCTAATTGAATCACCAACCACTCTACTACTATTAAAACTATTTGATACCAACTTTAACATATTTATCTAAATTATATACAATGAAAGAGAAATTACTAATATCACGTGAAACAAGTGTTGATTCGTTTTTGCAAAATTAATTTAAAAAAAAAATGAAAAACGAATGATTCGTTTTCCCTAATTATTATTAGCAATTTTGATTATTTATTTGGATTGTATCATTAATATATTATAGATATGGCAAGAAGAGATAAGACTAAGGAAGAGGAAATCGATGAAGATGAAATCGAAGAACAAGTTGAAGATGAAGAAGAAGATGATGATGTAGATGGTGATGAAGAAGGTGAAGAGGAAGATGAAGAGGGTGAAGATGAAGATGGTGGTAGTGAATATGAAACCTATAATACTGAAGATGAAGAAGTAGGTTATAATAGATTTATTTAATAATAGTGTGATAATTATTAATATTATAATCAGTTGTATGAAGGTGAAGAGAATGAAGATGGTGATAGACATGGTCATGGAACATTATATACAGCAGATGGATTCATTATGGAGGGTGAATGGGTCAATGGAACACTCAATGGACCTGGTTCTTTAATTTTCGATGATATTTTAATTAAAGGTACCTACGTAGATGGTGAATTCGAAGGACAGTGCACAGAATACACACTTGAGAAAGTACGTACTTTTGAAGGTCAATATAAAGCTGGTGAAAGACACGGACCTGGTATACTTTATAATATTGTAGGTCGAATCAATAATTACTTAACATATATTATTTGATTTTAGGCGAAAACTAACTTAAAATTATTAAAAAAAAATATTATAAAGGATGGAAGTAGAATTGAAGGAACTTGGAAAAATAGTATATTATGTGGAGAATGTTGTTTCTATTATCCAGATGACAGATTCTTTATTAAGGGAACATGGAAGAAAGGTGAATTTGTAAAGGGAACTGTTTCAGTTTCAGATAGCAAAGCGTTGGATTTGAAATCATTGGTATCGACTACACAGTTGAAGCGTGACGAATCCGACTCCAAAAAGATATCGAGCAACCCAATGCTACCGGATGCATTCGAACAGTACTATTGCTACGTCAAGAAGTCAGAGATACCGAATAGCGGTGAAGGACTGTTTGCCGCTGTCGACATTCCAGCCGATCGACTTGTTTCCTACTACAATGGTTTGCGTATTGATCCAAAGTTGGCGGACGATCGTGATTGGTCGTTCAACTCCAACACGATGTATCTCGACAAGGAGACCTACATCGACATTCCACCAGAGTGGTCGAGCACCTCGAAGTACTGTGCATCACTCGGACACAAGGCCAATCACTCAAAGAACAACAACACAGTATACCGACCATGTTATCACCCACGTTTCGGTGACATCAAGTGTATCCGATCGATTAAACCAATCGCCAAAGATCAAGAGATTCTCGTAGACTATGACTACGAAGAGAAAGACAAACCACAATGGTACATAGATTTAGAGAAACAAGCTGCCGTTGCAACTGATGTCAACAAAAACACAACAAACAGTAACGGAAATGGTAACAAAAAATTGAAAACAAAAAATTAAACTTTAAATAATATTATTTAACTAGACTCTAATTTATTTCCAACCAATGACTATTTAATCTTGAATAATCCAAAATTATTCTTGGCACCCTTACAGCTATTTTTCAATCAAATTTCTTTAAAAGGTTACTTTTTTTTTGTGTGTTTAAAATTTGGTCGTGTGCTCTTTTTTTTTTTTTAGGCATTCAACTTGCCTTTTTTGATTAGTTTGTTATAAGATAGATAGATAATGAATAATAATAAGAACAATACTATTAATGAAAATAATAATTTGAACAGAAAGTTAGAAGATTGGACATTTGAAAGTTTATTTCAATTGACAAAGAGAGATGTTCAGTCGTTATGTAGGAAATATGAGGTTGAATATGGATTCTCTCATAGTAAACAAAAGATGATTGACTCTCTTCTATTGAGAAAACAATCAAAGATTGAGTATAAATATACACCCGTAACGAATAGCAGTGAGAATTACAGTCTTCCTCATGTCATACTCAAAGATATCCTAATGATGTCTCACAGACAGTACACAATTAGCTGCCACTCCACTCTATTGTCTGGTTGTCTCATTTCGAGCAACCATTACCTTCGCTGGAATTCCATTCTCACCATTGCTTTGCTTTCAAAGAGCATGTATCACTGGATTCAAAACACTATTCTTGCCAACAATCCGATTCATTTCGACTCTAGGGATTCACCTCGTCTCCACCAGCGAAGTCATCACTGTGAGTACTCACTGATTGCCTACCAATCGATAAAGAAGCTTGCCTTTAGAGGCACTGCTTCCTTCCTTGCCAAGACACCGCCAATGCCCAGTCTCGTAGAGCTGTATGCGCGCAACATTGATTGTTGGGGTAAGTCGTTCGTTCACCAAGCGTTCTCGGTAATGGTGAATCTCCGTCGTATCACAATAAGCTACGGTCCGCTCAGTTCAGAGCTCGTCAATGAAATGGCGAAACTCCCACTCGTAAAACTCAGTCTCAATCACGTAAAAGTAACACCGTACGTAACATCGGTGCAGATCTCACGTTACCTCAAACGAGAGCAAAACAAGCTGATCTCACTCAAGCTTCCAAAAGAGGTATATGTCAACAGTCAAACACTGGAACTACTCAGATTCAAATCGAATCTAAAGAGATTGAAACTTACACTTGACAATGACTTGACCACAATTTCAAAAGATAAAAATGAGAAAGCTAAAGCTGATGATGATGATGTTGATGTTGATGGTGATGCTGTTGATGATAATGTGGAATCAACTCATGAGCAAATGCAACTGGATAAGATCACATTGGAGAATAGATATAAAATGTATCCCAATTGGAGGGTTTTGTTACTTTGGCGTTGCCAAGCTTGGTTTAAACAACAGTTGATCGATGGTATCAGCAATATGACACTGAACATCTGGAGTAAAGAGGCACTCTCGTGCTTCATCAGTGTATTTAGCGACAGATACAATGGTGGTGTAGTTGTCAGACATCCACTGGTGCATCTGAAGCTAAGATTCTGTCAGTTTAATGTCCCAACCGACCAAGAGCTACTTAGTGTATCAAACATTCATTCTCTGGAGACTCTGGTATTAGTAACAAAGCATTCGCAATGGGAAGATAGCTTTCCATCGAAATTGGAGAATGGCACTCGGTGTTTCTCTCTCATAAAAGAACAGCAAGAGCAACTCATTTCATATTTTGACAAAAAAGATGAAACAACAACTAAACTACCAAATAGATTTAACAAGTTAATTTTTCACAGACACAAACAACATTGAATAAAAATAAATAAAAATGACCAAAAAAAAAAAAAAAAAAAACTTTAAAAACAAACTTTTGGCCAGGTGAAATGGTGTCATTTGATTTATCTTTTTTTTTTTTTTAAAAACTTGACTGTGTGTATATATATTTATTTCATTGTTTGTATTTATATTATTGATATTTTTTTGTTGTATTATATTATATTATTTTTTTTAAAGTTATTATTATTATTTTAAACATTATTACTGTAGATAGATATTATTAGATAAAGAATGACAAGTATATTCAGTATATTTTCAAATAAAAAGAAAAAAGAAGATGAATTACACTCTAGTACTGGTATTGGAATACCAAATCCACTCTCATCATCTAGCTCCTCTATATCATCGACTGGTTCACAACAAGAAATAACATTGAACGAAATACAGATATTACAAGCACATACTGACTCTGTAAAGATTCTATTGAAAATCGATGATAAAAGGTTAGTTAGTTAGTAATTAATTAAAAGTCAATCAATCGACAAGTTCTGATCAAATAGAATCTAATTATTATCATTTATATCTTATTTGCTATAACAGACTTGTATCAGCAGGAGATGATTCAACAATTTATATTTGGTCGATTGAAACAGGGCATATTATGTACAGATTGTTAGGACACACCAGTAGAGTCAATTGTTTACTTCAACTGAATAAGAATATTTTGATATCGGGTTCGATGGACAAGACCATCAGAATGTGGGATCTAACCAAACTGAAATTCAACGAAGAATCGAAACTCTACTATATAGAACCGATATTAACATTGGAACCAAGAACAGAACAAAGAACCAGTGGTGAAACCAAAGTAAATACAACAGTATGTAATCTTTCTATTCAAATTTCAATCCAATATAAACAAACTAATCGATAGAATAACTATATACTCTTTTAGTTTTTAGAGAAAATTCCAGGTGGATTCTGTTCTGCTTCAAGAGGTGGTGATTTATTTCTTTGGACAGAGAATGGTGAATTAATTAGAAAAGTTGAACTTTGTAATGATTGTATGTTTAAAAAAACAAATATAATTAGAAGATATAGATATTTAGATAATTGTTGTTGTTTTAACATATGTTTATTATTATTATTATAATTAGATATAAATGCAATATTATGTGTAAATGGATATATTTTAACGGCTTTATCAACAAGTCCGTATTTGGCAGCCTATAAATTGGACAAGTCGGAACCGGCGGTCAATCTACGTGGCCACGAAGGTCATGTCAATTGTTTGATGAGTATGAGCGATCGACATTTCGTGAGTGGTTCAAGACCGAATGAGAACACCGAAAAGTCAACAAAGGAATCACCGAAACCGCGATTCCTCAGTAGCAAAGTGTCACACCAAGACAAGACACTGATCATTTGGAACAAATCAGATTTCTCACAGGTTGCATCGATCTGTGATCAAACCATTAGCTATCTCTTCCCGATCACCGAACACTACTTCCTTGCAACCGTATTCAAAGGATTCTCGATCTACGACATCAACGGTCAACTCATACTCGAACAGAAACCAGAGATACCAGAGAATGAAACTGAACTTAAAGGTGCAATTTCTCTTTATGATAAGTAAGTTATTATTATTATTATTATTATTACATATATCTATCTACAAAAGATTATTAATATTGTTTGTTTTGCTTTGTTTTGCTTTGTTTTTTTCTTAACAGTACAAAGATTATAACATGGTCAGATCTAAGGTTGAAAATGTGGTCTTGGAATATTGGACAGATCGAAACGAAAAAGAAAAGTATTCTTAAACCTTTGTTTATAGGTGAGATAAGGGGTCATACTGATTATATAAATTGTCTGACGGTGCTTGACGATCATGCGATAGCAACAGGCAGCTCCGACCACGATATCATCCTGTGGAAGGACGGAAAAGACCAAACTGCAATCAGAAATCACTTGGCAGGCGTTTCACTCTACAATTTTCAAAACACATTCTTGCTTGATCAAAACTATTATGACGATATAGATCATCAACAACATCTACATCAACCATCTAAACTACAAGAATTTAAATATGAAGACAGAGAAGAGATATTAAATTAAAACTAATAAAATAATATAAAAAAACAAAACAAAAAACAAAACAACTAATATTTAATTAATAATAACAATTGATAAATCAAAATCAATTACCATTTTAATCGTTTTATTAAAATATCTATCAAATTTAACCAAACACACACATGTCAATAGTAATAAATTATTGTTGAAAAATTTGACAATTATTGCTTTTTTTTTTTAAAGATTTTCAAATTCTGTGTCACAGACAACCAATTCGACAAAAAATCTTTTTTCAATTTTTTTGCAAAAGGTTGGTTGTGTGTACCCAGTTTTATCATGAAAGTCAGTTCCAAAAAAACAAACAAAAGTTGTCAATAAAAAGCAAGTGTAGGGATTTTTTTTTTTTAATATTGGATAGGATTAGAGAATTAGATTAAGATAGATAATTAATAAAATAAACAGATAACTTAAAAAACCTATAACTCTTAAAAAAAAAAAAAAAAGGTCAATTAAATCTAACAATCTATTCAACTCAACTCAACCAAATCAAATCAACTGATACATTAATACTATATAGTCAATTAAGTTTATTTTTAGATTTATAAACTTTTTTATATATAAATATATTTTAATAGAGAAATCATTCATTCCATTGTATAACAACCAACATCTAAATCAATAAGAATTCATCTTAAGAAAAAATCAAAATCAAAATCAAACAAGGTTAGTTGACTCAATCAAAAAAAAAACAAAACACAAAATTAGATCGCAATAATATCAAAAAAAAAAAATTTGAACCGATCTTTCAATTCCATTACATATCTTTTTAAATGGTTGATCCAATAACAATAACACAAGCCGACTATATTCATTGTGTCATAATTAATTAATCAATCTTTACTTTTTGTGTCATGTCTTGTATTGTATTGTCTCGGTTGTTTATTTGTTAGTTGCTTCAATGATGGGATAAAATTATTCATTGCTCTAATTATCGATCTGTGCGCAATTCTTATCATCGGGTAACAACGAGCTCGTTTAGGATGGAGGTTTTTTGTTTTTTTTAAAAAAAAAATAACTATTATAAATGTGGTGCTGTTTCATTAATATTAACAACAAGTTTTTATGTTTTTTTTTAATATTTTTTTTTTTACTGTTTACAACTAAAATAAATTATAATAAATAGTTTATCTATTTTTTTTATTTTATTTTTTTGCCATTAATAAAAAACACAAAATAAAAGTAAAAATTTTTTTTTGTTAACAAAATTAAAACACCATAAATCATCATCGTCCATCAAACAACAGCAATGATTGATATAAGTAAATATATGTGCAAATTGACAAAAGAAAAAAAATAGAGAATTTTTATTTTATTTTTCATTTTTTTTAAATCAAAAATCAAAACCAACACAATTTCCAAGAGTTTTTTTTTTTTTTTTGATTTGATTGATTTTTTTGTTTTTTCATCACCTTTTTTGTTTTTTTTTTATAACTGCTGCTACATATGTAGTAATAATCAAATAATTATACAACAATTATATATATTTTATTTATTTATTTTTAAATCAAAACAAAAAAAAAACATATTTGTATTAATTTACTTTTTTTTTTTTTTTTTTTATAAATATTCAATTCAATTCAGATTAGTGATCAAACTTTAGGTTTATTTAGATAGATAGGATAGATAATTCATAAATCAGTTCGACAAGCAAAACAAACTGTAACAACTAAAAGTGATAACAATAATAATATAATAATAATAATAACCAACATTAGTAGTTAATAACAAAATTTTTTGCCAAGTCAAAAAAAAAAAAAACAAAAAAAAAAACAATTAATCAAATATAGTTGAAAAAAACTAAAAGGAAAAAGATATTATAGTGAGTGAGTGATTATATCTATAGATATAAAAAAATAAGAAATTAATAATTACCATTTAATTTCGGTTTTTTTTATATTTTGATTGATAGATATACTCTTTTTCTTTTCTTTTCTTTTTTTTTTTTTTTTGTTTTTATAAACTTAATATAATAACAATAAAATAAGTAATAATAGTAGTAAAGTTTAGTTAGATATATATATATACATATAATATAGTAGTAAAATAAATGGATATTTTAAATGGTAGTGGGAGTGGTGCAGCTGGTGGAGCACCGGGAATCAGTGGTAGTGGCGGTGCCAATGGCGGTGGAGTCAACGGCGGTGGCGGTCACAGTGGGATGCTCGAGATCATCACGGTCGATGTGATCGGTGCCGAGAAGGAGATGTTGATCAACAATCTCAATAGTATATCGCGTGTCATAAAGATCATCCAGTCGCAATACAAGATTCTCTTTAACGACCCCGATTCCGGTGACAGCAAGATGATGGCTGGAACCACCGATTCCGACGACGATCTTGGTGACGACCTCGAAGCAGAGGACGACAACCTCGATCCGCCAGCACCAGAAGCCATTTGTAATATTTATTGTTTCGACACAAAACACAGACAATCACTCGATGACCTCAGAAAGGTCGTAGCCAATCTCACCAACAACAACCCATTAACTTCTTCACAAATTCAATCGGATAATTCAAATCAAATTGTAAGTCTTTTTTAAAAAAAAAAAATATTGAACATTTTTTTTTGTTTTCCATTATTCTAACATTTTAGATATATTATAATAATTATAATAATAATATATATATATAGCCATCAATTATAGTTGGATTGAATGTAGGTCCAGGTGTAAGTTATGTAAAAGATTTAAGATTAGTACAAGCAAAGTGGCCATTTATCGAGTGGAAATCATCTGACAGTGCATTAGAAGTTTTCGAACACGTAGTGGAAGCTGTCTCGAGATTAAAGAAACAAATTGCATTGAACGATTCACTCAAGAAGGGTGATGTAGATGCATTGGATTTAGTTATTTTATCAAAAGTATCACATGTATGTAGTAAATGATTATTATTATTATTATAATAATAGCTGTGTTAGTTATAGAATCAAAAACTTTATTTATTTACATTTTTATTATTTCTTATTTTCCATCCACTTTTTTTTTTTTTTTTTTTTCCTTCCTTTTTATTATTATTTTTTCACTATAGGAACAATTGGCAGAAGCACATAAAGCAGGACATGCAATTGTTTTCGATTCATTGTTGGCACATAATAGTAATGCGCTGGTGGTGACTGCGACGATGGCGTTGTTGGGCGCGGTTGTAGAGACCAACGAACAAAAGAAACAAAAGAGATTGTCGTTGACAAAGTCGGGATTGACTCGTTTCCCAATGTCGGTGACTCAGATGTGTAAGCATTTGGTCGAGTTGGATCTGAGTGACAATAGAATTACAGAGTTGCCTTCCGATATTCAGGAACTCAAGAATCTTAGAATTCTGATATTGCGTGACAACCGTTTGGAGACGATTCCACTCGAGGTGTGTCATCTCAAGGACTTGAAGATTTTGGAACTTCAGAACAATCCACTCTCCGATTTCCCTCCCTCGGTGATTGCCAGCGGCACCAAGAATCTGTTGTCGTTCTGTAAGAATATTTTAGAGGGACAACACAATGAGACCTGGAAGAAGGTGAAACTCATGTTTGTGGGTCAAGAGGGTGTCGGAAAGACAAGTTTGTTGCAGGCATTGACTGGCTCCAAGAAGAAAAAGGGTGAGCTGCAAGTCACTGGTGACACCATCTCGACAGAGGGTGTCAAGATCCAGACCGTCAAGGGTAAGAAGATCGATTTTTCAGCGTGGGACTTTGGTGGACAACAAGTTTTCTATCCAACACATCAGTTCTTCTTGACATCGAGAGCACTCTATCTCGTTGTTTTCAAGCTGACCGACTCGAATTGGGCAGAGCGTGTCGAGTATTGGATTCGTCAGATCAAGTCGATTTGCGAGGGTGGTATCAAACCAGCACTCTTCTTTGTTGGTACTCACATCGATGTTTGCACACCTGAGCAACTCTCCGAAGTGGAAATGATCATTAAGAAATCGTTTTTAGTTCACACACGTGTAAAGGAGCCAGTTTGTTTCGTCAGTTGCTCCACTGGCAAGGGTGTAAAGGATCTCAAGAAGAAGTTGACAACCGAAGCTGAAAAGGCAGGACTCATCAAGAAGGATATTCCAGGTACTTATATTCTTCTCGAGCATCGTCTCACCAAGCGTGGTGCCAACCCAGGCAAGATGTTGGCTCCAACGACCTCGTCGGCATCGCTCACAATGTCAGGTAGTGGTGTATCGGTAAAGGACCGTTACATCGAGTGGGAAGACTACTCGAACGAAGCGAGATTGGCACACATGAAAGTGCCCGAGGAGTTGGAAGCAGCCACTGCATTCCTCCACAATCTGGGTATCGTTCTTCACTACAACACACCGTCACTCAAGAATTTGGTGGTTCTCGATCCACAATGGCTGGCCGATGTCATGTCCAGTTTAATTACATTCTCTCACAACTGGATCAAGCGTGGTATTCTCGTACACAACGACCTCTTCCAGGTGTGGGGTGGTCGTTACGACGCGTCACTCTGGCCAACCTTGTTGAAGATCCTCGAAAAGTTTGAGGTAGCCTACGAGCTGCCAGGAAAGAGCGATGCAGAAGGCAAGTCGCTGTTGCCTTCGTTGTTGCCAGAGGATCCAGATGGTGAGATCGCGCGTATTCTCGAGCAAGAATGGACACCGACTGCCAAGCTCGTCGAATCGAAACAACCTGTGCACTTCTTTGGTTGCGATTACAACTTTGAGTTTATGCCACTTGGTTTCTTCTCGCGTCTACTTCTCCGTGTTCTCCATATCTCTGGTATCGATATCAAGACGTACTGGCGTAACGGTGTGTTACTGGACATTATTGGATCGTCACAGAAACAACAGGCTTTGATTGCCTTTAAGAAACGTACAAACTTTGGATCTAAAGATGCCTACAAGTTGACGATTGAAGTGCGCACATTCAACAATGGAAAGAAGGAAGACGATTCCAATGCAGCACAATTCTTACAGCAACTTGTATTCACTGTCGATTCGTTGCTCAACAACTTTTATTTGAATTTGCCAAACATCCAACGTCTCATTCCATGTAACCATTGTATCTGTTTGAATCCAACTCAAGAGCCATTCTACTTTGAATTCAGTAGCTGTATTACTGCACTCCAAGAAGGAAAACCGTTCCTCTACTGCCGAAACGACCCGAATATTCCAGTGCGTGTCGACTATGTCGCACCAGACTTGGTCGCCAACAAGGTGCCAACTTTGAAGGATACCGACGTCGAATATGAGAAGCAAATCGGTAAGGGTGCTTTCGGTCTCGTTCACAAGGGTAAGCTCAAGAGTGGTCAGGTCGTGGCCATCAAGTCGCTCTTGAATCAAGAGGGACAAGAGACAGAGGAGATGATCGAGAAATTCCAAGAGTTCCAACGTGAAGTTTTCATTATGAGTGGAATGAACCACCCGAATTTGGTGCGTCTCCACGGTTTGATGTTCAATCCACCGAGAATGGTTATGGAGTTTGTTCCACTCGGTGATCTCTATAAGCGTTTGCGTTGTGGCGAGACCATGTCCTGGGGATTCAAGACTCGTTTGATGCTCGACATTGCCAAGGGTCTCGAATATATGCAGTCACTCTCACCACCCATTGTACATCGTGATTTGCGTTCTCCAAACATTTTCATTTCATCGCTTCACGAAGATGCAGCGGTGTGCGCCAAGATTGCAGATTTCGGTTTGTCACAACAGTCCGTACCATCTGTTTCCGGTCTCCTAAAGTCAATCCATTGGATGGCGCCAGAAACCATTGGTGCCGAACAGGAAAACTACACAGAGAAAGCCGATACCTATTCGTTTGCCATGATTCTCTATGAGATTCTCTCTGGAAAGGTTCCATTCGAAGAGTACACATTGAAGGAGCGTCAGTTTATCACAGCGATTCGTGAGCAGAATCTCCGTCCAACCCTGCCAGAGGACACTCCTGCCAAGCTGCGAAACGTCATTGAGCAATGCTGGAGTGGCGATCCCAAGCGACGTCCAAACTTTGCTTATGTAGTCCGTGAGATTGAGGAGTTGAGAGGTGGCATCACCACAACCACAACTTCAGTGTCCGTCTCAACTGGCGTTGCTAGCCAATCGGCAACTTCCACCACTACAACTACCACATCCACAGAGAGTGGATCGATTATGAACGAAGCTCCAGCTTCGCCATCGATGTCGTCTTCCACCCACAAAATGGTGGAGTCGCCACTCACCAACACTTCGCTCACCGACATGCCATCGTACCGCTCACTAAACTCGAACAACAACAACAACTTCTCAATGCCAATTGCCAATCATCCAATTAATTTCATCTCAATGGCATCTGTACATCGTAAATTTGAAGTGTTGGCAGCAACTGAAGCTGGCGAGTACGTCTGGACCAAGACCAACGACCACCACATGTGCTTCTGGACAAGCAAGAAAGGATCGCTCTATCGTGAGAGCAAATGTAAACACCAGAACATCACTGTTTGCATGACTAAAGTTGGCAGCTGTATTTGGGAGGCAACTCGATCCAACACCATTCATATCTGGGACATTGGAAGCATGGATATTATCCGCGAGCTCAACTACCCACACGCTTCAACCATTGTCTCGATGTGCTACGCCGCTGGCGAGTCAACATTGCTGTACTGCGGTGACTCTGCCGGTAAAATAACGGTATGGGATCCTAAGACTTTTGAACTCAAGGATACCGTACAGATCGAGGGTGGCGGCAGCATCACCGGTCTCTCACTGTCACAGTCGACGCTATATATCACCAATCAACAACAAATCTATTTATGTAAAACAAAGAACCTTCAAATTCACACATCACCCGCCTGGAAACACTCGAACGCCACCATACACAGTATTCTCGCGCTGAAAGACGAACTGTGGACGGGCGGCTCCGACGGCAAAATATACATCTGGAAGCTCAAGAACGAAACGGAAATTTCCAACCAAACCAAATTCGACGCACACAAGGACGTCGTCACCGCACTGATTCAGATGGACGACACCGTACTGTCGAGTTCACTAGACAAATCACTGACATCCTATAAACAATCGAACCCGAAATTCAACTTTTCATCACTGGATCACCACAAACAGGGAATCAAAACGATTGTTAAAGTTCATCAAAATATTGTTTGGACTATTTGTAACGATAGCACATCACCACTTTTACTTTGGAACATTCCATCGAAATGGGAGAAAAAGACACCTTCAACTCTATCATCAATGAGATTAAAATTATTCCGTTAATTTAAATTAATAAAACAACAATAATATATTATTTCAAAATTTAACAATAATAATAGTTGAATTCAAATTTATTACTCAGTTTCAATCCGATCTGGTAAGATACTATACATCTCACAAACATTAGAATATTCGAATAAAAGAAAGTTATGGTGTTGCGAAAGAAACAACGACTGTTTGTCCAAAAAATATGAATATAAAATCAATCAATTTAATAATACTTTAGTATAATTTATTTTATTTTTTGAAAAGATTTCGAACAAATCTGATATTGGTTGATTAACAAGTCAGCAACAATTTGTTCAAAAATATTTAATTAATAAAATTAAATCGACAAATCGATTAAAAATAATAATAATAATAATAATTATAACAATAAAGTTAGATATATAATATAGACTTCACAATAACTACTATTATTACTACTTTGTTGTCAAAAAAAAAAAAAGGAATAAAGAAAAGAGAGTAAAAAGAAATAGAAAGTAAAGAAAATGGATAATTTTAAAGGTAGTGGTGGATATAGTAGTAGTAGTAATAATAATAGATATAGCGCAGGATATAGTAGTGGAATCAATAGTAGTACGGGTATAAGTGGAAGTACAGGTATTGGTAGTAGTACCGGTAGTCTTAGTCCAGTAACACAACACTCGTCACCGTCATTACAACCTTCACACGATGGTCTACTGAATGAAGATAAGATCACTAGAGTACTAAATAAGATACCTGATCAGTATCATCGTACGGATTTCGGTGCTAGAAAGGTTGCACTTGACTATATGAGATCTACCAACAGAAAAGATCTATTGGATCAAGTCGAGAAATGGTTAGATGATCTTAATGAGGTCACTGATGAAGTCGTTGATGGTAAATATCAAACAATATTACCCTACTCTACTCTGTGATTAATATTAACAAATCATTATTATTATTATTATTATTATTATTATCTATAGTTTACTTTCAAGGATTTAACAAATCTATTCACAACTACAGTAGAATTCTTCAATTTATGGGTGATTCACATTCCAATGCATTGTCGATGAGTAAAGAGGTGGAGGAAGTAAACAAATTGATCTACTTTAACAATGCTAACATCGGTAGACTATGGAGAAGAAATCTAGAGTATTATTATCAAATAAAGATATTGGAAAAGATGTAAGTGTTTGCGATTATTATAAATATTCAATTTGATTGTCTGTTTGTACTAATTTAACAATTTGTTGTGTTTTTATTTAGGGAGGAATTAAAGAAAGTACCTACATTATTGGATCAATATTTAAAGAATAATCATTTTGTACATGCATCTAATCTATTGGTTAATTCGACACAGGCATTGAGTGAGCGAGATCTAGTCAATATCAATGCACTCTCTGACCTGAAGCAGTATCTCAATGAGAAGAAAGAGGCTTTCAACGATATGATCGTCGATAGATTGAACGACCACATCTATCAAAAGTCACTTCAATCATCTGATTCATCTATTGATGATGACGAATTAGATTTCAAATCAATGTTTAAGAAAGCAACTACAACAACAACAACAACCACTAATAATAAAGATAAAGATAAGAATAATGATAAGAATAGTAATAGTAATAACAAGAGTAGCAATACATTAAATAAGAATATGGTAATCAATAATAATAATAATAATAATAATAACAATACGAATTTTAGTAGTCATAGAAATAGAGATAAACAAGATGATCAACCATTGGAGTTGGAAGAACAATCAAAGGCATCCAATTCAATAGAGGATCTAACTATCAATCCAGAATCAAACAATAAACTCTTTATGAATCTAATGGTAGAGTCACTCAGTGTACTGCAATACATCGATCCCGCTGTCGGTCTAATTCTTGGTAAAATATCAATTGAATTGAAATCTATTATTACCAATTGTTCATCTTTAATTACTCAATTGTAAGTATACACATATTATTAATATAGTGACTAGAGACATCTACTGACTAACTAATAACATTATAATGTTATAACTAGGTATCAAGCAGAAGGTAGAACAATTGCCAAGATACCTGGTGAAGCAACAACAGATGATCATCAACAAAACTTTATATTCTTGAATGATTCATTCAATCGAAATGAATTGCTATCTAATAACACTCTGAATATACCGCTTGTCGACTTGATGAATGCTATCTTTAAGAAGGTGTTGGTTGTATTTAAGAATCATATGACATTGTCTATCATTGTCAATGACTCGCTGAAGAAGCGTGATGCCAAACGTCGTCGTGAGAGAATAGGTGAGCATCTTCATTTGGACGATTCACTCGATGGCACCAATAATGGTGACAACAATAGCACCTCAGACACCGACTCTGTCTCACTGAACGGCAGCGGTCTCAAGTCAAACGGTTACATCTACAGCGACAGCGATCTCTACTCACTTCCACTGGTCTGGGAGATCATTCAAAAAGAGATAAGAGAGATGCTTAGAATACATTTACACGATACCTCGAGTTTGCTGATGAGCAGTAACCTGGCAACTAGCCACAACAATCACGACAGCAACGGTAACAACAAGTCTGCCAGTAGATTGTTTAGTTTCTCAAATTCCATTATCACTGAGAATTGGAATGGTAGTGCAAGTCCGTCAATTACATCGCCCAATGTAAATGGGGGTGGTGGCGGCGGTGCTGTTGGTGGTTCGCTGACTGGCGCGCTCAGTGGAAGTACCGGAATGACACAAGGTGGAATCAGCATATTCAAAGCATCGCAATACAATGTCACACCGATTTACCCATTGATTACAAAGTTTACCGATCAAATCGACTCGCTTCTCAGTGGAAAGAAAGACAGTGATAAAGTAACGACTACCGCACAACAACTCTTTGGATCTAGAGATACCAACGATACCAATCCACCACGTGGTCTACTAAGATTGTATATCGATGATTTCGTACACCGTAACTTCCTTCAACATATCAAATCCGATTACAAAGAGCGTATAACAGCTGCTATTGAAGGTCCAGATGCATTCAAACCATTAGAGAGATATAGATTAGTCTATAGATTAAGAGATACTAAACCTGTATTAAATGTATGTAAAATAAGAAGAGAGATAAGATTTGATTGATTGATTAATTATATTATATTATATATATAGAGTACATTACAAATATTCCAATTTATAACAGAGTTATTCTCTGATATCGCAGCGATGAATCACTACTCTGAGGAATTCGGTGCAATCATTCAAACTTCGCTACTTAGATACTATGAAAAGTGTTTGTCGAAATTCAACCAAGAGGTAGAACCAACTGTAACCGGTGCGTTGTTGAATACCGATCTCTACAAGCATGTTTTGCACTCGTTGGATTCAAAGAGACACGATGTCGCTGACTTTAAGGATACTCGTGAGGAGGAATACGAGTTCAAGACTGAAGCCGATCTCTTTTCAGTGCCAGAGAAGCCAATATTTAAGAACCAACTGATATTGGACTTGGAAAAGTTAACAATGATTGCCAATCTCTATCACAGTCTTGAATGGCTATCACACAAAGTAAACAGCTTATTCTCATTGTCCAATCAACCACCTGCATCATCCTCTACATCATCCTCCGTACCAGAAACACCTTCCAAATCTAAACCACTCAAAACACCCAAAGCCTTGAATCAAAAGTAAGTAGAAATCTAACAATCGATAACAGCATCAAAAAAATAAGTTAAGCTAACTGTTTTTTTTTTTTAGGAATCAAATTACACCTGAATTAACAGAGGTTTTGAAATCAATGGAGATATCAATTAAAGATATCACGATGAGATTCAGAGAGTTGGCCAAACGTTGTTTGATTACCTTGAGAATAGAATATAGAATACATTGTTTCTATTTCTTTGAAGGTTTCAAAAAAGCATCGTATGTGGTCGAAGAGGAGAGAACCGACCCCGATCAGTTCATTGTCGAACTCAATAAGGATCTCTCGCTGAATGAAGAGACAATGTCGACCTATCTCACAAGCGATAAGTGTCAGTTCTTGTTTGGTGGTATTGCCAAGTTGATTGGAAAGCTCCTGATCAACAAGATGGTTCATATCAAACAGATCAACAGTAACGGTGTCGCCAAGCTCTGTAAGAACGTCTATACTCTCCAACAGAACCTCACCAACATTATTGTGAAGCGTGAGATATTCTTTGATCGTATCAGACAGTTCTATCAGTCACTCTCGAACGAAGATGAAATTCTTCAATACCTGCTCGACAAGATGGTTACACCATACTTCTCGCTGGAGGAAGCAAGAATCATCCTTGACTTTTTACAAGTTACCAAGAGAATTTCATCCAACGCTTTGCAAACACTCGACGCAAAGTACAAAAACATGTTGTAATAAAATAAAAAAACAAACACATAACAATACAATCAATTACAAAGTCAGGATGTTTGTTGTTTTTCAATTTTTTATTTTTATTAGTATGCTTGATAAAAATAAAAATAAATATGTATTGGTATGAGAGTGGTTTGTTTTGATGATCACCAGAAAAGGGGGTGTGAGATCATTGTTATTGGTGTAGTATATATGTGTATGCTGTTTTATAAATTTTCTTTCATGTGTGTGTGATCCCACACCTCGAAATTATAGCTGATCAATCATTTTGTGTTAATTTTTTATGTTCCAATATGTATCTTTACTATGTAGTGTGTAAATGTAAATGAATTTATACAAGTATGAATAAAACAAAACAGTCAACACTATTCAATGTTTGAATTCGACTACATCCAATATGTAGAAAAAATTGTATTTGTATTGATTGATGTGTTAAAAAATGCTGTTGATTGGGATTCAGTATATAGAAGAACAGTGATTAAATAAAGAGTTTAATAACAATTAAATAATTATAATCATTTTTTTATAAAACAATTGTAATAAAAAAAATAAAGCTATTTATTTCATTTTTCTATCTTTCAATATTTCTATCTAATTTAAAACCAATATCAAATATTTTTGTATTTATCTTCATGAAGATAGTTTTTCACAGTTAAAAAAGATTCTATAAATGAAATTAGTTATAAAGTTACTACTATTGCTTTGTGCAATAAACTTAATATGTATGAAAGATAATTAATATTTTTATTTAATTTAAAAATTATATTAATATTTGTTTAAAAGTTGGAGAAATTAATGATAATATAAATAATAGCTCAAGTTCAGATGATATTGAAAGTTTAGATGATTCTACAACCTTTAGTAATTCAGATTCACTAGATAGCGATAGTTTCTCTACTGATTCTACTGTACCAGAAGATGATAATAAATTATTTATTGATTTTAAAAATGGAAACGATAATTGGTCTGGAAATATGGTAATTATTAATTTTAAACAAATATTTTAAGGATATCCTAAATAGTTATTAAAAAAATTTTTAAAAGACACATCCATTAAAAGAATTTTGGAGAGGATATGAAATTGCTATTGATAGAAAAAAGAGTTCTATATATTTAGCCAAAGGTGAATATAAATGTAAAACCATTCAACTGGTTAGTGGAATATCTATTTATGGAGGATACAATGGTGCTCCAGAATGGACAAGACCAATAATGAAACAACCATACCAATCGAAAACAAAAATTTCAACTGTTGATAAATTGGTTTTCAATGCAACCAACATCACAGAGGAAACTATTCTTTCACATTTAACTATAGTTGCTCCTAATGGTTCACAAGGTAAGTGAATAGATAAATAAAATCTTGAATTTATAAAAAAAAAAATACTAAAGCTGTATTTTTCAATTTATAAAAATAGGTTCATCATCTTATGGCATGATAATAAGTAAGTCAAAGAATATATACTTAAAGTTTATGAGTATATTAACTGGAGATGGTGATACACCGAAGCAACAAACTTCCTGGGTGAGAAACAATATTTTCAATGGAAGAGATGGTAACGATGGTGGTAAATCGTGTGGAATTAATATGGATAACGAGTGTGAATCATGTAGACAGCCAAAGATAGGATTGGGCGGACGTACTATGTGTTCGGATGGTGTGGTTACACAGGGTGGTGATGGTGGTGCTCCTGGATATGGAAATAAATATGGACTCGATGGAACTCCTTCCAACATGACTGGTGGAGGAATGGGTGGAAAAGGAACCCAGCCTGGAATTGGAATTATGGTTGTCATGGGTACTGCCAAAGGTTTGGACGGTGAGGATGGAGATAACGGTGTTAGTGCGATTCCCAAGAAATACTATTACGATCAACTTGGTGTACATGGATACATCTCCAATGGAAAGATTGGAAAGCATGGTGGAGGAGGTGGAGGTGGTGGTGGAGGAGGAGGTGGCTTTGGAGAGTGTTCGGAATATGGTGGTGCTGGTGGCGGTGGTGGAGCCGGTGGTTGTGGTGGCAGAGGTGGTAAAGGAGGAATTAGCGGTGGTCACTCAATTGGTATCTACATTTTGGACTCTGACGTCAAAATGGAATACAGCTATATAAAAACCAGAAAAGGTGGTGATGGTGGAAACCCATCGATACCAGAGTTTGGTTATAAAGCTGGAAAGGGTGGTGATGGTAGCTATGTGAAAGGTGGATCGGAATTTGTTAATGCCTCTAACAGTGGTGAAGGCGGTAACGGTGGAAATGGTGGAAATGGTGGAGAAGGTGCACCAGGAAACGGTGGTTTCTCTGTACCTGTGTTGTACTATGGTGTCGAAGTACCGTCTCTTCTCTGCAATATTTTCGAAAAAGATAGTGCTGGTTCGCCTGGAAAAGGAAAGGTATCTGCATACTCTGGTGTTTCGTCCTACTGTTTCAATGCAAGAGAGTCAAAGGATTTCAACTGTGACTTTACTTATAATACTACATTCTGTGATAAATTGCTCGTGGGAAAGACCTGTGAATTTGGAGAGATTCCTGATGAGTGTGGAGTGTGCAATGGAGATGGAGGCAGTTGCAATGGATGTGATGGCATTCCAAACTCTGGAAAAGTATTAGATAAATGTGGTGTGTGTGGAGGTAATGACTCATGTGTTGGATGCGATGGAATACCAAACTCTGGCTCAATCTTTGATAAATGTGGAGTGTGTAATGGTAACAATTCTTGTGTTGGATGTGATGGCATTCCCAACTCTGGAATGAAATACGATCTCTGTGGAGTGTGTGGTGGTAAAAGCAATACTTGTAAAATTGGATGCGATGGTATTCCTTACTCTGGAAAGGTGATCGATGGCTGTGGTGTTTGTGGAGGTGACAATAGCACCTGTAGTTTGGGTTGTGACGGTATTCCATTCTCTGGCAAAGTCGTTGATCGTTGTGGTGTTTGTGGAGGTGCCAATCTATGTGTTGGATGCGATGGAATACCAAACTCTGGAAAGGTGAGAGACAAGTGTGGAGTATGTGATGGTAAGGACGATTGTGTTGGATGCGACGGTGTTATCAACTCTGGATTGGCGATGGATGAATGCGGAGTATGTGGTGGAACCAATAGCACCTGTTTATCAGGCTGCGATAACCAGCCAAATTCACTGCTGGAATTAGACGAGTGTGGAGTGTGTGGTGGAAACAACAGCACTTGTCTATCGGGTTGCGACATGAAACCAAACTCGGAAGCAAAAATCGATGGCTGTGGAGTGTGCGGTGGAAACAACAGCAGCTGCTTGATTGGCTGTGACGGTGTGAAATATTCATATAAGCAATTCGATGACTGTGGAGTGTGTGGTGGTAACGGATCGACGTGCCACAAGCGCAAAGAGGGTCTGAGCGCCATCACCAAGGTAGTGGTGAGTGTGGTAGTCGTCGCACTCTCACTGTATGGCGCGGCATTTGCCTTTATAGTGCTGCGCCGTCGCTTCAAGAAGCAAGGATCGCAATACTACCGAACCAAGTTGATTCTCGAATATCAAGACACTCCATTCATCCAGGCGGAACTCATTAAGAACGACCACCAGAGAAATATGCCAACCGGAAGAAGACCGATTCTGACAGGACTAGGAATTCGAAGAGACTACCGACACCTTCCTGAAGAGATCCCAATGAGCGAAATGAGCTCAATATCGCCACTCTCTTCGAATTCCGCTGAAGTTTTCACATACCCTGGAAACAACAGTCTCAGAAACAGTATCAATCTGAACAACAATTACTACATAGAAAACTCTAGTAATAATAACTACAACAACAATGGTGGCGGTGGTTATGGTAACTTCCAATCCATACAAAACGAATTCAATGATTTCGATCTAGATAATTTCTGATCACATTTATGTTTAAAAATATAAAAATAAATTTTTGTTATAAAATAAAAAAATTCGTCCACTTTTTTTTTTTTTTTTTCAATAAAATTGGTTTTTGCACAACCAAATTCAACGAACTATTGGTATGGTTGTGATTTTTTGATCGCCCTTAAACTTGATCTACCCCACCTTTAAAGTTTTTGCCCGATCTATCGATAAATAATACCACTTTTTTTTTTTTTTTTTTTTTTTGGCCTTTGGGCGAACAATTATATTAAAATAAAATTAATTTAATTTTTTTTTTAGTTTATTTTCTAAATTTTTTATACTTGAAGATAGGGAAATTTTAAAAAAAGAAAAGGTCATATTTATTTGTCATACCATCATAAAATTGGAATTTGATTTTTATATATAAATAATATTAATAATTAATTAATAACATTGAATTATTAATTTAGCCTTTTTTAGTCATTTTTTTCTGTTTCTTATCGATCTACACAACACCAAAAATCACAAATCAATCAACCCTCCCTCATTTTTACATAGATATAAAAACCAAAATTTGCTTTTTCAACCTTTTTTTTATTTTATTTTTAATTTTTATTTATTTTTAAGTTTTTTTTTAAACCCCAACCTCTATCTTCCAGCTGTACATATCATCTTTTAATCTTTCTGCCCTTAATAATAATCAAAATTGACAATAAATTGATCAATAACAAATCATTCACACACAAAATATTTTGTTGACTTTACTATTATTTTTTTCTTTAATTTTCAAAAACTTTATTGTAATATTAGTTTATTTATTATTTGTACTTTTACTTTTAAGTAATCTATAAAAAAAAAAACAAAATACATATCTATATATATCTATATTTATTTATCTATTTATACATCTCTTTGTTTATCAGTTTTTAGTTTTTATTTAAAAATTCATATCACTAATGTTTATCCTTTATCTGTAATTTACTAAAAAAGAAAGAAATCAATCATTCAAGTTTTAAAAAAACAAATATATATAATTTTTATAGAAGCCATTAAAAATATAGAAAATAATTAAAAATAGCCACAACCACACAAAAAATAAAAAAAAGATATATAAATAGAAAAATAATAATAATTTGAAAAATATTGCAACAACACCACCAACAAAACAATACACACTACTAAAAAGTTTGAATAGTTAACAGTAGCAGTAACAATCAATATACAACCACACAGGAGATTGTTCAAATTTAGTAGTGGTAGAATAGTATATTAGTGTGGGAATACAGAGACAAGCTAAACTAAACCATACCGCATACATACAAGAAAAAAAAAAAAAACCATACCATAGTCACAATCACGTACAGACTTTAATCTATATCTTTACTTGACTATTATAGTAGTTACAACAAACAATAACAACAAAACAACTCAACACTTTGTTTAATTCAACATATATAATATACCCTCCACTACACCTTATTTATAATTACCAAATTTATATAAAATTATTGTACAATTGGGTAGAATAAATAAATAAACCAGCCATATAGAACACACACACCACACACAAACACAACTTCACATTAATCATCATCATCAACAACAACACTACCAACAGTTAGTTAGTTTAGTTAGTTAGTGTTAAGATTTAATATACTTAATTATAAATCCAATTATTAATAATAACAATATAATAGTAGTTAAAGGATGGATGTTATATTTCCATCAAATCAATCAGAAGATGTTTCAAAACAACATCAACATCAGCAACAACAAGTAGAACAACAACAAGTAGATCAACATCAACAAGAACAAGTAAATAATTTAATTAGTGGTATAAATATTAATAATAATAGTAATAATAATAATAATATAAATAATAATAATAATAATAGCAATTATAGTAATAATATAAATAGTGGTGTAGATAATAGTTTTCAAGAAGAAGCACAAGAGTCAGATGATATTGATATAGATAGTGGTGATATCGATATTGAAGCAGACGAGAATAACACAAGTAATTGTAGTAGTTTTGAAGATTATGAGGAGGATATCGATGAAGACGACGATTCAACTACAAGCGATATAGAAGACCATCTTTTTATAAATAATAGTAATAATAATAATCTAAATAATAATATCAAAAGTAGTGCACCAGCATTTAATTTACCAACCGTCATATGTTTACCATCACCAAACAACAACAATAATAATAATAATAATAATAATATTAATAATAACAATAACACATCATCAGTAAATCCACATACCGACAATCCAACAATTGTTATTCCAAAATTAACACTATCACCCAATAACAATAATAATAATAACAATAATAACAATAATAAATTGACTGATCAACAATTAGAAAATAATTTAGATAAAATTATAATTAGTACTGTTAACGTTGTAGATAATAAAAATAGTAATAATAATAATAATAGCAGTAGTAATAATAATAATAGTTTATCATTATCTTGTAATAGTATATTGTTAGCGGAAGAACGTGGACCATCGACACCGACCAGCAGTAGAAGCGAAGCATCCAGTAACATGTTGTTGACTCCTACCAAGAAGGACTCTGGACGTCCAAAACGTTTTTCAATCTCAGAGATTTCACTGACCGACAAGGAAAAAGAAAAAGAGAAAGAAAAGGAGAAAGAACGTGAAAAAGAAAGAAGAAAACAAAAGAAGAAAGAGAAAGAGAAAGAGAAGGAGAAAGAAAAAGAAAAAGTAAAGGATAAAGATGGAAAACATTCAAGTCCAATTAAATCTTCATCCAATAAACTTAGATCAAGTTTATCAACTACTTTTCTTTTTAATAAAGGTGGTGTTGATCAGCAACAACAAGATCAACCAACATCTTCATCATTGCCAACAACTCCATTGGCTTCACCATCCACAAAACAACAGATCAATAACAACAACAACAATCAACAACAACAACAACAATCAATTGTAAATAGTAATAATTTAACATCTTCAAATAGTAGTAATATAAGTAGTGGTTTAGGTAGCAGTCTAACAGCAAGTGGCAGTAGCAGTAGTAATAATAAAGATGGTAGCAGGAAAGGAGGTATCTTGTTTTTCAAGAAATCACCAAGTAATACCAATCTTTATGAATACACTTCACAAGATCAACAACAACAACAACAACAACAAGAAAAGCAGAGTAACAGTTCGTTCATCTCTAGAAATTCAAATGTAGAGTCGACTTCACCACCATCGTCAAACTCTGGATTTCTTACGATGAGCCAATCAAAAAAGAAGCACAAAGGTAGAATAGGTGATCTTTTTAGCTCCAAGAAGAAGAGTAGCACTCTGACAGACCAGCAGTTGCAAGCAGCACAAGAAGACCTGCAATTTATCAACAACCCACTGAATACCACAGGCAACCATCTCAACCGATCGGATTCAAAGATAAGAATATCGGTATCGGAGTCTGATTTACTCAGTAGAATGGCGACAGACGACGGTAATTGTTCACCACCTCAAGAAAAGAACAATAAGAACGGTAGTGGTAATAATAATAATAATAATAATATGAATGTACCAATATTGATAACTACAATGGTTGATGAAGTCGATACAAAGAGATCACCTTCTATGAGTAGAAGAATGTCGATTGAGAAATCAAATTCAGAGCCGACAATCTCTATGAATGGAACACCGACATCGTCATCGGCACCGTCATCACCCACCATTCAACCCGTTGATCTTCTCAGTGAGGACGACGTCAACCGTATGAAAGTAAAGAAGCTCTCACTCGAACGTCAACTCATGAGAAGAAAGACAGTGGAAGAGTTGAAGCTTGAAAATATATTGGAACAAACTGATTTAGAAGATGTTGCAAAAGAACAAAAACAAAGAGAAATGTAAATATCTAATAATCATATATAATCATTTTGTTAACTTACTAACATTCTTTTGTTTTTGTTTTTAGGAGAAAACATAGATCTTTTGTTGGAACTAGACCAGCAAAGAAAGTACAATTCTTCTCAACACCGGATGAAGAGGAGTCTGTTTCACATTTCGTGCCGTCTTCGTCGAGAAGAGACTCTGTTTCAAGTAACCAATCATCGGATATCGAAACTGATGTCTGTTTCATCTTGATCCAAAACTCACCGGGTTGGCGAAGAGAGATTGACTCGCCAGAGTTCCAAATGTTAAAATCAAAAGGTAGATCAGTTGCACATCTACTAGAGGAATACGAGAATGAGGTTCAACACTATGCAAATTCATTTGTAAATAGCAGTAAGTCTATTAATAATAATAATAATAATAATCAAAATTTATAAAATTTGACAAAATAAAGATTAACTAACTAATCGATTATATATATATATATATATAATTGTTTAGAACACAAGAATTTCCTATCAGTTGATCATAATAATAGTCCAGGTGGAACTGGACCTGTAATTATAAGTATAAAGAAAGAAGCAGAGAAAACACAGAAGAAAAAGAGACACCACAACGGTGGTAAAGACTCTGGAAAAGACGCAGCACCTTCCAGTCCAATCTTTGCCATGGAGAGAAAGTACAAGGTCATCATTAGATCGCACGATGGTGAAGATCGATTCTATCTATCCTCTGGTAAAGCATCTCCAAATGAGCTAATGAATGTTATAAAGGTAATGATTTAAAAGCTATGACACCAACAATTTGTTACTAACAACAAATCAAAAATAATATAGTCATTCTGTTTACCATTGACCAATATAACATTCAAAAAGATCAAGACCAATCAAGATACCAAAAAGTTGTTACAATACTGGGAGGATTCACAGATCACTAAAGAATATAGATTCGGTATTCTCTACAGAAAGAAAGATCAATTCACAGAGAATGAGATGTTTTCAAATGTAGATACCAGTCCAGAGTACGACGAATTCCTCGAATTCATCGGTAAGAAGATTGAATTGAAAGGATGGAATCAATTTAAAGGTGCATTAGATGTTAAAAGTATGTTTAACTAAATAGCTATTATTATTATTATTATTAATATATATGATTATGATATTAACAATCTAATTATTATTTATAGATAATTCAACAGGTACACATTCAATTTATACAACAAAACAATTCCCGATTGATGATAATACATTGAAGGTACAGATTATGTTTCATGTGTCAACGTTGTTGCCTTACTATTCACATGATGAACAACAGCTGGAGAGAAAGCGACACATTGGAAATGATGTGGTAGTGTTGATCTTCCAGGATGTCGGTAGTCCACCATTCAAACCATCGACCATTCGATCAGAGTTCAACCATGTATTCATCGTAGTGCAACCACACGCTAAACAATCACCGAACGAACAAACCAAATACTCTATATCAGTGGCTTTCAAAGAGGGTGTCGGTTGTTTCGGTCCTTCATTCCCATCGACTAAAATCTGGAAGAAAGATCATCATCTATTGGATCATCTATTAATTAAAAGTATGTTGTTTTTGCAATCGATATCATATCCTCATTTGTGTTTGTATCTAACATAATATTCAATCTATCAATCATTTAGTGATCAATGCAGAGAAAGCATCATATTATGCACCACCATTCCATGAGAAATGGAAGAAAACAAGATCGATCATCTTAAAGACAATTCTTGAAAAGATTGAAACCTGAATATATTATGATAATTGAAACAATTGTAAATATTAAACATCCGACATAATAAAACATCAAATACAATAATATATAATTTTGATTATTTTCATTTTTTTTGAATAAAAAAGTATGATTTTTTTTAATTAGTTTTTTTTTTTTTTTTTTTTTTGTTGAAAACAACACTAACTAACTAATAAAGAGATAATTTTGTTAGTCTGCAGAGGGTGTTTGATGTTTTTATTTTAATTTTAAGATTGGTGCATCACATCCATAAATAAATATAAATTATTATTAGTATTTCAAAAAAAACAATTTATTGGAAATTATTATTTTAATTTATATTTATTTATATTAAAATGGATATCAAAAATATTGGTGGTAGTAGTAGTGGTGAACAACAAGAAAATATTAGTAACAATAGCAATAATAATAATAGTAATAATAATAGTTCAGAGTATAGAGAAGTCACTAGTCAGGATGGTAGTGTTAGATTGACTTCAAGAGTAGATGATGTTATGATGGATTTGTTGGGTGACGATATGCCAAAGAGAAAATCACCGATGTCCAGTCAAGAGGAGTTCAGTGGTGGCAGTCAAGGCGAGCACAAATCGTTCCTCTCGAGAAAGAAGCAGAAACCCGCTGCTACACCACCATTGCCAAGTAAACCCGCTGCAAAGAAAAAGAGTTCAAAGATATCACTCGATCAGTTGCTACAAGAGAAGAGTCAGGTGCGTAAAGAGGTAGACCCGAAATTCGCATTCGAAGAGCTGATGTCACAACAGACTGCAAAGAAACAGAGTATAGAAAAAGATGTAGATTTACATTCAATTGAAATTGAAAAGCTGAAAAAGGTAACAAAACATTGTTTACATCTTCTCTTATCTTATCTAATCTAATATTTTGTTGTTTTTATATTGAAAATAATAATAGACGTTGAATACAAATAAACCAGATATTATGATGACATACGATCCTTATCAGGTCTGTTTGAAATCAATGATGCTACAACTGCCCAAACCCTATGATATAACCTCGGTTATTTCAAAGCAACCAAATTTGAAGGATGAATACACTCAATTACTTAAAAAAGGTATAGTACAAATGAAATAAACATAGAGCTAATATCATTGTTGAATGTTTAAAAACTAACAAAACAAAACTATTACTTAGAATCATATGCAACTCTTAAAATATATATTCAAAATGGGTTGGATTGTATCGTTGAGAATTTCGGTGTAGAAAAATTACCAAAGTATTTAATTGATATTCTATTGTCATATGGTAAGAGAGAAGAGAGAAGGAGAAAGATGATATTGTTTTAGAAATTTACTTACTCTTTTGATTATTATGATTATTATTAGTTTATTTCGAAAAGGATGAGCTGACAGTTTACAAATCATATATGATATTGATACAGATCATTTCAAAGTTAAAGGAAACCAAGATTAATAATTACAATGGCAATAACAACAATAACAGTATACCAGTAACTACTACTACAACTACTACTACGACTGCAGATTCTACAGCAACAACACCGACAACTACAAATGATAGTGAAGCTAATGTTATTACTAATGGTAATGGTAATGCTAATGGTGAAGTTCACACAGCAACAACATCAACAGCAACAGCTGACAATAGCAATAGCAATGGCAATGGCAATGGCAATAATATTAGCAATAGTAATAATAGTAATAACAGTTTATTGTTGACATTCAATGACTTTATCAATTTATTTGAACTCTACAAAATACAAACGAATCAAACATACAAAGCACCTAGTATTATTCTTTCAAACGAAACACCAAGTCCAATGTCACTTCAATCAAGTATGTATTGTTAATATAATATAAATATATATATTTATGAAACTAATCTTTTTTATTATAATAGGTTCACCATTCCCATTCATAAATTTATACTATGTATTGAATCTACTAAAAGTATTGGCAAATGAAAAGTAAGAGTCGAATTAGATGAATCAAAGATAGTTTGTTTGATTTAAAAACTAATATTATTAATAATTCTAATATGTATATTTAGTGTATTTACATTTGAAGAAACAAAACATTGGATATTATTTGTTATTCTATTGATGATGGATCCAAACTATATTAGAACTAAAGATGGCAATGACGATCAATCGAACAACAAGTTGAAATCGACGATATTCAAGACTGTTTTGTTGTTGGGACCATTGTTGCAGACACTACTCCAATCATTCTTTTCACACTTGGCCAACGAGTCTCAAGAAACAGTTCACAAACAGGTATATACACTTTTCAATGACATTTGGTCATCTATCGACGAAAGTGTACGTTTGACACTTTGTACAAAGGTTTCCTATTTACTGCCACCTACACCATTGAACGGTATCGACTTACAACGTACATTCGCTCTATTTTCTATATCGAATATATTAAAAATGGTAAGAGTATTAAGTTTTAAGTTTTATTCTTTATCATCAATCATCATTGTTGCAACATGGCTAATCTTTTGTTACCGTTGTAATTCTTAGAATAATATCGAAACCATTATTATACAACCAAGTATTGTTGAGGAATTGGTTAAAATTTTGAAACCATTCATTGCACAGATCAAAGATGAAACAATCGATATTCTCATGATGTTAAATATGGTTGCATTGACCGACATCTGTTGTAACGATAGAAAGGAATTGAATCAACAAAAGAAAAACGACAAGAAATTCCCATTTGAGAAGTTAATTAGAACATGGGCATCGAAAATCAAGGAACCAAAAGATTTCGATTTCAATAAAACTAGAGTAAGTATTTATATATAACAATATTACTAATATTAATCTATTACTAATCATTGTTTTATTTTTATTTGCTTAGATTAAAGATGGTTTAATTTTAATTCAAAGTAAATTGGCATCGTTAATTTTGGATCAATCCTCATCTTCTATTATGGACTTTTTCAAACCAGTTGTCAAAGCCGAAAATGACGTTCAACAACCAATAGATTCAATTGTAGATGGAAATGAACAACAACAACAACAACAAAATAATCAAAACAATTAGCCAAATAAATAATACAACAATGATACTATATATAATATTAAGAAATCGTAAATATTATTTTTATTTCCATGCTTTAATATAAAAATAAGCACCAAGTCTTTCTGTTCGTGTGATTCTCGATATTCTAAACCCATTTAACAGTTCATTAAATACTAAAACTTTATTATTGACAAAAGTAGTGAATTGAATATGGTAAGGACCTCTCAGCACGTCGTATCCAGTATAGTTAATTGGTATCGTAGAAACGTATCCTGCCAACCATGTTGCGTAATTTATATGAGTACTATTGTATCCTGGACAGCATGGTCCTCTCACCAAACCTATTAATTTACTCTCTCCTATATCTGTCAATGTCAAATTGCAAGAAAGTAAAGGTGTGCCATTTGTACATTGTTCTGGTCCCATCGTATAAGATACTACATTATTACCATTTACAGAAGAGAGTTGAAGAAATATTGTCAAAACAAATAGGATAGATAATAAAATTTTAATATACATTGTATTGGCAAATAGAAATTATAATTTGATTTTAACTTCATTTGATATTTATAGTTTGGCTAAATAGATATGTTTAGGCATGAAATTAAATAAAAATTGTGTAATTCCTATTACTAATACTAACTAATATGTTGTACAACAACAACAATAATAATAAAAGTTAACCCTTAATTAATATATTGTTAAAACGAAAATCAAGATAAGTTGAACAAAATCTCACACAGCATCGTGGTTGTTACATCAGCTTTATTGACATAAAAGTAGCGTGTTTAATTGTTATTAAAATCTGATGATTTTACAATTGTATCTGTTTCTTTGTGAGCTTAGAAAACCGTTCGATCGATATGTTTTTAAAACCATTAACTTTTAAATATCAATTTTTTAAATACTACCACTTAATATATATATATATATATAAGTATAGAGTTGATTTTATTTATTTATTTTTGGTGAAACATTACCAATAAGATGAATATTACTTTATAAAAGATTCATTGAATTATATTTTTTTACTTTTAGTTAAGGGAATAATATATAATCCAATAAATAGTTTAACAAGAATTAAAATCTATAACAAAAGATAACATGATGCAAGAAAAAAGCTTGTCGTTCATCTACTTTCCATCTCTTCTTTGATTGTAATAGAAATCAGTATTGTCGTGAAGAGTTTATTGTAATTTTAAAAAAAATTAAATTAAGAGTTTCTCTGTCGCATTTATATAAGTATGATTTGGTATAGAAACTAGAATACAATATATACAGTACTTTATTTCAATCTAACTATTATTGACTCAATTGATTGTTTTACCTCTACAAAGGCGCACATTATCGTCTTTCTCTACCTCTGCCTCTGCTTATCTAAATCATTATTGAAAATGAAATAAATAATGAATATCTGATTTATTATGTAGATGTTTTAAAATGCATTATTTGAAGTATACATTATTATTTATTATGTTAATATTGTGTCTTTATGATTATCATTTATTTTCACGTAGAATTCTGTTGAGGTTCACGAATTAAAGTTTACCAAAAAAAAAATTATTCTTTGCAGTCGATTGTCATTAATTAAAATAATAAAAAATATAACAAGATAGCCATAGTATACTAGCATTTTGAGAATATTTTTTATAGCTATAGACGGATGGATCAGATTAAAGTTGGTGATAGAATATTGTCTGATGATGGATATCATGGTACAGTGATGTATATAGGCGATGTAGACGGGTTTCAAGGTATGTGGTATGGATTGTGTTGGGATGATCCTACCAGAGGTAAACATAGAGGCACCATCAAAGACAGAACCTACTTTCAATGTCCCTATCATAACAGCAGTGCATCATTCATGAAAATAGATAAACTGACAAGAGGAATCTATTTCATGGATGCGATCATCAATAAATATACCGAGAAATTAGATAACTATGGTAATATATATATCTATCATCACTAACATTGATTTGTATAATCTATCTATTACATTTATTAATACAATAAAACATATCATAATAACAATGTATTAGATGACATCTATGTAATATCAAATTTGAATAATAAAGTTCAAGTTGAAATGATCGGTATGGAGAAGATAAGAGAACGACAGAGACATATCTCTACACTGGAGAATATCAATGCTACATCCTTAAAGATTGCTAATATTAACGATGATCCTATTATATTTACTTATTTATCTGAGAGTATGTATCAACAAAAATTAAGATGATGTAAATATGTTAAACAACTAACATTTGTTTAATATAGATTTAAAAGAATTAAACTTGACAAATAATCTACTTTCAAATTGGAATGATATCATTAAACTATTGAAACAACTGAGGAATCTGGAGAATTTAACATTAAGTGAGAATAGATTAGAATTCAATCATAAAGATATAGTGGAGAGTGTCAGCGTTGATAACAAGTTCAAAACAATCACCACATTACTAATCAATCGTACAAACATCAATTGGTCGACGGCAGTCTCGTTGGTTTCTCTTTTATTCCCATCATTAACAACACTTGGATTACACTCTAATTATATTACTGATTTAACATACAACAACAACAACAACAACAACAGTTCAACCGATGAAAATAATAACAATAATAATAATGATCTACAAAATATATTTAAAAATCTATTAAATTTAGATCTAAGTAATAATCTATTATCAAATACAAATGATCTAATTGAATTAAGTAAAATAGAAAGGTAATGTTATGTATAATGGTAATATATACTATGTTGTTTACTAATATTATTATTATTATTATTATTAATAGTTTAATACAATTAAATTTAAATGATAACAAGTTTAAATCAATAGAGATACCTGAAGAGTTGACAAGTGTATCATATGATCAATGCTATGCAAAAGGTTCTTTGATGTTTACAAATTTGACGACACTGTTCATCTCAAACAATCTGATAGATAACACAGAGTCGATAGATTCACTCGACTGTTTCAAATCACTGGTGAAACTTACATTCCGAGATAACCCGTTGGTCGACATGTTCTTTAGTAAATCTACATTGGAATCACTCAATAAACCAAACGCCAACACCACCGCCAAAACCAATGAGAGAATTACATTGAACCGATTGAACATAATACCCAGGATTACTAAATTGGAAGAATTGAATCTAACAAAGGTACGACATCAACAGTTATATATTAGCGCTTAACTTACATCATCATCATCATCTAACTATCGTATAAAACACACACACACACACAACACAAACAATTAAACATCATTGTTTAATTAATCATCTAATCTAATCTATATTATGTACAACTCAACACAAATCTAACAACTATAATAATATAACCTTTAATATTTTTGTTTAAAACAAAAAAAAATAAAACAAAACAACTAACAATTATATAACATAATGATAATCTAGATTACAACACTTGAGAGAAATGATGCTGAACGTTATTTCATACACGAATACCAAAATGAGACACCTTTGTCACATAAGCTACTTTATCTGAAACGCAAACATGGACTTTAATTTTCAGGCAGATGCATGGTTCTGATAGTGAAAAATGGTGAGAAAATAAAGTTTTTTTTATATAAAAAATAAATTAAAACTCATTATGAATGATGAGGTCGTCTTGGTTCAAATTATAACCCATTACCATGATTTTTTACTATTTTAATAGAAAAAATGTAAAACATTTCGTGATTTTGAATAAATTTTTTTTCTTTTTGCAAAATGATCTTGTATTGTTAAGAGCATCACCTTTGGTTTATTTTTTTTTGACACCACACTACCACCAAATTTAAAAATAACTTTTTTTCTAATTATTTTTTGTGAAGGCTTATTTGTGCTTGTTTAATGTTTATACCCCCTTTTATAGCTAACCATACCAATAATCGTGGTAAAAGTCTTTTCATTTAATAAAAGATATTGTCTACTTAAGGGAAGAAAATGAGGATCATTAATTAGAGTGTTATGAAGGGTGTAACTAGAACAGATTTGAGAATGAGTAAAAGAAAAGTTCAGGTTTGGATCAACATTTTTGTTCACCTATAAAAATAATACACATATAATTATATACAAATAAAAATCATATATAAAATATCACACACACACACACTCACCCACTCAAGACACAACAACAACAACTCACACCAACAAACAAATAATTGCAAAACAAAAGTCTTCTATTTCATATACTTTTTAATTGTAAATTGTCACAACAAATTTATTTATTTTATTTCTCATCATATATAATACACACTAAATTCATTTCATTTTTGCTTATTTTAAATTTGATTAATCAAATATATCACACGATTCCACTCAACTCCATGCACTATAATTAATAAAGTTTTGGAGCATTAACAATATTTTTATATATAATCCATAGTATTATCAATAATAATAGTAGTAGAATTTACAAAATATTTTATAATTTCTCATTCAATAAACAAAGAGAGAGTGAAATATAATAAATTAAATTTAGTAAATAGTATTTCAAAATCATTAAATATAATGATATTATTAATTAAAATATTAGATGTAGATTGATATATAAATAGAAATAATAATAAGATTAGATTTTTTATATCACACCAACACTTGATTCTCAGTCAAACACATCAAAATTCTTCACTCCACTCTCACTCCTCTCCCCTGTCCATCATCAATCAATTAAATATTCAAAGGACAGGACAACCAACCTAACAACCAAACAATCAATCAATAAAAATAATCAAACAAATAAATATTTGATTTGAAAAAAATAAAAATAAATAATAATCCAGCTATAATAATAATAATAATAATCATTAAATATAATAATCATTTGTTTAGAGTAGATAGTAAAGTTAGTAGATTTTGGTCATTCTTTGATTCTTGAACAACAAGAAGAATGATCGTTTTTGCAAAGAATTTACAACAGATTCTTTCACTTTATACATTCTATTTCTATACGATATTGATTACCTTTATGAATCAGTATTTTCTGCCTATCGATGAGCTGACAAGCCTATTTCGCCAGTATGCCAGTGTCTCAATCACCATCTCCATTCTACATCGTGATTTCGGTGAAGACGATCCCTACGAGTTGGACAATGGCTCTTTAGATTTCGTAGGTCAAGATATTTTCGGTGATTCCCAAAACAACAACAACAGCATTCATATAAATGATAATATCAACTTTAGCAGTATAACAATGATAAATAATAGCACCAATACATGTAAATCAAATAACAATAATAATAACAACAATAGCAACAACAATAATAATAACAATAACAATAACAATAATGATAGTATAATAACAATAGGTAGTTAACAATCTATAGATTTGTTAATTTACTTAATTTTTTCAAATTTTCAATCAAACTGATTGCCAACTAATTTCAAATTGAAGAGATATCAGAAATATTTAATTCAATTAAAACAACAGAGATGTACATAATATTTTAAAAAACCAACCATTCTTCCAACATCCAGTCGGTTCATACCAATAAATTCCAGAAAATCAACTTGAACTCGAATATATTCACCTAATGGTCAAAAAAAAGAGTCCAAATCCAACAACAAATAATATTATATACATTATCGAATTGATTCTTGAATATAATAATTATCGAATATAAAATAAACTTTAAATACTAAGTTTACTCTTAAAGTATTATAAATTCAAATATAATTTAAATTATTATTTTATTATTTATCATAAAATTACAGATACAAGTTAATGTGTGAGATTGACTTTAGTTTGTTTGGTTTAGTGGAATGTCTTTTTACCTGAACGTGGATCAATTGTCTATATTGATTGATTGTTTGTTTGATGTACAAAGATTAGTAAATTAAATTATTATCAATTACTTTGATAAAGTTCACTTTGATACTTACAAAACCTTTAGTTCTACCACCTGTTAATACAGTTTTATTTGTAGCTGTCTTTGTAGCTTCTGTCTTTCCACAAACACCACAATAGATATTTCCTCCACTCTCCATGTATCCTTTCTCCAATGATTTTCTACATCCGCGACAAACAAGACATTGTGGATGATATTTATTACCCTGTGCTACAGTATAAGTTGATTCAATCGGGTTTTTACAACTATTTATCAATCATTTTAAAGTTTAGTTAGTTATTAAATCAATATTAATGATTGGTAACCAGTGTTTTGTTGTATATACATACTCATGACAGATTGTAGATGGTGTCTTTCCACAATTCTGACATAGTGCCGATCCTCCTTTATTTACAAATGGTTCATATCCAATGTGCTTGGAGCATGATGAGCATGTAAAACATGCTTCATGATACACACCACCGTTGAATTGCACAGCTTGAACTGGTCCAATGATCTTTCTACACCACTGACATGCCTCCTTTCCTTTCTGTACGTTATCGAATAGGTCTGTTTTGACTTTGTTTCGTTCCAACGTCTCTTGATTCGCCTTTGCATTGGCATTGGTAGTGGCTGCACCGCCACCAGTGGAGACCACACCGTTCTTCTGCAACTCAGTGTTACAACGATGACAGAAAGGACTGCCGTTTCTATCGATATAAGTATCACCCAGTTGCAATCCACACTGTGTGCAGGTGAAGCATTTCGAATGCCAATGTTTGTTGAGCGCAACCAATGAGTTTCCAATGACGGGCTTACTACATCGTCCGCATGTATGATCCTCATTCGAGCAGGCAGGATGATAGTTCTTACCGTTGACAACGGTAACTTCACCAACGACACCACGATTGCAACCCTCACATATAGGTGCTACCAAACTCTCATAGTGCTCACGACAGTAGATGATCGAGCTATCTTTGGGGTCGGGATAGGCAATCTTACATTGCTGTCCACACTCTCCACAAAACTGTGGGTGTAAAGAACCTATCTTTTTGTCATCTCCCAACATTCTTTTTAATGGTTTTTCCAATTTTAAATATTAATAAATCTATTCCATTCATTCCAATCTCAATTTGGAAACTCTCAATACTACCACTACCACTATAACTCTCTAACCTAACTTCTCATCCACCCTACATCTCAAAAAAAATGACTCTAAAATCATACCTTGATAATCCATTATCAATATTTCCATGCAATGCAGAAGAAATATATCTATTACTAATATCTTCTTTTCTAGCCATTTTATTTATACAAATACAATTTTAAACTTTATCACAATTAAATTAATGAACTTATTAAAATCAAAATTAAAAAAGTTATTAATAAAATGACCCAAAATTGATCAAAACCCATCAAATTACTTGAATTTTTGGTTAAGCATTTTTTGCTAATGATAAAATCAAACTAAGATGGTTCAACAAACATTTTATTAATAATTTTTTTTATGATTTCCTAATAACAATAACAATAAAAAAATACAAATAAAAAAACAATACAATTTAAAAATCAAATTATTTAAAAATATTTATGAAATTTCTTTAAATTTTAATTTTAAAAGTATACAAAGGTTGTACAATTTAATGTATGATATAACTTGACACAAAATCAATCATTTTTAAAAGAGCAATTGATCTATAGAAAGATTATTTTTAAACATGAACAATTTTTAAAAAGTTCTTTCTCCATGTGATCAGGAACTTTAAATAACCTCCAATTTCTGATTGGTGTGTGAATCGTTGCACTGATCTAACTAATATCAGTGCTCGATCCCCTTCCAAAAAATGAAAGATCACAATAATAACGAACAAATCAATTACAAATAGGTGATTGCCAATTGAGAGCTTTTATCATATTCAAATTAATTAATAATCACTGTCTATCATGATACGAAATACTTACCTTATATTTTCTTTGATTTTAATATTAAACTTGTACAATTCATAGGTGAAGTGTGAGAACAAATAAATGGGGGTGACCTTTTGAATAACAAAAAACAGTCTATTTGAAGATTATTTATTAAAATGTAAATATTACTAATACATCATCAACTATAATATATGATCATTATATTATTGTTAAAGTAAAGTAAATAGTTTTAATAGGTAACAAACAGACAAAGAAAACACCTACAAATAGGTTTAAGATATGGTTTAGTGGTTGGTTGTTTTGTTCTTTTTTACCTTTTGGGTGGTTGTATAACAGAATCTCTACACCACAGGATTCTGTAGTTGATGTTTTGTGGATGGTAAGAATGAAATTTATATAAAGAATTCTAACCAATATGCTTGCTCGGCTACCTCTCTCTTGATACTAATGTAGATTAAAACATACCATAGAATAAATTTGTGTAGAGAAGCTCTCAATTTGAATTTACATCTAGATTAAAACCATCACATTGGTTGAAATGCACAAACTTGTTTAATTTTTTATAAGAATCTGCTAAACAAATTGCAATATGAGATGGATTGAACATGATTGGAATGTTAAAAGTTAATATCCCACTGTGTTTAAAATGAAGTAAATTTATATATATGACCATATTGATTATAGAATTTGTTAAACAACAACAAACATCGTACATATATTCGAGTGATAATATATTATACCCCTCATACACACACACACACTCACAGTTCACTTTAAGCAACACACAACAACTAAACAAAACTATCAATTTTCCAATGTTGTTTTTTTTTAACACAAATAAATAATTCTTCAATAATATAAATAGTAGGTGTTGATTATATCATTCAACCATACCAAAAATATTCATCAAAATGATATAATTATTGATGATATATTAAATTCGGGTTTGACACCAACAAACATACACACTAAAACAGCAGCAACAACAACCACCCGTTGTGGTAACACACATCACCTATATACTCCATGATTGCATCTGACAATAAAGATAACAAACTTCCCCCTTTATTTAAACATAGTCGGTATCTACCAATATCAAATAGCTACCTACATATCATTAAATTTCAAACATATTAAACACAACCATGGGTTTTCAATTTTATTTTTTTAAACTTTATTGGCAACAGTAGAAAGTGCCTACTACTACTATATTTATAAATCATTAAAAGTTGTCGTTTCCATTTAGAAGCGGTCGACAAAAAAGAAAAAAAGATGATTGTTTGATTGTTTCAATGTGTTTTATGTTTATTCTCTTTTTTTATTGTTGTTGTTGTTGTTGTTGTCGTGTTTTCACAGTCTGTGATCGTGAGTTAAAACAAAACAATAATTGTTGTTGCTGGTACCAACGATATAGAAGGGTCGCTTTCACAATTCACCCGGTTTTGGTGTTGAGTATGCTATTTGGTTTTTGCCTGCATTACGGTAGTACCAATTGATATAAATAATGACCTTGGAAATAGATTCATTCATTCAATTTTAATTATAATATTTTAAATCATCTTATCTTTTATTTATATATAAAAAAAAAAGAAACAACAACTTATTACTACAATTGTTATATCAATCAATCACAATAATAATAATTTATATATCATATTTATTTCCATTTATTCTTTGTAATTGTGAAAACAAACAACATATTGTTTCTTCTTTTTAGCTTTGGAGATAAATCCATAATTTTTCCATTGTTACTTGATAGACATCTCATACCATACCTTAACCAATTACTTCTCATCATACTTTCACTATAACTACATTTTTGTTGCTAAGCATTGGCTTCATCATCATTTACTTTTTAATCATAATCATCATCACTTTCCGGAACCAATCTAATATTTTCTTGCTATTTAAATAAATCGAATTCCAATATTTATATTTTCCAAAATTACATAAACAATTATTTCAACATCCATTTAAAAATCAATATATATTTTAAACTTGATTTAATTATCTACAACCATTTTTATTTCTCTATTTTCCCAAATTATATTCATATACAAATCAATTTCCTATCTGTGGAACACAACACTATCTTATAAAAAATTTTAAATCTAAAATCTTTTAAAATCAATATCTATTATTGAACTTAATACCATTAACATTACATTATAATTACCAAAAAAACTATTATTACTATAAATTCAAAGTTTAATTTTGTAAATTTCATCAATTTATTATTTTATCAATCAATTTAATATTATTCTAAAACTCCGATTTATTTATATATATAATACATTATTTATCTAATTTATTTATTTTAATAAAAACTATGAATATAAAATATCTATTGTCATTGACAATATCTCTATTTATTTTGGTTGTTTCTGGACAACAATGTTTTGATCAAAGCTCTGTAACATACACTACAAGTGGTACCCAATTGCAAATGAATGGACAAACAATTAGAGTTCAAGGTATTGCTTGGTTTGGTTTGGAAACACTGACTTTTTCACCGGGTGGTCTACAAACCAAGAGTGTGGAGCAACTTCTCGATGTCCTAGTTGCCCAGAAATTCAATGTACTCCGTCTGCCATTCTCTGTCGATATGATCTTGAAGCCACGTATGCCAAATCAAATCAACTATGGTCTGAATCCAAATTTGGCTGGTCTTAATGCTTTCCAGGTGTTTGAATACATCACCAAGGCATGTGCCACTCGTGGTATCTTGGTTGTCGCCGAAATGCATCGTTTCGATCCAAACGACTACATTCCAGGACTCTGGTACTCCACCCAGTGTATCTACAACATCGATGGACAGTGCATTAATTACACCACCGACGTTGTTACCAACGCTTGGATCACCGTTGTAAACACTCTCCAGAAATACTGGAACTTCTGGGCGGTCGACGTCAAGAATGAACCACACGGTACCGCCACATGGGGAACTGGAAATACCGCCACCGACTGGGATGCCGCTTTCAAGAACATCGCCAACACCATTCAATCAAAGACCGGATTTAAAGGTGTCTACTTCATCGAGGGTATCGAAAACAATGCTGGCTCAATCTGTTCGCCAGCCACTGGTAACTGGTGGGGTGGTAACTTGTCGCCACAACAATGTTTCCCAGTCTTCCTCGCCACACCAAACAAGCTGGTATTCACTCCACACACCTATTGTTCATCTGTCTCTGACCAACCATATTTCAACGATCCAAGCTATCCTTCCAACATGCCAAGCGTCTGGGATGCATCATTCGGTTTCCTCAAGTCAAGTCAACCTGTTGTCATTGGTGAATGGGGATGCAAGAACAACAACACCAAGAACAGCAAATGGATTAGCTCTTTCGTTTCCTACCTAAAGTCAACCGGAATGACCAATCACATCTACTTCTCACTCAACCCAGATTCAGCCGACACTGACTCTATTCTCAACCCAGATTGGACAACCATCAACCAAAATGTTGCTGGTTATCTCAATGATATTGGAACCAATCCATCTATCTTCTCGCTATCTGGAAACAAAGTTTGTTTGGGTAATTAATCTACTTCTACTACTCTTCCTACTTTTCTACTCTCTTTCCTCTATCGACTACCTTTTTCTATCTTATTTCTCTTCTCTATTATTATCCTACCTAAATATTCTATTCTCTTTATCTCTATTAATAAAATGATGAAAACAATAACCTAACTTTTATTTTTTCTTTCTTTCCCTCCTTTTTTTTTGAAATTCTTATTTATTTTTCTTATTTCTCTTCTTTTTAACTTTCTGCTTTATTATTTGTTGATTAATATTGGTACCATATTTTAGGTCCAATTTCTACTACATCCACTGTTAGCTCTACTACCATTGGCGGATCAACAACTACTACAACGGGAAGTGGTACAACCACGACATCTACAACTTCTAAACCAACTACTACAACTTCACAATCAACTACAACCACTGGTGGAGGATCAACAACTACCACTTCGACATCTACAACTTCTAAGCCAACTACTACTACTACAACAACTTCGCAATCAACCACAACAGGAGGATCATCTACTACTACTACTACTACTTCTACCACTGGTGGTGGATCGTCAACTACCACTACAGCAGGTGCTACCACAACAGGAGGATCGACAACAGGTCACACTTCAACTATTACCATTCAACAGATATTGTCAAGCTCATGGACTGACAGTAACAACAAACCATGGAGTGTATACAATTGCTTTATCACAAACACTGGTTCCTCTGCTATTCAAAATGTTAAATTCTCATCCGTACCAAATGTTGCACCAGATCAAAGCTGGGGTGCCTACACTCCTGCCAATGTCAACGGTAATTGGATTTGGTCAGCTCAGTCATGGGCATTAACATTGCAACCAAATCAACCAACTAACTTTGGTTATCAAGTACAATCGGCCACTCCATTTACTTTTACAATTGTTCAATGATTGAACAAAAACAATATTGTTTTAAATTAAAAATTGTAAATACAAAATAAATTATTATAATTACTTTTTTTTTTTTTTTTTTGTTAAATTAAATAATTACTTATTCTGATTATTATTAATAAGGGTTCTATCAATTAATACATCTAGATGTTTTAAATTGTACTTTTATCATTGTGTTTATAACACTTAGATATTTATTCTTAACCTCCTCTTATTTTAGTAAATCGAGTACTGTACTTAATTTGTAGTTTAGCAATCGATCAAAAAAGAACCACCTGGTGATTGAATCAAAATATCTGATATAGCTTTTGCAATTCTATCAGTAATTGCTGAATTCAAATCAGCTCATCAGGAACAATGAATTGACCATTCAAAAATGAAGATTTGATTTTTTTTTATTTTATTATGACAACAATCGACTTGATAACAACTTTTTAAAAGTCAACTTCACACCTTTCTTTCGTTGTGAATTTTAAACCAACTTTTATTTTTTTGTATATTATTGAATAGAAGAACCCTCCCTCGGAACGACTTTAAAATATTAACAATTTTATTACAACTATCAAATTAAAACTCATCGTCCAATATAATTCCTCTCATTTGTTTAAAATTGTCATGAGTTTCAAAGTTGATGCCTGCAAAAGAAAATAATATCTATTTTTTTTTATAAAAATCAGGGTTGTATACAAAAAAAGACGAATCACATGTGGTATTATAACATTGACCACAAATGTGTGTTAACTAAAGAAACTTGGGAAAAACCAATTACGAAAAAAAATCTTTTTAAGATGAAATTTTTATCAAAAAATTAAAAAAAATAATAAAAAAAAGAAATCAATCTTTCAGCAAAACCAGGCATTCTCAATACCTCTATGATGTATGTTGTTGGTTTTATGAATTTTTTTTTTGCGTTTGTTTTGTTTTTTTTTGGTGTTCGTTTTCAATTTCTTCACCTTGCAATTTTTTTATTTTAATTTAATTTAATTTTTTTTGTTTTGACACTTACTGTTTGTTTGTTTGGTGAAGGAGAAGAGACTTTCCACCTTTTTTTTTTGTTAAATCAATCAGTCATCATCAATTTAACCACCAACCACAAAAACAACACTACACTTTATTATTATTATATAGATATATGTTAGTGTTCCTATATCTTTATATGTTCATATCATTAAAAGTTGAGAAACAGTTTTAAATTGGTTTTTTGTCAAAGTCTAGATTTCAAGATATTTTTGTGCACAGGAGACAAAAAAAACAAGATACTTTTAATAATAAAGGTAGGCAATCTCGATATTTAATCAAACCCACTACTCTCTAAACTAAAGTTTTCCCCAATAACCACCAAAAAAAAATAAATTTAAAAATTAAATTTAATTTAATTTATTGGTCAAAAGCCTTTTTCATCTTGATCAAGCCTATTTGTCATAAACTTAAACTTTAATTTAAATTAATTTATAAAAGTGATTATATCCGAAAACTAAATAACTGCAAATTAGAAAAGTGTAAATCATTAAAATAAGAAATAACCAATAGTTGTTTTTTTATATTTTTTCATTTCCAATAATAATATCTATTTTTAATATAAAAAGTCATATTTATTTCCTATCATCATGATAATATGATCTTCCTTCTACGTTTATTTAACACAAATCGAAAAACAATCAACCAAAACTCACATCATCATCATCACAACCATCCATCGAAATAACAACAACCCAAACAAACAAAAAAAGTAAAAAAAACAACCCACACTCATATATAATCATCAACATAGATATCTTTTTGGTTTTTTTTTTGTTATTTTTAATTTTGATTGATTATACTTGTTTTTACTTTGTTTTACTTACTTAATCAAGCTCAAATCATCTCATTACTAACTTTCTTTTTACTTTTATTAATTACAATCAATTTAGTTTAGTGTTTTGTTTAGTTTAGTTCTAAAAACAATAAATCAGATATATATATATATCAATAATTTGAATAGTAGAATTAATAAAATAATCAACAAATCAAGAGACCACCTTTAGTTAATTTTCAACTTGAAATTTCTATGGTTGTTATCATCAAATCAGCAAACATCAACAAAAACCAGTAAAAGCAAAAAAAAAAAAATATTTATTTTTAGGTTTTGTTTTTTTTTTCTTCAAAGATAAGATATAAAATATATATTATTTGTCGATATTGTAGTATTAGTCATTATATATATATATAGTAAAAGTGTGTAGAGTACACATCAATGAATACAATTAATACAGGTTCTGCCAATTTGGCATTCAGCAACAACAATGCTTTGAATACAAACAATATATCGTGGCTACTGTCATCGCAGCAGTCCAACGCAGTCGAGAAAACCAAGGAGAAAGAAAAGGCCAAGAAGAAGTTGGCACAGTTTCTCGACCAATCCGTCGATAATATCAAGCGATTCAAAGGTTTAATGTCATATATCAACAACTCTGACGACCAGGACATCGACAAGATCTTCAAGGACAACAGCTACCAGATCTACCAGATTCTGCTGTCGACATTCTCCACCTACGAACTCGGAACCTACAAAGCTGGAAAACACCACTACGCAGAGAAGGAAGTTTACAAGGTCAACGAACTGTTGAAACGTGTGTTGATCCATCTCGAAGGATTCGTCAAGAAGGGTTGGCAAGTGAAATCGATCGTCAACATCCTAGAGAAGATGCTTGGCGTTGAAAATATACATACCATTCGTTTGGCGTCGTTCTCCACGCTCTTATTCTTCCTCGAGGTGATGGAGAAGCCCGACCGCCACAAGCTAGAGTTGTTCTCCTCGATTATCGACTACCAGCCATTCACACCAGACTATACCTATCGCATCCAGTTTGCAAGACGCGTCTTCAGTGGACATGAATCAAAACGATTCATCGTGATACAGGCAACCGAGCCACCCAGTCGCGACGACTCTTGTCGTCTCTTTGAACAGATGTTTATGCATATCAGCTCGCGTCTCAACAACTTTTCATTCTGGTTCGAGCTGCTCAAAACACATTATCTCACTGTGTTGTACCCGTCGATCTGCAAGAAACTCGGAGTGTTGCCGGCCAACGACAACACCGGATTCGGCAGTCACTGTCCCCACGAACTACAGGTTATCATTATCAACTATATCTGTACGTGGATCACCAGCAATCCGAGCATTCGTGAATTTCTTTTGAATAATCAACCAGCACCAACACCAGCACCAAACACAGCGCAACAACAACAACCAACAACCAATGGAACCATTACACTATCGATAAGCAATGAACAACTGGCATCGGCGTCAGCATCAACAACAGCAGCATCAGCATCTACATCACCAAACAACAACAACAACAACAATACCAACACCACTAACGTCACATCACAACTCACCACCTCTACACCAGGAGTAGGAAGAGTTGCCATTCTACTCGAAATTTTTAAACAAAGTTGTAAATTACCTCTGAAATATGTAGATATTATTAAAAAGTCAATACTCACCTTCCAAAATCTATTCTTTGTAAGTATTACTAGTATCTATTCGATCATGTTAAACATATTAATAGTATTAAATTCACTCATTCATTCATTCAGTCACCAAACGCATATGAAATGGAAAGTTTATGTGGAGAAGAGTATTTCTCATTCCAAAAGTTTATTTTGAATGAATTGATGAATGTTTTCGAAACTGATGCCGTTGGCTACGAGAAGGAGCGTGATACCATTGGACTGATGGTGATCGGTGTCTTTAAGAATTTGATCGATCAGTATCCAAGTTTACGTGGACAGACTCGCGAGATCCTGTTGAACGCAACACTCCAAGCGACTACCACTCTTTTGCGACGTTCCAATCCCAACAAATCGGTGAGTTCAACACTCGAGCAAGCGATGCTCTCCACCACGCTCTTTGCATGGATCAAATCGAAGGAGTTGAGCCCAGAGATGTGGAGTCGATTCAACCAACATTTCGAAGAACTCTACTTTAGAGTCGAGGTGATCAAGCAGATCAAAGCGAAGCTACTTCAGATCACATGTATACTGCGCGACACAATCTACCCATTGAGCGAGAAGAAATTGATTAAAATCGATAAAGACAAAAAGAATGCGGAAAAAGGTGGTGCTCCTAAATCACCGGATACACTTGATCCACTTCCTGAAATACATATGTAAGTTGTTCAATTCAATCCAATCAATTCAAAACAAAAATTTCAAACTTTTGTTAACTAATTATAAATTTTAGTGAGAATGCTTTAGTTCAAATTGGATGGGATAAAGATAGTTTATTAACGACTTGGTATAACTTGTTGGCAATGTTAAACAATTTGAATCAGATTAAGGATCCACTGATACATGAGTTGGCAACCGATATTCTAATTGATATTATTGATATAGTTCTGGCGGCAGAAGAGATCGTTGAATTCCAAACCACTCAAAAGTCATCTTGGAAACCACTGTCTCTATTCAATTTGTTTGGTAAACGACTGTTTGAAACACACGATCTCGATGCCAAGTTTACAAAGAGCAAAGTGTTGGCAATGTCTGGACTATGTCGGTTAGTATGTCGTCATCACCTCCAGTATCCGAATGACATTCTCGCTGCTTTCTACCACTACATTGGACTGAATCTTAATGGACCGGTGACACCTGGCACTACCGATCTCGGCTGCACAGCAATCCTACACAGCAGTCCTATATTCTCGCTGGCCACACCCGGCTCCAACATCCTGGTGACTTCATATCTCCAAAAGATTCGCGCAATCTTCACCGCGCTCCGACAGGATCAAGTCAACAATGCGCCACCAACCGACGTCAGGAAGAAGTCACTGATTATCATTTCATCACTGATATTCTATCCCAATCATTTCCCAGTGTTGATATTGCCAGGATTCAAAGATGCCTCGAACAAACAGCTCTCAAAGGATCTGACAATGAAAGAGTTGAAGCGTGAACTCGTCGATATTCTCACCATGGCATTGAAGGTTGAGAAGCTGACAGAGAATCGTTTGGTCTGTCTTTGGACATTGTCAACGATGATCATGGAGGAGTTTAGCAACTCTACCGATTTCCAACAGGAGTTGGTCGATGAGATGTTAGAGACACTGCTGCAATTCACATTGCACCAAGAAGCATCGATCTCCAAGACTGCTCTCGATGCAATTGCAACCATCAGTTTGATTTTCAATCGCTTAACCAAGAGTGTCATCAACACCATTATCGTGTCACTGTGCAGGAGTATCCACAAAGGTTATCAGGAGATTGACATTGGAAGCACCACCATCTCTGAAACCATTGTTGCCAATCATTTCTACTGTCTTCTCGACTGGGTGTGCCTGGACAATTCTATTTTCGATGATCCCAGCTACAATGAATTCCGTATGGTATTGTTCTCGGCGATCGAGCTTGGACTTGGACAACGCGGTGAGATGTGGTCGACCACATTCGAAGGTAGTCGTCTCGAAGACTCTAGAGACCATCTCAAACAGATCTCGAAATCACTCACCAAGAAGCAGGTTGCCAGTATCTCGAAATCCGGAAGTGGTTCTATCAAAGGAAAGGTTGAGATTGACGACGATACTCTTGAGACTTTTGGTGTCGTTGCCAAACCCAACCCAATTCGTGAATCCGCTGAAACACTGCTCTCGCACTGTCTCAACTTTGTCCACAACTTCCCATCGAAACACGGTCCTGAGATTATCACCTCGATGATCGACGAGTACGACGACAATCCCGCTGGATTGGCCGACGAGGAAATGCCATTGTTCAGTGTCTTCAACGAGAATGCACTGATCTCTGTCGTGGAAGTTCCCAAACCAGGTGCTCCCGACCAAGGAACTGTTGCGCGTCTATTCATTCGTGATGCCACCGGTAAATATGTTTGGAGCATCGATCATCAATACGATCCACTGGCTTCCCTCAGCAGCACTGATGACTCTCTTCCAAAGTCACTACTCTCACACTACATCGACCAAAAATCTACACCGATTTTCGTTGATAATCTCAGTTACCAATATGAAAATCAAATGCAACCGAAACCAGTGGAACCGGCCGTTGTCGATGATAAACTCAAAAATCTACTTTGTACATTGTCCTCTAGCTATCCAGAGTTGTTGCCATCCAACGGTGGAACACTTGACCAACCACTTTCCAACTTGAAACCAACGCTCGTCCAAGAGTTCCAGAGAATCCAAGAGGAGGTGGCAACCTTTGTCCAGCAGGAGAAGAGCTACCACAGCGAGAACTACAGCAAGCCTGTCGCCTTGTCGTGGGACGGCGCTCCACCATCGAAAATACCTAGTGTCATCTCCCAGTCGCGTCGTCTGCTGATGTCGTATCTCGGATTCCTCAATATTTCGAATGCCCCATACTTTAAGCAATTAGAATCCTCTCAGAAACTTGGTCGTGCACTCCAGCAGCTGGATATCACACCGTCGCGTGAGATCCTCAAGATCGGATTGATCTATGCCGCCGAGGGACAAGACGACCAGCGTGACGTCCTCCACAACAACACAAACTCATCGATTTTCAGTGAGTTTGTCGACGGTCTAGGTTGGCCAGTCGATCTCCAAACTCACCAAGGTTACCTCGGTGGTCTCGATCGTAAGAAGACAACCGGTGTCACAGCACCCTACTTTGCCAACACCACTGTCGAGACTATTTTCCACAACATCTCTGGAATGCCAACGAACAAAGCCGATCTCCAGCAGATCCACAAGAAGCGTCACGTCGGTAACGACATTGTAAACATCATCTGGTCGGAACACATCCGCGACTACTCGCCAACCACTATCACCTCGCAGTTCAACGATGCGCACATCGTAATCTACCCATTGCCCAATGGACTTTTCCGTGTACAGATCTACCGTAAGGAAAGCAAAGTTCCATTGTTTGGTCCGCTCATCCATGGCATGACCGTCAACAAGAAACTCTTGTCGACGTTGGTTCGCCAGACAGCAATCAACGCCTACCGTTACATCAGAAATTCGACACCCAACTACACAAGACCATACGCGCTCAGAAAGCTCAGAATCAAAGAGATCGTCGATCGTTACAACTCCGATAGAAATTATGTAGATTTCGTGCACTCTGTTGTTTCAGGTTACACTCCATTAGCACCACCAACCTCATCAACCCAATCAGTATCCACTTCCAACGAAAACAACCCAAATAATGTAACATCAACATAAGAACTAACTAACACTTTAATAAATTATATTGTTAAAAATGTGATAATTTAAAATGTTTTCCAAATTAAATTTAATAATATCTTAAATTAGATTTTGCCCATTTAATTGTTTTATTTATGTCATCAATGTTTCTTTTTTGTTATGAAATATTTTAATTAAATATCTAAACTTATAGTTTAATTTATCTAAATTTGGTTATTAGCATGTTATGTGCTCCATCATCTTTCATAAAATGTGTGAATGGATGTGGATACAATTCATTGTTTTTAACCTAAAAAAGATATTTTTGGTTATTGATTTGTTTTTTGATCACTGGGATTTACAAAAAAATTGAAATACTTTTGGTTTAAAATCAACTTCCAAGATTTATTTATTTAATCAATTATTTAATTTAATTAATTAATTTTTTAATCAATTATTTAATTATTCAAATTTTTAGATTAAATTATAATTGTTTTTATATAAATAAATAATAATAATTTTTTTTTTATAAATAAATTAATCTTTTTCAATGTAAGTGTATTCTATATCTGTTCGATCAATGAACACTCAAAATATCTTGCCTCATTTTGATCGAAATTAAACAGGTCTTCATTTTTGATTTTCACGAAAAAAAAAACTAACATTTTTTCTCATAGATATTTATTTTTAAAGTTTGCTCAGAAATTGACAAACCCCGTAAGTCTATATATTTTTTTTTTTTAAGGTTCAAAGTGTGTGTGGTGGGGTATTGTTTATTTAAATGCGCAAATTAGAATGGTCTTTACTCCCATACACCAATAGTTTGAACAGTCATCTTCCTTAAAATTGGGAGTATTGAGAGAATGAACTTTCATTGTCTGTTTATTTAGTTTTGGTTTGGGTTTTTTAGTTGTTTTGTCTATCAAAGAGTCACAATCAATCAAACAAACATCAAGATATTCGCATAATATAAAATAAACTTGACCTATAACTTCTATTATTATATCTTTTGACACACCTCTAGAGATAGAAAAAATACAACAATAATATAATTCTTGAAAACAACAATCAACCTATTTTTATAGCCATTCATTTGTTTTTTTTTAAAATTTAGAGTTGTTTAATTCTGCCTTTTTAAAAAAAATAATATCATATCAACTCGATATATTGTTGTTGGTGTTTCTTTTTCCCCCTTCCTCCATTTCTATACCACCTTCACCACATAACCACAACTTCACATATACACACAATATTTTCTTTGTCAACCCACTAATAGTATATATTTTTAAATATATATCATCAATGTCCAGTAGCCAATTGTTGTTGTTGTTGTTTGTTGATGTTGTTTAAAATCACACCATTATCATATTCGAATACCACCAATTTTATTGCGATTTTAAATAAAAATAAATTATCTATCTTTTTTATTTTGTTTTTTAAAATATATAATTTCTTCTATCTTTAAAAATTTAAACATTACTTAAAAATCATAGCAATCCACCATCTATTACAATCTTTAATTATTTGTTATTAATTAATTAATTATATTTCAATCCAATACCTTATTATTGGAAACTTATTTATTTATCATCACAAACTTATCCTTTTTATTCTTTTCTCTAAATTATTGTGAAATCAAGTCAATCTAATCTGCTAATTATCATAATAATAGTCGAAAGAGAATCTAATCAAATCAGATCAAATCAAGCAAAGGAGAGAACAAGCCCTAATAAAATCTACAAAAGGTAATTATTCAATTTAGGAATCAGCCAACTCATTATGTGATTGTTATCTGTTCTTCTCATTTTAATAAACCAAAAATTTTCAAATATTCATGATTTATGTTTGAAAACAAAATAATACAAAGAGGACGGTTTAAACCACCATTTACATGCGTTTTGCTAAAAAACAAACAAACAATTTCAAAAAAAAATCATCTTTTGTGTGCCACAAGACATCACAAAAAAAAAAAAAACACAAAGATCATACGCACGCTTTTGTTGAATGATCAATAAAAAAAAAAGCGCGAAGTCAATAGTTTTCTCTTATTGTAAGGGTTTGAGAAATTAAATGATTGTTGTGTGGTTTAATTGCAAGATTCATTTTTGCTAGCATGTGTGTGATTGGAATTTGCAAAAAGTTTTTTTTTTTATGCAAACAATCTAACCCACACAATCACCGAATATCCCACAAACACCCATCAAAAAGTCTACCATAACACCTTAGCACCGCACCAGCAAAGAAACCCTGTTTCTCTTACCTCTTTGATATTTAATATTAATCATTTTGAAGATTCAATATCCTCTTTTGTTTGTTTGCTTTGCTTTTTTTTTTGATATTTTTTTTTTTTGTTTAAAGTTCTTATTTTTTTTATTTTATTATTTTTTCTTTTTAAAACTAAAACCAAAATCAACGCAATTCGAGATAACACCAATATGTTGCTTGCTCTTTGTTGTTGATTGCTGTTGTTGCAGTTCTCGTAATTTATTAATTGAACAATTAATAATAATTTTGTAGAGAGTACACCAAGATTACAATATAGAATAGAATCAATAATTAATTATTATATAATTATCGTATTACAATCACCCAGGTTAAATTTTAGGTTGTTTTTTTTTGTTTTTCACTTATAACTCGTAGAGTCATAATTTTAATTTATAACCTAATCTATCATTTTTTTGGTGTCTTACCCTTTTTAGACTTTTGTCTGTTTGAGGGGTGTTTTTTTTAATAAAAAAAAAAACAAACTCTTTTCAAACAAAAAAACAACAAACTTGCAACTTTCAGTCTGAGAAGACAACAACAACTGCTCTTAGACTCTACCACCCACTTAAGTCAGTCATTTTTAATTAAATTACTTTTGGAAGTTACCAACTTCAGAGATTTCATTTTTTTTATATATATAGATCATTTCACTACACTACTACTCTTCACTTCATTCTACAAACAATAACAATAATAATAAATAATAAATAAAATAATATAATTAAAAAAATAACTAACATAAATAAACAGTTAACTATTTATTTTTTACTAAATTAGATTTAAGAATCTTTTTATTCACAAAACAAATACTCTTTTTTACAAATATTAATAACTTTAATATTATTCAACTTTTTTTCAATTTCCAACTAAACTAAATAAAATAAATAGAAAAGAATGGAAAGTTATCAAATCATCAATAAAGAAAATATTCAAAATATTGGTAATCATAATAATAAATATTCAATGAAAAAATATTGGACAACAACAAGTGCCTACATAAATAATAATCAAAATAATAGTCAAGATATCAAACATAATAATAGTGTTAATAATAATCATGGTAAATCTAAATCTAAAACAACACCAATGATTCCAGTTTCATTTGTCGAGCAACTTTGGAGAAAACCAAAATCGAAAATCTCGAAAAAACACAATACATTCCCAACAGCATCATCTTTCAATTTCGAACCGATCACCTATTTACAAGCCTATCAGCAACAGAAACAACAAAACAATAACTGCAATTTCTCACTGAACGATCTACCAATCGAATTGATTTCAACCATCTTGGAGCATACAATCATCAAGAAGGAAATTTGCCAGCAACCATCGGACGACCAGCAATTCCTCACCACTCTACTGACATGTAAACTCTGGCAAACCGTTGGATACTCACTGATAGAATCGGTGAAACTCGACCGTTGCTCACGCATGCCATCGGTTCGCCAGCTTCGACAACTCAACCGACTTCCCTCACTCCGCAATCTCTCGATATTCGGCGGTTCTCCACTGAAAATCTATCAACTCAATGTCGTTGCAGGACTGCTCTCCAGTCCTTCGTCGGCAATCACTCACATCAACCTTTTCTCCAATCAAATCGGTGACCTTGGACTGCTGAAGCTTGTCCAGGCACTCCACTACAATTCATCAGTCACTTTCCTCGGACTCTCATACTGCAACTTGACAGCGAGAAGCGGAGAGCCACTGGCCAACCTACTCGCCAAAAACACAACACTTCGCGAACTCATACTTTCATACAATGCACTGGGCAGTAGTGGTGCTGTTTCATTCGCAGCTGGACTCGCCAAGAACAAGAGTCTTCGCTCACTTTCACTATCGCACAACGAACTGGGCGACGACGGCACCAAAGAGATTGCCTTGTCGCTGGCATCGAATCAATCGCTTTCCGAGCTGAATCTGCGCTGCAATTCAATAAGCAGTGAAGGATCCAATTACATTAGCACATCTCTCCAAATCAACAAATCGATTGTCGAGATCGATCTCTGGGGAAACAACATTGGTGACTATGGTGCCACTAAAATTGGAGTGGCACTCTCACTCAATCACTCATTGAAATCGATCAATCTCACCAGAAATTGTATTCAGCAAGGAATTGGATCGATTGCCTCTGCACTTTGCTCTGCTTCCTCAAAGATAACAACCATCGACTTGTCAGCCAATGCACTCGGAGCCATCGGAGCCATCGAGATTGCCAAGATCATAAGAGCGACCACCTCGATCGAGTCAATGACATTGTCATCGAACAAGTTTGAATCGAATGGAATACAGCACATTGCACAGGCAATCTCTAACAACAAGTCAATTCGACGTTTGAACTTGGCAACCAACGAGATTGGAGTGGAAGGTGCTCGATATCTGGCGGAATCTATCAAGCTAAACTCAACGATCGTCTACTTTGATCTGGCGATGAACCAGCTCGGAAACGAAGGAACCAAAGCCATTACCGAAGCATTGGAGTACAACAAATCAATTAAAACAATAGTATTATCACATAATCAAATCGATATCGAAGGTGTTCAAAGCATTCTGACACTTCTCAACTCGAACCGTACCATTTCAGTCATCAATCTAGAGGGTAACCACCTTGCACCAGACACACAAAGATTATTTCAAAAGTTTATCAATCAAAATAAACTTACTGTCACACTATCCCATCAAATCGGGAGATACTCATCTTTTTGAGCATTGACATAATGAATGTTTCAATGTTTCAAAATAGATTGAATCATTTTTTTGTAAACAAAAAAAAACATCTTTAATTATTTCTTGCTTTTTCTTTAATATTTGATTAGTTGATTGATCGATTATAATTATTTAAACAAATTGATATACAACTAAACTTGTTATATGTTTAAATACTTTTTTAGAAAAAAAAAAAAAGATTAAAAAATTTGATCTGCAGAGCGCACTGAAAAAAAATGATCGCATTTACTTGATTCGTTTTTTTTTGTTATCTTTTTATTGTTTTAAATTTATTTATTTATACTTTTATTATTTATTCTATTTATTTTCAAATCATTATTATTAGATTGTTTTAAATAATAATAGTAGTTGTAGATAAATAGGTAAATAATGAATTGCGGTAGATTCGTACAAAGAGCAACAACGTTGTCTCGGTCATTTGCCTCAAAGCAACAACAAACATTGCGAGCAACAAACACCAAATTAAATACATCATCTTCACAGTTAAATATCAAAGTTGCCAGCGTCAGTTCAATCAAATGCAACAACATGCCAAAATTTACACCAATCAATATAAACATATCAACACCAAATCTATTGAATAGTAGCAACAACAACAGTTTACTGTAAGTCTCAGTGTTTAATCAGTTGATCATCATCCTATTATCTTTTTGATTATTTATTCTCTCTTCCTACAATTGTACAGAGTGGTAGCTAAAAGAAATATATTATCGAATCCATTGGGTTTGTTGGAGATCGCTGTTTCAGCTTCAAGTGGTACGTATAGAAATTGATAGTACAACAAATATTCTAGTAAAACAGTTGGATTTTTAAAATTTAATAACATTGTTTATCTCTTTCTCTTTAGATTCAGATGATGATGGACGATAATCAGCAGCTTATTCTCAAGATTATTCAGTAATGTCTCAGTCCCATCCAATCGTTTCGTTTCGTTTTTTTTGCAACCAACAAAACAACAACAATTGAAGTCTGTCGACATGAAAGATAATTAAGGGAATAGGCGTCCTAGGTTTAGGTTAATAATAATATATAATAATTTAATAAAATCAATTTCAAGATATATACAATTTGTAGATACATCACACCAACTTTCTCTTCTCTACCTTTTTTACATTTTATTTTTAGTTTTATTTTTAGTTTTTTTTCATATTATATTACTTTATTTTGTTCCACGAGTTTCCATCACCGTGTCGAATTCCTTTGCTGAAAGAATTCATTGTCTTCTGAAGTATGATTCTGCCAACAAAACATTTATTTTTATCAGATGGAAGATCAAAAAAAACAACCCCACTCACAGCACATTTGCAGCAGAATGAAATTTATTCTATTTTTTTTTAAATTAATAAAATTTAATAATTATATGTCAAGGTTTAATTGAGAAGCTGTAAAATATACTGTTGTGTGTTGTTGTAGTTATTTTATTATTCTATTATTCTATACATTCATAGACAAAACAAGATGATGAAATCAATTTTAGTTAAACAATTTGGTGGTGTTGAACAATTAATAATCGGTCAGATCGCCAAACCAGTTCCAAAAAAGAATGAATTACTGGTGAGAGTGAAAGCTTTTGCTATCAATCGTGCGGATATTCTACAGCGTCTAGGAAAGTATCCACCACCTGCTGGTGAGTCGGAAATTCTTGGTTTGGAGATGTCCGGTGTCGTAGAGAGTGTCGACTCGGAACACTCTGGAAAGTTCAAGGTCGGTGACAAGGTGTATGCGCTGGTCGGTGGTGGTGCCTACGGACAGTTCTGTACGGTCGATGCCAGCAATGCCTTGCACGTACCCGATCATCTCAACTTTGAGAAAGCCGCTGCCATACCAGAGGCATGGTTGACTGCCTACCAAGCGATGTATCTCGTCGGTAACTACAAGCGTGGCAACACCGTGATGGTGCATGCCGCTGCCAGTGGTGTCGGAACTGCACTGATCCAACTCGCCAAGGAAGCGGGTGCACCAATCATCATCGGTACCGCCGGTTCCGACGAGAAGACAAAGATCATCAAGGAACTAGGTTGTACCAACACCATCAACTACAAGAACACACCATCGTTTGCCACAGAAGTAGAGTCTATCACATCAAAGCGTGGTGTTGACAATGTCTTTGATTATGTAGGTGCCAACTATTGGAATGACAATATGAAATCATTGGCATTGGATGGAACAATGGTAATTCAAGTATGTATCGAGATCTATCAATTTGTATTCATTTTATAAACTAATTGGTTTGATGTTGTATACATTAATATAATAGGGTACATTATCGGGACCAGTTGTTAAAGAGAATGCTATTATTGGTACTATTTTACAAAAGAGATTAACTATTAGAGGATCTACACTGAGATCTAGATCAACTGAATATAAAGCAGATTTGATCGATAGATTCGATCAACATTGTACCAATTTATTTGCCAACGGTACATTGAAACCAATCATCGATCGTGTATTCAATGTCGATGAGATTCAAGAAGCACACAAGTTTATGGAAGGTAATCACAATATTGGTAAAATTGTTGTAAGAGGTTTTGATGATTAATAGTTATAACAAAATCAAATCAACAAACCAATCAATCAATCAATCAATATATATACAAAGCAAACATATTATAATAAACTATAATATATTCTTTTTTTTTACTAATTCTATGATCATTATTTATATTGTCTTATTAAAAATAATTTATTCATTATTAAATGAATAACTTATATATATATATATCTCTATAATAATTTTATTTATATAACTAATTTATTGTTTATCTTTTGGTGGTTGAGAAACAACAACTGGTGCTGTAGCATTGCTGTTGTTGTTTAATTGATTGGTTTGTGTCTTGTAAAATTCGAGAACCTTTTTGCTTCCCTTTGATACCAACTCTGGGTAACAGTAGTACATTGATGCACCGAAACCAAGTGCAGCTAAAGCTGGATCCTTAACAGATGGAACTAAACAAATAAAACAATGACAACATCAAGTAATGCATTTGTTAGTAATAAATCTATCGTTTCTAATTATCGATATATTCAATAGTATTTTGATATATTGATTTGCTTGTAGTTATTTCTTTTCTTTACCTTTCTTGAATAAAATGATTGGTAATAAAGTTGCAGATGCAACGATGAGAAGAGGTGGTGATCTATCGACGAGATCGACAGCTTTTCTGTAGTTATCTCTAATTGCTACTACATCGACGGTATTTACGAAACCTTTAGCAGCTGATTTGAATCCATTATCGATCGCATTGTTTAATTCCTATGATTGTAGAATGTGATTAAGATTCATTAGATTCAAATTTTATATGATGATGGTTGTCGTTGTTAACTATAATAACAACTACATATCAATTGCTCTTCTTACTTACAGGGATTGTATCTTTAGTGGTTTGAACGAAGCCAAGTAATGATCTAACGATTGGTGTCATAACATTCTCATCTTCTCTCTTTGGGAGTGAACTCGATGGTTGTTGTTGTTGTTGTACAGCAGTGTTGTTCTCAACATTGGTACTCTTAACAGTACCTGTTGATTGGAAGTTATTTGCGAATGGTTTATATGAATCTGACATCTTTAATCACTACTGATTTTGGTAGATCATTAATCAAGTAAAAATGTTTTTGCATTTTCAAAGTGATTTTTTTAAATGATTTAAAAAAGTTTTTAAAAAATTTAAAGAAATAAAAATTAAATATGGCTATCCTTTGATGACCAGGTCCATCAACCAATTAAATAATAATAATGAAAAATCAGAATTATAGTAACACTGATCTTTTCATTAAATTACTACAATCGGTGGTTCTAAAAAAAAAAAGATATTTCAATGTGTTAAAGATATACATGATCATCTATTTACCGATATATCACTACGTTGGTATGATCTTGGTTACTATGATAAGAGATTATCAAGAAGTGGATAGTAATAACAAAGCAATGCGACCATCAAAACGTTTAGACATTTATATTTAAAATCATTACCGTATGCATTGGATTTTGGATATTATGAAGCGTTAGAACTCATGCCTAATGAGTTTACACATCGTAGGATTGACTATTCCAATCTTCAGTTGATAGAATACCTTCACAAGAATGCTAGTTACTGTTTCGATCACAACGGTTTTAATGTAATGAACGACGCCTCCTTTATATGCTTAGAAGTAGTGAAATTTCTTCATTTCAATCGAACTGAAGGATACTCGTCCAGGGCTATCGAGAATGCCGCGTCCAATTTCTCCATTACAATAGAACAGAAAGAAGCAATGAAAATGCAATACAAATCGCAGCAATCAATGGACATTTCCATGTACTCAAGTTCCTTCTGGAGAATACAGCCTGCATCGAAAAAGTGTGGAATGATATGATACCGATTCTATGTAGAAACGGTCACTTGGAAATCATCAAATATCTTTTGGAGCACACCAATCAAATGATTACAAATCAACCTATTATAGTAGCATCTTCACACGGGCACCTATTGTCAAATTCCTTCATGAGAATACTACACTTGGCGACAAGTGATTATCGGGCAATGAATTGGGCAGCAGATCATGGCCATCTCGAAATAGTAAAGTATCTCCACTATAATAGTTATTGGAAGTTTGAATGCTCTGTCCATCAGCGATAAGCAAATTCCAATCATTAAATTCCTTGATCAGAATAGAACTGAACACTTGAGTCAGTGAAAATGAATAGCATATCTTTGTCACAAAAAATCATATGATTTTCTATCAAGACTTAAGCTTATCAAGCAATACAATCTTTAGCTATTACATATAATTACTATTTCATTTTAATAGATCATAATCACTTTCCATTTTGTAAAATAAACATAAACAAAATTATATGTAACATTGTTTTTTTTTTTTTGCCTTTACAAATTACTTTAATATATTCTATTTTTTATTTTATTTTTTAACTACCATGTAATAATTGTTTTTGATTATGACTTCTCTGTCTACTAAAAGTTTTATCTCAAAAAACCACCATTCTGAAATGTGTGTCTTTATAAAGACAAACAAATCAAATATTAATATTTTTGATTCAATAAAAAGAAAAATAGATTTTACATAGAAATCTGGTGAAAGATCATGTTGTATATAAAGTGATCTATAAATATGACGTGATCATATTTGATTATTCTATATTTTTATTTTTTTAATAATGTTAAAAGTAAAATTTGTTTTTATAATAATATTGTTAATATCTATAGTTAAATGTGATAATAGTAAATATCTATATTATTTAATTTCGTAATAATATTAACAAATTTTTATTTTTTTGAAAATCAGATGTAGATCCAACTGTAAAACCAACTGTAAAACCATCATCCAATAATTTAACACCACTTGACAATATACAAGATGCTCTCGTACCAGCAGATTCTGTCGCGTTGCCAATAGAAGAGCAGGATATACCAATAAGGAATATAATGTCTAGATGGGAATTTTAAAAATAAAGTATTTATCCACAGACAACATAAAAATAATTATAAAAAAAGAAAGAAAAAAATAAATAAATTCTTAAAAAATTCTTTGTAAAATAGTATAAGCTCAAAAAGATCTGATTTGATGATTTGCTTGATATCTTTTTATTAAAAAATCTGCAGGTATTCCAAAATTGGAATCAACTAATTTGATTTTTTTTATTAAAGGATTTTCAATTTTTTTTAATCATTCATATAATATTTAAAATGAGTGAAGAACAATCTTTAGATAATAATATTAATTATAACATTAATCGGTTATTCAATGAAAATGGTGAGAATTGGGATCTTAAATCATTGCCACTCCAACATTTACAAACTATTGATGCAATCATTGCCTATCCTGATGACCTTCAACTGTTTGATAACAAATACAATGTTGAAATTATTCATAAGATAATAAATGTAAGTAGATTTTTGGATATTATAGCTTATGAACTTGTTAGTATCGATACTAACATGAGCAACCATTGTTTGTTTGATCATCATGTACAAAAAAGTATATAGGCAACAAGAGGAATAATTATACGATGAGTGAACGAATATTACTTAACAAGCTATCGTTATACCTCAGAAGATACTTTAGTGTTGAAAATCATAGAGTACCTCACCCTGATTTCCTACAGTTCAACCGTTCACTCTTTAAAAATATAGATTCTATCAATAAGCTGTATGCAGTGTGTGAAACCAATGAACTTCTATCCGTCATCAACATTTACTTTAAACACTATTTGGATTCGATCAAATCACTCGATAGCTTTGAAGATGTTGATGTTAATCTAATGTTTTATCTATACAAAGTCAGTAAACAGCGAAACTTCCTAAAATATATTACTCTCGAATCAATCTGTATAGATAGAATTAACAATGATACTACTCTATCTGACACCGTTAGATTCAATCTCATATTGATAGTTATGTATTATAAAAGAACATTAATTACTGATTTGCATCAACATCACCAATTAGTATTAGAGTATGTAATATATATATATATAATAACCAATCCATCCATTATTTAATATTAATATAAATACTAATAACAAACTTTATTATTATTATTATAGAATGATTATTAAATTAATGAGTAGTAAAATGAATAGTTATTATCATCATCAACTATCAGTATTCAACGAGTATTTCAAAGTAAATGAAAGTAACATGCTAGTTGTTCAAGAGTGTTTCAAACAAAACAGGTTCAAATCAACAATGGATTTCATTTATTCAACATTCTATAGATTTATATCTACACCAGAGGATATTTATAAGCAAATTTCAAAGTTGGGATTGGAGTCGCACTACTATCTAATGTTGGCGCTACCAACTAGCTACCTAAAGGAGGAAAAGACTGCCAATCATTTCATCAAGAATATTTCCTTTTCTAACCTCGATTCATTCATACTTCCTTATCTTTATCATCAGAAAGGTATAGATATCCCTGAAGCTCTATACGATCACATAGTCAAGATATCTCTAAAGTTTGAAGATATCATCAAGAGCATGGATATCGCAAGCAAAATAGAGAGATATCATCATCCTCGATTTCAAGAAACCATCGTCCAATCGTTTGTTTCTCTTTACAACCAAAAGAAAGATCCAATGTTCATTTTGATTTCATTTTATCTAATGACAGGTTTCCGATCATTGTCTTCCAGTTTTAGTGTTGCTACTTTACGTCCACATCTAGATGTCATCGCACCAACCTTTGTTAACAAGACATTGTTTATGTTACCTCAGTTTCAATTGCAAAAACATAATATTGAACTATGGACTTTGGTATCAGTATTATTGAATAAAGAGCAAATCTCCCTCTTGCTCGAGAAAGCACCGGTCGACATGCAATTCAAATTTGTCCTATCAACAAGCAATCCATATCAATCGCTTGTGACACTGCTTCATATTCTCAGAACAACAGTGGGATCAACCGAGGGGTTGAATCAAGTTTTTAAACAACTTTATTTACAGGTCGACAATTGTCAGTATCTATTGGAAGCATTGTCATTCTTTTTAGATAATAATGTTACTAGTTTATGGGATGGTATGCATCGATATAAAAATCTTTCATTGCTAATGGAAAAACTAAAGGCAAATGGTCGTGAATATTTCGATAAGTTAATCAAAGTTATTCAAGTCAATCCTTATATCAATATCCTGTTGAAAAACCAACGTCAAAAAGATAAAGAGTTTCTCAAATATATACCAGATTCAAAATACTATATCGATGAACAACAACAACAACTACAAGACAATCATTTAGTAAATAATAATGTTAGTAATAATAGCAATAATAATATTTGTATCGAAAGTAGTGCACCACCAACCATCATATTAAACCCTGTCATTCTAAAGTATATTATTGAACTGGTAATAGTACAGCCACACAGTAAGAGCAAGTGGTTGGTGGAATTGTCTACGGTTTCCAAACTGTTCCATCAGATATGTTCAAAGATTCTATCTAACGGTGTCAATCAAAGAGTTAAAATCAAGAGTTCCATCGGTCACATCGGTTCAACATTCTGTTTATTCAGTAATCCACCACTTCATCTTAGGAGTATAGAGTTGGAGTTCATTCCCCGTGAGCATCTTCATTCATGTTTGGAAAATCTAGAGTCGCTAACTCAATACTTTTGGATGAATCAGATGTCCTATACAACTTTTAATATCCATATGATCGAAGCAAAGAATCTAAAGCATATCAAATTCTATGAAAAGATATACGAGTTTGAAAGAATAGGTGTTGAATGTAAAGATCTTTATCGAATGGTTGAATGCACTCTCAATCCTTATGATAACACAGACACAGACACAGACACAGACTCTCACTCTGACATGGCCGTACAATCAAGTGAATCTCACTTTTTCCAAGTGTTGTTAGATCACTACAATAATGATAGATTACAATCGATCGAGTACGATTCATGTCGCTCCGGTTTGGAAACACAAGCTCACTACCACTCTCTTCCATTGTTGTCGCAGCTCAAGCATCAAAAGTCAATCGATGTAAATGCTTCGCTTGACTTTTCAGATATTTCCTTCAAGATTGGAGCCAAGGATACTGAACCTCTTACCAAAGTGGTGATGAGCGATCTAGATATGCTGTTTCTAATGGATGCCAAAATTAATGGTAAATCTGTAAATTTCAATCCACTTACGATGAACACCACCAACAATATCCACACACTATCAATCTGGTTCCTAAAATTCGATAACGTACAAAGGATATACCGACTCCTCAACGATATCTTTGAAGCAGTCTCCAATTCAGAGAACAAATCGATTAAATACCTAGAGTTGACAATGTGTGGCACGCCAATCATGAATCAACATATGATTTCAAACGAACTCGTAAATACCTATAGCTTTAAATCAACTTCAGATCCTCTAACTTTTTACAGATCATCATCGACCGAAGTCTGAAGTTGATTTAAAAATTTAAAATTTAAATAAATTTTTTTTACAAATGCATACAAAAAAATTAATGTTCATTTTTTTATGCGAACACACTCAAAAATGCTATGGCATCATGGTGCAATTTTTTACATGTTTTTTTTGGAGATCGAAACTTTATATTTTCTTTTCAATTATTGTTTGATCGATCAATTAGAAAATAGTATTAAACAAACATAACATTTTAATAGTTAATAATATATAATAATATATATATAGTTATATAAATTTTTTAAATGCACTCTTGTCAATGTACATTTTGTAAGAGTGATAAATCCGATGTTGATAAAACACTTAGTTGTGCACTAAGATATGGTGCATTCTATAAGGTACCAGTATCATTCTGTCCAATATGTTTCGATGAACTGCAACCAGCAACTACACTCAAAGATCATGCGCAGGTTTGTTCGGCGTTGGGTCTGCGTTGTCCGCTATGTAGAGAGGTCATAAAGGAGCTTCCAACCATACATCTGTATCGTTGTCTTCACCAACAGTGCTCGACACTCCCAAATTGTGGATATCGAGATTGTAAACAATCAAACTCTTCGAACATTAGTAATAACAGTATGCAACCACAACAATCACAACAACAACAACAACCACCACCACAACAACAACAACAACAACATCAAATGCCACAACATCTTATTCCACAGCCAAACAAAACACAGCAACAACAGCAACAACCACAAATGCCATCCTTATCAAACCTACCGAATATGAATATCATGCCAAATTTACCAAATATATCTAATATGCCAAATATGAATGTACCAAATACACCAAGTATGACACAACAACTATTATCACCACCACCACCACCACAGCAACAACAACAACAACAACAGCAACAACAGCAACAGCAACAACAACAACAACAGCAGCAGCAGCAACATTCAAAACTTGATAATGGTGGAGCAGCAACTTCTCTGAGAGAGATTTTTAATCCTATGCCAATGCCAAATGGATCGATGAATCCAATGGATCAAATGCAATTCCAACCTCCACAACAAATGCAACCTCCACAACAAATGCAGCCACCTCTATCACAGTTACCACTACAGCAACCTCCACAACAAACACCTATGCCATTCCTACAGGAGATGATCGATTCAATGCCAACACCTAGCATGTCAGGTCCTCTATCCAATCAACTGATCCCACTTCCAGAAACAAGTCCATTCTACAATAGTTTTAATCAGCTAGATATGCAACTCCGACAACAAATTCAATTACAACAACAACAACAACAACAACAACAACAACAACAACAATTAAACGGAAACAGTAAAGATAAAGATAGAGCAGACAATCGCGGTGAAAGAGTCAGAGAAAGCAGAAGTAGAGATAGCAGGGATCTTGAACGTGAGCGTGATCGTGAAAAAGAAAGAGAACGTGAGCGTGAGAAAGATAGAGATCGTGAAAGAGCTAGAGATCACCGTGATCACAGAGATAGAGATAGAGACAGAGATAGAGATAACGACAGAGATAGAGACAGAGACAGAGATAGAGACTACAGAGATAGATCAAGAGACAGAGATAATAGAGAAAGTAGAGACAGAAGAGATAAAAGAGATAGAGATGACAGAAGTGATGATGACTATGATGATTCAAGAGGCGGTGGTTTCAGAGGTAGAGGAAGAGGTGGTCGAAAAATCAGAGGTGGTGCTTTCGGTCGAGGAAGAATCGTCACACATTCTTAATAATATATTTAATAATTATTCAAATGTCATTAGCATTAATAAATTTAATAAAATAATTTATTTATCATTTGAAGCTAACTGGTTTTAATTCGTTTTGAATGAATGATACCTATTAAAATAAATAAAAAAGTGTGAATTTTTATTTATAAAATTAATTGGTCTTTTATACTTTGTATTTTACTTTACAAAAAACCTCTTGGTTCCAAACCATATGGGTAATGAGGTTTTTCAGAACCATCAATATTTGAGTGAGAGTTTGTACTTAACAATTTGTGGTTTGTTCCGCCAACTTGTTCTTTGCATTCGATGCATTTACCTACTTCCATTGCGCCACCACAATTGTCTATGTAGTATAAGTGTCCGTTAGGACAATTAAACCAGTGACCAGCTGTGAATCCACTCATTTTAACAATATGACTTGCTTCGTTGTGTCTGATTCTTTCTTTAACCTTTTCAATGACCTTCCAATTTTCATTGACAATATCTTTATAACGTAGGATATTGGAAAAGATAAGTTTTTTACATATTGGACAGCCCTTTACACCAACTATCTCATCTTTTGTTTCCATGTATTGGTCGAATGATGTTACTTCAAACATATGATCGCAATCCAGTTGTATGAATAACTCATTGTCATCGAAATCCTTCAAAGTAATTAATAGTATAGGTTCAATCTCCTCGGGATCGCACACTTTGCATTTCTTAGTACAAAATTCACCTTGTAATCCCATACATTGATGACCACAGTTGAGTAGCTTCTCACATGGAACTGTTATTCTTGGTATATCGCATGGCTCTCCGCACTGCTTTGAACAACGGATACCATTTGCTGTTCTGATACATTGTTCTTTGCAAGGAGTACATTCCTCAATACATAACTTCTTACATCTACAATGTCTACATCGATTGGGACAATTGCCCTTGCAATTAAAACACTCCTTTCCACATCTATGACCTGGACACATATGACCACATATTAAAAGTTTTTCGCAATTCTTTTCACACACAGGATGAACAACTTTCCAACCTCTAGTAAATAATCCAACACTGGTTCTTTCTATAGTGTGATCTTTACAAGTTCGTTTACACGGATGTCCACATGGAAGTTTTTCCTCACAAATGACATTACAAACATTTGTTTCGTCGTGGCAGGCATGGGTGAGAGAGTGTCCACATTTCAATGTAGTCTCAACTGGAGCCATACATTTACTAATATCACATTGTCCACAGAGATGAGATCCATTGCAATCATGTCCACAATCTCTATCTGTTCTTTCACAAGGTGAAGTGCAATAGACGGAGCTATCATCAGCGTAACAATACTTTTGAGCAGTATGTCCACATTCCAATATAGTCTCAACTGTGGTCTTGCAAGGTCCACAATTATTATTGTGACAGTGGGATTGGCATTGATGACCACAATCTTCATATACCTCTTCACAATAATGCGAACATATAACAGAGTAGTGGTCCAGATCATGTGTATGGCAAGATCTAGGACATTGGTGACCACAATCTAAACGAGCATCACAATGTTTGTTACATCCACCTTCTGGAACATTGTCAAAGTCTGCTGCTGTTCGTACTTCGGTGATGGTATCCGGATGATTTACGCAAACCAATGGAATGAATGTATCGAGTTTCTTCTCTTCTTTGAGTTTACTGATCAAGTTGACCCAAAGATCGTTGGCTTTGGAAAGCAGTTGTGAGTTACCAACGATATACATTGCATTTCTTGCTCGAGATAGTAATACATTGATTCTGTTTTCAATCTTCAAGAATCCAGTGCTTCCCTCATTGTTTGAACGAACCAATGAAAGAATAATGAAATCACGCTCTTCACCTTGGAATTGATCAACTGTTCTTATAGTAATTCCCTCCAGAACAGGATTTTTCTTTGCTCTACTTCTAATCAGTATCAACTGACCAGTATATGGTGTCAATATGGCAATGTTGTTTGGTGAATAGTTGTGTTGGACAATATATTCTGCCAAGCGAACTACAAAATCAGCTTCAAATATGTTTGATTTGCTGGACTCGTTGGAATTCTCCATGTGACGATGATCCAAGAAGAATACATTCGATGGCATTCCATCAACTTTCTGCACTTTTATGAATCTTTCAATTACAGATGGATGATCAATGAGATGTGGATAAACTGGTTTGACAAATTGAGAGATATTGGGAACCATTCTTCTTTGAATTTCAAGAGTTTTGAAACCCATTCCATTCTTTACGATTCTTTCAAAGAGTGACATGCCAAGATTGTATTTCTTTGAAAGTTGGTAGACTTGTGATGAAGGTTTCAATTGCTTGTGATCACCAATCATGATAAGATGTTCAGCTGATGTTGTTAATGTAGCTACTATGTGTGATTCCAATACTTCTGCTGCTTCTTCAATGATAATGATTCGAGGTTTCACAGCTTCAATAACACGTTTCAATCTACTGGCACCTGTAGTTGTAGCTGCAACCACATCAGCACTCTTCAGAGCAATACGAGTCTGAACTCTCTCCCAATCCAAGAGAACTCCCGAGAGATACTCGTAGCGAGACTTTAGATCATTGAGCTTGCTCAAATACCAATGTATCTTCTGCTTTTGCCAGTGACGGTAGAGCAATACTCTTTGATCTAATGGAAGATTTGATATATCATACATGTCTTTAAAACTTGTGGACTTTTGCTCTATAATCCATAGTGGTAAGCTAATATCTATCTCCTGAACCTCATCCCTGTGTTCCTTTTGTTCCTTGTGTCTTGATCCACCAAAATCAAAAATTCTACTTTCAATTAGCTCCTCTACCATCTCTTCATCCATTTCATCTTCTTCATGTAGTTGATCTTGTTGTTTTCTTTGTTGTTTGGGTATAGGAAAAGATTGATGAACTTTGGTGTAGGTCGAATTTTGTTGATTTAAAATAGGTGTGCAGGAATTCAGCCATGCATGGATTGATGCTTTACCTCTGTATGAAATTGATTCCAAATGATAAACGTTCTTCAGGTTACGAAGGTCTTTGAAGGTGAGCTTGCCTGAAACTGCTACCATTCTATTCAAAGTATTTCTAATCTCTACAACAATACCATCCATTTCATTGATATATTGGTATTGAGATTTTGTTCTTTTGATATGATTTCTGATATTGAATTGCTCAAGATCAGGATCTTTGCTTCTGTTACCAAGCCGAATGATATTCTTGGTTGTATTTAGACAACCTTGAACAAATTGATCCAGAGCATGGTTCGTGTAAGAGATGAGTAGAACTGGACCATCTCTATGTTTGGTATGTCGGTGGAGAAGCTCAAACAGTTTCAAACCAATAAATGTTTTACCAGTTCCTGGAGGTCCTTGAATCAGTGAGACTTCTGTATTCAAACAATGTTCAATTGAATTTAACTGAGATTGATCGAGTTCATCTAGTTTGGTTGGAAACGATTGAATTTCATTGGATATTTCATTTTCCCAATCTTCTATTGATTGGTTATCATGCTCCACCACATCGAAAGTTGATAAAAATTTAATATATGGATTCTTGAGAATATAAGCAGGTGGTTTTGTGTCGATGCTACAGTCCAAGAGATATTGTTGAAATGGGATAGTGTCTACATTGATATCCTTAAGCGACTTCAAGACATTCTTGTAGGCTTCAAAGTAAGAAGGTGATTCTATCATCAAAAATGACTTGGTAAAAAGAGTTGATAGGATATTCTTTCTAACAAATCTTCTACGTGATTCATTCCTTGATAGTTGTACATAAACGTCGAAAGCGTCAGGCTTCTCATTTCGATAACCGTTTTCGTAGTCATAGTCATTGTCATAATCATCGTCAGAGTGATCATCATTATACATTTCGAATTCTTCATGAATGTGCTCAGGAAGTTCGTGAGGATGAATAGAATGATTCTCTTCAAGTATAGAGATAGTAATTTTGGGATCACTACCTCTTTTTGGACGATCTTCAACAACAGCCCAAATGACAGTATTGAAATTATCACAACTTAGTCCAACCAAGGAACCTTGTAGTAATCTTGGATGTCTGGACCATTCAATTGGTTTGTTTGGTTTAAATTTAATGGTATATGACAATGAACTACGCGTACAACTTAGATCTATAAAAATAGTTAATATAATTATAATCTTATTTTTTAACTAAATATTTAACTTACTCTTGAAAACTACATCATGATAGAAATACTTTGATGATTTACCGGCTTCAAAGTCATCAAGTGCTTCTCTCATTGGTTGAATAAGATCCTCACGGAGTAGACAATACTGAGTGTCAAGGTACTCCTCAGCGGATTCATACTTTCCAACCTTAAGAGCATTTAGCTCTGGCATGTTAGATCTCAGCTCTTGCTTGGAAGGAAATATCGATAGATCGTGATATCTAATTGGAATATTGCTATTATTATCACGTTTTTCCATCTATTTTAGTTGTATTAAATTAATATTAATAAACTTTATATAAATAATAATAAGTAATAAAGTTTACCTTTTCTTTATGGAAAATTTGTTGTTGTCTCATCCTTTGAATTGGTTTGAGTATATCGGGATCGTTGGACTGACTACATTGGTTTTCCAGCAGTTCAAGTGGAAGTAGGTTGTATGCTTGAGAAGTGAACTTTTGGGTGATTACCAAAAATAAGTGAATACAATTCAACTGTAATTCCTTTTGATTCTTGAATTGAGAGGAGCTTAACAAACGTGGAAGATTGGAGAAATGACCAATAAAGTTCGACTTCATCAACTTTTGGTACATTTCATTGACTGCAGTATCTAACAAACTGTCTTGTAATGATTTCTGTGAAAACAGCTCTATTAACAAGCACATCGTTGAAATCTCAAGGTTTGAGCGACCTAGTATGTCCTCTAGGGCCAACTTCGACATGGGTAGCTGCAGAACAACCATCGGATCTTCATCGAGCCTCTTCATATCTTCGATTCTCTTTCTAAGAAATATAGAGATACCAGCATTGTCCGTGAATGGTTTGTAATCTCTCTTTGTATCTGTAGTTGAAGATTGCAAAGTAGATGTTGATGTTGTTGATGTTGATTTAGATGATGAAGTTCCACATGTAGTCCATCCTTCTTCATCTCTTACATTAATATTAATAATTCTGCTACTACTACTACTACTAAACAATTTGTTTCTTTGAGTTTCAAATTTAGATTTTCTGCCAATTGTGACGATATCTAAAGATGAATACTGATCTTGAGTGATAGATTGTAAAGTCACTCCATTAACCTCTTGTTCCTTGAATGTGGGAACCAGTACTGATAAATCTATTTCTTCAAGCCATTTACAAACTTCATCTATCGACCACTTTGTTGCATCAGTCACTGGTTTTGAAAATGATTTGATTTTTTCATAAGAAGGATCTAATTTAAAAAAAATCAACCATTAGAAATTTGTTTTTTTTTTGAAAAAAATAAAATAAATAAATAAAAAAATAATTATTATTAACTTTAACATATAAAAAATTAATAAAATAAATTATAATAAAAAATAATAAATATTACCATGATAAAAATCACAATTATCCATTTTTTTACAATGTCCTTGTTTCCAATAAAGACATTCTTTTTTGGGTCTATTAAATCTACTAATCATTATTATACTATAAACAATATGTTTTATACTAAAAAAATAAATATTGTTTTATAATTAAATGTATTGTTTAAAAAAAAATTGATAACTTTAACATTTAGGTTTTTCAATAAACTTAAATTCAAAAGTCAATGTTGATTTTATTATTGATTTCCCATATTACAATAACCATTTTTTGAACACCAATTTTTGATTGAACATCTTTTAATAAATGTAAAATTAAAACTTTACAAAAATTAATTGTAAATAAACTGGAAATTACTGTTTTATCAAACAAAATTCAACAACAATGTTAAAATGATATTATATTATTAGATTATTACTTGTTTATTATTTTATTTTAATCTATTTAAATGAATTAAAATCCTTGTGGTTCATGACCATAGGGATATTGAGGCATGATTGTTCCATCTACATTCGAGTGTGAATTTGTGTCTAACAGTCTGTGATTGGTACCACCAACTTGCTCTTTGCATTCGATGCATTTACCTACTTCCATTGCACCTCCACAGGCATCAATGTAATAGATATGGTTCTTGGGGCATTTAAACCAATGACCTGCTGTGAATCCATTGGCATGAATAACTTGGTTGATCTCATCTTTGGTGATGGTGTGTCTGAGTCGTTCTTTGATCTTTTCAATGTTTCTCCAATTCTCATTGACAATGTCTTTGTAACGCAAGATATTCGAGTAGATGGTAGTCTTGCACTCTGGACAACACTTCAGAACGATTGCATCTTCCTTCATATTCATGTAGGTATCTAGCTGCTCCACAGCAAATATATGCTTACAATCGAGCTGGATGAATCTTTCCTCAGGTTGAAATTCTTTCAGTTCCATTCGTGAGATTGGTTCAACAAAAGTTGGGTTACATTGTCTACAGAGAGCTGGACATGTTTCACCTCTTAATCCCAGGCATGGATGTTTACAATTGAGCAACTTCTGACAAGCTTCGTCAGAGATAGTAACATCACATATCTCATTGCACAGCTTGGAGCAACGTACTCCATTGGGACCGTATCTAAGACAACGTTCTTTACATGGGTCACATGGTAAATTACATGGTTTCTTACACTTTGAGTGTTTGCATTGATTGGTACAATTACGAGAGCATGGTTTACACTGCTCAACGCATTTATGTCCTATACAGATATGATTGCAAATCAACTTTCTTGAGCAGTCATTTGTACAATCCGGATGGACGAGTTCACCATTCTCGAACTTGTGTTCCTTGCACATCACCTTACATGGATGACCACATGGCAGAATTTTCTTGCATTTGATGTTACAAGAAATCGATTTGTTGAAACATGGCAGTTTGTGGCTGTGACCGCAAGGGAAAACACGGTTCACTACAACTTGGCAACGATCTTTGATGCAAGATACACCACAGACATGGACACCATTGCAATTGTGGCCACAATCAGGTCTTGATTTTTGGCATTGAACCTGGCAGATGACTGAGGGAGTTGGAGTGGAGCAGCTTTTCTGTGTGCTATGACCGCAGTGGAGAGTCACCTGGACCTGTGTTTTGCATGGCCCACAACGACTACCCTCGTGACAATGTCCTTGACAAATATGATCACAACCATCCAGAGGTTTATGACAATATTGAGTGCAAGTGACATTCTTATGATTTGAATCACCGATATGACAGGATCTAGGACATTGATGTGCACAATCTAAACGAGCATCACAACGCTTGTTACATCCACCTTCTGGAACATTGTCAAAGTCTGCAGCGTTACGAATTTGAGTAATGGTATCAGGATGATTTACACAAACCAATGGAATGAATGTATCGAGTTTCTTCTCTTCTTTGAGTTTACTGATCAAGTTGACCCAAAGATCGTTGGCTTTGGAAAGCAGTTGTGAGTTACCAACGATATACATTGCATTTCTTGCTCGAGATAGTAATACATTGATTCTGTTTTCAATGCTCAAGAATCCAGTGCTTCCCTCATTGTTTGAACGAACCAATGAGAGAATGATGAAGTCACGTTCTTCACCTTGGAATTGATCAACTGTTCTTATCGTAATACCTTTGAGATTCATTCTATTAACTCTACTTCTGATCTTTAGCAACTGACCAGTATATGGCGTCAATATGGCAATGTTGTTTGGTGAATAGTTGTGTTGGACAATATATTCTGCCAAACGTGCGACAAAATCAGCTTCAAATATGTTTGATTTGCTGGTTTCGTTGGAATTCTCCATGTGACGATGATCCAAGAAGAATACATTCGATGGCATTCCTTGAACTGTGTGCACCTGTGTATATCTTTCGATTACAGATGGATGGTCAATGAGATGTGGATAAACTGGTTTGACAAATTGAGAGATATTGGGAACCATTCTTCTTTGGATAGCAAGTGACTTGAATGACATTCCATTCTTGACGATTCTCTCAAAAAGTGATAAACTAAGATTGTATTTCTTTGAGAGTTGGTAGACTTGTGATGAAGGTTTCAATTGCTTGTGATCACCAATCATGATTAGATGCTCGACTGTCTTTGGGAGCACTGAGACAATGTGAGATTCCAATACTTCTGCTGCTTCTTCAATGATGACTATTCTCGATTTGATGGACTCCAAGACACGCTTCAATCTACTGGCACCAGTGGTTGTGGCGGCAACGACATCTGCATGTTTTAATGCATTCATATAGGCAATATCTTCATACTCTAGAATCTCTCTGGTTGTCTTTTCATATTCAACCTTTAAAACATTCAACTCGTCGAGACAATGTCTAATCTTGATTTTCTGCCAATGTCTATACAACTGAATTCTCTCGCCAATATCCAAAGAATGGACATTATCGACATCTGAATAGTCATTCGATACTTGGTCGTTGATCCACAACGCCAAACTAATATCGATTTCATCTAGCTTCTCCTTGACTTCGAAATCTTGCATTCTACTCTCCATCAACTCTTCAAGAGTTTCAGCATCAATTTCCTCATCATCTTCAACTACAGGTTGTTGTGGTTGTTGTTGCTGTTGTTGTTGTTGAGCAGTTAAATTGCTTGTTTGATTCTTATTCTGTTGAACGATGATATTCTTGATGGAATCGAACCATTGCTTGACGGAAGAAGGTCCTCTAAATGCCATGGATTCATAATGATCAAACTTTGCAAGCATCTTGAGGTCATCGTAATTCAGATTAAGTGAATCTCTGAGTTTTAGAGCAATCTTTGAGATTGAATCGACTAGTGAATCACGACGTTTAATTAATCCCCATTGACCACGTGAACGGCTGATATGATTTCTGATGTTATACTTCTCCAACTCTGGTTCCTTACTTCTACTTCCGAGACGAATAATACTCTTGGTTGTGTTTAGACAACCTTGAACGAATTGATCCAATGCATGATTGGTATAACAGATGACAAGGATTGGATGCTTGGTAGAACCCATATGCTTATTGATGTGTTGGAATAGAAGCTCGAAGAGTTTCAAACCGATAAAGGTTTTACCGGTACCTGGAGGACCTTGAACCAAAGAGATTTCAGATTTCAAACAGTGTTGAACGGCTTCCATCTGTGAGACATCTAGGGCATCGAGTTTCGATGGGAATGATTTCAACACATCGATATTGGTGAATGGTTCCACCTCTTCAAAAGCATCGGAGAAATCAATTGTTGGGAATCTACGAATGTACTCTGGAGGGCGTGTATCTACATCGCATTCCAATAGATATTCTTTGAATGGGAGTGTCTCAGAATCGATATCTTTTAATGACTTTAAAACACTCTTGTATGCCTCAAAGTAAGCAGGTGATTCAATCATCAAGAAGGTCTTGGAGAACAAATTGGAAAGCACTTCATCGCTGTTGCTCATAGCATTAAACTTTGACAACTTTTCAAATAACGCTTCCTCATCAGAGTCATCCATGTAGTCGGAATCGAAAATATGATTACCATTACCATCGAAATCGTCGTCGTGATAATCATTGGAGTCATGTAGAATCGAGATAGTAATTCTTGGATCATTACCCTCCATTGGTCTACTCTCAACAACTGCCCAAACAATAGTATTGAAACGGTCACAACTAAGTCCAACCAACGATCCTTTCAACAGTCTTGAATACTTTTGCCAATTAATTTGTCTATCTGGTTTAAACTGAACATTATATGAAATAGATGTATTTGTACAACTTAAACCTGTTCAAAATAAAATTGTTAATACAATGGCATATGACATATACTTATATATATTTACATTAACTTACTCTTAAATTTAACATCTTTATATAAATATCTTGAGTATTTACCAGCTTCGAAATCAGCGAGTGCTTCTCTCATTGGATGAATGAGATCTTCACGTAATAGACAATATTGAGTATCGATATACTCCTCTACACTTTCATAGCGACCAACTCTGAGTGGTTTCAAGAGTGGAAGTGTCTTGGATCGCAACTCGGTTCTCGATGGATAGATAGAGAGTGCGTGGTATCTAATAGGTATATCATCGGTCATCGATAAGATGATTCTCTCTTTGTCCATGATGTTCTGTTGACGAATCTTCTTTATCCAAAAGTCAATGTTTGGATCTTTCGAGTTGGGAGAAGCCTTCCACTCACGTTCGAACGTCTCCAGAGGAATGTGAGAGTAGCCCTTCGAGAACTTCTGAGTGATCTGCAAGAACACCTGAATGCAATCGACTTGCACCTGTTTGCTTCCTCTAAAGTGGCTGGTCGTTATGAAACTAGCGAGTCCAGAGAAATGGCACATAAAGTTGGATTTCATCAACTTCATGAACAGCGCGTTGCTCGCAGTGTCGAGGAAACTCTCTTTCAGCGTCTTGTGACCAAAGAGTCCGAGAATGAGACGCATAGTTTGTGGCTCCAGTCCTGTGCGTCCCAAGATGTCATCGATGCTCGCCTGGTGCATTGGCGACTGGAGTGTTGGCATGATATCATCGCCTCTATCCAACTCATCGATTCTCTTTTCCAAGTAAGCATTGATAGCATGATTGTTTCTGAATGGTTCATATGCTTTCTTCTCTTTCTTTGGTGGTGCACTATCGCTATTCACCTTGTTATTGTTGTTGCTGCTATTGTTGTTGTTGGTATTCTCTACCATTGAAGTAACAAGTTTATCTCTGTTCAATTCAAACTTTTTCTTCTTACCGATGTTGTTTAGACCGAGTTGTTCATACTCTTCGGTTCCGATTGAGAGTAGAACATCACCATCGATTGCTTGCTCGGCAAAGACTTCTACCAAAGCAGCGAGATCAATAGATTCCAACCACTTTCCAACTCTTTCAACCGACCATAATCTAGGATCTTCAAATACTTCGTTTTTAATATTTGATTTTGATATAGCTGTTGAAGTTGTTGTAGTAGTTGTAGTTGTTGTTGTTTTTGAAGTTGATTTGGTAAATGAACCGCTTTGTACTTTGACTATTTTAAATAAAAAATTAAAAATTAATCAACATAAATATCTTTATTTGTTTTGTTTTATTTAGCTTCATCATGACACTTACCATGTGAAAAATCACATTTGTCACCTTTCTTGCAACTTCCTTGTTTAATAAAATGAAAACATTCTTTTTTACTATTACCATTATTATTGCTATTATTGTTATTGTTGTCTTTATTATCTTTTTTATCTTTATTATCTTTAGAATGATATTTTTTGTCAATACTTTTGTTGTTGTTATTATTATTGTTATTCTTGTGATTATTATTGACTTTTGTAGATGTAGTGGTTGATGATGATGATGAAGTTATATCATCATTACTCCATATATAGTTATCCATATCATATGAAGTAGTTTCAATATTAATATCTAAATTATTATTGATGTTTCTTACTTTATTATCTTTATTATTATTACTATTGTTAATAATACTATTATTGTTATTTGTTTTAATGTTTATACGAGTGAATGTTTTTGGTAAAAGGAATTTAGATGAATTTGATAAAAAGGTTGGGTTCTCCTCTTCAACTTTATCATTTTCATTGATGATGGATTTCTGTGTTGAGGATTTGGGGGTTTCATAATTATGTTTGTCTTCACCCACCTCCAAGGGTGAAAACTTAAAAGTTAAAGTTGACATTGTCCAAAATTCTCATTTTTTTCAAAAACAATTAAAATTTAATTGTTTTTTGAAAAAAATAAGAATAAAGTTTAAGAATAGGATAAAAATAGATATAAGAATATATAGATATAGAATATATAGAGAAATAAATAAAAAAGGAGAATATATTTAAATAGAGATAATTGTTTTCATATTTAGATTATTAAATATAAAAACAAGAATAAAAAAAAAAATAAAAAACAAGTGGATGATTATAAAAAGTATGGATGCTGTAATGATTTAATGCTTGCTCATGATAAATACTTTGAGACAAACATGGTAAATGAAAAAATATTATTATTTGAAGACATGTTGTTTGAATAAGATTAGATAGATTGAATGATTAATTGATTAATTGATTGATTGTTTGATTTTGATTTATTTTAGGTATTGTTTAAGAAAAAGTCAAAAGAATTTATTTTCTTTTTCCTTTTATAATATTTATACTTAACAGTTCATTTTGATTTTCTAGAATGAATTGATTGTCGACAAATTTTAGGTTTATAAATAACCTTTCATCACTAAAAGTAAAAATAGAGGGAATTTTTTAAGAATATCCAAAGTTTTTTTTCAAGTCAAAACTATCCATTATTTTTCTATGATTTTAGACATATGTTTGTTGTTATTAAAGAAGATAAAAGAATAAAGTTTCTTGTGAAATATTTTGGAAGTTGTTCATAATCACATAACAGGTTATTTTATTTAACAAATTTTCATACCAAATTATTTTGAGAAAAGTTTAAATATTATTTCATTATGCAAACTTTTAGTTTTTATAAACAATCATTTATAATGATTTACCATTATTCGAATTTATTTTATGAAAAATATTGTAAATTTATAAACTATAGTTATTATTATTATTATTGTTGTTGTTATTATTGTTATTTGTGTTATTATTATCGATATTAATTTGTGGGGGAGGAGTTGGTAATCTTTGTATTGGTGTTCCAATATTATTATTGTTGTTACCTTGTTGTTGTTGCTGAAGGATAGCTTGTAGTTGATTGATGATAAATATTTGGTGCTCTTCCATTCGTTGGATTTTCTCTTCTACAACCATACGAGCGGATCTCTCCTCCTCGATCTTTTCGAGGAGTTGCTCTTTGATGTCGGGCTTTCCGTCAGAGTCACCATCGTCAGTCTTCTCCGATGCAATCAGCGTTTGAATTTGCTTACGGTAACGACGGTCTCGACCAAAGTTCTTTACAGATTCGATGTACTTCATCGAGAAGTATGCTTCCTGTGAGTTGAACACCGATCGACTCTCTGCAAAACTGTTTTCATTCTGCCAACGATATCTCTTCCATACGACCTGTATCAATCTCGCTGCAGAATTACGTTCCTTCTCTTGTACCTCCAACAAATAGATATAATTCAAAATTGGTTTTTGATGAGCAGTTGGATGTGTCAAATTCGAGAATTGTTCAATCAAACAAGCCAAAGTGAAAAGACCCAAAACAGATGACATCTAGAAAAAAATTAATTTAATAGAAAAGTAAGTTGGTTGATGTTGTTGTTGGAAATTATTGCGGAAAGATAGATAGATAGATAGATAGATTGTTTGCTTCAACTTACAATTGATCCAAATCTACCAAAGAATGTTGCTGGATTGTATTCATCGAAGGAATCGGTTGGCCAACCGGTAAACATCGAGAGGAATGAAATGTAGAGGGAAACTGGATAGGTGAATGGCTTTGGTTGGTCGAGATCCTCACGCTCAAAGACATAGATGATGTGCGAGCAGATAAAGATGATAAAGATTGTGAATGGAATGAATGTGGTGAGTGGTCGCTGATAGAGCAGTGTCTTCAAGCTGAGCGACCAGTTGAACTTTGGTGGAACTTCGTTCTTCTGTCGATACTTGGCTTGGATGCTATGACGCAGTTTATAGACATGACTGAAATCTCTGTACACACGAATGAACATATAGATACGCAGCCACATGAAAAGTCCCCACTTGGGATCGGACCAAGTCCGAATAGGGCCACTAGCAAATGGCACGGGCATGATCATACAAATCAGTACTTCCGCCCAGAACAACGGTGCCATCGTAGTAGATCTTAGTACATTCAAAGGTGTCACTCTGAATCCTCTCGCTCTCTTTGTAAGCCAACCATGAGTAACATTCGAGAGTAACAATCTATAATAATCCATCAATTGACAAACTTTGCAATTCCCAAAAGAAAACAAAAAAGAATATTAATATTTCATTTTCTTTGACTCTGTTTACTTTATTATTATTATATAATGTTGTAAGATCTTACTTAAAATGATTGTTAATGCAAATATTAAACCTCTAAATACTTTTGAGGATTCATCGATCACCAACTCTTTGCCAGTCCAAGATACTTGAAGTTCGACGATCATCAGTGCAATACCGATCATACCATTGAGGAAGATGTAGAGGTATCGATTACGAAGGATCTTGTCGATCTTTTGTGACTCTGCCTCACTCTTTAGAGTCTGCACCGATTGCAACAATGAATTCGATGGTAATATTTGGAATTCATCTTCCACACGATTACGTGATAAATGACTAAGTAATTTTCGCCGATTCATTTAAACTCTTTATTATAAAAATAAAATAAAAAAAGAACTTTTGTTATTTACTAACTATTTTATTATTATTATTATACTACTACTACTGTTATTTATCTATCTATCTATATCTATTTTTATTTACTATACAAAATGTGTGGTATTATATATTATTAATATTATATATTCTATAAATAAACAAACTCAATCAAATCAAGTCAAATATCACCTCCACTTCCTCTTTGGAATAATAATAATGAGGTGATTATGATTGAGTCGTCGTTGAACGGCTGCCTCAAATGAAATGATTGAAACCTTGTTGTGATTAAACAAAAATAAAATAAAATAATTAAATATATATTGAACTTAGTTTGTGTGTGTATAATTCTAACAAACTAACTAACCAATGAATGATTGTAGTTGTTTTGTTTTGTTTTGTTTTTTCTTTTGTTAAAATAAATAAATATTTGTTTGTATTTTTATATTAAATTAAATTAATTAAAATACTACTATTATTATTATTACTATATATTTTTATCTAAGTATATTGAAGAGATGGGATAATTATTTATTTAAATAAAATGAATGGAATGTGAAAGAAATTTGAACAAACAACCAACTTCCTGTTACATTATGTGGGATGACCACCCTCCCAAAATAACTATCACATTATTAATAAAAATTTTTTAACTTTTGATAGGGTTTTGCAAAAAAAACAAAAAACTCATTAAATTCATCCGATCCCTTGAACGAAAGGACATGGTGCAATGGTAAAAAAAAATTTAAAACTGGTCAACTTCCACAAAAATACATCAGATTTTTATTTTTTTATTTTGTTAAAAATGTACAATTGATTTTTTTGGTTTTTATTCCTTTTTAATTAATTTTTAAAGTATTAATATAATTATATAGTTATTATTATCATTATTATTTTTTACAATGATAAACCATTTTGTTGTTGGTTATTATTTTTAATTACAGCTCTTTTACCTTGTTGTACGATTTCAAAGGATAGTGATTTTTTGTTTGCAACTTGCTGGGTGATTGTACCGATACAAAGTGAATCTGAACTTTGAAGATAGTTTAGAATTGGTAGATCCATATCTTTGGCAAAGAATAAGCTTGGCTCGTTCATCTTGTCATACCAAAAGAAATCGAAATTCTGATTGTTTATCAACTCTGGTATTGCTTGTGGAATAAGGTATTGTACAACATGTCCCACCGTATAGTGTACATGTATAGTGATATTTGCAATATGTTGCTTAGTCTTGTGTGAGATAATCTTTACGGTTCTCGGATGTTGTGTTTCTCTAAACAATTGGAAAAACAGTTTTTTAATATGTTCATAATTATTAATATTATTATTTTCATTTGGATCTTGTTGTTGTTGTTGTTGATGTTGTTGTACTTGTTGTTTTGGTGGTGGAGTCGGTGGTAATTGTTTGTTTGGTACAGTTTGTTGTTGTTGTTGTTGTTGAACTACTACTTGTTGTTGTTTGACTGGAGAAGTAGGTGTTGTTGGTGTGGAGTTATTTGGTGATTGATTTGTTGGTGTCAAGAAGTTGATGCTACTGTTGAGTTCGGCTGGAGGTTGTGATGATGAATTGGCGGATTTCTCGAGTGTGGATCTGGCCATTTTGGTCCAAACGACAAAGAAATCCTTGTTGGATTGGATAACGGATTTCTCGATGAGTCCACCGATACCCCAGATCGATTTGATGAATTTGACGGCCGTGGACACCTTGAGTTGACAGTGATCTTTGTTGGCGGCGGCCGGCTCGAGCGAGATGTAGTTCTCAACGGAGAAGCTGTCGCCGTATGGCACATCACGAGACACCGAGCTGGTCTCCATAAAGTAGCCACCGGTCGAAGTTCGTCTAATCTTTTGTACCTGTGTGACACTAGCTACTTTTGGACCGATCTTGAAAGAGATCGGTGTTTTAAAGTTGAGTGTACGCTCTTGGTGACAACCCGATGGTGAGGTAGACCAATTGCCTTCGTTCATATCGTAGAATCCCATCTCCTCGCTAACCTTTGCCCAGAAGCTAGAGTCAATAATCACACGATAGAATTTTCCACTTTGAATTGGAAAGGTTTCGATTACATAGGGTTGAAGTTGACCAACCTTTGATATTGGATCCATATCTTTACATTCAACTAATATAGGTGATTTTATACTATTTAACATTGTATTATTATTATTATTATTATTTGGTAGTGGTGGTTGTAGTACTGGTGATAATATTACATTATTATTAACATTATTATTATTATTTGGATTTGAAATTGTAGATGTTGGTATGACTTGATCTATATTATTAATTGTAATTAAACGTGGTGAAATTATATTGTTTGGATTTTGTAAAAGCTGTTGTTGTTGTTGTTGTTGTTGTTTGGTATTGTCAATGATAACATTGTTTGATGTATTGTCATCGTTGTTGCTATTACTACTGTTTGCACTATTATTACTATTGTCATCCCAACGAATAGATGGTTCGTAAGCGGTTGGCTGATTTGGATCACATGATATAATATTTCCAGAGGTGATATCGTAGAGATCGAAACTATCGAGATCGGAAGGACCACTATAATTCTCGTGAATCGAACAACTCAATCCTTCGAATTGACCTGATGTCAGCATATCAATTGTTTGAACATATCCTCTTCCATTCATATGAGAATGATCATTATGATTCATTCTCCTGCGTTGTAAATTTACAGTTTGTAAAATGAACAAAAACTAAATAAAATAACAATAACAATAACAATATTAATTTAAAATAAATATTGTTGTTTAAATTATAATATAATATTCAATAATATAATTTGATCTATTTATCTATCTATCTCTCTTTCCTTTTTTTTTTTAATTTAAATTAAAAATTTAATTAAAATATTAAAATCTGTTAAATAATAATTATGATCTCTCTATATATTTATATTTATATATTTATAACAATGAGACAATAAATATATATTCAACTTTATAAAAAAAATAGTATAAATTAATATTGCTTCACTTAATTATACTTTTTTTTTTTATTTTTTCAAAAAACATGTTTAAATTAATAAAAGAAATTTAATTGTTGTGGGTGTTCGTGTGTGTTTGTTTTTTGTTTTAGTTTTGCAAGACAACAGAACCATTGTTCTAATCCTGGCATATAATGTCATTGCACATACATGTTCTCGTTTAATTTTAAATTTTAAAATTAGCATTATGCGAAACAAACCGTTGTTCTATCCAATTATTAATTCTTCATTAAATTTCTTTCTTAAATTCTGTCTATCTGTTTGTTTTTTTTTCATGGTTTTTAAATAAAATTGATTATGTTTTATGATTATATTTTAGATTATATGATTTTTATTTAAATATATATATTGGTTGCTTAAAAAAATATTATTTTGCTTATTGTTGTTGTTGTTGATCTTGTTGTTGTTTAGTTACAGTGCTGTTTTTGTTGATTTCAGATAGTGGAATGGGTGGTTTGACTTCACGGAACATCGAAGCAGGGAATACGTAGGGAACGGCACCGAATGCCTTGAGATGTGCTCTCTGCTTTGTGACACCTTTCTTTGTTGATTTTTTGTTCTTGTAGAATGATTGATAGGAGTAATCGAATGGCATTGCAATGATCTTTGTCTTTACTGATTTAATAGTATCTTCAATACTCAAATCATCTTTCATTGTTCTGACTGGTTTTGTAATGACTGGTTGTGGTTTTTCTTCTTGTGTTACATCTGCTGATGATGATTCTTCATTGCTACTATATAATCTAATGTTGTTATTGTTATTATTATAACTATTTATATTTAAATAACTTCCAACTAATCTTGAATTATTCTTATTAAAACTATATTTTAACATTTTTATTTTTAACTTTCTATATTACTATTGTATTGTTATTACAACAATTTACATATAATAAACATCATTGTTGATTCATCGTTTTTTTTTTGATCAGAAAAAAAAAAAAAAAAAAAAACTGAAAAAAAAAAAAAAAAAAGTAATTTATATTTTTTTCAGATATATTATCTAGTTGTTTTGTTGTTCATTTAATTTATTATAGTAATAAAACAAGACAAAGACAATTATATAAAGATGGAAAAGTTTGAATATTTATCGATTAGATATGATGGAAAAGGTTTGTTGGAGATTTTAGATCAGAGAAAGTTACCGGATGTAGAGGAATGGCTTGTCTCTGCCAAGCCTGAAGATATGATTGGATATATAAAGCAACTATCAGTTAGAGGTGCACCTTTGATCGGTGTTGCTGCATGTGTAGCATTGTTTTTATATGTAAATAATGAGGAGTCGGCTAGAGCTCAGTGTTTGACTGAGGAGGAGGTGACCGTAGTTGCCACCAAGCTGCGCGATGCCAGACCCACCGCTGTCAACCTCATGAACAATCTCGATGAGATGTTACAACTCACTGTAAAGCCAACTGCCGATTTCTCGGCTGCCAACCTCGGACGTATTGCTCGTGCCATCATCGATCGTGAGGTGGACATGTGCGCCAGAATCTCAGTGGCCGGAGCGGAGCTGCTGAGCGACGGAGACAACGTACTTACACACTGCAATACCGGTGCCATTGCCACGCCGGGCATGGGAACAGCACTGGGAATCATCCGTGAAGCCTGGCGTCAAGGCAAGAAAATTCATGTCTACGTCGACGAGACACGTCCACTGCTTCAGGGTGGCCGTCTAACCACGTACGAGCTGGCGCGTGAGAAAATTCCACACACTCTGATCTGTGACAACATGGCAGCGACTCTGATGGCACAAGGAAAGATTCAGCGTGTGTTGGTCGGTGCCGATCGTATTGCGTGTAACGGTGATTTCGCCAACAAGATTGGCACCTACTCGGTGGCGGTGCTGGCGCACTACCACGGTGTTCCATTCCACGGTGTAGCGCCGTGGTCGACAGTCGACCTGCTATGTCCATCCGGAAAGGACATCCCCATCGAAGAGCGTCAAGCTTCAGAGGTTCAAGGTGTTTCCGGAGCGTTTGGAAATGTCAGATGGGCACCCGCCAACACACCAACTTTCAACCCAGCGTTTGACGTCACCCCCGTCGAACTTGTAACCAGCCACATTTTAGACACAGGAATTTACACTCAACAACAACTCAAAGATTCGATTTTAACCAAACATAAATAAATATATAATATAGAAAATCAATCAACCAACTCCACACCACCATTATAATTAAAAATTGCTGACTTTCAAATCTCGATTATTATTATTCATTTGCTTTTCAATTTTTATCTGCCGTACTGGTATCATGATGGTAGCAACACTAATACCGGCAAACACCATATTCTTTGGTTTGCCAGAGTTGATAATAAAGATCTATGCAATAGTTTCGTTAATATTTATCACAAACTTTTAAATTTGCGGTAGATAATTGCTTAAATCTTTATGAAAGTATTAGGATCTATAAACTCTTTTTGTATATTAATAAGCTCGACAAAAATGATTATATAGTATAATCTCGATTTTTTTTTTTTTGGTAACTATGGTAATACCAAATTCATGGGTGAATCAAAGAATAGTTTTAGTTGAAGATGAATATGCAAATGAAAACTTAAGATTTCAATTAAGTTTGTTGATTCATTCTACTTCCCACCTGTGAATATTATTGACTCATATGTATCAAACCCAACATGCTCGAAATTTCACAATTTTTCCCATTTTTTCTTATTTTATTTTTATTTTTATTTTTTCCTTCTTTCTTATAAATTTTGAAAACAATCTTTATATTAGATATTATTACATCATCAATATATATATAGTTTATAAATAGATAGAAAGATAGATATTTAAAAATGGAAGCTGAAGGTGGAGGATTCTATGTACAACCGATTGCATGTAAACATTTATTAGATTCAGATTTACGTGAGGAAGCATTGGATATCGGAGTATTTGATGGTGCTGATTGTATGTGTTAAATACTATTGTTTTTAGATTCATTGTTTGTTTTAAATAAAGAATCCTACAGTTATTAATTTCATTCAATGTTTATTATCTATTTGATGACGACGACGACGATTTAGTTTCGAGAATTGCATGTGGAAAGTGTGATGATGAATCAGAGAATTGGGTTTGTTTGAAGTGTAGAGCCATTGGATGTTCTAGATACGTACAATCACATGCATCTGATCACTTTGACACTTGTGGACATCCTATTTCCGCATCATTCTCTGATCATAGTGTTTGGTGTTATCTTTGTCAAGAGTACTTAGAACATTATGTAAGCATTGCAAAAGTCTAACTAATCAAACAAACAGCTAACTAACTACTAATTATCATTCTTTATAGACACTTGCACCATTCTTGGATATTTTAAATACAATCAAATTCTTCAAGGAGAAAGAAGAGAAGAAGATTGAACCAGCAGCAGTAGCACAATCAACAACAACCATAATATCGAAGGAACAAGAACAAACAATTGGAGAGGATGGTACAACTATTACCTCTACAACATCTACTACTACAACCACCACAACAACATCGAATGTTGGTAGTGGTAGTAGCAGTAGTACAACTTTTATTTCATCGTCGTCGTCGTCTACTACATACACAGCAGAGAAAGATTTGGCACATGATTTCGAATCGAGTGAATCTGAGGACGAGTCACTGAGCGACCAAAAGAGTGGATTGCTTCAGAAGATGTTGGGTCTCTTCATTGGCAACAACAAGTCAGCACAAGCGTTGGACGGTGAGTGCAATCTCAAGAGCATTGCCAACTACATCAAGTCTGGCAAAGCAAAGAATATCATTGTGCTGACCGGTGCCGGTATTAGTGTTGCCGCCGGTATTCCCGATTTTAGATCACCAAAGACCGGACTCTATCACAACCTCGCCAAATTCAACCTTCCCTACAAGACCGCTATCTTTGACTTGGAGTATTTCGTCGAGAATCCAAAACCATTCTTTGTTCTTGCAAAAGAACTCTATCCAGGTGGATTCAACGTAAGTTTCTATTATTATTATTATTTAACTGTTGTTTTAAAAAACATCCATTATTTATACCATTCATTATTATTATTATTATTATTATTATTATTATTATTATTATTATTATTATTATTATTATAGCCAACAGAAGTACATCACTTTATTAAATTATTACACGAGAAAGGATTATTATTGAGAAACTATACACAAAACATCGATACATTGGAGAGAGTCGCTGGCATTCCAGAAACATCTTTGGTTGAAGCACACGGTACTTTTGCAACTGCCAAATGTTTGAAATGTAGAAAATCATATACTTGCGAATATGTTAGAGGTATTATTAAGTTATTACATATTTGAATATCTTAATACTAATTATTTATTTTTATTTTTTAAAGAAATTATTTTTAGAGATGAATTACCAGTTTGTGAATGTTCGGGTATAATTAAACCTGATATTGTATTCTTTGGTGAAGCACTCCCATCTAGATTCCACGATTTGGTGAGAGAGGATTTCCCCAAGTGTGACCTCTTGTTGGTACTCGGTACTTCGCTCCAAGTACAACCGTTTGCATCGTTGGTATCGTTGGCGCCACAAGGTATTCCAAGATGTCTCATCAACCTTGAGGAGGTCGGTGCCAATCCATACGGTGGATTCAAATTCGGAGATGCCAATAACAAGACCGATGTCAAGTGGATCGGTGATTGTCAAGAGGGTATCATTGAACTTGCTCAATTATTAGGTTGGAAAGAGGAACTTTTAGAATCAATGAAAAAGAAAATATAATAAGCTTTATTTTTTTTGATCAAAACAACTATTATTATTAATAATCATAATTATAATCTTTCCAATTAATTTGTGAAACTCTATTAATAATAAATAAAATTTGTATAAATATATAATTTTAATGTATATATATGTTTATTTACAGCAGTTGATGGTTGAGAAATAAGTGAGTAACCTAAGATAGAGTTATTGTAACAGATCTTAGAATCTCCTATATTCGCAGTACATAAGAATGGTGGGCTCTGGAAATCGACCAGATTTTATTGCAATCCTATCGACAGTTTATAGCTTTTAGAATTCTAGAATATTTGCTGTAGCGATCGTATATTATAGAATTCCACTCCAGTAAAGCTACCAAGTGCATATACAAATTGACGGAGATACAAAGAAAGAATGTCACTCAGCCAACTTGAAGTTCAAATTTCACTGACCAGATTACTATTAGACATTGTTACCTGGTCCGTATACTACGAATATAGGTGCTTCGTTGTTCTATTACAGATATAACTACAGCAAAAATCTGAGAAACAGGACAGAGGTATCAATAGTATCAGACAGATATACACAATCGAATGATAAAACTTTGGTTAAATCTTTCTTTAATTTATTTAAATAAAATCTACAAACAAATAAATTTATATTCATTTAAATATTTAAAATTTCATATAAAATTTTGTTCGAAAACGAATTTTTTTTTAATTCAACGCAAATCTCTTGCGATATTGACTGGGTGTGCTCGAGCATATTCTTTTTTATTTGAAGAAGCTAAATAGTAATAATAATTGGAGTTGATAGAGTTAGTGGTTGAAACTGAAAGCGATTGTTGGAATCGTAATTCCAATCAAGGTATTATCACTAACAAATAAATAACTAGTAATAGAAATACATTACTAATAATATCAGAATTATTCTAGTTAGAATACCATCATACATATACCTGTCTTTCATAGATTTGACAATCACCCTTTGTCCTATTTCAAACGGGATGGTATGGAATTGTTTCCTCATAATACCTCGGCTTGATCGCATGAAAAGGTATTCTCTCTTTACTGCCACAGTCTTCGTAGATGACAGTTGCCGTTTGAGCTCATGGCAGACTTCGTTGGTCGGTCATTCAACTACCAACAAACTATCAACACACAGCATGATTTCTCATTACATACATTCAACATGGTATTTACTTAATTAGACTCAATACATATGGATTATCTATATCGATAGTGTGTTAATTACACAGCTGCAGCTGTGTTTATGCAGATCGAATTAAAAAAATAGGACACGAATGTCTATTTTAATTTATCGGTATCCTCCAATGGGCTTTCCGCCATGTTTCTTTGAAGGAATTGGATATGGTCACTTTCAGTTTCAACCACTAACTAACATCAACTTCGTTTATTAATAATTATTAGGACAAAATCTTATTTCTAATAATACTTCAATAAAAAATAGTTTTAAAAATAACAAAGGTTTATTTATTTAAATATGCTCTCCTTTTTAAAAAAAAAGAGGCGGTTAAGAATTTATTAAATTAATTAATGAATGATGATTATTGATAAGTAACAGAACCAATATTGAAAGTTGGATTTTTGTCGGATTTGGTGATGTATCCAAATCTATACTTTGAATCAATTGCAATTTGATTGACATATGATGGCAATGTATAGCTTGATGGTTGTTGATTGTTGTTGTTGACTCTGACAAGATCCCAAATCGAAGAAGAATCATCACGAAGTTGAACTGAGGAACTGAGAATCAATGATTTGATTACCTTGTTGCTATTGTTTTCAATGACACCATCGAATTGATAATAATTGATGTTGTCAGTTGTCCATTGGTTGACAATGTAGCTTGAGACTGTGATATTATTAGTGTTGGTGTTATTGTTGTTGGTGGTTGGTTTTGGAGTTTCAGTGACAACATTGCTATCATTACATGTCAATCCAAATTGTGAATTCTGGTTGAATGAGAAATAGAATGAATATGGAATCGAATTGTTTGCAATTCCAAATGCCATCGATGATGAACAATATGAAAATTGGAATTCCAATTTGATTCCTCTGATCAACATACTGACTGCACCATTTCTTGAGATAGTGAGTGATCTGGCATCAGAGAATGGGAATGATACTTGATTGACATCGAATGGTTGTTTCTTGTTATTGTTTGAACAGTTAACATTGTTGGATGAAATTGAATTGAATGAATTGACATTGGATAGATCTGTTGAGAATTGTGGTGAATACAATGAATTTCCAATCATGTATGTAACTGAACCGGTTTGTTCGAAATAGATAATCTTGACACCAATGATTGAACCATTGAAATATTGTGCCAATGCGTTAGCTGAACATTGTCCATTCACATTATTGGCAATGAATAATAAACAAATTAAAACAAAAATAAAATTAAAAGTTTTCATATTTAAAGTTTATTTGTATTTATATTATAACTATATATATTTAAGTATTAGAATAATTATTTATATTTATTTAACTATATTTGTTAATTTGATTTGATGATAATACTCCATTTTTAATGTACTATTTATAGTTAAAATAAATTAGAATATTTCTAAAATAATTAAAAGACAACATATCAATTTGATAAACAGTCACACAATACTAAACAAATGATTGATCATTAACAACTGATCAAATAATTCTAATAAAATTTAAAAATAAAAATAAAAAAACTTTGATTAAAAAAAAAATCTAATATAATTGGAAATAAATGAGGACACATGTCTTCTCTTGATGTTCAACAAAATAAATATTTTTTCCTCTATTATTGAATATAGAAAATGAGTGATAAAGTAGTTTTAATGTGTAATTATGGATTCCGTGACATTACGTTGAATCTCATAAAAAGTATAGAGAATCAGTACGATCAGACTGACCAGTTCAAAAGCGAATGGCACGATAAGTTCATGTTCTTTGCACTCGATGATCGAGCCAGTCAGTTTTTTCAATCAAAATCAATAGAGGCGATCAATCTATCCAATAGATCGGTTATCAACAAGTGTTTCAATCACTACAAGACATTCATTGGCTATTGTAATCAGTGCAAACGATCGATATGTTCAGATTGTCATCCAGTTGGCCAGCATACCGATATTCCCGACACCAACAATCTTCATCTAAGAGATCAATACAACAACGCAATGAATTCCATTGCAAAAGAAGCAGTAGAACGTCCTATGACAAGTGTAAATGATATGATGTCGATGTTTGGTGGTTCAGCAGGTGGTAGCGGTAACACTATTGCGTCTAATGACACTGTATATGGTGAAGAAGCAGAATCCTATGGTAATGTTGGATTCCGTGCTATCTGCAACGAGAAACCGTTGGTCGTACTGGATGTTCTTAAACGTGGATATAATGTGCTGTGGACAGACACCGATATCGTTTGGCTTGGTGAACCTTTCGCTGCATTCAAGCACGCCACTCAAGAATCCGGTATCGACTACGACAGTTTGGACTTGATTGTTCAACAGGATGACGATGACATCTGTGCTGGATTCTATTATATCCGATCGAATGAAGTCACTATCAAGTATATGGAGACGGTCATTGCTTTCTTGAATCCGATTGTCGATGATCAGATTTCAATGAGAAAGTTCCTAAAGGAGCATGCCATTCAAATCACCAAAAACAACAACAATAGTAGTGGTGTCGACACTCCAAGTGGTAATAAATTAAGATACTTCAGATTGCCAAGAACAACATTTCCAAATGGTACAGCTTATTTCAATTTGAAGATACCACAGAGAAACAATGTTAAGCCAGTTATAGTACATAACAACTGTATCATAGGTCATAGAAGTAAGAGAGAGAGATTCATTGAATATAATCTATGGTTCATAGATGATAATAAAGAGTTAAATATAACAACTACAACTGCAACAACTCCAACAACTAAGCCAAAGATAGCTGCAACAGGATTGTTTAAAGCACATTTTGATGTGATTACATCCATCACCAAAGATGAAAAAAACAACTTACTCTACACTGCAAGTCTCGATAAATCTGTAAAACAATGGGATTGTAACAATGGCAACAAGCTGTTGAAATCAAAGTATGTTCATAAGCGAGGTTCTATCTGGGGAATGTATGTAAATCCATCACATTCCGCCAATAGCACTGCAATACCAACATCAAACAATGCTAGAGATAATATTGTATTGATAACGGCATCACATGATAAGACAGTTCAATGTTGGGATAAAGATATGAATTCGATTCAGACTCACGGTGGACATTATGGTATCATCAATGGTCTGTTGGTGATTAACAACGATCTTCTCGTTACTTGGTCCGACGATAGAACTATCAGAGTTGCATCGGTAAAGGATACAGACTACAAGAGAGTGTTTCTTGGTCATACTGAACCAGTTAGCTCCGTTTGCTATTTTATGAATCGATTGTTCTCGGCATCGTCAGACGGCACAATCAGACAATGGGATTTCACAACTGGTCGTTGCACCAATATCATTCATTCTCATCAAGGATGGGTACGTTCCATTGTTTACGATATAACAAAGAATCAACTCATAAGTGGTGGTAGCGATGGTTCAATTAAGTTTTGGAATCTAAATGTATGTTACTGATAATATTTATTTTTATTCCAACGTAGTAACTAATTTGTTTTGTTCTTTTTTTTTTATTTTAATCATCATTAATCATAGACGAGTGAATGTACAAAAATAATCTACCCAAATATCGATGATTCATCAAACAATGTATCAATTTCACAGATTATATTAGTCAATAATATATTGTATGTTGCATCAGAGAATGGTTCATTGAAGTCATATGATATAAATGTATGTAATTATAATAACCATTGTTGTTGTTGTTGTTGTTGTCATTGTACTTGATTGATTAATAACTAATATATTTAAAATCTAATAATAACTAGGCATATGAGTTGTTGGATGAGTATGAGGGACATGCACCTTTCCCTATCAATTGTATGTACGTTTCAACTGTGTGCGATTCAATATACACTGGTGGATTCGATAAGCTTGTCAAACAGTGGCCATTATATACAGTGTCATATGAAGATGAAGATGTTGTAAATATCGAAGACCAATCATAAAATAAAATATTTGAAATCTTTTAACTATATATTTATCTATGTATTTATTCATTGCTTAGTTGTTGGTGATGTTTTAGTTGTTGATGTTGCTGCTGTTGTTGTTGTTACAGGTGTAGTAGTAGTAGTTGTTGTTGTTGTTTGATTATCTTCACCATCCTTTGCAAAATAAACTATTTTATCACCTTTTGTAGAATCCATTATATATTTAAAGATTTGTTCATTATTCTCATGATACTTTTTATATGATGACAATTGTTCTTTTTTAAATACCTATAATAATAATAATAACGATAATGTACAAACAATAAATAAAATGAAATCTATAGATCTTCTTAACTAATTAATAATCTATCATACAGTTAAATCTTTATCTTCATCACGCATCAGCATATATGTTATACCACAACCAACGAGAATAGGTGTGAAAAATGTAACTATATATCTTGACATCTCTTAAACGTTTATTAAATAATAATAATTAAGTTGTTATATAAAAAAAATGTAAAAAACAAAATGTTATGAAATTTGAAAATCGAAAGATATACGTGTCACCAAAGACAATTATTTATCATTATCATGATGATCCACTACATTTTATTTATTAATAGATCATTAATTAATTAATAACAATCAAATGTAATGCAAAAATTAAAACTATTTGATTGATTTATAATAAATAGAATGATTGTTGTTATTATTATATTCAAAAAAATAAAATAAAAAATAAAAAAGGCAAAGATTACTTAAATCTTATTACTGAGAACATAATGACCTTGAACAAAAACTAACTTTCACAGAACAAATAAAATATCTAATAAAATAACAATGACCAACACGAATAAGACTTGGTGTTGAATTGGAAACATTGAAAGAGAGTTCAATCCCATCTTTAATAAAGTATCACTCTCCGATGCACCTGATTTATTATGGATGAAATAAACAAATATTTGTTTATTGTTCCCATTTAATCTATGAATTAGCCCAAAAAAATCAACCCATTTTGTTTTTTTTTTCTAAACAACAAATTTTTAAGAAACTACAAAAAAAAAAAAAATTCAAATAATCTTTGTTTTATTTAAAATTTTTAATTGAAAACCAAAAAAGTTAATTGATTATCGGAATTCTAAAATTTTGATTTATTTCTTTATTTATTTAAATATAATATGTTTAATATAATAATAATTTTATAACACTCACAGTCAGTAAAACAAGAAAAGAATAATTAGAACATAGATATTAAGATTAATATTACATTTTTATTTATTTAATTATTTTGTAAGTAATAATTTAAGATTGTTTAGTTTACAGATAGAAAAATAGATAAATAGATAGTATTATTTGTGTAAACTAAAATTTTAGTAAATTCAAACTTATAAAGCCTTTTTTTGATTGATTTTTATCCCCACATTTTCTTAAATGTTACTGCATTGTATATTTTTTTACCTTTTAGTTGTTTTTTTTTAATTCTTTATTAATAGATGAAATCAACAATAGATAATCAACAGTAACAATTATAACATCAGTGAATTTATATCAAAGAATTAAGTAAATACGCTCAAATTGATTTCGATCGTAACAATCCCAAACCACACATCAACTTGTTGGTGGTTCTACGATAATGTATTATCTTTTATCTTTTCAATTAACACACAAAACAACAACAACAACAATAACAGTATCAAAAATAAATAAAAACAGTCAATCTAAACACACAATAGATTTCTAAATTAAGGAAAAACAATTGAGGAATGTCCATAGCAGAGAAGATAGGTTTTTGTCTCAGTTGTTCATCATTATCGTCATCATCATCATTTTCTATTTCTTGCAAAATTCAAACTAAAACAATCAATATTAGGTTGTTATTAATATTGTTGTCGATCACACTTACACCAAAACAAGCCAACCATAACAACAACAAAGACATTCTTTTTTTTTCATTTGCTCAGTATCTCCCAAAACTTTAGACCTTTACCTATCTACCCTTTGCACTTATCCTAACACAACCAACCTCTCTATCAATACTGGATGATTGATAATCGATATTATTCCCAACCTCAAGCACCAACCCAACTCACACACATAACTAAACTAACAATAGATCAACAGTCAACTACCCTTGAAATATATTTATCTCTCTCTCTATAAAAATAGTAACTTTTGATATTTAAATTTATAATTATTGCTATTTCAAAAGACGAGAAACGATACTAGTGAATGGTTTGGTTTGATTCAATCAAGGTCAAGTCAAATCAATCATCAAATCAAATCAAATAACCACAATTGCTATTGCTGCCTATCAAATTTTTTACTTAGATATAATCGATATTGTTTAGTGATGAATGGTGGTGAGAGTGTGTTTGAAATGGTGGTGATCGATAGTGTGTGGTAGCAGAAAAAGTGGAAATGATCGTTCATCTTTTTTGAAAACAAATTCAATCACCATCATCTTTATAGTTAGCAGCAGCAGTAGTAGACGATTATTATTGACCATCTAATTAGGGTATCTATTATGCTGTTCTTAGATGGGTAGATATTTTATTCTCATACATTAGATGAGTAACAAAACACCATTTTCTGGAATATCTTTTAAAAAAATAATAATGATAATAAAAATAATAATTATCACCACACCTACCACTACCACTACCACCAAAAACACATAGACAAATTTGTCGTCGTTTTATTTTTATTTTTTATTTTTTTCTTTAAATTTATCAATAATAAAGTATAATGTTCATTCGAGACAAACCAAAAGTGGTGTTTTTGACTCCTCACTTTTAAAATTCTATCTTCCAAATAATAATAACAACAATAAAATAATTATAACAACACCTTCTCTTCTTTGCAATTCTTCCTACTTTTATCAAATAATATCCATAAATATATAAAATTGACAATACCAATATTTAGAGTATTTAAATATTTATATATTCACACCCCTCCTAATTTATATTTGCCTTGCATTGTATTACTAATGATTATTAAAACAACAACCACACCACTATTTTAATTAATCAACACACACACACACATACAATTAATAAATAAAATTGCTAAGCAAAACTAGTTTAATTTAAATTTGCTTTAAAAACTTTAATAACCAAACACACACACACCCCACTTTTATTACAAAGTTCTATACAATTGTTCTATTTTGACCGGTTCCAAATTTGTTTCCAATTGGTCTAAAAGATAATCTTTCTATTTGTTTATTTTTTTTTTTGCAATCTTTTTTATATTTTTATATTTTCTATACTTTTTATATAAAACATTTTATTGTTTACTTTTTGATTTTTTGTAATCATCATATATTAGTAATATAATTTTATCGAATTATATATCATTTTAAAATAAATATTAAATAGGCAATTCACTTTGGTGGAAATCTTACACCCATCAACCAATCCAATTAAATAATTAAAAAGAATAAAACAATAAAAAAAAAAGGAAAACTAAAATAGAAATTCTATTGAATAATTATAATTATGTGTAATAATTTTTACAGTAACAGATAGTTCTATAGATTTCAGAATAATTAATAAATCCAGTAGCATGAATATCACCTTTACTCATCGACGACATTCTCATTCAACCCTATTTTTCACAAACTTTGATTTCCAGTTTCATCCATTTCATTCACAAACATATGAAATTTTAATGCATAGTTAATAATTATATTTAGAATCCTTATTTTTCACACATTTATAGATTATTATTATCTATATATACACAATTCATTAAAAAAAATAATAATTATATTAATATAAACTGTAATATTAGATATCTTATATATATTCAATTTGTAAATAGTTTCCAATTATAAAAATAAAAAGAGAGAGAAAGAATGGCATCAATGTACAAAGAAAGAAGAGAACGTAAAGATTTCTTGAAATCAGAGATTGACAGACAGAGAAAACTGATTCAAGAAGAAGATTTCAAGTTAATGAATGAAAATAATACTCATTATGTTGAAAATAAATTGATAGAACTTAACAAAGAATTAAATTCTGTAAGTATTATTTAATATCATTAAAGTTTTAAAATTAATTAATCGTTGTTATTTTTAGTTAAAATTAGAATTAGAAGAATTAAGATTGACAGGTGATAAATTTTATACACAACATGGAGATGATAATATATTGATAGAAATCGATGAGATGAGTAAACTGACATTCTATCATTGCACACACTCACTGGAGTTACCAGAGATTCCAATGGATCACTGTTGCAATGGAAGTCGTATACAAATCAATTTCGATGAAAACAACAATCCAATCTATGAACTACACACACTACTCTCTACCAAATCAATTCACCAACTTTTTTCTGTAAAAACCAATTTTGAAATCCCGACTTTTAAACCAACCAACTTTTTCGAGCGCGTAAGACACAACACTTGGAGTCTTGGTATATCACCACTGCGTCGTACCACCTCTGACCCATCGATTTTCGGAGAACGTCTTTCACCACCCAAATCCATGTATATAGAAAAACAACAAAACCTCTCACCAAGACGTGATCTAAATAATAGTGGCAACATTGCTAACCACAGCAACAATAGCAATGGAGCAAGCAGTTTGAGTAGCTCTCCAAAGAAAGCAGATACTTTCAATGGAACCAGCTCAATTGGTTCAAGCGGAATCGACGGACTCGACGAGAGTGGAAAGATATTGCTCACTTGGAACACCAAGGAAACATCGATCTACATCCTCAAGTCAATGCAAGAATCAACTGAGTTGCTCGAGTTGTTGGGCTCTCATATCGACCGATCGAAAAAGCTGACCGCCAAGCAATCACAACAAATCAAACAATTCCACCAGTATCGATCGACTCCCTACGATCACAACAACGCTGAGCATGAAACTTATCTTACCGAGCTCTGGACTTGTCTCTATCCCGACCTGCCTTTTGAAAAGAAATCACCACTCTGGAAGGATTTTGGATTCCAAAGTGAAGATCCAACACGTGATTTCAGAGGAATGGGTCTTCTTGGTCTATTGAATCTCATCTATCTAGTAAAGAATCACAGACCATGGGTAGATTCTGTATTAAAAGAAAATAGAGATTATCCATTTGCCGTCGCTGGTATTAATATTACAAATTTAATGTTTGAAATTTTAAATGTAAATGATGGTAAGTTTTAAATTAATGTTATTACTATCTTTTTAAATCTTAATATTAATTATTTTAATTTTTTTTTTTTAAAACAATAGATGCTTTACAACAACCATGGTGGTCACCTTTTTGGAATTCAACTTATATGATCATGTTATGTTCGATGTCCAGAGACACTGACTTTGCTTTCGAGGAACTCTATTTCCAAGCATTCAAGTTGTTGGACCACGTCTGGACTCAAATGAATGCCACCTATATGATGTTCCCAAATGTAATGAAAAGAATGAAACAGATGCTCAATGAGGTCTCAACCTTGAACGCAAACTCATTCGAAGAAGTCAAAGCAAGATTCGAGTTGGTTATCTTTTCATCGTCATTAGTCAACTAGAGACCTTCAGATTATTCAATAATTATATATATATTTTTTTCTAGCCAACCTCCACCCCTGGGTGTATGCAAATACATACTCCTGAAACTAAACCAATCAAAATTAACCCAAACCAACCAACCACCAATAAATTATTTATTAAAAACTTGTAACATTAATGTACAACCATCAACCAACCAATGAAAGAAAAAACGAAATATTTACTTTTTTTATATCTTTTCCACACATTTTTTAACTACAACGTAGTTTTAAAATCAGAGTTTCATGAACATTAATAAAAAAAAACCATCAGTGAAAAAAACTTACTCTTTTTTTTGTGTGGTAATTTTTCTCTAAAAAGTGGGAATTAGAATTATTTGTTTTTTAATTTATTTTTTGTAAAAGCTCAAAATTAAATAAGAACATTAATTAATCGACTTTTAAAACTTAAGTTTACATTTTATTTAAACTATCATATATTTTATTTATTTATTTATATATTCATTTATTATCACTTTTTTTTTAAAACAAGCCTAATTTATACAAAAAAGTAAGTAAAGATCGTGAGTTTTTTATTTTAATTTGAAGATGGGTTTTTTTTAACGTGGTGTTCAGATATTTTTTTCAAAAGAATGTTGCAACATATGTGATTCAATCTAATAGCAGGAGAATGTTCATTTAATCTGTTTAGAACCTTTCATAGGGTTTTGAATATAAAAAAAATAATAATAATCATTTTAGTGTTTAATTTAACCCTTTGTATTAGATTATTTTATGTTGTTCAATTTCATTTTCCTTTTTTAACATTTCGTAGATTACTTTATAGACTTGTTTAATATATTAAACAACTTTATAATAATTAATTCATCGTTTACAGACATTTTTTTTTTTTTTAATTATAAAAGTAAACAATTTATTTAGAATATTCTAATTTTTATTTACAATTTACTTCATTCAACTCGAATATTCATTCAGAATAATAAATAATATAATATTATAAAACTATAAAAAAAAATGTAAGAATCATATTATTATATTTATATATTTTATATATTTTGAGAATTGTTTGTAAAAAATAACTTTCGTCCAACAAATAATATTTTATATGACATATCATCAATATAATAAATATTGACAATTTCAAGTAGTACAACCACAATTGTTGTCTTTATCTCTTTCAAAAAGAATTGATTTAATAACCCTCCATATCCCATTTATGTTCATAATATGTTCAATTAACCCCTTTTTTTATTTTTATTTTCTGTTTTTTAATGAATGTTGTACATTCTACCATCTAATTATTATGTTCTCTACAACAATGTATAAAAATACAATTGTACATTATATATAATATTTTGTTTTTTTAGTCTCACGAATAATATATAGATAAATAAACATGTTTAATTTAAATTAAATTGCGAATAATTATTTTATTTATTTTATTATTTATATAATTGAATTTCTTTCTTTCAGTCTGTATGCACATACATGTCATATTGATTAATTCGAATATTTAATAATAATTCAAAATCATTCTTTTTGATATTTATTTTAATGATAATTATCTATATCAATCATTTAATCTTTTCAATAATTCCAACACGAAAGTGAATATTATATATTTATATATTAAAAACTATTATACCACACAGATATCATACATCCACATCTAATCTTTCCTTTCTCTGCCTATTTATCGAATATCATTATCACTCTTTTAAAAGTATAGATAAAGCCTATTTCAATTTCAAATTTCACCTTTTCTCACACCTCTACTCTTCTGTATTCTCTATTTCCAATATTTCCTGTATACTCTTTCTCACAATCATCTTTCAAACAATCTATTTTGTTTGATTTTATTTGATTTTTAAAATTAATTTGTCTCGATTAGATATATATAGTCATCTCATTTCACACAATCTTATCTTTATCAATCCATATCATACACTGCTATCTTTTAATCTAGAGAACTAAAAACAAATAATATTTTATCTTTTATTAAAAATATCAACATAAAAGAACAAACAATCAAATCATTTTAATTAATCAACTATCCATCTATTTATTTATTTATTTATATCCATCAACATATCATTCTTTATTTATTAATTTATTTATTTATTTTAATTTAAAACTATTTTTGTTTTAATATAATATAAAAAAAATGTAAGAGATTTAATATTGACTGACTATTGATTGAGTTGTTCTTTATTTTTTTTAATGCTTATGAGTTATAGAAACATCAAATTAATTTGAATAATATATTAATATATAACTTTTTTAAAATATTAATTAGAAATAGAAATATGGACGGAAAGCTTAATACATTAAGACTTATGTTCCCAAACACAACAATGGATCAAGCAATCGTTGCTTTGAAGACAAACAATTGGGATCTTGATCAAACTATTGATTTTTTGTTGGCAACTACTGAAGCCGATGAGATTGCCAAGAAGGAAGAGGTCATTCCACCACCAGTCGTAAAGAAGGTTGTAGTACCACCCATCCCCATTATCAAGCCCGCTCCATGTCTCTCACCAAGATCCACTTCAATGGGTTCAACCAAAGTCGTGGAGCATGTAAGATTGGTACCAAAGAATGCACCATCATTCGTTCCAGTACCATGTCTTTCACCAAAATCCACTGGTAGCACAAGACCAACACCATCGGTTGCTTCCTTGGAGACTGCTGCTCCACTCTCACCAAGAAGTATGACTCAGGGTGCCAAGAAGACTGTTGAAATTGTAAATATTGTTCCAATCGGTAAGCCAATCCCATGTCCAGCACCAGAGATCGCTTCCACTGAGGTCTCATCTGATGACGAAATCCTCAAGGAATTCTTGTTGTTGGAGAAGCAACACTTGCCAGTTCCACCAGTTGTCCAAGCTGCACCAAGTCCATCACCAGTCAACGTTGTCGAGCTTCCAAAGCCATCGATTGCACAAAAGGTTGGTGAGAGAGATTTGGAGAGTGCTCAAAGAGACATTTCATTGTTGAAGAGTATATCAAACACTCTCAGAGAATTGGAGAATGAAGTCAGAAACATCAGTTTCGAATCAAAGGAGCACAAACCAAAGGACGAAAACAACAACAATAACAACAATGAGGATGATGACGAAGAAGAGGAAGACATTGATGAGGAGGAACGTTTGTTGAACAAGTTGCCAAACATCGATCATGCCATGGAGCAATTGGAGTCAATTTTCAATGCTTCGGTTGAGAAGACCGAGAAGGTACTCAAGTCACTCAAGGAGGAGATCGAGAGCTGGAGAATCAAGGACAACGTCAAGACTTTCACTTCCACCATCAGATTGGAACTCTCAGAGATGTTAGAGTCGATCGCCAACTACATAAACCCAATCCCAATTGCTGCCCAAGAGGAACAACGTTTGGAGCGTCAAGAGCAAAAGAGAGCTGAACTCGAGAAGAAACTCCAAGAACTTAAAGAATATAACGCAAGACTCGAAGAGGAGAGAAGATCTGCCATCGAGAGAATTGAAAAGAAGCAACCATCGGATGACCAAGAATTGCCACCTCCACCACCCTTACCAAGCAACCCACTTCCACCACCACCAACTCCAAATGCAGCACCAGGTTATTACTACTACGACCCAAGTGCACCAAATGTTTTCTACTATCACCCATTAAATCAACCACACCCACCAACCCAACCATTCCAACAATATCCACCACCATCATCAAAGTAAATAGTTAATTTACTTCTTTTGATTAATAACCAAAACCAACAGAATACCCATTGATATATTATTTTTAACAAATCTACAGCAAACCTTTGTTTTATTAAATAAAAACTACTAATATTAAAAATATATTGTTGTTTACTTCTTTTCTAACTTTTCATAAGTTCTTTGTTTGAATCTATCTCTTTGTACAATAAAACGTTCATGTGTACCTTTTTGTTTTGTAAATATAAGTTTAATAGTCATTCAATTTAGCTCAATCTATATAAATCTACTTACCTTCACCAATTTTACCAGTGGCATCACTTGCTTCAACTTTGAATGACACTTTCTTTCCGTCTATTGCAGTAATTGTAGCAACTGCCGATACCTCTAGACTTAGAGGAGTGGCTGCTAAATGTGCAATATTAACTGAAGTGCCAACAGAACTCCAATCTGCACCCATTTTATCTTTGATGCAATCTACAGATGCTTTCTCCATGAGAGCAATCATAGATGGTGTTGAAAACACCTCAATGTCACCACTGCCCACAATGTTTGCCAAGTGTTTCTCTTCAACAGTTGACTTTACCTCGTGAGTATCACCTACTTTCGCTGTTAAATTTGGAGATGACATTATTTCTTTTTATTTTTAAAATGAAAGAAGTTGTCTTTTTAAAAAACAATATATAATTGTCATTTGTGCAAATTTAATTAAAATATTAAAACTTGCAGATTTTTTAAATCAGATGAAAAGGAAAGATTTAGCTAAAGTTCTTATTTCCACTTGGTTGGTGATGTGGCATTCAATTGGTTGCTAGTAAAATTATTCAAATAATTCAATAATGTTCAATTTTATTTCAAAAAAAAAAAAACAATTTTTTATGACGGAATAAGTGGAGTAATAATTAAAATAAATCATCTGAATGGATCATTTTACTATATAGAGAGAGTATAAGACATCTTTAACAAATAATAATAATCCAATTTATATTTTCGATTTAATAGATTCCAGTGTAACGATAATTTTATCGAGATCTGGACGATCCTCAGGATTGTCATCCCAACATTGTTTTAGTAGCTGTACCAATAATTGTGGTGTCTTTGTTTCGTCAATGATTGGTCTCTTTTTCTAAAATATGAAATTAATAAGAATTGAGACTAAAGTTTTAAATAATTAAAACATACTGATTTGGAAGTTTGATGTATAATCTGAAAATCATAGTCAAGTTTAAGGTTGGAAAATGGAATTTGATAGTCGTTGGTTATACATCTTTGTATAAGTTCCCATAACACAATTGAAAAACTATAAACATCTGATTTAGAACTGTATTTCTTTGACCTATGATTATATTGGAAATAATAATATTAGTTTTCAAAAGTTAGCTTTATTGTTTATGTACTTTTTTTAGTATTAATACTTACAAAAATAACTCTGGTGGAGAATAAATGAATTTACCTTTGATTTGACCTAATGATACCATATTCTCGTGTAAATTAAATCTTGAAAGTACAAAATCTGTTATCTTTATATTATTATTGATATCGAATACAAAACTTTCACTCCTGTATTGTTTTAGATATAAATTCTAATGTTAGTATGTTTGTTCAGCAAGTATTATAAAACAGATAACCTACGTTATTCCTCTGTGTAATATCATTGGAGTGAAATGATGAAGTGCGTTAATCGATTTGGCTACTTGAATGGCAAGATCCAACGTTCGTTCCCAGGTGAAGGATTGCTCTTTGTCCTTCATGGAGGAGAGTAATGTACCATTTGGAGTGTATTCAGAGACGATTGCATATTCATTGGCATTATAGACCACTCCATAGAACTTGAAGATCATCGATGATTTCAAGTTGGCAAGTATGTCCAACTCCTTCTTTTCGAAATCCTGTAGAGCAGTTGTTTGCATCTGTTTAATATGTACCTTGTGCTGTTGTTGATCTTTGGTATAGATACCGGAATACAATATATAGTTCTCTGTATTCGCTATGAAATTCATCTCTGTTATCTCCGATGGCTCTATTCTCCAATTGAATAAACTTTGTTTTTCAACTTTACCATCACCACTATTATTACTATTATTCTGATTATTTATATTGTTATTATTATTATTATTATTATTGTTATTATTATTATTATTTTGTATTATTTCATTATTTTCATTTGTATTATTTATATTTTCATTATTTTCATTGTTGATAACAAACATTGATTTCAATCTACCAATAATCTGTTGGAATGTAGGTCTATTTTCTGGATTCTTTGAACAACTATAAATATAATATTAATAATTAACAGTGTTGCTAATATTATTATTGCTATTGCTGCTATTACTTACCAATCCTTAATGAGTTGAGCATATGGAATAGGACAGTTTGATGGCATTTCAGGTAAGCCCGATTCAGTGTTTGATACATTTCCTTGTGGAGTTTTGTGAGTAAGGATCTCCCATAGTACGATTCCAAAACTAAAGATGTCAGCTTTTGTAGAGTAACCGGCGCTACCAAACACTTCAGGTGCAATCCACGGTAGTGTTCCACAGAATGTTTTGGCCTGATCGTTTCCGTTGGTGAATCTAGATAATCCGAAATCAGATACTTTTACGTTGTAGTTGTTGTCAACCAGTAGATTCACTGACTTTAAATCACGATGAATAATCCTTGGATTGTAGGTGTGCAGATAGTTCATTCCCTGAGCAATATCCAAACACATCTTCACTTTGATATTCCATCCAATCGAACTCTTTGCATCCAGCACATGTCTAAGTGATCCTCTATTCAAATACTCTGTTATAATTGCAAGATTACCTTTTAGCAAACATGTTCTAAAATAAATAATAACACATTAATTAGTATTATTATTAATTGACTAAAGTAAAGTAAAGATTAAACACTTACCCCATAAATAATACAACATTTGGATGTCTAAGACATTTAAGAATAGATGTTTCCTTCTCGAATTCACCATTCTTATCTTTGTGTATCAGTGATTTATAGATGATTTTAACAGCTACTTGAGTACCTCGCCAATCGTATAGACTGACCTCTCCACAGGATCCACGACCCAATCTCTTTATAAATACAAGTTCATCTTCTTGCAGGTTGATTCTTGTATCATCTTCAACATATACAGGCGATGAGTTATTTGATAAATCTGGTTTATTATTTCTGCTATTGCTAACTGTATTATTATTATTATTATTATCATTATGTACAGCTTTTGTTTTCTTTATCTCTGAATATTCATAGTTTTCTTCTCTATCTCTTTTTAAACTTTGTGTTATTATAACATTTGTTGTTGTTGTTGTGTTATTATTATTTTCATGTTTATGTATCTTTTGAAGTTGTTTTCTATTTACAACAATATCATTATTATTATTATTGGTATTGTTATTGTTATTATTGTTGTTGTTGCTATTGTTTATTTCAATGTTTGATGTTATATCATTGTTATCAATGTCATCTATATTATTATTATGATATTCAAGATCGAATGAATCTACCTGAGTAGCACATTCATCATCGATTGATGTCTGCATTGGTTCCATCTGGTCATCTTCTATGATCACTTGCAATGTGATACCATTCTCATACAGTGTAATTCGATCGTTGTTCTTCAGTACTAAAGATAATCCTTTAGTAATCTTTATGGAATTGACTGCCGCTTGTTCATCACTACTACCAGCAGCAGCAGCACCACCAAGCTCGTCATTGACTTCACCCACAGCGATTCTTGTCAATCTACCTTGATTCTGACCCAACTGTGTATAGGTTACTTGTGACAATTCCTTTGATATTACAATCTCTGCATGCTTTCGACTGTAAATACATATATAATATAAATATCAATAAAACTATCATTCTTTGATATCATTTTATTGAATATATATGTTCATACCTAATATGAGTATCATTAATAAATGTAGGAGATCCTCTTCCAATGATATTGGAACCTATTTCTAATAGATGTTCGAAACCCTCCAAACTATCATTATTTTTGGTGTTACCGCAACTCCCACTATTTAAAAATCTTAATTTAACTGATATAGTCATTTATTTGTTTGTTATTTACAAGTATTCTAATTATTATATTACAATGATTTTTATTTTTGAATGATCTGAATCTGTGATTTTATTTAAAAAAAAAAAAAAAAAGATAGATCTTTTTCTGCGAAATAATTATCTGAGGAATTTGGAGCAAGATGGGGTTAGGCGAATGTATATTTAAAAAATTAATAAATAAAAGATATTTAATTTATTTTATGTGTTGATATTGATTTGGGTGGTGGTGAGTCTAACCATGAGAATGGATATAACTAATATGAGAAGAAGAAGAAGTAAAAGAAAAAAGAGTGTCAGTTAGCTTGCTTATATTATATGAATCATTCATTGGTCATTGGTATTATGATGAACTTCAAAGAATGATTAATTAAAAAGATTAATGATTAACATACTCTGAAAATAACTCTTCCTTTGATAAGAGACATTGGAATACAACCGTAACTTCTAGAGTCAAACGATGAATGTGGGTTGTCACCTTCGATCCAACAATAACCTTTCGGTATATCGATACGTCTCGAACCGTAGCCAGTGTCCATCACGATGCTATCACCCTCCAAGTACTTGATACGCTTACATATGTTATCGCTGGGGTTGGTCGGTGACACTGCCATAATGATATCGTCACGTTTGTATGGTTTCATATTGGTCTTATCGATAAACACTATATCACCCGATGAATTCAATGTCGGTTGCATCGATGATCCTGAACACTTTTAATATATAATTTCAATTAATTCTTTATTGATTCATTGTAAATAGACAGCAATCAAATCAAATACATACTAATGAATATGAAATTACATATTCTCTAACTAAATAAATTATACCAACTGCTTTCAATGTTACTATTAATGTTTCTTTCGATGATTTAGCAATGTTCTCTTTTTCATTCTCATTATATTTATCTTCTTTTTGTTTATTATTGTAATTTTTATCATTAATTTGTTCTTGGTTGTCATCTTTATTTTCTTTACTATCATCATGATTGAAGTGTGTTTTGTTTGAACTTTGACTATAACTATTGCTACTATGATAGAATCTATTTGTTGTGTTTAATTTATTTATACATTTGAAATCAATACTATTAAATGATAAACAACTACTACTTAGTCTATTATTACAATTTAATATATTACTATATAGATATTTTAATTTAGTTATATTGATGTTCATTATTATTAATTAATAAATATTTTACAATAATGCATTTTTTCATTTTTAAAGCATCTGATGTTTGATGACAAAGAAATAAAATTATAAATTATACATTTATATGAAGTAATCGGTTTGATTCAGTTAACAGACCCTTTTATTTATTTATTTATTTATTTATTTTTAATAATATTTGTTTGAAGGTGAGTTGGTTGGTTACTTCTAGATTTCTGTTGATAGTTGTGGTAAACAAAAGTTGTAGAATGCATCTTTTCTAAAGAGTTCTGGACCTTTCCAACCACACCAACCTTTCTCTTTGATCAGTTTGATGTTCTCTGGATCACCTGTATAGTGAGGATCAAGAATGAGATATCTAGACTCACCAGTTTCACTGTTAAAGTCGACACCCAACAGAGTGTACGCAAGAACACCACCACCTATCATTATAGGACTACCGTCTCTCTCGAAATGTCTTGCCAATTCTCTTGTCTTTAAAATAACATCTGAACCACTCGATATATTAATAATCTTACAATCAATCTAGATAGAGTCAATGTTGATTAAGAAAGGTTTGTTAATAAACATATATATCTAATATTTTAATAAGTATAATACTTTACATTATATAGATTTTGTAAACAAAGTGAAATCTCTATTGCACCTATCCATTGACTTGATTTGTAGAATGATGCTTTCTTGTCATCCATATCGACGAGTGTCTTTTGTATCTCCCAATGTGAAGGTACAGATCTCATTGTTAGCTCTTGATACTTCAACCATGAGCAAATAGTTTGCATTGATCTATAGGCACATCCCCATCCCTTTTTGTTTGTTTTTTAAATAATAATAATAATAATAATAATGTTTGTTAGTTTAAGTTATATAATAAAATAATAAATAGATTAATAAAAAATAATAAGAACACATACATCATCATTCATATTATCTTGTTTATAATGATAATAATCATAAGAACCTTGTACCAATGATACTTTTCCACCAAACTTTGAATTACAATCGAGATGTTTGTGAATATCTTTGATGTGAGAAGTCCATTGTTTGTTATCGACACCTACGACACAGCTGCTCGATTGTGTATCCATCATGGTTGTAGAGGTCGATCTTATCATTGGTCTATTCAATGGTAGACATAACAAACGATGATACATCATTCTCTTATCTCTCTGTTGGTCATCATTGACTTCACCATATTTATTCAACTCATAACTAACACTAATTGGGAATGGTATTAAATGATTGAATTGGAAATGATATACTTTCTGTACGAATTAATTAGTAAGTTATCTTGATATTTAATATAAATACAGTGTTGTTAGTATTATTAATACATTACATGATTGACAGTAGATGATTGCGATATTTGTAATTTTATAGCTTGAACTATTTGTGTGAATAGTTGTGATGCATTGATTGGTTGTTTCTTTGGTAGGTATGTCAGTGTGTTGATATCGATGGTGTGTGTTGCCAATGTTAGTGGTAGTGAACTTGAAGTATTGCTTATCCTTAGTGTTGGTGCAAACAGTTCTGTTATATCTTTGTTATTGTTGCTACTTTGTTTAATGAGAAGTTGGAAATCGACAGTTGTTGAACTATTATTACTACTCTTGTTGTTGGATAAAGATGATTGGTTTAGCAGCTTATCCCATTGTTCTGCTGCTGACTTGCTCTGATTATTGGAGAGTATCGATCTGCTTGGCTTGTTCAGCAAACTGATGTTGGATTCATCGATGGAATTGACATTCTCGCAACTCACCTGATCTGTCACTCTCGCCAAAGTGTAGGAAGACTTGATTTGTTCAGCTAGCCAACCGACTGATTTACTCTCAAGTTTAACATTATTGTTGTCACCACTATCTACTACTACAATCGACTTTTTATTGTTATCGATATTCAAATGAATGAATTGATTGCTGTTTATCGATGTTGTTGTCGTTGGTGTTGTTGTTGTTGTTGTTGTTGTTGATTTAATGAGTTTTGAAAGCTGACTATCTCTATCATTCCATTTTTCATTCTCATTATCAGAGTCAGTGATGAATAGTGTTCCTACTAGATATAATGAACTTCCACAACCTGGAATAACTATATTCAATAGTGTTGGATTGTTAAGGAGTGTGTCATAGTCCAATGGGTACATTGCCAATATGCATGTATTGTCAGAATCGTCTTCATTCTTTTGCAATCCAACTATGACCAACTTCTTTACAGCTTCATCACAATTGTTTAATATTCTAAACAGTTGATTTGAGTAATATATCTTATTTAAAACCATCTTACTAACAAGTTATTATTAGTACTATTAACTTTTACAAATTAAAATTAAAAATAAAATAAAATGTGATGATCATTTTTTTTTTGTTCAATTTGTGATTACTTGATCAATCAGATTTTAATTTTACAATCTAAATTTATTTATTATGTTTAATATTAAAATCTAAATTAATCATTTTTTGTTTTGTTTTGTAAACCACATTAACTGGTAGCTTATCAATAATCTTTACCATCACTCTTTACATAACGATGTAACATCTGATTCAAGTTACTCTCTTTGTTTAGATGATACTTAGAGAGTGTATCTATTGATTCTTTGTTTGGATAGATCAATTCATAGTTGGCATGATGTATATTCTATAGATGTTGTTTTTTTAAAGAGAAGATAATGAATGGTCAGTATAATTAAATCAAAGTAACTAGTTAAAAAATTAAATAATTTACCTCAAATTCAAATTGTACAAGTTTATCGAGTGATTGTTCATCAATATGATAGTTATTCATTGATTGATCAACAAACAATTCAGATTTTTGTTCTAATAGTTTAGATTTGATGTCCTCTTTAATTGTTGTTGAATTGTAAATGGTGTGCCCAATCATATCAAATGTCTCTCTAATAAACTCCAATTTGTTAAAGTTATCGAATGGGCTTTTGGCGAAACCTAATTGAGCATTCATATTTGCTTCAATGAAAATAGGTTGGAAACTATTCAATTTTAAAAATTAGTTTAACTTTATCAGATTAGTTGATCAATTAATACTACATACTTATCTAATAAATCGATATCTAATCCCATCAGTTGGAATCCAACCGAGTCAGATTTCATTAATTCTTTTGTCTTTTCTAGAACTGAAGGTTCAGCACTGAATATCGTTTTTACAACGACATCTTTAATATTCTTCCACAATAAAGTAGATGGATACAAGTTGTTATTATCTAAATATCTCCAAAATGCTTTAAGACTCCATTTACTTCCAACATCATCGACATTGACATCTGTACTGAATGTATATGAGGAAAGATCAGTGTTTAGAGCTTGATTGGTTATATGCATTGACATATTTAAATCATTAAAAGTAGACTTATCATTGGTAAAACTATATATAGATTATAATTAGATAAATTTTTAGTACATCAATTGTTTTACAATACTTACTCTATAGTTGCAAACTTTAATGAACCATGATTATGAATATAAATAATCAAGGGATCCAATGAAGTTACCAAAACATATAATCTAAGGGTAAATTTCTTTCCGTCAATTAAAAATGGATTTGGAATATACCTATTACTTTAGTTAGTAACAAAACCTATTAAATGTATTATAATAATTTTTGGAATATTCTTACTTTTGAATAACATAATTTGGATCATTTTCAATTTGATTTACATTTGAATATAAATGGATACCTATACCTCTTCCACCAAATTTTGGTTTGGAGATGAAATTGACTTTAGGATTCTGCTCTGCGAATTGTTGAAGTGAATAATAATCCTCTGGCAGAGTGAATGTAATTGGATGGAATGAGAACTCTTCTTCTCCAAATCTCTCAGCCATTTCCTTGATATTCTTTGCAAGCAAATGTTTTGAATTTAATGCCTGTGGCATACCAGGATATCTGTTTATTTGATTTGGATTTTTCAATCGATCATAGAGTTCATTTGGAAAATCTGATTTCTCCACAAGTGCCAAATTTATTTTTAACCATATTAAATCAATTGATGAGATGTCCTATTTATTCGCAAAAAAGAAAAGGAAATTAATTATTAAAAAGTTTGGTTAGAAAAATATATATAGATCGTTAAAAAAAAAAAAATTAAAAATGTATACATGAGATAACAATTCACAATCTAGATCATTTTGTTTAAAAAGTTGTCTGAAAGATCTCTCCTCTAGAACTTCACATAATAGATTTCTACACTGCCATTGAACAGCGATTTCATCATTTGTCAATTCCTCTTTGTTTTTATTACCAAAAGGAAAAACTACATCTTCATATTTTAGACAAGTTGTCGTATTTAAAACCAAGGCCACTGTTTTTAATGGAGTCTTGCCATAGATATTGACAAGAGTAACAACATCTTTTTTTTTAAAATAAACCAGACAATTAGTTTTTTAAAGTTTTTATTTTAAAAAAAATAGTTTAACTAACCATTTAAATCAATATCTTTTAACAATGAAGAGTATTTAAATACCATTATTTAATATATATATTGAATTAGAATAAAAAAATGATTGAATTTGTTCAAAAGTTTAAAATGAATTAAAAATATCTTAAATTAAATTTATCAACTTGAATTCTTGCCCAATAATATAGATTTTTTTTTTTCATTAATTTGCTCAGTGTCTGCATTGCTCTTCTTTTTTACATTTGAGTGTTGTTGCTTCTGTTATTTTTTACTATGAATGTTTAATATCGGGATTGGGTGTGATACAATTTCGACAATATCGATTCCATAGTTGAACTAAGGAAAAGTTTCATCCATATATCAATCAGCCTCAACACTGAGATAGTATCTGCTCCGCTACACAGTTTTTCTCGGATGAAGGACTGAATATTCGCTTTGTCCCATGGCATTAAGGAAATGTACCCATCATCTACAGTAAAAGTAAGTTTCCGCAATTTCATCGAAAATGCACTTTCATATCAATACAGTTCGTGAAGCTCAACTTTGGTCTATCTATTCCTAACAGAACTACAGTCTTCTAAAAGTATAAAAATTTTGAATATTTTTATCTAAAAAATATCAAATAATAAAACTCTAGTATTATCTTAACTAACTCTAAACTATATCTCTCTCAATCAACGTTAGACAATTTCACATTAATTTTGCATCGTTTTTTTTTTTCTTTTATTTTTTTTTTTTATAAGTGACGATAAATTTTAATATTAAATATTAAATATTAAATATTAAATATTGAATATTGAATATTAAATATTGAATATTAAATATTAAATATTAAATATTAAATATTAAATATTGAATTTTAATTAACATGATGAGAGACACACAAATCCTATTTGACCTATCTAATTTAGATGACGATATTACAGATGACCCATCTTTAATTGAAAAGATCAACAAATCAATTGCAACAATAGAATTAACTTTTAATAAATACAAGTAAGTTGTTGAATTTTATATTACTAGATCATTGTATTTATTTATTATAATCATGATTCATTAATTTAAAATATATATTATAATAAATATATATGTAGGTTTGAAGAAATTGCACTTTGTTTCAATGGTGGAAAGGATTGTGTTGTATTATTACATTTAATGAACTATGTTTTGGTAAAGAGAACAAAACAACAAAAAGATAATAATATAGATAATAATAATAGTATTGATAGTTATAAATTAAGAACATTATATTTCCATTCAGAAGATAGTTTTAAAGAGGTCACTAAATTCACTGACTACTGTTCAAAGATATATAATTTGCATGTCGAATCGATAGACAAAGGTTTGAAAGATGGTTTAGAACAACAGGTCAACATGCATAGTATCAAAGCTATTTTCGCAGGTACAAGATCAACTGATCCTTATTCAAGTCATTTAACAGAGTTTACACAAACCGATCCTGTATGTGTTATCATATTGTTATTATTAATTATAAGTTAATGATAGCTCTAAACTTGGTCAATAATATAGCTAATTTTATTTTAATTATTATAATTATCAATAGTCATGGCCACAATTTATAAGAGTTAGTCCGATTTTAGAATGGAATTATGCAGATGTTTGGAAGTTTATTAGAACATTTAAAATACCATATTGTGTTTTGTATGATGAAGGATATACTTCGATAGGACATGTCAATGATACCATTCCCAACCCAGCGTTATTAGATGAATCAACCGGTAAATACTTACCTGCATATCATTTGAAAGACGGTACTTTAGAGAGATCTGGTCGATTAAAAAAAGTACAATAATCAAAAACAAAATAGTAACAAATATAGACATAATATTACAAATATATATTCACAAAATAAATCATGATCTATGAATGATTTTATATTTTAACAATATATATATGCTTTATATCTTTACTTATGATATAAATACATATACATTAGTTTATTTTTAAATAGTTAATAATTAAAATGATGATGATGATGATGATATTACAACAATAATAATAATAACAAAGATAAAGTAAAATTATAATACAACAACTCTTTTGTTAAATTGTAATGTTAATAGACTTATAATTCTATAGCCAACGGATATGATTATCATTACGTAGATAGATTGATAGATGTTAATGTCGTTCCATCCATAGGATTCGAGTACTTGTTCACCGGTTGTAATTGGACAGATAGTACCGTTGATCGCTTGGTTGCCTGGACAGTCGAATGTCAATCCTTGGAATTCATTGATTGCGATTACCTCTGCTGCCCACTTGGTTGGCAGTGCATAGTTAAAGTATTTCAAGACTGCTGGTAGCTCGCCGTTCGGTCTAAAGAAACCGGCCAACACAGAGAAGAGTGAGAGCAACACATTCGATATGGTAGTGGCCATTCCGACATCGTAAAACAACGAACAAACAAACAATCCGACAGACTCGCCCGAGAACAACAAGAAGAAAATAACCAGAGCGAATCGGAAGAATCGAACCGCAGAGTTTTGTAGACCCAGTGTAAAGTAGGTGACAGCTGCATAGCCGAGCGATCCAACAATGTTGAAAGGCAACTCCACTAGACCGTACGAGAAGAAGAATGCAAGCGTCGAGTACAATCCGTCGGAACGTTCACGGTAGAAGAGATTACGCTCGGTTGGGAACAGCGCTACACAGTTGAGCAGTGCAATGAAAATCATAGAGAGCGACTCGTAGAGGAAACCAGACCGGTTCTGCACACCGTATTGGTCGTCGCTGATACGCAAGAAACAGATACACATCATCAGACCAAACGATACGATCTGTGAGATTCTTGTGATGGCAGCTGGAACGTCACGCAAATGATTCAAATAAGATCGACTGGTAAGCGCGGGAATCGAGTAGTAGAAAGGTGTAGATGCACGTAGCTGTGAAGAAAGTTTTACTTCTTTTATAGATCGACTCTTACCTCCACTGTTTGTCACACTCTCAGCGATTGTATTCAACATCAATTGATTCTCTTCACTCTCTTGAAAGCCTGCAACCAACACTCTTAATCTATCAACTGAATTCTGTTCTAATGTTACACTTCTATAATCTATAGATACAATATCAACTTGAATTGAAATAAATAAAAGTTAATGTTAATCATCATTATTATTATTTAAATGTTTTTTATATAGTTTACTTACTAAAATAATCAGCAGGATTCTCCATCTTTGGACACTTGAAATTCAATCGAGAAAAGTGTTCGATCATCGATGAAGTACTACCGATATATACAAGTTGACCTTTTGATAACAACATTACTTGATCGAATAACTTGAAAATATCGGATCTAGGTTGATGAATAGTACATATTACTGTTCTGTTTTGTCTGGCAATCGATACCATCGTTTGTGTAACCTGATAGGCTGTAAATGAATCTAATCCAGTTGTTGGTTCATCAAGAAATAAAACACCTAAAAAAAAACAACCAAAACAAAACAAATCAAAAACAAAACATATTAGTATTTTAATCACATAATACTACTGAACCTATTTGTTATATACATACTTGGATCAGTTAACATTTGACAACCAATTGAAACTCTACGTTTTTCACCACCGGAAATACCACGTTTTCCGTTACCTCCGACTCTGGTGTTGGCACAGTCTCTCAGTCCGAGTTCAGCAATGACCTCTTCGACCCGGTTGATTTTATCTTGTTTCGGCATGTCCACTGGTAGTCTTAGTCGTGCAGAGTACATCAGTGATTCACGCACCGTCAGATTTGGCAGTAGGTAATCCTTTTGCATGACGTATCCGACGGCACTCTTTACTAGCTCTGGTGGTGGACTCACGATGTCGTTGAAGAGAATCTGGCCGTCGACTTTCATCTCTGCCTTTGAGAACCGACCACTTATCGTATTGAGCAGTGTCGTCTTACCACTGCCACTGCCACCGAGAATAGCACACATCTTTCCAGGTCTGATAATGGCAGAGATATTATTGAGAATCAAACGTTGTTGTTTACGTTCACACAGTCCGATCTTTGTAAATACATTCTCACTTTCACCTCGTAGCGATACATTCACTTTATTCAGAGTGATAGTGATCGGTACATTATTATATCTAATATGATCGTGATCTAAATATTCTATATCATCTCTTGTACCTACTAATGATGCTGATGTTATTGGTTTTATATTTGTTATTGTTGTTGTTGTTGTTGATGATTGTACATCAGTGTCGACACTGCTACTAATACTATTATTAATATTGTTGTTATCAATTGTATGATTAATATCTAATCTATGATTATTTAGATCATCAATTGATTCCATATCTAAATTAAAATAAATAAAATATTATATATCAATTGAATAATAAAGTTCAATAAAGTTTTACAACAAAGTATATCATAGCAGAATTATTGTTTGCTCATGAACTACTAAGGGGTTTTTTGTGCGATTAGTTGTTGTTTTTTGTAAAAATAAATTTCATCACACCGAGATATTTAGTGGTAGATCGGAATTGATTTATTCTCTTGAAAAAAAAAATTAGTTTTGTGCTTTTCTATTTTTTTTTTTTTTTTTAAAAAATTTCATTTTACTTACATTTTTATTCTTATACAAAATAATTATTAAATTCTAAAATTGTTTTAAATAATCTCTGGTTCTGTGTATTTACAATAAAAAAGTTAATAATGAAACAAAAATGATAAGAAAAATAAAAACTTACCTAACAATACAGTATGTCCTTCTTTTTTCAGTAATGACATTCTTGATCCAGAATGTGATTTTAGAATTTTATTTACTTTTTCTGAAAACTATGATAGATGTTTCGAATGTTAATTAAAAAGTTAATATTGATCGATTTAGTTAGTTTGTTTGTTTATTAGTTTGAAAATCTCCAAAACTTACATAGAAATCATGATAATCCAAATGTTGTTTATCGTCAGCGGTTCTAAGTCCTCTACCGAGTTTCTGTAGTGTCATATTTGGATCTTTTCCACCGCAAGCGTTGATGAGATGATGAATACGCACATCGATACCAACATAACCAATAGCAGAGAAGATTGCTACAACCTTTTGATTCTTTGCATACTTTAGCTTGTGAAGTACAAACTCTCTGGTTTCAACATTGTCGTCACCCTTTACCCAATAGGCATTTGGCATCATTCTAGCCAGCCGATCTCCATGCGATATTCTCTTTACCAAAATCATAATTCTACCAGATTCGATTGAATCCACCAACTTTACAATCGATTCATTTAAATAATCATTCTCTGCAATTAAATCTGATTCTATATCATAAAATGAAAGTTTACCACCACTATTATTGTTATTACTTTCTTTTGTTTCTCCATTGATCTGACCATCTTTATCATCTTCTAAAATAATATTTTCACTATCTTGTAATTCTACACCACTCGCCAGCAATTTCTCTTTCTTTTTTTCCAACTTTGTTGACTTTTGTTTAATATGATAATTAATTGGATAGAAATGTATATATGCATTTGCCAATATATTCTCTGTTGTTAATAAAATAGATGGATAAGTTGAATTCTATTCTTACTTGATATAAATATTGTTGTTTTTGCACTTACTTTGGGTCAATGCTTTAGTTGTGATATCACATAATAATGTACCAAAAACAGAGGTAATACGATTGTTATGAATGGGATCATCTATTTTGAATGGTGTTGCTGAGAATCCAAAGCGAGCATAGGCGTTGTCAAACATTTTGAATGCGTTACGAGCGGTTGGCGATGTGAATTCATGAACTTCATCGACTAGCAATACCTGTGCGCGTCGACATTGCTCTTCGATCTTGTGTGCCGACATCAGCGTTGAGATGGTGACACGCTTCGGTTCAAAGTAATCGGATGACACTCTGCCTGCGTTGCATACACCAGCTTCGACAAGACTCTTGTGAATCTGGGTGACCAGTGATCGTTTGGTAACTAGAATCAACACCGATACATCATCACCGAGTGCCTTGATCAGACTGGCGAGAATCATTGTCTTTCCACCACCGGTTGCACACTTTATAATACCACGATGATTTGCCAGCGCGAAATTGATGCTCTCCACTTGAAAATCATATAGCTTTACACCATTACCACTGTCATCCAACAACAAATCGTTGTCCACTTCTTTTGGTTCCAAATCATCGCTCTGCATATCGAATAATCTAGTTGGAACCAATGACTTTTCATAGAGATCAATCATCTTTTGTTGTTGTTTGTCCAATTCCGTTAATTCTTGTTCCATCTCTCCTTTTCCTTCTTCTCCATCTTCACTCTTTTTTGATTTCTTTTTCTTTGTTTTTGATTTTGTCTTTGAGTCTGATGATGATGATGATGATTCTTGTAGTTCAGGTAGTTTAATTGAATAATCCCAATTACTATAGAGTTGAGGTATAGGAATACGTTCATCAATACGATTGTAATCTACGTTCAACTCTGACAGTTCATTTGCAACGATTGGTAGCAATCCAGTAGCGAATTTACCAGTTTTCGGTGCAAAGAAAGGTACTTTTAGAGTGTGAAACGGTGATGCGAATGGTATTGAACTAGTTGAATTCTTGATACCACGCTTATAGTTGGGTGCAGAGAATGTCATCCTCTTATACAAAGTTTCCATTACAACGGGATCTGCATTCTTTAGAAATGAATAACTATTATTTATCTTTATAAAAGGTTTACATCCGTTACTAATTAATTTATTCATTTGTTTTTTATATTATCTTTTTTACAACAACAACAACTATATAATTGATATACATGTATTTTTAATATTATCAAAACATAATAATTCGTCTTTTTTTTTTGACCTAGATCAGTGTTTTCTTAGAAAAAAAAAAAGACACTTAAAAATTACATAGTTGTCATTGTTTTTTTATTATAGTAATAATTGTCGGTCCAATAATTTATTATGATTGTTTTACTGTGTTGGTTATTGCTCGAATATGACAGACCAATGACCTGATTTGACACCAGTATTATATTTAACAACGATCGGCACAGCAAAGTATTGTAACATATTTTTGGTAGCACCGACATCCAATGAAAATCGTTGTGCCAATGATTCTGCGCTATTCAACTCTGGATCTTCTCTATACAGCTGATACATCTTATTTATATCTTCTACCGTCAGTCTGCCCGAAAGTGACTGATTCTTCTGTAATCTCTGTCTAATCTTTGATATTCTAGTTGATAAATCCTTTTTTTTGTTTTGTTTGATGTTTGATTATTTATTACATGTAAGTATATTGTTTAAGTCGTGTAGTTAATTAAAACTCTATATACATACATCGTTTGATGCTATATTTATAGCTGGTATTTGATCAGAGAAATGTGGTTCACTACTAGAACTTGTAGATGGTTCATCTTCATCTCTAAAGTGAATATGACGCTCATCGTCGACGACAGAGAATCGATTCGATATTTCATTGTAGAGTTCGACACGCTCCGGCACCTTATCTTCTAGATCGATATGTGTAATGTCACCTAGCATCTTTTGTTTGTTTTCATACTCTGCGTGATCCCACTCTTGTTGTGCCTCTGCGATATCTCTAACCGGGACATTGCCAAAGAGATTCGATTCGTCGATACCTCTGATCTTATCGGTCAGTGCCTGTGCATTCTGTTGATGTTCGACCATCTTTAGAAGATTACGATCCTGTTTCGATAGGACGACGGGCTCTCCTTCGTCGTCATACTCAATCAGATTGCCAAACTCATCGTATTCCTCGGGAGCTGCATCATCATCCACTTCCTCCGGTAGATAGATACCTATATCTCTTAAATCTTTTTAAACTTTGACAATCAATATTTTGATATATCCATCTAATAAATGATCATTTTCAACAACATCTATTATAAGTACTTACCTTTTGATAAAATATCATTTTTTTGTATTTCATTTATATTATTATGATTATTCTTTAAATTATTAACATTAATACTCTTATTATTATTATGATTTGTTGTACAAAGATATCTATTAACACTGATAATAGATCTATTATTTAGCAATGAGTATTTATATATTGATTTATTAATGTATAATATATTTCTTAGCATGTTATCAATTTTTTTTAATAAAATTACAATTATTTTTATGACTTAATTTTTTGATGTTCATCCATTTTTTAGTTTTTAATCATATTTGCAAAAAAAAAATAGATACATTTTAATCAAATTGAAGTAATTATTTAATTGTTTGTTGTTTAAATAAAAAAAAATACAATCAATTTTAGATTACAATATAAAAATGTGGTAGGGAAAGATTGAATAAATAGGTCGAATTTATTTGGTTTTATACATCAAATTTAATTAATATACTTAATTAATTTAAAATCTCTATTTCGTTCAAGTTTAAACATTATGATTGATTAACTATAAATAGTAAACATTGTTTGTCTTTTTTTCATTAAATTACTTTTTAATTTGAAAAAAAAAAAACTAATTATCTAAAAATGACTTTAATAATAAAATTTTTTAATAAATAATGATAGATATTAAAACTATTCCATTATTTTTTATTATAGCTACTTTATCTTCAATCGGATTTGTCCTATCAAACAAATCAATTTTCAAGAGAGTCACTGTATCTAGTTCAAGCCAATCAACAAACAGAATTGTTAATTTGGATATAGAAACAGATGTAGATTTTATATCGAATACTGAAAAGACTTCTGTTATTACCGTCGATATTGTCGAATAAGCTTCGAATGCATTTATTGAAGCTTATACTATCAGTTAAGAGTAATGAGAATCTTCTAAAGATTGAATTCACATAAACTTTAAAAAAACATTAACCATCTAACATTCTGATCTATCATTCTATCTTTGATATCTTGTTTTTCAAATATTAATTATATCCATTTATAAAAAGATAATAACTCTAGTATGTGTTTTTTGAAATAACCAGCGAAACATACCAAAATTTATAAGTAAAAAATAAGAAAACTTCTTTCTGTACAAATAAAAAAAGTGGAAAAACCTCAATAATCTATTAAATTAATCTAGTTCTACAACAAGATAAAAGAGATCTTTACATACAGAAATTTAATATTTGATTTAAAAAGAATAAAATTTAATCAAAACTAGCAAATTATCAATTCTATACTTTTTTATCAATTAATACCCCTATTTATAAAATAATCCATTTTTATTTTTTTAGTGAGAGTAAATTCGTCATCAATATTTGAAAAGACGATAAGAATTAATTTGATTTTAAAAATATAAATGATCAATATTCTTTTAACAATATTAAATATTTTACAAATAAATTAAAAAATGTGGTAATGGGAAAGTATTCATACTTTACAGTTCACCCTCTCAAACAACCACACTTGAGTGGGGTTGACAACCCACGAAAAATCAATGGACTATTAGTGGTTTTTATATTTTGTTTTTATAGGATGATTGTTTATAAAGATCATAATACATCCTAGTAAATAAAATTAGATTCAGAATATTTTAATTAAATATTTAAATCTCTAAATTGTTGATCTATCTATTTTTTAAATTATATTCTAACATTCAGTACAATGTTGGATTTTCAAAGTATAAATTTATTAAAAATATTTTTAAAGGATCGAATCTATTAAAATAAATCTTTGGAATATTAAAAATGATATGATTGAGTAAAACTATAAATAGTTAACTTTGTTTATCTATTTCAATATCAAATCAAATTACTTTTAATACTAACAAATCTAAATATGACTTTAATTTGTAAATTTAAAAAAATAGATAAATCTAAAATAAATATTTATTAATTTTTATACAATTATAATTATAGCTGCTTTATCTTCAATGGGATCAGTCCAATCAAACAACTCCATCTTCAAGAGTCAAGTTGGTGTCACTGGAACCAGTTCAAACCAATCATCAAACAAGATTGCATTCTCGGATGTAAAAGTTGATGATCTTGATCACCAGAATAAAATTATTAATGGCAATGCCGTCATTGATCTCAACCTCTAAACTGTTTATCTGACAACCTATTAAATAAAATAATCAAGCAAACAACATCTACTATTTTAATAAATTTAAAATGTATTGATAATGTATAAATCGATATTGGGTAGAGTCGAATTGAATTTGGTTTTGTTTTTAATCATTCTAAATTTAACAATGAATTCTCTATCATTAAGTTTAGTATTTATTTTTTTGTTTGAAAATTGAAGTTAAAAAAAGTAGAAACTCAGTTTTCAAAAAGTATAAAAGACACAAATTGATTGCAATCAACAAATTTCTTCTATCATTTATAAAGCTCAACTTGGAAAAAAAAATTGTTTTTTGATTTATAGAAACTTAATCAAAGTGGGAAGAATCTACATATTGAATTCAAAATAATATTAATTTTTATTTTTTTCAAAAGATTGAATAAAAAGAAACTTAATAAAACACCATAAACCCCCTCAAACCCCTACCTCTATTATTTAAATCTACTTCCTAAAAATGGGGTGTTAAAGGAAAATTATTTAGAATACAAATTAAAATAATAAAAAATATTGATTGGAACACCACAGTTAAATTAGAAAGGAGAAGATTTTAATTTGGGAAAGAATAAACCCTATAATTCCAACAATCAATGTATTATGCTTGTTTGGATTGGGGGTTATGATATTTAAAAGAATAAATTTAAATTTTAATCACTATCTTGTTGTCTAAATCATAAATTTTAATATTATTTTAACTTTCAGTTCAATATTTGATTTTCAAAGTAAATAATTATTTAATGGATCGAATTTATTAAATAGATCTTTGGAATATTAAAAATGATATGATTTGATTAAAACTATAAATAGTTAACCTTTTTATCTATTTCAATATCAAATAAATTTCTTTTAATACTAATTTAATAAACAAAATACTAATTATCTAAAAATGACTTTAATTGGTAAAATTTACAAATTCTCTATCTAATATTGACAATTAAATTTATTAACTTTGGAACATTTCTGTACTATTATTTTAGCTGCATTATCTTCAATGGGATCAGTCCAATCAAGCAACTCCATCTTCAAGAGTCAAGCTGGTATCACTGGAACCAGTTCAAGCCAATCATCAAACAAGATTGCACTTTTGGATGCACATGTTGATGCTGTTGTTGCCTTCGGTACTCTTTTGAATGCCAATGCCACCGCTGATATACACCTCTAAACAGTGTGGCATCCGAATTCATATGTTGAATATAGAGCTTACTAACATGTACCATCAACTTCATTAATATCTACTATTTTAATAAATTTAAAATGTATTGATCATGTATAAATTGATATTGGTTTTTTTTCTCTTTGATTAAAGATTTCTTCAAAATTTTAAAAAAAACTTAATAATATTTAAAAAGAAAATTGTTGTAAGTAGCCAGCTGACAATGTTTGTCAAAACAGTTGGTTAAACATGAATATTTTAAAGAAATTGTAAAAATTCATAATTCTATTTTCCACAAAACATTTCATAACCAGCTGTCCACCCAAGAAAATTTTAGTATTTAACTATTATTGATCAAATAAAGGATTCTTTTATTTGATTTGATTAATCAAGTAATGATTCACCTTATGAAAATAAAATTTTTGTCACTAATTGAATGTGAGAAGAATCGAATTTTTAATTAATATTTAGTGTTTTAAAGAAGAATATTAATTTTAATTTGTCAAAAGATTCATTCAACAAAAATTTTTTTTAACACAAACCCCTCTTATTAATATTGATATCACAAATTTATAAAGAAAACTTTTTAATTTTAGTATTTAAAATTTTTTAATATTTCTTAAAGTAGATTGGGGAAAGAATGAGCTCTAAAATTCCTAACAATCAACACCATATTGGTTTGGTTGAGTTGTTTGATGTGATTAGAAGTTGGTTTAATAAATTTGATAGAATATTATACTTAAGAAATAAATAAATATTAAATCTCTATCTTGTTTTTTGTATTTAAAATTTTAATATTATTCTAACTTTCAGTTCAATGTTAAATTTTCAAAGTATATATTTAATATATTTTTAAAGGATCGAATCTATTAAATAAATCTTTGGAATATTAAAAATGATATGATTGAGTAAAACTATGAATAGTTAACTTTGTTTATCTATTTCGATATCAAATCAAATTACATTTAATACTAATTTAATAAACAAAAAACTAATTATCTAAAAATGACTTTAATTGGTAAATTTAAAAAATTTTTAGTTATCTTTGAAATATATTTACAATTATTAATATTTCCTTTTTTAATTTATTATTATAGCTGCTTTATCTTCAATGGGATCAGTCCAATCAAACAACTCCATCTTCAAGAGTCAAGCTGGTGTCACTGGAACCAGTTCAAACCAATCATCAAACAAGATTGCACTCTTGGATATATATACAAATGTCCAAGTTGATGTTGAGAATTCCAGTAGCACCACAGATGATGTCGAACTCTAAACAGAGTTTCTGGTAATCGATTACATTTATATTGTTGTAATTCTCAACCGTACCAAACAACTACCACTTCTTTAACATCTATTTTAATAAAAATAAAATGTATAAATTGTATTGTTATTTTCAAACTAATTGCCAAACTATCTTCTTAATTGTCAACGATCTCCAAAGATTTCCACCATTGTTTTATTTGTTTATTTAATACAATGATTATAGTATTTGTAATTTCAATACTATTTAAATCTATATTTGAATATAATTTAAAAGTAATTGATTTGTTTATATCGCTCAATACTATTTCTAAAACCTGTAATTGATTATTATGATTAAATATGATGTTGTTAGTTAGTTAACAAGTTGTTATATAGTTTTTGATATCAATGTTCAACATACATTTTCATTAATATTAAGTAATACATTATTAATATTGCTGTTGTTATTATTACTATCTTTTGGCTTATGATAAATAATAAAATATAATTGATCTTTTGATTGTTTATAACTGTAGCTTGGAAATAAAGGTGTACAATCGCTAATGAATGTAACTGGGAATGGTATGGATTCGACATCTATCATATCAGAGATATTGTCTTCATTCTCTAAATGCTTATGGTTATGTTGTTGATGTTCTTTATGTTGATGATTATGATGTTCATGTTGATGACTATCTACAGGTTCAACTACACTAACAACAATCGTTAACATCTTTGTTTTCTTGTTAAACTTTGCACTATGATTCTCTTCATCAATAGCATGTGAAAATGGGATCTAATGATTGATTTGATTGATTAGTTTATTAGATTAGAATAACAATTGTAATAAAATAATGTTATAACTTTATACATTACATTTAAATTATAATTAACATTATCTTCTTGTAATATTAAAGATTGATCAATTATTTCGATGTATAGATTAGATATATTCTCTAGTTTCGATAGAAGAATTTCAATCTTGATGCTAGTCGGTATGATAACTGGGTTTTTAATGGGTTGCTGATTGCGATCTAACTTTATCAAATTGAAAACAGGTGTAATCGTACCATCGTCATTGACCACCTCTACTGCTTTTGGTTCTTCCATATCTACAATTGGTTCTGGTAGTTCTGAAACTATCATTTCTTTATAATACACTTTCTTTGACATCTTATATGCTAAGAGAAAGAGAGAGAAGTAATAATTAATTAGCAAAACAGTTATGTTATGTTTTTTTCTTATGTTTATAAATACCAGCAATATTTAGTGATTCATTATAGTTTTGATAGATTGATTTTATTGCAGATTGAATTAGTAGTTTGTATAGACCTCTGTTCTTCATCGATTCTTTGTAGGTCTCACTGCTGAATACTATATGATATACATTGTTGAGTTGACCTGTTACCGATGCCTTTTGTTTCTCTACTGGGAATAGAGAGTGAGGTATTACCCAACCACCTTCAGATGATGTAGATGCAGGTTCTATCGAATAGTAATGTGATACCATTACATATACCTTATCGAATCTATTACTATGTGTCTTTATACAGAATGCAGGTGTAACCTTTACATTTTTTATTTTTAAATCCTTATCAATACTACTACTATTATTATTATTATTATTATTATTTTTATTTATATTATTATTTTTATTACTTTCACTATTATTATTATTATTATTTTCTTTTAACTTTTGAGCATTATCATAATATTGTAATAGATTAGATAATAGATTTGTATCTTTTAATGCATCTGTTAAATGTTTAACATCGTTTTCATCTAAATTGATATTATCACTATTGTTTTTGTTCATTACTTTAAAAAAAAGTGTGCAGAATGTAAACAAAAAGAGTCGACTTGATAGTTTATATATGAAAAAAGGTGTCTAGGAAAAGAAAGTAAAGTTAATTTAAATGGATTTTATTATAGTACTAAAGAATTTTAAGTTTTTTTCTTAATTTTATAAATATTATTAATTATTATTATTATTATATATCACAGAATATTGGTTTGGTAGAATCGTACCACCAAACTTTGGCAGTGTTATCGTGAGAACTGCTTGCTAGTAATGATTGTTGTTGTGACCAGGCAACGGAATAAACCATGCCGGTATGACCTTCTAGTTTCTGTAGGATGTTACATGTTTCGATGTCCCAGATATATACAAATCCGTCTTCGGAACCACCGATCACCAGTGACTCGTTCGGTCCGAATATCGATCGGATAAAGTTCTTAGAGGTGTTCTGGTGACCTTTGAATCTCTTGAGTGGTCGTGCTGTACGGATATCCCACATTCTGTTGGAATTGTCTTTCGACGCCGACAGCAAATAGGAACCGCTGCTGTTGGTGGCAACCGATGTCACCTCACCAAGATGGCTGCTCAATGTCTTGATACACACTCCACTCAGAATATCCCAGAACTTAATGGTACTGTCTTTGCTACCAGAGATAATAAGATTACCGTGTGGATTGAAGATTACTTTGGAAATGGAGGAGCTGTGTCCGAGGAACGACTTTACTAGTTGGCCGGTTCGCACGTCGTGCAGGTGAATCGACTTGTCGTAACCACCGGAAACAATGTGTTCTTGGCCTGGATGGAATTGAACTGCGTAGGCATCACCTTCGTGTGCTTTAATAGTGAGAGGACATGTCGGTTTGGTGGTGGAACTGATATCCCAGACCTTGACAACACCGTCACCAGCCGCCGACGCCATCAATTTTCCGGATGCCGAAGAACTCAGATCCCATATTCTCGAAGTGTTTCCAGTGAGATTTGCCAGTTGTGCGCCAGTCTCGGTATTCCAAATTTTAATGGTGTTGTCGCTGGAACCTGTTGCCAACGACAATCCGTTGCCTCCGATAAACTCTACGCATTTAACATTCTTTCTGTGTCCGGACATCGTTGTCTTTAGACTGTTGGGCAGTACGAAACAACTGTAGTCTTCGAGTAGCGACTTGATGCGTGGTACCACCTTGGGATGGTATCGACCGAATTCAATTTGATAGGTGACAGCCTGCTTCAAGAGTGTGAGCAGCCGGTGTGGCGGAAGACGGAACAGTCCCGCCGACTTGGTATTCTCGAGGTCGAGCATCGATTGGAATTGCTCCACGAGTTTCTCACGACTGTTTCCTTTCGAGCCGTCCCAAGCTCGGAACGAAGGAACCTCCTGTACCGACCGACAAGTCAGCAGATAACAAAGATCCTTAAACTCGTCGGCGTTGTGCTGTCTTCCCTCCAGCGGCTTCAGACGCTTCGTCAAGTAGGTGAACGCCTTTTGGTATTCGGCCTTCTCGATCAGCTCGAGATACGCCTGCTTGTAGACGGCGTAGAGGAACGACTGTTGATTCTTAAAGGTTGTCTTTGAGCAGAGTTTCTCGACCTCTGTCCAATCGCCCTCGATAATCGCTTTCTTCATCTTTTTCATTTGCGACACCTTGTAGTGGTGCTCTGTGAATTTAACGTTGGCTTCGTCTTGTACGGTCATCAGCGATGCAGTGTAGCCTTCGTCCTGTAGATACTGTATGATCATACGAATGATATCCTCTTTGAGTTGAGCGTCACTCGGGTCGAATATCATCGGATCGTCCTCCAAGTAGATAGTTTTCTTTGGTGGACCGCCATACTCTGTACCCGATATCATTGAGCGTATCTCCAACTCTCTTTCATTCTCTACCGCCACCACATTTGAACCTTCGGATGTCTCTGATGAAACTACTACTTTATCAACTAAAACATCTACACTTGCTATAACATCTTTATTCTCTATATTATTATTATTTGTTGTTGTTGTTGTTGACTTATTATTATTATTATTATTATTACTATTTTGTTTATTAATATCTTGTTTATCTTTATTTTCACTCATATTTATATCTATTAATTTATCTAAATTCTCGGGAACAGATAAATTAAAGTTGTGATCTGAAAAAATTTCATTAAACTTTTCAAAAAAAACTGAAAAATGATCACATTCATATTAAAAATCAAAAAAAAAACAAAGATACTTATTTTTTATTTTTCATTCTTTGCTACCACCACTATTATTATATTTGTGTATATATATTTATTATATTTATAACTAAAAATGGTGAGTGATCAATCAATCAATCAATCATATGATATCCTAATTAATCAGTATTCAATAAATATTAATTTTTAATGATAATTAATTTAGAAATTTAAATTCTGTGGTGAATTAGATGCACCTGATTGGTTACTAAGAGAAATCAGTACACTCTCAAAGATTGTATGTATATATTTGATAACTTATCAAATAACTATTTGATTTCTAACTAATGAATTTAAAACTTATTATTATTATTAGACCAATATAAGAATTAAATTGTTAACAGTACAGGTTATTAATAGTTTCAATGGTGACAACATAGATGTAAATAGTTTGATTAGATTGATTTCAATATAATATGTTTGATAATTAATGAATTAATTGATGTTTGGTTATTTTTAGTTTGAAAAAGTAGAGAAATTAGTAAAGGATGCAGGTTTTCAATTGGGAGATATCAAAGCTTTGATTGCAGCCATTCATTTTATCGTATTCAATGCAGTCAAGAATGATGTCGACGAAGCAACACTATCGAATGAATTACAACAGCTAGGTCTACCAAAGGAGCATTGTGACTCTATATCACGTGCATTCCGTGAACATAAAGATAAATTACGTTCAATCTTTTATAATAATACATTAAAATGTAAATATGAATCATATATTAGAAATTAAAATTAAAAAAACAGAACACTAATCAATCATTTCATATCATATCACTACACAGTGACATCTATAGATAGTTTAGATTGGAGAGTCGATTATTTACTCAGCTCCAATACAGTAAGCGAAGTGAACACACCAAATATCCAATTGAATCTAAAGATTAAGAATCCATCAAATGGTGAACTCACTTATCACCCATTTGAAATCAGTGCAAAGAAATTCAATGTATTATATTATGGTAAGTTTAAAACAAATCATCCAGCCAATCAATCAACTAATTTCTAATTCCTTAAATTTATTACATTATACATAAATGATATAGAACTTAAAGCTGCCAAATCACTAATGGAAGAATCACAATAGCTAAATTAAATAAAAGTAAAATCAAAATTGGAAAAATAATTATTATTATAGTGTAGTGGAAATAAATATTAAAGTTTATTATTTTAATTTATTAATTAATTATATAATCAAAATCATTTTGATAGTTATAAAAACTAGTACCTCTTCTTGGTATACATTTACTTTGTAGAGTGCAATTGTTGGTGTCGAAACTATTTGATGAAAATTGATTGATTTTGTTATTACGTAACAATGTTGATATATAGTTGTCGGTTGCAGTGTGAATATGGTAGGCATTCTGTGATCTAAAGAATAGACATCTTTGGTCAATCAAGTAGATCTCCCAAATAATAAAATTCTCTTGTAGCTTAATACGTTCAATTTCCGACCATTCCACTGTTTCTATAATTTCAGTTTCATCCTTTGAGAGTACTAGTATACCATCTTCAGAGATACCAATGATTCTTTGATTCGATCCTTTCTTGGCAGTGGTAGTGGTAGTTGGCATTCCATTTTCCAAAACCATTACTTGTTCCACTTGGAATCTTAACTCTGCCATTTCATTTAATTTATATTTTTCTATTTTATTTTTCTTTGGTGATCTTTTAAAAAGACTATTTAAAGATAATTTAACCATTTTTTGTAAATTTATATATAAAGATAGATACTTTTATAAATAATTAATATATTAATTAAGGGAAAAGAATATTTTTGAAATGATTTGTTAAAGAAGTAGAGAATTATTTATAGTATGAAAATCAATATCTTTTGAATATAAATAGGAATTAATTAATAATCAACCTCTGATTTTATTTTAATTAAAAACACAGAATCATTCATCATCACAACAATAACAAGAAAACAGCCAACAAATAATCAATCAACAATTTATATAGGATAAAAGTAGAAATTTTTGACAATCAACAGGACCAACGACAAAATAGTATATAGATTGTGAACTCATTTTCAATGAGTGGTGTGCTCATAATCTGTTTTACCACAAGAGTGTTACACAAAAAAAGGAAAGTGGAAATCTTCTAAGTTTGTGTGATATTTGTGGTTATTGTTTTTTTTTTTAATATAATAATGATAATTGACATCACACTTGTGTTCAAAGTTGTTTTAAATCAAATTTTAATATCAATATTTAATGAATAACACTTTTAACAATTGTTAGTTCTAATTGTTTAACAATAATGAACAGTAATTAAATAGAACAGTTATATTTTCAATGTTAAACTTGGAATGCGTATATTTTTTTTGTTTGAACAATTTTGTATAATTGTGAATATTACATTTTTGTTTTTTTCTACAGATAAATTTACATTTTGTAAAGTTGATTGTTTTATTGAATAAAAATATCAAATGTTGAAAGTTAAAAGTTGTTAATTTTATAGTAATATAAGAATACATAGTTTATTTTATTGTTACAAATTATCTCCATCTAATTGATTGAATCTTTCAAAAGTGTTGTACTCATTTTAAATCACATATGATACTACTAGATTGACTCAGAAAACAAGGTAAAATTATTTTTAATATCTTAATATATCATAATTAAATCGAAATTTTAAGAGATATTATCATTATAATTTAAATGGTGAAAAGAAAAGTTAATAATACTGTAAGTGAATATACTAAGGTTGGTCTATATAATATTGTACATACTTCATCTATTTCCTTTCAAGAAATTGTTAAGTTTGGATTGTTTGGCATTTTTAAAAACTCTTTTAAGTATGGTTCCTTGGAGGTGGTCTTGAAAGACTCTTGAATTGTGGTTGCGACATACCTCTAACACGAGCGATAGGAGTCAATCCAAATGATTTAAGCTATGCGTTCTTTCAATGTAGCCTAATATATGTTTTCAGAGGTCAACCTAGTAATATTTGATCATGAATCTCTGTGATTTAAAAAGAGTTGACCTTTTTGCAAATAAAAAATATTTTTTGTTGGTTGTTTTTGACCGTTTTGAAATACTATTAATAATCAACCAAAAAACAATAAGAGAAAAAGATAAATAGATTTAAAAGCTTTCAGTATCAACACCACTTAAATGAGAATGCTTATATTAGATTATATAGTATGAAACTTTCATAACTATCACTACATAGAATTGACATTCAAACTGCTAGTACAGCTGTAGTTCTTTAAACGATGGTAGTAAAACATCACCTATTGTATATACAACTATCTAGAGTTTAATCAACAAAGATAAAGTTTGCCAAATTCCTCACTGTTCACCGTCTAGTCAATAAACAATGATATCAAACTTTTACATTCTTTCATGTGCTCAAGAAGAACTAGAACATGATGTTTTAATTTGTTTTTTTTTTTTTTGTTTTAATATAAATTATTTATTTTATATAATAAAAGGGGTTTTTAAGGTTATAATTTAAACAAATAGGTAAACTATTATGATTTGTTGTTGTTGTTGTTGTTCATTGTTTTTATATTTATTCCAACATTGGTTCGATTGTCTTTTCCAATGTAATTAAATCGTCGGCAAACTTACGGATACCCTCGGCAGTCTTGAAGTGAGCCATTTCGTTTCTCATGAGTTCGTAGGCAAACATTGATGAATCTGGGACGATCTTCTCTGGAACGTGCTCTGGCTTGTCGGATGGTGAGAGCTTACGTGATACGATTGAGCTGTCCGATGCTTGGAGTGCCTCGAGAATACCTGGTGACAAGGTCAACAAGTCGATACCGGCCAACTCAACGGCTTGCTCCTTAGTACGGAAACTAGCACCCATAACAACGGTGGAGTATCCGTGCTTCTTGTAGTAGTGGTAGATGCTCTTGACAGAGACGACACCTGGGTCGGCAGAGGCACCAAAGTCCTTGCCTTCTTTGGCCTTGAAGTAGTCGGTGATACGACCGACGAATGGACTGATCAATGTGACGTTGGCCTCTGCGCAGGCGGCCGCTTGGATCAAAGAGAACAACAAAGTCATGTTGCAGTGGATACCTTCTTTCTCGAGGACACGAGCAGCTTGGATACCCTCCCAGGTCGAGGCGAGCTTAATCAAAACACGATCACGCTTGACACCGGCATCCTCGTAGAGCTTGATCAACTCACGAGCCTTCTTAATGTTACCCTCGGTGTCGTATGAGAGACGGGCATCGACCTCTGTTGATACACGACCTGGAACGATCTTGAGAATCTCAAGACCAAAGTTGACAAAGAGCTTATCCATAGCCAATGTCAATCTTGCCTTCTTGTCGGAGGCATTCTTCTTTGCATAGGCAACGGCGTCGTCGATCAAATGTTTGTACTGTGGCTTTGAGGCAGCTTGGTATACCAATGATGGATTGGTGGTACTGTCTTGTGAGTTAAACTTTGACAAAACTGCGAAATCTGCAGTATCTGCTACCTAGGTATTTTCATTTTATTATTACAATTAAATAAATATTATTTACATTTCTTGTTTTTTTTTCATTTGTTTTCTTTTTTTTTTTTTTTGTATACTTACAATAACAGTGAACTCTCTTAATTTTTCTAAAGCGTCAGACATTCTTATTTATTATTATTATCTGTGTGTGTGTTTGTGTGTGTGTAAAGTGTTTAATTTTGTTAACTCGGAGGTCAGTTCACATTTAATTTAAAAAAAAAATCATACAAAAAAAATGTAAAAATTTCATTTTTATATTGTGTGTTCTTAAGAACATACACCCTATTCTGAAAAGGAATGGAACAAATATATATTTTTGGTAGAAATTCCAGATCGCAAATTTAAGAGTCAAGAAGATTTGTGTATTTATAGATTTCATTTTCTGGAATTAAAACATAGGTTTTTATTTATAAATATTTTTATTTAAAAATATCTTTGTTGATTCCTGAATAATAATGACAACAATAATTATAACAATAACAACAACAATAATTATAACATTTACAACAACAGCGTACAATACATTCAATGATTAACATCAGTTGTGGATTATTATCTTTGTTACCAGAATGATTAAATCAATATCATTCAAAATCGATTCTTTATTTCATTCTTTTCTTTTTTTAATATTTTTGTTTTTTTAATCGATCATGATTGGAATAACTCAATCGATTAGTTTATTTTAAAATATCTTACAGGCAGAAAAGTTATTTGATGTTTTATTCATTTAAAAGTTTAGCAGTTTGTTTATATTTACAAAGATTTAGTTATTATTACTCATTGTTGTTATGTTGATGTTGTTGGCGTTGAAGTTGTTGTCATTGTTAAGATTATACAGTATATTCTGCACAATATTCTTTCATCATTGGTATTATCTTCGATGATAATGTCGGTAGTTTGTAAGTTGCTAACATATATATAGATTGACCAGAGTCTGTGTTTGTAGCTGCAGACTTGACCGGTACTTTAATAAGTGCAATACCCTCACCCTCTGCTTCTTCTGCTTTTCTTCCAACTATCATTTCTTCGAAATATCTATAAAACATATATATATTGTTAATTAATTAATTATATATTTATATTATTAATTGATTTTTGTCAATACAATACCTATGTACTTCATAGTTAATATCACCTAATGTAATACCAGTAGAAATAACACGATTACCAGATTCAAACAATGCAATGAGCTCAGTGAGCTCGTCTTTTGTCTTTTTGAATGCAGCAGGTTCGACTAAAATCGTATATGATGGTGTAAAGAGCAGTAGTTTTGAAGTCAACTTCTTTATTTCCACTAACTTCTCATTCTCTATTGTTTGTAAATTATTACTCATCATTTATAACTCCTTCTTTTATTTTTACTATTTATTATATCAAACAATAATACTTAACTAATCAGTTAATAAATATACTTTTTTTATATTAAATTAAAAAAATTAAACAACAAATATATTTTTTTAAATTAAAAAATGTAAGGTGATATAAATTAATTAAAAATTATGCAACACAAATTTTTGTGAACCAACTTTAATCTTACATTTTAATCAGAGATCAATATATTTTCACTAAAAAAAATAGTAACTTTCATTGTCATTTATATTCATTTCAGCAAGGTTATATAACCAACTTTGTAAAATGAAGTCTTGCAACCTGAAACAAAAAAATGTATGATATTTTTAAGTTAAACAAAAAAAAATAAAATATATTTTTAAGTTGGTTAGGTTAACATTTAGTTTTTTTTTGTCTTTTTTTTTCAGTGTAGAGATCTAATAAGTGATAGAAAGTTGAGTAAAAACACTTTAATTAAAAAATGTTCTATATCTACTAAATTTTTAAATATTATATTGTATTTATTTTTAATACCTGGCGATCTATTACACTCAAACACATACACAAATACAACTTAAAAAGATAAATCTCATATTAATTTTACATTGAATCTACAAATTTAGATTAATTAAATGATAGTGTATCTTGTTAAGAACCATCCAACATCGATGAAAATCCAAAAAACTAAAATTTTTTTTTTTTTTTGGAAAATTTTTATTTTTTCTTAAAATGGATAACAATCGATATCGATGGTAACAAAAACCTCAAGGTTATATGAATGAATTCTCACGATTCTATATGCTTAATTACAAATTTGGTAAAACAACAACCCACTTCACCACAACATTTACCATATATTATCATCGAAAGACTCTTTGCAAAATAAAAAGGAGAGATCTTAAAAGGGAAACAGCTTTTGGAATACAACAATATAAATTGGCAAACTTTCAACATACTTTTTCTTATTTACAATCCCAGTTCCAATCTTGATAAATATTTATCATAATATAAATAAATTTTATACATATAATTCTATTCTTTATACATTTATCATTTTAAGGTAAGTTTTAAAATTATTTTACTAATTTTCATAATATTACTTTGAATTCATCCATCTAATAAATAAAATTCAATTCTTTTTTTTCTTTTATTCTTCCATTTCCTTTTTTGATTTCTAAATAAAATAATTAAAAAAATGGAAATATTATTATTACAAAATGTGTTTAAAGATTTTAATAATAAAAGATGGTAAAGACTACAACAACATCTAATTTGGTTGAAGAGACTGTCTCTGCACCAAGTGGATCCACCACTACAACTTCCACTGCCGTAGAGGAGATAGTGCGTCCAGCTACCAACTTTGCTGAGGAGACAGTGCGTCCCGCCACTAGCACCACAACAACCACCACCTCCAACACCATTAGAAACTCACCCCTCAGTGCCAAGAAGACTACCACTACCACCCAACAACAATCGTCGTCGTCCAACCTCCACGAAGAACCATACTACGGTCACTACAACGATCACCACCACGTCTACGGAGACAACGGTCACGGCTACGGAGGTAGAGAGAGATACAACCACGGAAAAAATGATTTCCGTGACGAGCGTTCCAACTACTGGAGAAACACTCAGGCCTACAATGAATACTACGACACTTCCGACCACGGTTACTGCCCATTCTACATGAAGCGTCGTGAGCTCTCTGACCTCTGGCACCACCGCGGATGGTACGCTCGTAACGGAGAGCCATTGCCACCAAAGACAACCACCACCACCACTCGTACAACAACCACCACAACAAGACTATAAATTAATAAACAACAATAAATAGTAATAAAATATCTTTTTTTTTTTTTCAACACCAAACTCAACTAACCAAACAACCAACCAACATTTCAATCAAATAACTAATAATATGTACATACAAAAACAAATAAATAAACAAAAAAATATAAAATTCAACCTTGATCAAGTTGAATTTTAACCATTTATATAATATAATCTTAAAGAAATCTGTATTTACTGAATTTAATTTATTTTCTTTAATATTAATGTTTAAATTACTTTGATTTGATAATTTCGAGAAGTAAACTAAATGTCGATTTAATTAATCCTGGTATTCAACCGAAAGAATAAACAGAAAAACTATAATATTTCTCATTTTCAAACAAGATCTTAAATTAATTAAAAGAATAATAGTATTAGTTTTAATTATTTTCGAGAAAAATAATCTTTATAGTTGAATCGCAATCGCAAAATAATATAATACATAAAAATTAAACTTCAAGGAATTCCTTTTGGTTAAAAACTAATGTTTTTTGATTTTTATTCTTTTATTTCGATGACACTTCAAATTTTTTATGATAAAATTATTTTTTGAAATGTAGATTACAATGGTTGTTTTTTAGTTTATACCCCCTAGCACCCATTCTATACCCTTTTATTTTGCATTATAAATCTTATTTGCAGCATCTAACAACACACATAGCAAGCAATCCTAACTTATTAACCAAGGTTTTAATTTATAAGAGATACAAAAGACATTATTATTATTTCTCAAAAATATATAAACACACAACAATTAATCATAAAGTTAATAATAACAAACAAAGCAACAACAATTTATTATTTATTTATTTATTTATTTCAACTTAGTAGCAAAAGTATATCCCAATTAAATTTTAAATTAAATAAAATTTAATCAAACCAACAAATTTTTTTAAAAAAAAAAAAAAGGTAATTAATTAATAAGATCAAACTATTTATAAAAACGAAACAAAAATAACTCGCGATTTAATAATCTAGATAATTTTGCTTTTTGAAAAAGATAGATCTTTATTTGAATAGAATACTATCTATTTTTTTTATTATTTATTATTTATTGTTTATAATGATTTTAAATCGTAAACAGTAAGGTTTCTAGTTTATACCAACAACTACTTATAATTATTGATATACGCTTTATGCTATTTGCAATACGATAGTAAACAGAATCAAGCGTGTCTCATCAATTTTCATTCTGTTGTTGAAAACACCACACCTTTTCTATTATTGAAAAACAACACTCCACTTCACTTAATGCAATACCACACAAATGGCTCAAAAATGCAATTAAAAATTATTTTATTATTTATCAATTTATTGAAAATTTTGATTTTTTTTTTTTTTTAGAAAAAATTAAAAAAAAATAAAGACTAAAAAAAAAGAATCACAGTCCAACAAAACAAAAAATAAAATAAAATAAAAAATTTAATAATAATTATTTTTTTTTTGTACCTATACATATTAGTAGTAGAATATAGAATAATTAGATAAATATTTAATATAGTCAGCCTATAGTGTTTTTTTATAGATATTTGTTGTATAACAGAATAAAATATTTAATTGTAAATTTCGTCATTTCATCTTCACCATCAACAACAACAACATCAATAATAATAATAATAATAATATTGTTAACTTCTATTTACACCTCTTTTGCTTTCTTCTTAATAATAAATTAATATTTAAATCATAGTCAATTAAAAATACAAAGAAAATAATAATAATATAATTAAATTTAGATTGTTTAGATAAATAGATAGATTGTTTAATAAATTTAGATATTATTTTATTTTTAAATTTAAAATTTTTTTAAAAATCATCACTTTTCTATTTTATTAAAGTCATTGCTCTCATATTTAAATATACATCAAACAATCAAATAATATATATATTACAAGTAGGCATTCACCAGACATAACGGTGATATACATATATATATATATATATCAACAAAGATAAAATATAATAATAATAATAAAAAGATAAAAACATAAAATAATAATAAATAAATAATAAAATAAAAGATATATATATATATGATTGGATATTACTACAATCAAATCAATCAATCAACAAACAATCAATCTTCTCAAAACGAAATAACATAGATAGGACGTATACTAAGATAGACAAGAAGATAGGATAACATAGATAAATGAAAAGTCAATGCTATAATGATTTAAACAAATTTAAAATAATAATAATAATCATTGATTATATTCATTGTCAATAGAATAGACAGATGCGGTCAAATTTAAATTGAATAATAGTTAATAAGTTTTTTAAAAATTTATTTGTCTTTTTAATTAATTGATTGGTTGTATTACATTACCATCTTGTAATCAACAACTATTTACCACCACCTCTTGCAATCAATCAACCAAAAAACACAAAAACAACAACAATATTTTATTTTATTTTTTGCTAAATTTTTTTTTGTTTAAAAAAAATTCAAACAAAAAACACATATTATTCTATTTCATCAAAATATATTCTTTTAAATCTCTTTCTCTCACTTTCTATTCTCATTTATTTACTTGTCTATATTTAATAAATAGATATCTAACCGAATCAACTTTTATCATCTTTAAAAATATTTTAGAAGTTAGGAGAAATAAAACAAACTAAAAAGCAGTACAATCAAAACTCTAAATTATTAGTACACCTTTGTAACAACAACAACACATCGCTTCTCAATCATCTCTTTAAATAACAATTACAAACTACAATGTCAGCACCATCAGTAACTTCAGCCAACAAGAGTGCCGCCTACGATTATCTAATTAAGCTTTTGCTTATTGGTGACAGTGGTGTCGGAAAGGTAAGTCGATATCTCATCAATAGAACTAGCAGTAGCAAGAATAGAAACTAACCGATTAATAATTAATAATTACAAACAAACAGAGTTGTCTCCTTTTGCGTTTCTCTGAAGACTCATTCACCCCATCCTTTATTACAACTATCGGTATCGATTTTAAGATTCGTACTATCGAATTGGAAGGAAAGAGAATTAAATTACAAATCTGGGATACCGCCGGTCAAGAGAGATTCAGAACCATCACCACCGCTTATTATCGTGGTGCTATGGGTATCCTTTTGGTATATGATGTAACTGATGAGAAATCTTTTGGAAGTATGTTATCTTTTTCTTCTTTTATCAGCAGCAGCAGTAGTTGATTGTTTTGCTAACATGCTTTTTTTTTTTAATTTATCTAGATATCCGTAACTGGATCAGAAACATAGAACAACATGCCACAGAGTCTGTCAACAAGATGTTGATTGGAAACAAGTGTGATTTACCAGAGAAGAAGGTTGTAGATAGCAGCAGAGGTAAAGCTTTGGCCGATGAGCATGGTATTAAGTTTTTAGAGACATCCGCCAAGAACAGTATAAATGTAGAGGAAGCTTTTATTAGTTTGGCAAAGGACATTAAGAAGAGAATCATTGATAACAAAGACGAGCTTGTCAGCAATCCTCAGACCAACGGAACCCAAAATCTTGGTGCACCAAAACCAAAAACAGGTGGATGTGAGTGTTAAATAAAAATCAAAAACTTTGATCCCAAATCTTTAAATAACTAACTCTTAACTTTCTTTTACTTCACTTTTTCACTAATTAAATCAATCATAGGTTGCAAGTAATTTTTTTAAAGACAAACAATTTTTTTTTTCTTATAGTATTTATAAACTAGTGATATAATAATAATAATCTTTCAAAACAAAAAAAAAAAAAAAAACATCTGTTTCAAAAACTCTTTTCTATTTATTCTTATTTATTTATCACGATATATGATTTAAATCGATCTGACTTTTGGACAAAGTTGCTTTTTTTTTTTTTTTTTTAATCAATTAATTTTTTAATATATGTATACAAAAGCTTACTCAATCAGTATGCTATCTTTGTTAAATTCCACAAAAACAAATATCACATCCTTTTACAACTCAATAATATAAAAAACTTTTTCAAAAAAAAAATAATAAAATATTTTTAAAATAGTAAATGTTTATTTGTATCATTTAGCAAATTTATTTTTACTTTATTTTTAATGAAAATCTAATCAAATAATAATGAAATCTATTAATATTGAGAGTGCACATCAATCTCTGAAGACCAAACTGTTTAACAGTTTTTTTTGAATTTGTGATGAATAATAAAAAAACAATGGCGCCTTTTTTGAAAAAAAATTATCTGTTACAATTTTCATAATTTAAATTAATAAATCGATTTTTAGTTCTTTATTATTTAATAAATATCATTGTAAATTATATTATCACATATAAATAAAAGTAGAATAAAATCTAGAGAGGTTTTTATGAATTAGAGTTAGAATAATGGATACCATGGTTGATCAATCAGCAGATTATGAAGAGGTTGGTAAAATACTAGATCAATTGACTATACTTAGTTTTATTAACAATTTAATATTAGATAATCAATAATAAAACATTGCTATTAGAGAAGGAATATGAACTATCAAGTTTGAATTTAAATCATTTGGTAGAAATTCAAAATCATAAAAAAACACAATATAATCTATGTATGTTAGATTTTAGTTTAGTTTTGAATACAATTATATTAATCATTAATTATTTCTAGTGATTAAAGAATCAGATTTTGAAGATTATAAAGAATTATATCAATATCAACATGCACAGGAAGTTGCAACTATAGTGGTAATTATCAATTGAGTTTATTCATTAAGATGTTTTTGTTGAAATCAGCTACTAATATTTGATTTGTTAATATTTTATAGAATGAATTTTCAAAGGTTAAGCAAACTCAATATGAAACACTAATTGCCATTTATAATGAAACCAAAGTGTTTTATGAATCCCAAGTTTCTCAGCTATATGAAGATATTAAAGTAAATATTATATTAATTTATAAAAAAACAATAATAATAATTATAAAATCAATCGTATAATATCAATTTCTTGATATTAATTATTTTATTGTAAAAATTAAATTTCTAGGTGTTAAAGAATAATTTGGGAGAATTGGAATCTAAACAAGAGACTTTGTTGGAGGAGAAAGAGAATGATGAATCAGAGATTAAACAACAATTACATGACTTGACTGTCGAGAATAAGTCACTCAATGACAAGATGACAAAACAGTCTGCCAAGGAAGCAAAGGACGCTGCCAAGGCAAAGCTGGAAATCGAGAATCTAAAAGGACAAATCCAAGTCATGTCGAAACAATTCGAAGATCTCAAGGATGAGAACGCTGTGTTGCTAGAGTCCAAGGAGAAGCTTAGAGAGGAAGTCGCCACCGTCAAGGGATCCACCCGCCAGAAGAAGGTGGACGACGTTGCCAAGTGGAAAGCAGAGTCTGAACGCTGGAAAGAGGCACTGGAAAAATCAGAGCAACGTGTCCAGGAGCTAGAGTCAGACTTGGAGGAGTCCCAGCAGTCTGAGAAACAAGAGTCCAATAAATGGCGTTCCGAAAAGGACAAGGTCAGCGTCGAGAATAAAGAGTTGAAGGAGGAGATCAAGGAGCTAAAGGTGTCATTGAAGCAGGAGCAAGTCGAGTTCAAAGAGGAGGTGGCCGTTCTCAGAGAAACCATTGTCCAACTAAAGTCAGAGATTGTCCAACAAGCCAAGGAGGGTGTGAGCAATACCAAGTTGGCGGCCGACCTCGAGAAACTCCAAAAGGAGTTGGAGAAATCAAAGGACCGATTGGAAGAGCTAAAGAACACCACCAAGGAGAAGACCAAACAAACCACCCAGAAACACAAGGAGGAGCTGTCCGTATTAAAGACTCAGATATCCGAACAACACGCTTCCATTGTCGATTTGGAGGAGCAGCTATCGTCGTCACGCGAACAAGTCGAGCAGAATGACAATAGTAAATATTTGGCAGAGATCAAATCGTTAAAGTTGCAAGACAAGCGCTCACAGGATGCCATCCAGTCGCTCACAGACAAGGTCGGAGATCTGGAGGAGCAGCTCAAGACCTCACAAGAGTCCTATGAAGAGCTGGAGGAGCGTATGGAGAAGAGCATTACCGAAAAGGGTGACAGTTCAAAGAAACTTTTGGCCGAGAACAAGTCGTTGAAGTCACAGGATAAGAAAGCTCAAGATGCTATTGCATCGCTTTCTGACAAGGTGAGTGAGTTGACCGATCAGTTGACTGCATCCAAAGCGCAAGTCGATCAACTAGAGGAGCAACTCAACTCACACAATGAAGCCGACCAATCCATTCAACAACTCAAGTCGGAAATCAAGGAGTTGAAGAGTCAAGATAAGAAATCAAAGGCTGCTGTTGAGTCGCTAAATACCAAGATCGCTCATCTGACCAGCCAACTCTCTGATTCCAAACAACAGGTATCTGAATTGAAGGAGCAAGTTGTTGCTGCCGAAGCACTAGCTCAGAAACAAGTTGTCGCTGTTGAACCAAAGACTGGAGGTCGAAAGAAGTCGGTTGCCGCTGCTGTTGTTGTTGAGCCAGCTGAGGATGAAACAATGGAAGAGGAGAAGCCAAAGAGAGGTAGAAAGAAGAAGCAACCAGATCCAGAGCCAGTTGAGGAGGAGAAGCAACCAGAGGAGGAAGAGGTTGTCGAGCCAGTCGTCACAGGCAAGAGAGGAAAGAGAGTAACCATATCCAATAAGGTACAAGAGAAGGAGATTCCATCCAGAGAATCTGAGCTACAAGCAGCTGCTTCCGAAGAAGATGTAGACGAAGCAGCAGCCGCCGCCACTAAGCCAAAGAGAACCAGAGTTAGCAAGAAGAAAGCTCAAGAGGATGAAGACTACGAGCCGGAAGTTGGTGAAGCTGAGCAAGATGAAGAACCAGCACCTGCTACCAAGCCAAAGAGACAATACAACAGAAGAGCAAAGGTAGCAGAGGTTGAACCAGAGAAAGAAGAAGCAGCGGCAGAGGCGGAGGAGGTAGTACCAGTCAAGCAAGCTTCCAAGAGAACCAGAGGTAACAATAAGAAGAAGGAACAAACCGAACCAGAGGTAGAGGAAGAGCAACCAGAAGAAACCACTCCACCCGCCAGACAAAAATCCAGAAAGACCAAGAAGGATTCAACAGCTTCCGATGAAGTCGAGATGGCAGCAGCAGCAGCCAAGGAAGACCAAGAAGAGCAAGATCAAGCTAAACCAAAGAGAGGCGGAAGACCAAAGAAAGCTGCTACTGCTGCCTCACCAGTAGAAGAGAAAGCAGTCACACCGGCCAAATCAAAATCATCATCATCATCATCAACTACCACCAGCACCTCTCAACAAAACAACAAAAAGTCATTGACATTGAATGACAACAACAAGGAAAACGATCCAAATCAAAGTAACAAACAACCATACAATGCAGCATCACTGGCATCGTCGGTAGCTACCTACAAACCCAACACCTCATCATTCCTATCGTCAAGTAACACTGGTGGTGCATCGGGACTCAAAGGACTTTTGGCCAACATGAAGATTCCAATTTTGTCAACAATGAAGAAATAATTATGTACACAATGAAATCAAACAAAATAATAATTCTAAATTGTTTGAACTATAATAAGTAACAAATAATCAAAAATTATATATAATAATAATAATCAAATAACAACACGTGTTAATAAATGGTTGAATTCATTTGTTGGCATTTTAAAAATAAAACAAAACAAATATCAATCAATAATGTTTCGATGAACTGTTGATCTATTTTTATCAAAAAAATCTCATGCAATAATAATAATCATAATTAAATCATTGAAATTTTTTAAGGAATATTAAAATTGATTATATTTGTTAATTTTATAAAAAAAATCAACATCGTATCTGTTTTATTTTTAATTTTTTTTAATATTCTATTACTATTAACACAAATACTATATATATATTATATTATATAGTTAAATATTTTGATAAATTTATTTATTTATATATAAAATACACAGTAGATATGGTATATGTTTATTTTGAACATCAAGGTAATTAAATTATTTTATATTTTTTCTTTTTTTTTTTTTTGATTAATTAACTAATGATGATTGATCATTTTAGTTGCATCATTATGCGGTGTACATTGTTTGAATACACTGTTGCAAGGTAGTTACTTTACTGCTGTAGATCTAGCGAATGTAGCGCATGAATTGGATGAAAAAGAGAGAGATGTAATGTTACAGGCTGGCGTCGATTCTTCTGATTTCATAAAGTTTGCTGCTGTATGTTGTTTGTTTTGTTGTTGTTGATGATTTTTTTAAAAAAAAAATATGAGAATCCAATTCAAAACAAATGTTAATCCAATTCGATGATTAACTATATATATAGGAAGGCAGTGGAAATGTAGCGGACGATGGATTCTACTCGGTTCAGGTGCTAGAGAAAGCATTGTCATCATTCAACTTGACTTGTACTTCTATTAATAATAAAGAGAATGCCGATGTTATTGCGAATCCACTGAAGGAGAATGGCTTTATGTGTAACTTGCAGCAGCATTGGTTCACTCTCAGAAAGATCGAGGGTAAGTGGTTCGATGTCAATTCACTCAAGAAACAGCCAACGTTCCTCTCTGACTTTTATGTAAGTCTCTACCTGGAAACACTGCGCCAGCAAGGTTGGAGTATATTCGTGGTGCGTGGTGACTATCCTGCGATCATTCCTTTCTCAACGGCCGAACTAGGCAAATGGGTCGACGTCGATCCAACAGTAAGCAAGCCACCAACATCACAGCAACAACAACAACCAAACAGATCCATGGTAGATCTCGAAGAATTCGATCCAGACTTGGAGGAGGCACTTAAATTAAGTTTAAAATATTCAGAGTATGTTTATTGTGCTATCACACAATTTGGTTAATTTAAATCATCTTACTTATTATTATTTTAATATACAATAGTGATAATGAAGCATATCGGCCAATGAATCAGAGAAGAAACGATTCAAATGAACCATACACTTTAATAGAGGTAGATGAATACGAGCAGATTATCGATGATGATGAAGATGAAGATTTAAAGTTGGCAATTGAAGCTAGTTTGAATCAATCATAGTCATTTACAACTAAAGTTGGTACCAACAGTTGAACTGTACTCATAATATTCGCTAAAGATAACAAATCTTCATTACATTTTTCAGTTTAACAATCACATATTCAGTTTTTTTTTTTCAATTTTCAATTAATTAATATATGTCAACTGATATTAAATTAAAATTTTCATAGATTCCATGATTTTTTCGAAGCTGCTTAAAGATGAGTCTGAAAGTGTAATTGAATATTTTTTATTCTCAAAATGGGCTGGGAAACAGATTAAAACCAATTAATAAATTTTTAAAAAGAAAATACTGTTTTAACTAAATGATATATTTATTTACAATAATCAACAGTTGATAGAAATATGTTATTATATTAAAACACTTTGTATATATATAATACTTTTTCTTTTTTTTTTTTATATTTATATTTCTATTTATATTTACATTTATTTATTTATTTAATTTATTTAATTTATTAAATTCTATAAAAACAACAAAAATGCATTTAGATAAAATTTGGAGTGGTAGATCTGATACAGAGAGCGAAGATTCTAAAAGAATTTATAATATCGTTCAGTTTGCAGATGATGATGGTGCCAGTTTGAATGACTATCAAAATGCAACTGCATTACTAGGATTCTGTTGTGATGAAGGAGTAAAGCGTAATCAAGGAAGAATCGGAGCTGCATCGGCACCAAATGAAATAAAGCGTATTTTAGCAAATCTACCTGCACATCAACACCAGGTGGTATATGATGCCGGTAATGTTGAATGTTTGAACGGTGAGATGGAACAGGCTCAGCACGAACTCAGTAACAAAATTACGGATCTTCTACAGAGCAATGCATTCCCCATTGTTTTGGGAGGTGGACACGAAGTTGCCTATGCCAGTTTCATGGGATTGCAACAGTACCTCGATGCCGTCGGAGATCAACGAGCAATATTGATTATCAATTTCGATGCTCATTTCGATTTACGCACCAACAGGGAACCGAATTCCGGAACATCTTTCAATCAGATTGCAGAGTTTTGTGCATCTAGAAATCAACCCTTCACCTACCATTGCTATGGTGTCAGTCAGCTGAGCAATACAGCGAATCTTTTTACTCGCGCGAAACAACTGAATGTAAATTATATACTGGATACCGACATGCAAGAGCGATTCCTAGAGAAAAACATCTCGCTACTGGAGCAAACTCTTGAAAAATATGATCATGTATATCTGACTGTAGATCTGGATGTATTGCCGGCTTATATATGTCCAGCAGTGTCAGCACCAGCTGCTTATGGTGTATCACTGGTTGTACTCGAAGAAATGATTAAAGTCATACGTGACAGTAAAAAATTGAGAGTTGCAGACATTGCTGAATACAACCCACGCTTTGATCAAGATTCAATCACAGGTAAAGTTGCAGCACGTATCGCCTATACATTATTTTCGAAAACAACAGCAACAACAACAGCGACGACAATGTTTTAATAAAACTTTAACCACCCTTACCAATTTACCACCATCAAAAATAGTGAAACAAATCTGATTGAATAGATGTTTTTTTTTAAATGTGATTTATTATTTTGCAACAAGGTTATTATAATTTTGCTATTTTTTGTGAATCTAAGTTTTTTTAGTGACAGTGTTTGTTTAATCACTGAAATAACATCATTTCTCTGTATAGAGTGTGGTTGAACACGTACTCAGTAGCATGTTATCACAATTGAGGCAAATTTACTAAAAATAAACTTGAATAATTAATTTGGTATCATAAATATTATTATTAATAAGTTAATATTAATATTTATTAACATAAATAAAATTAATATTAACAATAATATAATATTACTTTCAATCAATGTTGTTGATGGATACATTGATCAAAAAACATTTTTAATTGGTATTTCGTTCAATTAATTTAATATAGAATATTATAAATAGTGAACCTAAAAATAAAATAAATTTCAGTACAATATTTAAATATAAAAATAATGTATGATATCATGTTGTTTAATAAAAATCATAACATTTGTAAAATCCATTGATGATGCGATAGATTAATTAATTTAATTAATATGTAACAGATAGATCATAGATTTTATTAGTTAAAAAAAGAAACTTTTACTTTGAAAAATTTCGATTGATACATAGTTACAATGTATAATAAATAAATCCACAACTCGAATACTCCATATTGTCTCTCTAAACACAATCATTATTCACACCCCACTTTCAGACGCACAAACTCGCATAACCACCCTACATAACCACACTCTGTTTTTATTGATGGACCACTTACTCTATTACTCTATAACCACCATATTAGATTTTGTCGACACTTATTTATCATTCATTAATAATTGTTATAAATTTGGTTGTATATTTCTGAATCAAAGTCATTAATTATAATCTATATTGACAATTCATTTTTTTTTGTGCTAGCAGGAAACTAAAAGGTTCCCACTCAATTAATAAGTTGACATTCAATTGGTATATAATAAATGATTTTGACAATATCCAGAATCATTAATTAGAATTACACAAAAATTTTTATTTATATACGGAGGTGATGATACAAACATAGTGATGTGAGATGTGATTCTAATTTGGGGTTGTCAAGACGTATATAAAAAATTCGATTTGATATTCACTTAACACCCACTACAACAAAGAGTAAAGAATATTTTTCAATCACTTATTTTTTTACTCTCTCCACATAAAGATATTTTTTGGTTTTATTGGTAATTTCCTCACTTGTTTTACTTTTTTATTAATTATTTAATTAATTATTGATACTTTTTGTTTTGTTTTTTATTAATAACTTTTGATACCTATGTATTCATTCTGACCTAATCATAATTTTAATTTTGAAATTTCCAATAATCATATATAAATTTATATATAATTTTTTTATTCCTTTAACATTTTAAATTAACTTATATAATCCACTTTTTTATTATTTTTTTTATATAGTTTAATATTAATTTTTAAAAATGGTTTTCTTAAAAAGAAGCCATATTTATAAAAGAAGAGCTGAAAACCTTGCTCAAAAGAAAATAGAATATGAATTAAGATTAAAAAAATTCATTGCAATCACCGGAAGAACAGCCCAAATTGAGAAATTAATGGATTTTGCTTTGAAAAAATATAACAATGCCTACCAAGAAAACCAAAGACTAAAGGAATTCCTGACAATGTTGAAAGAAAATAATCAAAACAATCCAGATTCAATTCAAGAAATTCAACAATTTCTAAATTTAAACAATAATTATAATAATTTTAATTATACTCAAGATAATTAAATAATTATATATATATAATTATCAAATTAAATTACCTATCTATCTATCTACACTTATTATTATTATAATAATATAATTTTTAAATCACTGTATTTTTTCCACAACCATAGATAATGGATTAAAGTGGTTCTTATTCTTATCTGTGCAACTTAGAAATATATATATATACAAACAAAATAGATATTCATATAAAAGCAATTTTAAATAATAAAAAAGAACATAGATTATCCTCCATTTTTTATCAATAATCTTTAAAGAAATAACAAGTTTATAATTATAATTATTTTTATTATTATATATTAAACAAATGGTACTAAAATATTATATAATTTCCAATCCTTGTAGATTCTATTAAAGTTGGATACAGAACGTTTACTTTTGAAGTTTCTCCATAGGAATGGTATCCATTGTTTGAAAGATAGCTTTTTGAATTTATGTAGGATATCAACGGTGAGTGTGTCGGTGTAAATAACATAGAGTTGCCACAATAGAATACAGCTAATCGGTATTAACACCAAGATTGTACAGAGAAATATATAGTTGTGCTTGCCAAGATATCCACATAGTCGAGTATTGTCATTCAATATACAATGTTGGAATGGTAGCCAAGAGAGTTTAGCTGCATACAACACTCCCAGAGTTGTATATATCAAAAAGTTGATAAAGTAACTATGATTTCTGCTACCAACACAGTTTGATACGAAAGGACAATGATGATCCATCTTATCCACACATCTCTTACAGATCTTACAATGATATGAGTTATTTCTTTTAGTTGATCCACATTGTTTACAATATTGTTGTACTTCTTGTTGACTATCATTATTATTATTATTATTATTATTATTATTATTATTATTATTATTATTATTGTTGTTGTTGTTGTTATTATTATTGATAGGTAGTTTTAAATAGGATGTTACAGTTATGGAATAAAGATAATAAGTCAAGATGTTGGCAACCAAACCAAAACAAACTAAACAGTTCAAGTGATACCATATCGATAGTTGATCTAGATCATATGTTGCCAAGTAGTATGGGAAGTACACTGTATACCAAAGATAGACTGCGACAAACACCAAAGTAGTAATGAAAAATACTAATATGTAACCCACTAACTTTTGTGCTATTCTACCTATCTTTGCATTTGGGAATAAACTATTCAACAAATCAGTGATCAGAGGTAATAATATAATGAAAACTGTTAAACAAACAAAATTAAATATATCTAACATCTTGTCTTGTCATTTATTTATAATCAAATATGTATACATATAAATTTTTCAAAAATAAAAAAAAAATCTAAAAAAAAAAAAAGTTTACGTTTTTTTTATTTTTATTTATTTTATATATTAAATATATAAAATAATAATATTAAATAAAATAAAAATGAACAAAATAATCTTTATTTAATATTGAAATGTAAATATAAATTAAATTAAATTAATTTAATTTTTTTGTTACCATTTTAACAGTGTTTAAAAAAATTATAATTAAAAAAACTAGTTTTTTAATAATAAAAATTCTTTTATTTTTTTTTTTGTAATGAAGGTCCCTCGATTACACTTAAACCCATCATTTTACATTAATTTTCGGGGATTATTTTATAGTGAAAGTGGGGGTTCTATCGTTTTGTTGGTTCCAAAAAAAACAAAAGTTTGATACCACAAACTCTCATGGATAACATCGAACCAAACAACGCCCCAAAACATAAAATTTAATGGTCATCACCAAAAGGTTTATGAGCCGACTGGGTCTTACAAACAACTAATAAATGAAACCTCCCCCTTATATTTTTGAAATTTATTAATCAACTGAATTTAAAATGTTAAAGTGTTTTGTTTACTCAGTGTATCCTATTCAACTTAATCAAATCACAACCAATGTTTTGTAGATTTCATTCATGTTTCAAAGTTCCGTTTTGTACAAATAATTAAACTGTAAAATTACATAAAAAGTACAACAATAGTAAAGAAAAGAGCAGAGCAGAGCATAGAACAAGCACAAATCCTAATTAATCTATTCATAACAACAATAAAGTTCACCACCAACTTTTGTCAACTTACACAAAATCTCTTTTCCCAAATTAACTACTTATCATCAATACCGTTCAATTTCAAGTTCAATTTCAAAACTTGTTGTTTTTCTTTTAATAATATTAATATTGAACTTTACAATACTAGTAAAAATAGTACTAATAATAATTTAATCATTGTGCAGTTGTATATAAATGTGTGTTATTTAATAATAGTAAAAGTTGTATTCCCAAAGTCTAAAAATACTAAACACACAACACACACATTGATCAATTTTCCATCAGTGTCTTTATTTATTACCATCCTCCATCTAATCAACAAATAATACTGTTTTTTTTTTATTACAATTATTACTTTTATTTATTATATTTATCTATTTGTTTTTATTTATTATTACCATCAATCTATTCAATTTTACTATATTATCTCTATCAAATAATAATACGAAATATAATATTACCTACCCATAACATATTTATATATACTATATTTTATTTCTAAAGGAATATAAATTATATTATTATTTATATTATTTATATATTAATATTAATTTAACAATGCCATCTACAACAATAATTACACAATCATCATTAAATTTACAATTGTTACCTAAATTGGTTGGTGGGTGTGAAAAACCCAATTTCATTATAAATACAAACAATGCTATAAAGTTACCGTATGTCGTTCAATTAATTATTTTGGATCATTGCATGAGTGATTCCATTCTCAGTAGAAAGTGGAAGTTGTCACTCTCGTTAGTCAGTTGGTCTTTTCACACGATGGTCTCTAAACTCTTTCACAAACTTCGATACAGAGCACTAGACGATATAGCGTGCCACTTGAACTCTAGATTCTCTGTGCTAAAGTCTATCAACTCTATCAAGGCTATCGATTCATCGCTAGACACTCTCAAGTTTGTCAACATCGATTTGACCAACCTCACACAACTCACCATTAAATCCGACATTACCGTATCGACACTGCAGCTGGCCGGTCATATCCACTCTCTCACTTCACTCTCACTGCTTAACCCGGTCGATAGTGCCGATACAATTGTATCGTTCCTAAATCAACTGTGTCGTATCAACGACAACAGCGACGACCAGAGCAATCCAATTGAGTATCTCGAGATACAAAATATAATGATTGGAAACTGGCAATCTATTGTTGACTTTATGTTTAAGAAGCGTGCCAGTCTGAGGCATCTGGTTCTCGGTATTATTGATAGCGGTGGCCTGGATTTGCTCATGAAGAATCTTACACCTCTGGATTTCCGACAGCTTGAAACCATCGATATCTGGGCAAGAGGTGATATGGCTGCTTTTGGCAAACATGTTTCGACATTCCCTAGTCTGCGGTCTCTAAACCTCTCGAGATGCAACCAATTCAACTCATTGGAACAATCGCTACAAGGCAACCAAACGATAACACGTCTATCTCTTCCACAGATTCAATCGCCACTCGAATTCAGATACAAAGGTGACATTGAACAGTGGATCAGTTCAATGCCAACGCTTTCCTACTTAAAGCTATCACCTATCTATTTAATGGATAACAACAGCAACAGCAGCAACAGTAACAGTAACAGTAATAATCAATGTAATATCAAATTAAATGTAAATGAATTAGAGTTGGAACCGTTCAATTCGAATTCAATAGACTCAAACAATCAGCTGCAACTAAGCAGTGATTCGAATATTAAGCATCTTAAGCTTTCTTTTACGGGTTTGGAGAGAAAGTACAACAAGATGCTCTGCCAATTCATCAGTCATAACAAATGCCTGCGGAAATTGACATGTGACTACAGCGATGAACTATTACATTCACTCTATATCAACACCTCAATAGAATCACTTTATTTCTTAAATGTACCAAGATCAAAACTAGCAACCATAATGAACAACATTCAACAAAACAACAAATCAATAAGATCTATCTTTATTCCAATGATTGCAATTGACGATACCCCAAGCGATTTTAATGAATTTAAATATTGTCCAAGTTCAAAATCATATTATTTCTTTAGAGAAATTAATCTTTAAATAAATTTAATAAATAATTATTTAAAAATGAACCTATCATGATAACACCACTCCATACTCTTATTCAACACAACACTGCAGTGCAATCATTTTTAAAGGACAAAATAGGAAAAACACTTCTTCAATGTCTAAGAAGATTCTATTAACTAAACACAAATTAATTCAAATTTCACATCACGTTCGTCTTTTAACGTTAAAAGATAATAAATCATTTTAAACTCCAAACCATCTTGTTCTTATATTGTCATTTAGATAATCTCTTTTTTTTTGTCTAGACAGAATGATATGATATCTATTGAATTTATTAAACACTTAAGTTAATATGTATTTCAATATGATGATTATCTATATTATAAATTGATTCTTGAGGTAGTTGTCTTAATGCTTCTTCTCTTTGGTGGGTGGCCAAGAGTTGATAGATTGTTTTGCATTTCGGTGTGATGTCTTCGATTGATACGATCCATTCATTGAGATACTTGGTGACAGCAACACCGGATAGACCGATTTGAATCGATCGATAGGGGAGTGCTTTGAGGTCGATATCTTTCTCTGGATCCCATTGTATGCGAACGGGTTGCGAGAGTAGCTGCTCACGATGTTCCTCTCTTTGCTCTGCAGATATCGAGAGGTGTTGTGACAGCGATGAATTCTGTAGAGCCCATTCGAAGCCTTCTCTCTTTATTCTTATTGCAAGAATACACTCTTGGTTGTGTTTGGTTGCCCAGCCACTACGATACATCATCCAGAGAAACGATGGTTTAACCCATGTCATACGATCGATCTTAAAACCGGGACATCCTATAAACGATTGATTCTTCACTGCATATCTTCCAATAACGGAATTGAATGCTTGATAAAGAGTGATTGTGGTATCATCGTAAATTGCTCTAATTATTCTTTCTTTCATTTTAATTATAAGTAATAAATATGTATGTTTTACTCTAAAATGAAATAACTATTATATTTTAAAAATACTAAATGTTTACAATATCTATATATGTATTTATTATTATCACTATTCATTTACTTATTGATATATTCGTTTTTTATTAAAATATCTTGGTGTCAAATTTTCAACAATCAAATAATGCCAAAAAAGTTCAAATTAAAAAGACAAAAAATTTTTTTTTTTTTTTAATTTAATACCTGTAATAACTATTTATTATTCATAACTGAAAAAAATATGAGTAACAGAGATAGAGATAGAGATAGAGACAGAGACAGAGACAGAGACAGAGAAAGATATAAAGACTCTGATAGAGATAGAGATAGATACAAAGAATCTGATAGAGATAGATTTAAAGAATCTGAGAGAGATAGAGATAGAGACAGAGACAGATATAAAGACTCTGATAGAGATAGATTAAAAGATTCTGAAAGAGACAGAGACAGAGATAGATATAAAGACTCTGATAGAGATAGAGATCGTTATAGAGAATCAGAAAGAGATAGATATAAAGAAAGTGAAAGAGGTAGAGAGTCGGACAGAGATAGATATAAAGATAAAGAAAGAGATAGAGATAGAAGTAAAGAAAGAAGTAAATACTCTTCTTCTTCATCATCATCATCTTCTTCTTCAAGTAGTAACAGAGATAAAAAAAGAGATAGTAATGATCGTTCATATGAAAAGAAAAGAAAGTATGATAGTGACTCTGAATCGAGTGATGACAATAGTAAATTAAGTAAAGAGGAAAGAAAGAAGTTAAAAGAAGAAAAGAAAAGACAAAAAGAGTTATTGAAACAGAATGAAACACCTGAAGAAAGAAGAAAGAGACGTCTCGAGAAGCGTGCAAAGAAAGATGAAAAGTTGAACAGAACTACATCGTCATCGTCATCGTCATCATCGAATAATGTTGATGAAGGTGGTAAAGTAGTGTCAGGTTATTCAAACTCTGTTAATCCATTCAATGATTCCAATCTGACTGACAAGTTTGTTTGGAAAGCAAAGAAAGAGAAACTACTCAAAGGCGGTATGGATCCAGAGTACTACGAGGAGCGTTACGAGAAGAATAGAAAGAACGAGATCAAAGAGGAACTGGAGAAGGCAAAGAAGCGAAGAGAGGAGCGTGAACGTGAGCACGAACTATGGGAGCAGGAGAAGGATCGTCTGCAACGACTTAGAGACAGCGAGAACAATGAGGAACTGGCCAAGAAAGAAGAGGAATTCCATCTTACACAAGCCAAGATGAAGAGTGATAAGCGTATCAAAGAAGGCAGACCACGTCCAATCGATATGCTCTACAATGCACTCTACATGGTGAACATTCGTTTCCAATCACTGAATACCGATCCATCGAGATTGTTTGGCGCGCTTGGACTGCCAGCGTTGGAGGAGCTCGACGACTGTATCCGAGAGTTTGAGTATCTCGATCTGAAGAACCAAGAGTTTTGGCAAGCATCAAGAATATTGGCAGAGTATGAAATCAACAAGAAGAATGGTGAAGATGACGCTACCGACAGCAACAGTGGAGTCCATCAATCGCTAACATCTGACATCACCAAGATTCTTCAGAACAAGAATCACTCGGAATTACTGACACTGGAGACACAAATCACACAGAAGCTACAATCTGGATCCGCTATGAATGTCGAGTATTGGGAGACACTACTCAAGCATCTTCTTATCTACAAAGCAAAGGCATTGATCCGTGAGACATTTATCAAGAATTTAGAGGCAAAGATCACTGACTTGGAGACCGATGAATTCATCAGCAATATTAGAAATCAAATATTCAGTAATGACAATGATGCTCAAACAAGTACAGTCAACAACAACAATAATAACTTTACTAGTTTCGTCAATGAAGAAGGTTTCATTATTAACCAAGAGGTTGTCGAACTCGAAAAGAAAAAGAACAAAGAAGTCGTATTGACTGGTAATGAAACAGAAGATGATCTCTACAGAATCGAATCAGAGAAGTTCATGGATGAAGAAAGAGAAGAGAAATTCGATAACGAAGTCGAACTGGCAATTAAACACTACGCATGGCATGACAAGTACAGACCAAGAAAACCAAAGTTCTACAATCGTGTTCATTCTGGTTATGATTGGAGTAAATACAATCAAACTCATTATGATCACGATAATCCACCACCAAAGATTGTACAAGGATATAAATTTAATGTATGTTTAATTATTTTAAAAACAAATTATAAAACAATTGTTCAAATACTAATATTATATTTATTTAAAGATATTCTATCCAGATCTAATTGATAAGACAAAATCACCAACCTACTTTGTTGAGAATGCAGACGATGGTTCAGACACTAAGATTCTTAGATTCCATGCAGGACCACCCTATGAGGATATTGCTTTTAGAATCGTAGACAGAGAATGGGAAAAATCACATCGTAAAGGTTATAAATGTGTATTTGAAAGAGGTGTATTACATGTATGGTTCAATTTCAAGAGATACAGATATAGAAGATAAAGATAAAAATAAAATAATATTCAAATTCATTCATATTTGTTTAAAATTACAATATCAATAATAGTAATTATCTTTATTCTAATTAAAATTTATTTTTTATATTGTTAATATTGATAAAAGTAAAGATAATATTAATATATTAATAGAAATCGATAGTTTGATGGAAGTGTTTCCAGTTGATTGTTGTTCTTTGGCGATAGAACTCTTTGGTATGCTTTGATAAACTAAATTATAGATTGGACCAAAAGCTGAAAGTTGGAATGAACTTGAACAGTTGGTATCTGCTAATGATAGCTTGCCAGAGAGTCCACCTGCTGATAGTATAGGCAGTTTATCACCAATCTTTAGTTTAGAAGTGCTATTTGTTGTTATTCCAACCCGATACCAATCCATTCAAAACAGCAGAGGTAGATACCAATATCCTGTTGTATTCGAGTGATGAGTTGATATTAACAACCAATATCGATGAATCAAGTAACTTTAGTTGTCCATTTACTTTGAATACACCTTCCATTACTCCACCATTCGTAAATCCATGAGTGGTTGCAACGGTTCCATCTCCAAGTAATCGACCTGATTCAATTGTAACGGTTTTGGCTGATATTTGTGATTTAATGAGAACCAGCCTGGCATCGTTTGAATCTTGAAGAAAAGAAGAACCTGTAATATCAAACATTGCACTCACTTGAATCAGTCCATTGTTGGTAACACCACCGGTTACAGTTAGTGGAGTATTGACATAGAGGATGGCATCGGTATTCACCTCGACGGTTCCACTTATTTTGCTTTCAATATCCAGTTGACAATAGCCAGATTTAACAATGAGCTTATTCATTGTCTTGTCAAGCGATTGGATACCACCGTAGAAGAGGCACCTACTATCAGTAATCAAAGTGGAGTAGTTCGAAAGGATGGTTCTTCCAACCATTCTAGATGATTTACCAATGGTACAGGTCGATCCAATAATATTAAAATCGGAATCATCCGAGAGTGAAAGTCCTCCATTAAACAGACAATTGGCATCTGGTGGAATGGTGATATGTCCCATAGATCCGCAGGTAACCGGTGATTTAATAGAGGTATTACCATAGAAGAATACATTATCACCACCTGGACTTCCATAGATGTTCAAGACAGTCGAATTGTTTGGGATGATGACACCCTGGAAGAATTGGCAACCGGTCTTCAAATTGATTATGGCAGTTCCAGTGGCAATAAATGGTGAACCGAATGAACATTCACCATCGATATTGACAATGGCCGAACTATTTACTGCGAAATATGCATCCTCTTCAACGTTGATTCCAGTTAGATCGGTGCTACCATCGATAAGCAACTTTCCTCCAGACATTACTTTTATCGATGAATCAATGGTAGAACCATCGCCAAGCAATGATACAACGGATTTCGCGCCAATACTAATTGTTGATTCTGAATCTCCCATCAACATCTCTAGGATATCTATTTTTCCAACCAGTTGAACATCGGATCTTTCAATGGTGAAAATACCAAGCTGTAAGTTTTGATCTTTGAGATTACATTTACAATCGCTTATATAGATGAGTGGCAATGGGAATCCATCGATAGTGGTTGCATTGATAAACGAAACACTGGAATCTCCTGATAGGAATAAACTAGAGTTTCCATGAAGTCTAATCGGTGTCAATATAGTACAGCCATCACCGATGGTTAGTGTTGCCAAATGGTCGATGCTAATCTTTGAAGTAAGGTCAGCCTGGGTGATTCTTTGAATTTTGGTGGTGGAATTCGCCAGGCAGTTCAATTGGGACGAAGTTGGCAAGATGATATCCACCAAAATCTTTGTATTCTTACCTCCGAAATTGACAATGGATTCAGGCGCAATCGCTAGATTCGATGAATCTGAAAATACTAGATTTCCATAGAGTGATATGTTTCCGGAAACCGAGAGAGAAGCCTTGTTGTCAACTAGAATATCAGATTTAATAATGAATAGCGAGTTGTTCGAGAATGTAAAGTCACCTCCGAGCAAATGAATGATGGCACCAGTGGTATCTGTGATATTACCTGTGATGGAGGTGGTACCATCGATAACTAACTGTCCAGTGGACTGCAGTTCTATCGATGATTTAATATTGAACTTTCCAAGCATATTAAGTGTTCCGTTATCGTCGATCTGAATGAGTGAAGTTGGATCGGTGTCCATCGATGTCAGGCTACAGGTTCCTTTACAAACAGAGAATATTGCATCTCTCTCCAAAGTCACTTTCGACAAGAGGTTAGTTTTTCCACCTAGCTCCAGCTTTCCATATCGGCTAACAACAATTTTACTGGCAGTGAACTTATTAACGATGGATCCACGAAGTCTGGCTATACTAGCGCTGACATTCAAAACCGATTCTGCACCGAGAACCAGCGATGATGTAATGAGACATTCTTCATGACCACCAAGATGAAGTTGTCCTCTGTTGATACTGATCATTGTTTTATCTTTACACTCCAGACCATTGTAGAAATTTACAATTCCCGAGTTTATTACCAACTGAGCATTTCCTCGCATCATCAACAACGAGTCGACCGTTCCCGTTCCCGATATCTTTAGAGAACCGCCATAAAACACTGTGAAATCATCGATGATCTCACTGATTTGGAGGTCAACAGTCTCAATGGATCCGCTATACATTGAGAAGTTGCCACTCACTTTGATGACCCCGTTCACAGAGAGATTACCACTCCTTATCGATAGAATACCTCGGCAGTTTAGCAATGAATTTACAAATACAGAGCCGGCAATCTCCAGGCCGGCATTATCACCTATGAGTAGATCGGACTGACTGTTTATCGATGCACCTTGCTCCATCTTTAGATAGCCACTCGATATATTAAGAGACTTGACATTCAAATGCTGTGACAGAACGACCAACTTTGGAATGGCTGGATTCGACGAATATACAATGACATCATCACTCTCCTTTGGAAATGGAGTCTCACCCAAAAGCATAGAGAATCCACATCCCAAATCCACACATTTGTCAGAATTCAATCTAACAATATCTCCACTAACAAACAAATTACTTGATATATTTATTATTACAACTACTGATATTATTATTTTTATGATGGCAACAACATTTTTAATATTAAATAATTTCATTATAAATAAATATATATGTGTTTTGATAAAATAAATAAATAAATTAAATTACTAAAAAAGAAATAAAAGGAAAAAAAAAGATATCTATAGATTGATTTGATAATAAATTAATAGGTATTATTACTTAGATTGATTAATTGATTGGACTGTTTGGTAATCTGACCTTTTACTTGATTTATTAATTTATTTATAAATGTAAGTAAAAATGAAACAGAATTTATACTCCTATATTATTTTGATTCGAATTTAAATTTATTATTTTATTACATAGGTACCAACCAATACCTTTTGTTAATGGATAATTATTATCCTTCTATGCTTCTATCTATCTTTCTTTCTTTTGGATATTTATGAAATTAAAAGGAGGAGTGATTATTATTGTCTTGGTAGTGCACTGATCAAGTCAGCTAATCCTTCATTATTATTGTCATTAAAAAGAATAATAATAAAAATCCATTATCATTTTTAATAAAATTATTATTATTATAAGACATGTTATAAAGTATATGGATACACTACAATTGTCATATTAAAAAGGAAAAGTCGATATTTGTAAACTATACACTCTGAAAAAGAGGATTGGTTGGTTGTAATTTGAACTTAGATGGACTTATTGGATAAATGTTCAACATCCAATCATGTAGAGCTACTAGTTATTCGTATATGATATATGACTGATTAAATTAATGTTTGATTGAATTGACAACTAACTAACTAACAAAAAAACATACAGACTGTTGGTTGATTGATTGATTGATTGATTATCTTTACAATAATGAAACAACAAAACAACCATATTAAAATTGATTAAAAAAATAAAAATAAATAATAACCACACAACATTATTATAGATTTATTGATAGATAAGATTAATTCATGTTCTATCGATTGTGCATTGTGTGTCATTTAATCAAATAAAATAAACAAACACAAATTAATTTTTTGATTAACCTTTTTTTTTTTTTTTAGTGTTTGTGCACAATTAAAAAAAACAATCTTTAATACAAAAATTAAAAAGAGTTCTCATTAACTTATTTCTCTTGGTATAACAATAACTAGTCTTGATAAAGTATCAATTTACAAAGCTAATTTCAATTTAAGTTAATACTCTATAGTATCATAAAAATTCTCTGTTATTTTGATGTCTAGCTAATTTTCTTGCCTTTTATTGTAACACAATAAAATATATACATATTATTATAATATCTTGGTCAACAAAAAAGCAAACAAAGGTTTGTTTTTGATTGGATTGTGTCAAAGGATTGATAGGATCACGATCTTGTTGGTCCAAACTTAAACCATGCATCATTTTGTGTAGATGTTTTGAAACAAGCTGTTTTTATTTTATTTTGATTTTTTTGGTTGTTAGAAGTCGCTTGTCCTGGTGTTTAATACAGATTATAATAGTTTTATTTTTATTTTTACTTTTCATTTTTAAATTTAATAAAATAAATTAAAATTAAAAATATCTGTCATTTAATAATAATAACAACAATAATAGCAATCAATATTATAATCAACACAATTCATTATTTGAAGTCATAAAAACAAACAAATAAACACAATAGAATGAAATATTTGATAGCAATTGATGGATCAGATCATGCTCATAATGCATTTATGGTAATTATATTACTTTGAACAGTTGTTTTGTTTTGTGAAGATTCATTCATTATCCATATACTTACTCGAAATGAATGTAAATAGAAAGCAGTAGCTCTATACAAACCAGGAGATGAAATATATACATTGATTGCAATCGATTTGGTTCACTTTATGATGGCTGCTCCAAAGTTGGCTGAGGAGACCACTACATTAGCTGATATGAAAGTAAATATCATAGTTATAACACTGAATACAATTGAATTCAGTGAATGATCATTTACTAATAATATATATTACAATATATTATAGGAAAAGATGCTTGCAAATGGAAATAAACTTTCTGGACAATACGCAGAGTTAGCTGATGAACACAATGTATGTATTCGATAGGATGGAAAGATATAAACCACTGACAAACAACCAACAAACGAATCACTAATAATACTTATTTAAAATCATAGATTGCTAAATATAAAACACTTTTACTCGAAGGAAACCCAAGAGAGTTAATCGTTAAAGAGGTAGCCGAAAGAAAAATAGACATTTTGATCATTGGACAAGTCGGTCTCATAAATAATCCAAAGTAAGTTAATTCATTGAAAGTAAAACAATGTCATACTAATATCATTTCTTTCTTCTCATTATTAGTATTTCAATGGGAAGTACATCAACCTATTGCATTAGAAACTGTCAATGTGATGTTTTATTATGTAAATAAATAAATGTTAAATAAAAGATAGATAGTTTATAACAGAACAGTTCAAACTTGGTCTTGATTAATTTAATCCAAAGCAAAACTATTGAAATCAACTAAAATAAAATAAAGAATATTGATTCTTGCAAAACACTTTTCTCTCTCTATTTACACCTATTTAATACTAGTTTGGTCTGATCAAACTGGCTATGAAACGAAAAACGCAACAAAATTTAGCGAAATTGAGTGAATTTTGACAAAAAAACGAGTCGTTGGTTTTAATAAAAGAATTTATTTTCACATTCCCTTATTGATTCTTTATTATTATTATTTTTTACTGTATTTATTTATATTTAGATATAATTAAAAGATAATGGGTGAAAAGAATTCAAATAAAGATTTATTACATTTAGATGTTGGTGGAGGAAATACTTCAAACAACAATAGCTTAAATTCATTTCTAAATGTTACAACATCAACATCAACGACAAACAACAAGACCAAACCAAATTTTAGTAGATTACCACCAAGCTCTGGTATTTATCAATATAAATCTATATCTACTCTGCTGTTGTTTAAACAAACATATTGACCAAACTATCACACTCTTTGATACATTTTATTTTTTAGTTTTAGATAGAGTAAGAGACTTCTTACCAAAGTTAAAAGAAGCAAACACCAAATTAGAACAACAGATAGCTGATAATGAAGATGTTAATATAGAGAATATACAAGATGGTGAACAATATATAGAAATGGTAATATTAATTGAAAATACAATCTTTCATTTCATTCTATATATATATATTAACAATAATAACTTTACTTACTTATTATTTATTATTATCATTGTATCTTTTGTACAACAAAGAACCTTGCATTAGGTATTTTAGAAAAGAAAGAAGAGTTAAATGAAAGTAATTTAGTTATACCGACATCATCTACAACGACAACATCAAATAAAAATAAAAAGAAAAAGAAGAAAAATAAAAAGAAACAACAACAACAACAACAACAACAGCATAATCAAGATACAGATCATCCAATGGACACATCATCGACAACAACAATAGCATCAACTTTAAATATAAATGAAGATATCATTTTAGAAAATATTAAAAATAATTTTGTAAATAGTAGCAGTAGCAATAACAATAATAACAATTCAACTTCGCTCATGGATAAACTTTCATCGATAATAGATAATGACGATGATAGTGGTGATGAAGATTTAGAAAATGAAACATTGGAACCAATTAATGAATTATAATAATAAATATAGATAAACAAATAGAACAATCGAATTGGTTTTGTTTTTTTGGAAATTATTGTTTTGTTTTATTTAGAATATTGATATTGTTAGTGTTTAAAAAAAGTATAATATTATTATATTGTAATAGTATTATTTAAAAATTATAACTTAATTATTATTATATTATTATTTTAATAAGTTATTTCTTGATTGTTATTAATAGAGGATTGCTCTGAAAGCAATGGTTCGGATTGCTTGTTCAACAACTTGATGTTATCCTTCATGTCTTGTGATGGAATGTTGAGTTTCTTCTCCTTGAGATCGATCAAAATCAAGAGAACAACAATCAATAAACCAATAGCAGCACTACCTACGAAAATAGCTTCAGTGTAACTAAGTTTTTAAAATATTTTAGAATTAATTGTTAGATTGTTATGAATGAATGAAATATATTAATACATACTAATAGTTATTGTTGGTCTTTTCGAGGATGGCGTTAACCAAGAGACCAGAAAGGGCAATGGCGGCATTTTGGAAGGCAAAGGCAAGACCATAGGCAGTACCGAGACGACTCGATGGAATCAATGCTGGGATGGTTGGCCAGATAGAGGCAGCCATGATAGCATAACTGAATCCCATCAAAATCATACCGACGTATGGGTTAACCATAGTGAATCCAAGAATGGAATGAGCGACAACCAACAAAATCATTGAAAGTGCCATCCATGAGAGATTACGACCTACACGATCAATAATAAATCCAATAACTGGTGATGGTGCTGCAGTATAATATGGAATAGATGTCAAAACACCTGCGAAACTTGATGTAGTACCGAATTTGTTTACAAAGAATTGGCTAATAATAATAATAACAATGGAATGTGGTTAGTTAATCGATTGATTGATATTGAAAAGCAAAACAAACTACAAAATGAATTGTAATAATAATACTTACGTTCCAATTGAAACAAAGACGAAAAGTGGTACGTAGAAGAAAACAACGAGGGCAAAGATTAACCAGACCATCTTTGGGAACTTGGTGATATCCTTGATGGAGACCGGGTCGTTCTTGATGACTGGGTTGTTGGCGGCGTCCTTACGTGAACGAGCCATGTCGAGGAAGCAGAGGACGATACATGCGACAAAGGAGATACCACAACAGATGGCACCGAACCAGACGGCTGTTGGCAATGAGAATTTGTTGTCGAGTGTTGGTGTCACTTGGAAATTGACAGCGCTACCAATACGCGAGAAACCAAGGGTGATGGCGAATGCCAAATTCAAATCGTTACGACCGTTGAACCATGCGGCACAGAAAGTAGATTGGGCGACAGAGAGCGACTCACCACCCAAACCGAAAATGGTACGACCGAGCAAAGCCAACCAGAAGGTCTTGGAGTTTGCAGAGATAGAGAAGAGGATCTGTCCAGTCATGACCAAACAACAGAAAATGATCGATCCCAACTTCAAACCGAAAACAGTATCAATCAAAAATCCACCAAAGAATACAATAACCATGTTTGGGAAATTATATACTGCATATAACAATGAATATTTGATTTCTTTAACTCCATACCACTAATATATATATATTGTTTGATTGTTTTGATATAAATAAAAACGTGTTAGTTTAACTTTAAAGATTAAATAATAATAGGTGGAAATCAATCATTCAACCAAAAATCTTTAATAAAACATATAAAGCTATAACTTTTCAGTTGTTGACTCTAGAATATATTATTCATTCTTTTTCAACACTGATTCAACTATAAACCTTCCAATTGATCATCATCATCATCATTTCTTCATTCCGTCATTCTAAACTATCTATCCAAATGTCATTTTACACTTTTTTTTTTTCGTTACAAAGAAATTTCAAAAAAATTTGTTTTTTTTTTTTTTCTTTTCCCAATCCAACTAGATTACGATGATATCAATGTAGTCGAGTTCTTTGAATCATGATGATTCATTGGTAAATGAATGAATATAGTGGTTGAATTGAATCGAATTGATTTGATTTGGTTGAATGTGATTTCATTGAATGATTATATTTACAGTGTCAATTTTATCTTGTGTGAGAGCAGATGGAATATCCTGTTATGATCATAGTGAAGATGAATAAGAGGTGTTAGAACCAACTAATCGTACTCTAAAGTATTTGATAAAAAAAAGATACTTACGTAAATATAATAACTACCAAAAGTCATCATACAAATGAAGAAGAGACCTAAATAACGGAAGGCATGTTCCGTCCATGGTTGTTTAACTTCAGACATCTTATTTGTTATATGTTTTTATATCTATTAACTATATTCTATTGTGCAATAACAATTATATTAAAAGTTAGTTTTTTTATAATAATATTTGTAATAATATTAATAATAGTAATAATCGAAAAGTTAAATTAATTGATATTATTGTTTTTAGTCAGTATTTGATTAAATTTCGAGTTGAATTGAAATTTAATTTTTTGTAATACACACACGAATAAAAAAAACAAAAAAATAAATAATATTTATTCTTGTCTTTTTGGTTTGTTTGTCATGTGGTAAGTTATTTCGTTGGTTTAGTGAGTGAGGATTGGTGTTGTAGTTTTATTAACATGTAAAATTTGATCATGATCGATTGATTGATTCAAAATATTTGATTTGATTTTTGTACATTAACAAAAAAAAAAAAAAAAAAAAAAACACTAAACTTTTATAAAATTAAAATAAATTTATAAATTGCAATCATTCTGCAATAATAATAATAACTTACAAATATTCAAAAAATGATATATAGATATAAAAAATAGGTAAATTTTTTGTTTGAAAAAATATCAAAAACCTTTATATCATATTCACTGGGATACTTGTGCAATCACAAAAAAAAAAAAAAAAAAACTTTTTAAAGTACTTTTTTTATTATTAAATTGTTTTTTTTTTTGTGTTGTGTTTTGTTTGATGATGAAACGACCCCTGACATTCCAGCCCAATAGTTAATGTTTTTTATAAAATTGTTAAATCCCAAAACATAAAAAAAAAATCATCTTAAAAAAATTGGAATAGCTGCAATTGTTCTATCAACTTTTACAAAAACTTATTGTATTTTTTGGGCCATTTTTTTAAATGAATTGATTTTTTGTGCTGTGGTATTTGCTTGTTAATCGTTTTAAAATCAAGCATTGGGTGGATAAAGATACATAATTTCAAACAATCAGCGATATTTTTTTCATTCCGATTCTTTATTGAATCCTCCAGAACTGTGCAAATGCAAATAAATTGATGGAAGCGAAGCTAATCGAATCCATCTTAATTCTTAATTTATCTAAATGAGAATCCTAATTCGAACAATTTATTTTTGTTTTAATTCTTTAAGAAAATAAATAAATGAAAAAAAAGAGAGAGAAAAAGAATAACAAGATAAGTTTAAACTTTTTTTTTTAATAATTTTTTTTCTTTAATTAATCATTAAAACTTGTTTCTTATTATTTTAAGAAGTATCTATGTATCTGTCTTTTGACTTTTTGATGTTATCTCATTAGCAGATAAAACAAAATTACTCTCTTTAGTTTCCAAGATTTCATTCAGCTAAAGTTAAGGCTTTGTTTATATCAGGTTACAATTAATCTAAACTTACAGTTTTTGTATTTCCTATTAGGTTTAATGTCTATATCTATCTGTTTCAAAGAACAATGTTATGTTAAAAAAATTAACTATGTTTGGAATAACCTAGGATCTTTTATATATAATATTCTTTTTAAAATGAATTTTAAAAATGTGACACACAAATGTCTTTTATTATTGTACTTGAATAAACAGGTAAAACACACACACACACACACAATTAAAGATAGATTTTTCTATTTTTTGTACCTTTTTTTCATTTTCTGTTTTTGATAAAGATAGTATAATAATTATCATGTGTGTGTTTAATATATTAGTTTATGGTGGGGGTGATTCTGTTTTATGTTTACTTTCCACGTTTTGTGGCTGAACAATCCTGACGTTTTGGTGTTTGTTCATAGGTGAAGTTAGTTATACACAAAAGCTTCAATTAATATCAAATATAGTAATAATGTATTAATGTATTAATTAAATTATTCTTCTTTTATTGATATATGAGTGAATGAGTTGAATAGTGTACATCGTACTTTAAGACATTACTTTGATTTACAGATCTTTACAACTAACTTAAACTTTATAATTTTTCATATTTTTTTTTTCTTATTTTTTGGATATTACAATAATTTCCCTATTCCCTACTCCTGGTACACCAACACCAATACCTACACCTACTCCTATCTATTCTCCTCTAGAATGTTGGGAAGAAAAAAATATATAAATATCCAAGAACTTTGTAATCATTCATCAAATAATCAAACAATCAATTAAACAAACAAAACAAATATATATAATTTAATATCTATTTGTATAGTTTATTTATAATATTTATTCTTTCTTTATTTTATTTCTACAAATTTAATTTTTATTAATTAATTAAAATAATATGAAATTAATTATTTTTACTTTATTTGTGGCATTACCATGTTTGGTATTGTCACAACAACAAATTCAATGTTCTGGCGATTGGCAATGTGGTAATGTACCATATAGTGGTTGTCTCCAGGATTTCAATGTTTATCCAGGTTTGGCATTGAATAGTGATGGTTCCCAATTGATTATGTTGGGTAAATACAACAGCACTCAAGGTCCATTCGGAGCTAGCAAGATTGTCAGTCTCTCAACCGATCTCACTGCCAATGACACTGAGCCAGTGGTGATGTTTGATATTGAAAATGAGATTCCAGCCGGTGGAGGTTTCTCCATTGCAACCGACCTCTTTGCCTATCTCAACTCAAAGAATCTCACTTACCTTCGTGTTAACCAACGTTACTCACCGGCTTACGGTCCCTACGACAAGGACACCGGACGTTTCACCAAGATCTGGGGATACAAAGGTAGCTTGGCACTCGACCTCGATGACAACAACACTGTGACCTACTACTGTGACTCTGCCATTCGTCGTTACGCCAAGATTCCAACCTCTCTCGAGGAATTCAACCAATCCGATTCGGTAGTGATGCTCGATAAACAACGTTGTGACTTCCTCAGACACGCCGACGATCGTATCTACTTCCTCGAGATGACCGGTAATAACCTATCAACCATCTACTCCATCCCATTGAACTGCTCGAATTGCACCGCCGATTCCAGAACGACCGTATTCAGTGTCAACTATCTTGTTGACAACTTTGTCGTAACCAAAGATTCCTTCTACCTCGGTGTCCACATGCATGACAATCAGAATATTAGCGGTATCTTTGAGATTCCAATCTCTGGTGCTCTCAATGAATCGAGAACCATCTCCAACGTTACCAATGTCCAATCCTTGGTCGTAGATGAAGCCAAACAAGTATTGTACTACTCCACCAAGAGTAATGAGGTAGTCGCAGCCAATCTTACATCCAACGCCACCGAACTAACCGTTCTCTACAACGCAACCGCTGCCGATCCAATCGGAAAGTGTGCCTGCGCCGATGGATTCACCGGAGACTCTTGTTTAACCTGTGATGGCGTCACCAGATGGAATGAAGGTATTCCACAATGTGTTTCATTATTAGACAATGGATTACCAGTTACCTGTATTCAAGTAAGTTATTTAAATATTAAAAAAAAACAAAACAATGAATTGATTAACTAACTAAACTAAACTAAACTTAACTAAATTAAATATTTACATTAGGATTATGAATGTCTCTATGTTCCATATATCATGTGTAACACTGGTAATTGTACTTGTCGTGAAGGTTTCACCTATCCAGATTGTCACTGCGAAGGTTCAGTATCATGGGATAATGGTTTCCCAACATGTCACGTAGGTTCAACTACTGGTACTCCAGCTACCACCGGTACACCAGCAACTACAGGTACACCAGCCACCACTGGTACACCTTCAACCACTGGTACTCCATCTACTACCGGTACACCATCTACTACAGGTAACTGTTATTAGTTCAACCACTAATGAACAAGCTACCTAAAATGAATTTGTTATTCTACATAACAAATCATTCAACAACCTAATTAATATGTTAAAAAATATCAACAACATATTATTTTATCTATCTATCTATATAACCATCCATCTAAAACAACATAACTATCCATCCATCAACTTTTTAATTAATAGAAATAAGAATTTTGTAAATAGTACTAAAAAAAAAAAGATAATAAAAAAAGAATATATATTATTATTATTATATTATGCTGTAACATGTTTATTTAAATATATTTGTTGTTATTTGATTGATTTAAAGTTAACTTGTAGGTGTTGTTGATGTGGTTGTGGTTGTTGTACTTGCCGGTGAACTAATTGTAGTAGGTACAACTACAGCAGCGGCAGCGGCAGCAGCAGCATAAAACTTTTCTATATCAATGTAAAATGGTTTTGGTTTGTTGTAAAAGTTGTTGATCTCTTCCGATATTGAGAGGATCTCTTCTTTGGTGGTGTCGAATATCTCCCACCATGGATAGGGTTCCTCTACGAGTCGCACCTTGAGCATCTTGGCGGCGAGAAAGATCGATGCCGCAGCGATAGACTCTGGTTTGTACTGTACGGAGAGTGTTGTTCGCATGCTATCGTTCAGGTAGTTCCACGCCTTCTGTGCAACGTCGTTGCTCTTCTCCAATAGCTTCAGGTAGTTCAATATAAACTTGTGTGGTGGTTCCACCTTCATGAGGAATCCAAACTCTTTCAACACTGTCATCTCTGCCTCCATTACGTCGGCTTTCAACTTCCAGTACAACTCCTCACGTGTATCCAAGTATTCAATCTTGGCGCCCTCTGTCTTTTGAAATACATAGTTGAAAGTGTTAACGATATCTCTTATTCTTCGTTTGACCTCTGTATACTTTATAGCTATAAAAACAACACCCATACATATATTCTAAAATAATAACAGCAGGTTGGTTGATTAGTTTACTTTAGGTTAGTTTTAATCTAAATCTATCTATATCTATATACAATACCTTTACATCATAAGATTTAAATGATTGTCTACAATAGAATCTATGAAATATAATCTGTGATGTAACGATTGTTACCTGTGGTCTATTGTTTTGGTTTGTTTGTTAGTCACGATCGTGGTGGTGTTTATTTGAAAGTTTCATTTTAATATGTTTGTTTCACTTACAATTTCATCAAGATACCAGCTTCTTGTATAATATGAGAACCATATCTTCTTTGATTATCTTCTATTTCGTAATCGATACCATCTTTTCTTGAAGGTGAATTAGCTATTTCTTCAGCTGTAAATAATAAATTTGTTGTGAACATCAATCAATCACTTTTTTGTCATTGTTTTAATGTCATTATTTAATTAAATAAAAAAATTTTAATTGTTTTTTTTTAATTATTTAAAAAATTAAAAAAATCTTGTTTAGATATCTCATATAGTTGTAAACTCGATTCTAATCTTATAAAAGACAAAATAAAAATCAACCAGAATTCTTTAAACAATTAAAATATTTTATTTTTAAAGTTTTAAAATCTAATCTAAAAAGATGAATTATCTTTTTATTGTTTTTATATCATTGTTTAAGGTATATTATTTTGATCAATACCTTGTTAAAAGCCAATATAGTAGATTTAACTCATGAGTTTTTTTAGATTCTTTATGCAAAGTTCTTGAACAAAACACTTTTATCTAAACCACACAGACAGAATACATTTTTGATCAAAAAACTTCCGGAACAATTGGAATTGTACGTTTTTATTTTTTTTTAGTTCCTGAATTATTTTTTTTGGTAAGAACATTTTTTATATTTAAATATAAATATCAATTTTCTATTTTGAAATATTCATTCAACAACTCAATCTACTAAATATAAACAAATAAACTAAAAATAAATATATTTTATTTTTAAACAATAATATTTATAATACTAATTATTTCTTACAAATAATAATAATAATGGGACACTTAAAAAGATTCTTTTCCAAACTCGGAAAGAAAGTACATAAAAAAGGAAATTCTCAGACAGAATCATCCTCTCCAGACTTTAAATCTGCCGAATATTCGCCAGCTACGACACCAACACCAACAACATCTCCAGCTCAAGTATCAGCAAAACCACAATCAACAAAAGTAACCCCAAATTCCAATCTTAGAGAGAACTTGGAAGCAATCATCAGAGGAATCCAAGAGAACAAGATCCTAGAGGTTTTCGACAAATACTACCATCCAGAGATTGTAATGTACGAGAAAGGTGACTCTACCAATAGAGTAGGATTTGAAGCCAACAGAAAAGCTGAACAAGGTTTTGTCAGTAATGCAACCATCCATGAAGCCAAGGTACTCAAGATTATTGTAGATGGAGAAAACACTGGTTATGAAATGTATATGGATTTCACATATGGTGGTAACAAAGTACAGAAAACACAATGGGCATTCCAGCAATGGAAAGACAATAAAGTAATCAAAGAAGAATTCTTTTAAAATTATTAAATTTAATAAAATTGTACATATATATATATATAAATAAATTATTTAAATACATAAATTAAATTATAGTTTTCCTTTTTTTCATTATTATTTTTATATATATATACATAAACATTAAATTTTATTTATATTTACTTTAAAAATATATTTAATATTTAAATATTTGACCATACCAAGTATTTACAACTACAAATAAACCGGTTGTTCTCAGTTGTTGAGCGGATCTAAAATAGGTTGTACCAGAGAGAAGATCGGTGACTGGAATGGTATCGTTTCCGTTGATCGGTTGGGCGTCGCTGAGGATGATAGATCCTGAACCTTGTGTATCGCTAAAGTTGAGTACACAAAGACGTTTTTCATTTTGATAGGTCCATTTGTAGGCGATCAAAGTCCACTCGGTGTCGGAACCTGTGACATTGAGATACTCGAAAGTACCATATTTAAATACGGGGTCTGATACAATCGATGTCAGATTCTGGTAGAATTGCATTACTGTATCAACGGCAGACTCTGACTCTTCACGACGAAGGTGAACATCCAGTTGGTTTTGATATCCTTCAAAGTCGCCCCACCAGAAGAATCTAAGTCCTGGCATGGTATAGGTGACCAGTGCCGCGGCATCGGCACGCCACCAACTACCAAAGAAATTGGCTGCACGAGGTTCGTCGTGATTCGAACAAAAGTGAGCGGAATGCTGCGCGAATTGCACAGAGTTTCCACTGATCCAGCCACGCACCTGATCGAGATTTCCACTACCGAGATAGTCGTGAAGCATTTTATCGTAGGTATAATCGAATCCGAGTTGTTGGAGTTGCGATTCCCACGGATGGTAAACTTCCGCGAGGAAGATGGTATCTGGAAACTCGGCTTTGACAATGGAGATTGCTTGTTGCCAAAACTCTGTGGCGGGCTGTGTGTATCCCCATGACTGGAGTTGAGATTGCCAGTTTTGACCGAATAGTTCGTTGATCAAGAGATATGCCATGTCGCAACGGATCGCATCGGCAACACTTGCCAGCTCCAAAAGTTGTGCAATACGCACTTTTACCAGCTCGGGATTCCAGTAGTTGAGCTGTGCGGTATCTTGCCATGCTCCACCCCAGCCTGCACTACCATAGGCTATTCCACTGGGTAGGTAGGTGTTTGGATCGTACGGAGGGTTGGTTCCTTGTGGCGCGCGAATATAGTAGTCTGGATCGGTAGTTGTCCACTCACAGTCGACAGCCGAATGATTGGGAACGAAATCGACCATTAGCAACAAGCCCATTTCATTCAATTGTTTTCTAAGTACAGCTAAATCTTCCATCGATCCTAACTGTGTGTTAAGAGTGTAGTTGGTTACGGCATAAGGCGATCCAATGATATCGTCAACCGTGTAGCCAGGCAGAACTTGTGCATAGTGTTGCAACAACGGTTGATTGGTACGATCGTAATTCAAACCGTATTCACCCAGTTGCCATAGTCCCATGAGCCAAACCATATCGAAACCCATTGATTTTATCTTTTGGAATTCTTCCATTGGAATCTCTATAGAGTATAGATATACATATATATATATATATGTTGCTTTTAGTTAGTACTTGTTGAAAAGCAGTGAAATATAGCATGCTATTCTTACGTGATAGTTGAGTAAAGTTTTGATTATATTGTTGTGATAGATTGTATAGCCATGGTCTTGTAGATAGTTCGTACATCATCATACCACCGCTTGGCACAGCAGCTTTCACACCGCTATTCTTGTGAGAAACTGTCATCATTAAAACAAAAGCAAACAAGCTAATGATTAAGCAACTTGAATACTTCATTTTAAACACTTAAGTTATGTGTGTATAACACAGAAAAATAAAAAAATAAAAAAAAAACCAAACTGATCAAAATAAGGTTATCAAAACTAGAAATATCTTCTTTAAATGAAGATTGATGAATACCAACCAAAAAAAGTACTTTTTTTTTTTTTTCATTTTTTAGATTTTATTTTTCTTCACTATTATTGTCCAACCTTGTAGATACCCCTGTTTTCTAGTACTAAAATTTTGTTGAGTTAATTAAGGAAACATCAAAATTGTTTTATACACTCTCAATTTTATATTAAATTTTTATGATTTTGGTAAGAGTAAAATTATATATTTTTATTTATTTTTTATTTTATATTTTATATTGGAAATCCCTCAATTTATTATTGAAAAAAATAAAATTATATTAATGAAAGATAATGAGTTACCGATAATCAAAAATGTTAATGAATATAAAAAATATCATTAAAATAATATATATGCTTACATATTAAATAGATAAGAATGAATAGTTAAATTAAAAACAACAGGTATCATAACGGTTATTTAACACTATTGTAAAGGGATATCAACTTTAATGCCACACTTCATTAGTTAGTGTATTATTGATGCTCATTTTTATTATTCAATTAATGTTATTGGTTAAAACAATATAATTAATTATCTGTGACTATGAAAAGTGCAAATTTAAGTTTTAAAATTTTTTTCTATTTAAACCAAATTTATTAATCATTTGTATTATTAATTTAATATTAATTTCAAATGGTAAACTATAGTAATTTACCTCATGTGGTAATTACAGGAACGGTTGGAGTTGGAAAATCAACTTTGGTTGAAAAACTAACTGGTTGTAGTGGAATAGCTTCTGCCAATTCCAATAGTTTCACAACAACCAGTTTGGCTTATCCAACTTCCAAATTCGTGATTATCGATACTCCAGGCAACAATCCACTATCAATGAAAATGAACCACAATATATGGATTGCCCAAGCTTTCAACTTCCGTCCTATCTCTTTGTTGTTGGTCTGTGTGGAGGCGCATGTTAGAATTGCTCAGACAGTAGACGACCTTTTAAAGATGTTGAAGAGATTTAATGGCTTCAATGAATATATCTGCCCGATTATTTCAAAGATGGACAATGTTGAATGGTCTGAAAAAGATATGAGAGAAGCACTTATGGAGTTTGGTGTCTATAGAGTACTTTTCACAAGTATCAAAAAATCACAATCGATTCTTCTACAAGAGATTTTAAATCAATGCAATCCAAAGCCAATCGAGATCAACGTGAACCATGAAAACTTTTTCAAATACTTTAAAGTGGCAGAATGCAACCTAATGATCCTTAGAAAAACCAAGGCTGTCGTAGATCTATATGAACTTGCAGTACAGTACGTAAGAAATACAATAAAGAATATGGGTGGATCTACTAGCAGTGCCATGGATCTTGTATTCCAATTCCAACAATTTATGCTCAATATGATTCCAACGATGCAGAAATCACTTGCCGATGCTTGCGGTTTCACTTTTTGCGGTGTAAATGACTCTGTTGAAATTGGACATATTGCACACCTCGGAAACAAGCTCAAGAATGTCCTGTACACAATCAGAGTTATGGCATTAAGTTATGCCTCGCAACACGGTGTCTCAAACCTGAGAAAATGTCCATATTGTGGTCTCGTTTGGAGCAAGGTATCCGGTTGCGACGGAGTAACAACATGCGGTAGTCGACCTACAGACGTTCGTGAATCTAATTGTACAACGTTCGCAACCTATTCCTTCAGTCTAAATCCATTCCGGGTACAACAAATTGATAACAAAGCCGTACCAACAACTACACCCAATACTACTGCTGTTGGTGTTGGCTGTGGTAAACCAATTACTTGGTCAACAATGCAACCTGTGCCAATCCCCGAAGAGATCTCAAGTGCTGTAGCCAGTATTTCGACTGAAGACGTCAAATATCTTCCAGACACATTGATTGATGACTTTGCTCACCTATTCAATGAAAATCTTCAGCCTGTTAGATACTATTCCAAATAATCTATCCATGTAATCACAGTTGTATATCAATCAGTGATTAGTGTTCAACACACAACATCTATTTTTTTCTATTAAATCTAAATCATGAAAAATAAATAAACATATATTAAAATCTGATTTTGTTGTTTAATTGATTTTGTGACAGGTGAATAATCAATCAAAAAAAAATCGCAAGAACTAAAAAAAAAAAACAAAAAAATTAAAATAAAAAAATTGTGTTTTGTTTGGTTGTAACTCATAAGAGGTTCACCGAATTTATTTAAATTTTTTTGGAATTCTGCACAAAAGATTTTCATTAAAATCATAAAATACAAACTTGAACTGTTTGGGGTTTGGGGTTTAATCCATTCCAAAAAACAATGATTCGAATTTGTGTTTTTTTGTTTATTAAGATTAAATTTGCAACTAATAGTAATGAAAGTCAGTTTTGGGTGATTTTACAAATAGAGATCCAAAAATTGGGTTATCAGTAGAATTTGATTTTATTGACAACAAATAAATAATAAATAATAAACAATGCAAGAAGCAATAATGCAATTTATCAATAATAAAATTGTAGAAACACCAAAAGTGTTTTCCAATTATACTCATTGTCTTAACAATGTCATGAGCTGTGTAGACTTTGTATTTCCATCAGCTGATGAAAATTCTTCTAAAAGATTAAAATCAAATAACAACAACAACAATGTAAGAATATTTAATTTATTTAAATATTTTTTATAATTTTAATTATTAATTTGTTTACTTATTTTTTTATTTATAAGGTAAATAAAATAAAATCAAATATTTCTGAATGTATAGATGTAAATATTCAATGTAATAATAATAGTAATAATAGTAATAATAGTAATAATAGTAATAATAATAATATAGAATCATTTATTTCACATTTGGAAAGAATATCAAATGAACCAATTGAACCTAGTTTCTCGGAGATGTATGATTGTCAGAATGATGAATCGATGTATATGTTCTTCCTTTCCATCCAGGCAGATTACCAATTCTACACTCATTGTCTATCGGTATTGGAAGCAGGATTGTCCAAGTGTTTCAAAGCCTCGATTGTCATCCCACGTGGATCTTTCGCTACACGATCAGGTTTGAAGTGTACACTAGATCTAGACGTAGATCTTATTCTGCCACGTTCCTATATAACACCCGAGCAAATGACACCAAACGAATTCCCAACCTTGGTAAATGTACTCTCGAAAATACTGCCTAAACATCTGAGTTGCATTCAAAACGTATCGGTCAACAATACAAGAAGCTTCTCATTTGATATGGTCATAGAGGGTGTAAGAGTACCAGTCGATCTATTCCCCAAATTGATTGGACAGAATGGACGTGTCTATACAGTAACCCCAACCCGCCAGAATACACCACGTGATTGGGTTACCACCAGTATTTTCACCCAAGAGCAACAACAATGTAAATTCGACGAAACTAAACTCTGTGCTATTCTGCTGCTGAAACTCTGGAGAAAAGATATGAAACAAATGCATCCTCTTGAAATGTCTATACTAAAAGGCTACCATATAGTTTTAGCAATGGAAAAGATAGTTCAAATGCCAACAACATCAAATAATGAAACTTCAACTATCAAAAACAATAACAACAATAATAATAGAGATTTTTCAAGAAAAGCTGTACTTTCAAACCTGAAAAGTATTGTACAATGTCTACTTAAATCATATACATACTATCCAAAGTTAACAGAAGATGTCAACTCACCGCTGTACGATTGCCGAAGTGAGTTTATTGAATATGGAGTTGATCAATCGAAAGCAGAAAATAATTTAGTTGGTGAAACACTATCTAAACTTTTGTGTAAACTTTTATCAGATTTAAATCAAATTAAAATTTAATAATAATTAAAAGAAGGCGCCTTTTTGTAAATAAATTTTAACAAAATTTTTTTTTTTGATTGACCAATTTTGTATTTTAATAAAAATACTTTTTAATTTTTTTATTAGAGATCAATAAAATAAAAAGATCAAACCAATGAATAAATAAAATTGATATCATATATATTTTAATTTTCGTCATGACAGCTGTGACAATTAATATTTGGTACTATATTTATATTATAGATTAAACCAATTAAATTATCAAATCTATAAAATGAAAATGAGTCTTTTTTTTATTAATTTATTAATTTATTAATTTAATATTATTAATATCAATTAATTATAATTTATATATGATTTTTTTTATTTATTAATCTATCAATAAGTTTATGATTAGATTATTAAAATGAATAAAGATTTAAATAATATTATCAATTCAAATAAAAAGTTGTTGGATATATTAAAATCCAACAGATCTGAAATCAGACAATGTGAAAGGAAATTACATGACTACTTAATAACTAAAACTCATAGTCTATGTCTACCTATAGATCAACAGATTGAAAAAATCAACCTAAAAATTAATAATAATCTTTCAAAATTAAAAGAAATTGGAATAAAATCAACTTTGAAAGAGGATAAAGATAGTAATAGTTCTAACAGTTGTAATAATAATATTAATAATAATAACTATGAATATTCTGATGAATATATTTTATTATCATCCTCCATAGATGAAACAGATTATCAGAAAATATTGGAGAATCTAAGGGAGTTCAATCAATTCAATCAAGAGGATAAAAAAACAGTTACAGAATGTTTAAAAGATTTGAATATAACCAACGTTGATATTAAACTTCAAGAATATCGAGTGCACCAGAGTGAACATGAATTGGAGGAAATCATGAGGAGAATTTCGAAATCAATGGTGGAAACAAACCATACTGTGATCGTTTCAATTTCTAAAACCGATAATGTTATCAGAGCAACTTTGATCAATCTTCTCGATCAAAAAACTCAAGATCTTGAGTTCTCTGGTCAGAGTAATATTCAAACGATGATAACAAAAAGAGATGGTAGTGGTGTGGTGTATTTGTTTGGTATTCAACATTTCATTGCCTTGACGATTAATAAGTGTCTTCAACCCTCTATTAAAATCTTTGATAAACGAAAGCAACTTGGAAGCAGAATATCCGCTTGCTATGATAACATGGAAGGCTTCTACATTGTCAGCGTCGAAGGAAGCACTAGGTTTCCAATCAAAGTATTCCAGCTTTTATACTTTGAAGGTCAAATGGCAACCAAAGAAATCTATGTATTCAACGATCTCGAAAATGAGATAGGTATAATCAAAGGTCAACTAGTTTCCTTTATATTTGAAAGAAAACTATATATTCTAATAATCAATAATAATAATGATAATAATGATAATAATAAGTTCATTATCATTGATTTACTATTAAAAAATAATAATAATAATAATAAGTTAATAATCAATGATATACCATTAAAAAATAATAATAATAATAATGATATATTTTCAAATGTACTGGCTTGTTGTGCTGATGATATAGATGGTTTGATTTTTATCTATTATAGAGATCATAGCTTTATACAGTACGACATTAAAGCAAAACAAGTTAAAGAACTTAGAGGGAGATTTGGTTTTGCTATAGATGATGACACGTACCTATCAATGGTGTACAATAGACAAGTTATATTTGAATACTCCAATAAGAGCACGATCTATCTACTCGGTGGTCAGACACGTGGCAACTATATCTACTCTATCAAAGACAACCAATGGTATCGATTCTATAACTCTGATACCTATAATAGAGATCAACAGCCTTCACTTCTTATATATATCTAAACACACATCAAACATGTGTTTAATTAAATAAATAAAAAAAACTTAACTTTTTCATATTTTTAATACAAAAGACTGAGTAACTTGAAAACTAAAATTTTAATTACTAATTTTTTTTTTCTTTGACAACCAAGTTCTGGTTTTACAAGAAACTTCAACCCCTTTTAAAATTGATATCATTTTCTTGAGGGAAATAAAATCATTATTTAAAATAATAAATAAGAAAAATGGATATAGATAGTATAAATAAATATATTTGCAATATACACAAGAAATCATTAAAGTTAATATGTTTTAATTGTAATATTCTACTGTGTTCAAGATGTACATCAAAGCATGCCGGTCACACACTGGACCACATCGATGAAATCAAAGGAAATGTACCTCATGCCAACAATGACAAGGAAAGTTGCAATCAGAGTAATATTAAAGCGAGCGAATCTGTGGCTGGTGATAGCTCTAGTTTCTCAAATCTTAGATCCGGTTTGGAAGAGATTTGGAAGAGGATAAAGGTAATGGCGGAAAGACACACACTGCTAGAATCAACAGAGAATGAGATATCGTCGCACTTTCAACAACTACATGAGTATCTCATTGTAGAGGAACACAAAATCAAGAAACCGATTGTCACCGACAAAGAACAACTACAACAAGAACTATCGATACTTATCGAGGAAATCAAGTCGTTGAACAAAATATTCAGTAATATCAGACAATTGAATCATGAAAGTGGTAGAAGTTCAATTACTGTTAGCAGTGGTGGTGGTGGTGGTGATGGTGATGACACCTTCTCAAAAGCAGAAGATACAGAAGAGTGTTATAAATTGTCAAATATCATCCAGTCTCTACAACGTTCGGCGACTCTCTATGAATTCATTCAGAGAAACAGCGATACTCTATTCTACACATTCCAAGACAATGAAATCAGTAGTTCCGATAGCAGTATCAATGACTGTGTCCTATTGGATTCAATCATTAAACACAATGAAAAGTTCCAAACTCTGAAGCATACAAGCGGAAGTAATGCTATCGTTGGCAGAGATAACAACAGTACTCTCTATAAAATCAGAGTGAATACTCCAAACATCCTCCAGATCAAGCAAAAGATTCAAAATTCATTTACACTGGTACCGGTAAACAAAGCACAGTTGAATCAGAAGAAAAGAACATTCCTCCTGTCAACCGAGCGCAAAAAGGGCAATAAGCTATACTTTACCGAGATGACCAACGGTCGTGTTACCGAGTCGAATTTCAAGGCTGCCGATTACAACTCTGCAGATATCTGGGCGTACAATTCAACGGTACTCGCTGGCGATCATATCTACTGCTTTGGTGGCGACTCAAAGAGTAACAAATACCTGAGATTCTGCATTCACACCAAAACAGTCGATCTCAACGAGGAGATGAAGGGTATAGAAAACTGTAGCTATCCTGCGGTTTGCTACGACAATCAAGAGTACATCTACATCGTCGATGGCAATTGGAAGAGCGATTCAACTATCACTCGCTACAGTATTGAAACGAACAAGTTTGAATTGTTTGCAATCGTCGAGAAGACAACCTATCCGCACATTGCATTCTACTACAACGATTGCATCTACACTGTTCTACCATCGAAAAACCGTATTATGAAAGTAAACGTAGCAAACAAGACAGTATCGGATGTTCAATTACAATCGGATACCATTCCTATCAGAAGTTCAAGTTGTACCGATGGCAACGGAACAGTCTACGTGTTGACACCTCACCGATTCTACAGATTCCATATCGATAAACCAGTGATTCAAGAACTTAAACAAACTAAAAATATGGATTTCAACAATCAATTGATCTATCACCAGGCGTCACCATTGGAAACATTTATCTACTCTATCCAAGGAAATGGTCACAACTCTGTTTACTCTATAGAGAATGATAGTTGGGAGCAGGTCCTACCAGATGATACTTCAAATAGAACTAACTGTGCTTCTATCATATATTCAATTAGCGATTAATAAATAAAACACCTTTATAAAACTCAACAAATTTTTTTTTTTTTAAATAAATTATGAAACCAATGTTTACACAGATAAATATAATAAAGCTTAATAATGAATTTATTTCTTAATGAAAATATGATACCAATTTATAAATATATATTTTTAAATAAAAACAAAATGATTGTATATCTTATTATTTTTTAGTAAAGCTCACCAAAATTTTTGTTAGTTTTTTTAGATGAGTCTTATTCACTTTCAAACATTGACTTGAAAATAATATCTATTTGGTGATAAATTTCTTGGAAAGAGACAATAACAGAATTGAATGTAAGTAGGAAGCAACTGTGTTGTATCAAACTTAGAACCACAAGGTCATAAAGACCCAGTGCAAAACGTGAAAGATTTGGGTCATCTTGAAGTAAGTTTATTCGATGTAGGAGCACCACCATTACTTGAGAGGGTTGATAATTCTGGCCAACTATCTTGGAGCCAATATTGAAATTACTGAAAAAGAATTCCAATGATTGAGTTGAACACACACTACTAAGTAGATTACACAAAGATTTTGTATCTAGGTAATTGATGTCGTGTGTATTTAGAACATCGATAACACTTGACTCCAAGGAAGACCTTCCTTCCTTTAAATAAAGGATGAACTGTCTCTCGCTTGGGTCCGGGTAGAATGGTTTCTTTAGAAGACTAAAGTACAAAAAAAGGAAATTGATTTTGCTGGCCACTCTTCTGTTGACATCCATACTTTTGGTTTCAGATTTAATAAAAGCAACAATGTCAAAGGGTACATCTGGAAACGTAATATCGTGTGGATCGCTTATGCTCACCCACTTTCCAGTGGTAGGGTTATATCTTTCTTCAGTTTCTTTTTGTGGGCTTTCACCTGAAGCCGGTGTTCCATCGGGATTGGCAGTAGCGATGGTCATATCGGTCATGGAGGCCGTAAGATTCACAAGATTGTACTTTTCGGTGGTTACGGTCACTTCGTTGTTCATTTCCAAACTCGGTTTAAACTCGCCACTGCCATTGCTCGACATCATCGATTCTTCGACAGCTTTGAAGATGGTGTACTGTGTCTTTGGCTGGGCGGTATACTTCTCAAGAATGGTTACAAACTCTTGTCTGTTCTCCAGCACTGGTTTGACCAGCCAATGCTCCTCCACTATCAGTTGCTTGTGGTATGTCTCGAATAGCTTAATGATACTCTTAGTGACTTCATCATGTGACTTTATCTTTTTGGCCAACATCTTTGATTTGTCAGAGTTAAATTCAAATTGAACATTTAACTTTTCAACCTGCTGTGAAGGTAAGTTGGGTGATTTCACAAATGCATGACCTCTGTGGACAGGTAATGTAATACAATCACCACACACCAATATATTGCACTCCTCACACAGAAACTTAACCTTCTTCTGAGGATGAAATTGACATTTTTCTGCTGCTGCTGACATGATTATTCTTTAATTTATGGACTAAACAATTTTTAAATAATAATAAAAATAATTTGTAGTAATAATAATATCTTAGTTAGCGATATGGTTCTTATAATGTGACTACATCAAGCTTAAGCTTTTGTATGTATTTTAAATCTATATAGATGACCTGCCTATGTTTATTTATTATTTGTTGTTAGATATGTTATCTTAAGTGTTCTATTAAGTACAGGTGTCCTTAAATAATAATAAATGAAAGCAAGTTGTATTTGTTTGTAATAAATAAACTTCCTGTGTTATTCTTTTGAGCATTTCAGGATCGATTGTTTAATAAAAAATATAATTCAAATAAAAATAAATAATATCTAAACCTACCTAAATAAAAGTTTATTTATTATGATTTGTTTTGATTTTCTGTTCTTGCTGTGATTCTACGCTACAGGTGTCCTTCAAATAAGATGTGCAGAGAAGTTTTTTTTTTTGTTAAATAAACTTTCGATAGGTTTGATTCAATTCAAACCTATATTCGACACTTTTGTTAGAAATATTGTTTTTGTTAGTGAAGATTTCATTTTCCGGAATTAAAACCATAGTTTTGTATTCTATTCTAGGACGTGTGTCCTTCAAATAAAACATTGTGAATGGCATATGTGTATGAAAAATAGATTCTTATAGTTTTACTGCTCAAATAAACATTGGCAATAATAAATGTTTAAAAATGGTGTTTTAAAAATTACATACATTTTTTTTTTCCTCCAATTTATTTATTTAATTAAATTAAAATTTAATTTTCTCAAGGGGGGGAGAAAATTAAATTTGCAAATTTGGGGTATAACGCGCACAATACAAACGGATTGGTTTTTTTCAGAATTTGAAACCCTTTTAAAAAAATTGAATTTTTTATCAACTTCTTTAATTTTCATTGTTTTTGAATGAGTGAAAGGGCTATAAAAATAAAAAGTTGAGTTTCGCGTTTGAAGTAGCAATGTAAGTTATTTGATCATGAACAAAAAAAAAAAAAAAATTCAAAAAATGTGTGGGAACTGTTCTTTTTTTGTTGTTTCGATTTTCATTGTATTATTGAATGAATCATTTCCTAATATTTATTGCCTCAGCGATGTATTTAATTACATACTTAAGAGAGATAAAAAAAAAAAAATTTATTGAAACTTTTTCTTAAACGCACTACGGTGTATTGTCCTTTAGACTGCAACTTAAAGAAGTATCTATCTTGTCATAGACTTTTTGGAAACCAACAACTTACAGTAATAATAATTGGTGAGAGCAAGTTTTATTTTTTTGTAATAAATAAACTTCCTGTGTTATTCTATTGATCATTTCACAATGATTGTAATAAAAAATATAATTCAATTCAAACAAAAATAAAATTCAAATAAAATAGGTTAGAAATCATTTAATTTAAGCTCCATTCTTTTAATGCACATAGTTTTCTTTCTTAACTTATAGTTATAATATTGTTATTAAATTTGGCGAAAAAAAAAAATGAATTTTTAATCAAAAAATTCGCATTAATATTAACGTTTAAAACCTAGATACAAAAGTTGATGAAGTTAAAAAAAAATTAAAAACAATTTTTTGATTTAATTTTTTTTTTTTTTTTTTTTTTGATTGTAATGTGAAAAAAATTTTTGAAATTTTGTGTATGTATGAAAGATGAGAATATAATCTGACTGAAAATGAGTGTAGTGAGTCAAATGACTCATTAAATACTAGTATTTTTCAAAAAGGAGAAATTTAAGTTTTCAAATTTTTGTTATTTTTTTTTTTTTGATCACAAAAAGTTAGAAAGTAAAATATTAAGTTTTCAAAAATTTATCTAAGCTTACTATGTAATTAAATACATAGTTAAAGCTATAATATTAATGTGTTGGCCATTTTGAAGTCTATTGATTGCAATGTGGTATTCTTGATTGTCATAACAAACCGGTGGGTAGCTACGGTTTATTCATTCAATCACCAACAAATAATAAACCTTTTTTCTGATAACAAAAATAAAAAACAATTTATTTAATATCTTTTTGAGAAAATAAATTGTTTATCATGATATTCACAAGATGGTGATATCAAAGATATCTTAAAAATAATATCTAATAGTTGTTATTTCAATTTTCATTGTATTAATGAATGAAACATTTCCTAATATTATAGCTTCAACAATGTATTTAATTACATAGTAATCTTAGATACAAAAAAAATTTATTGAAACTTTTTTTTGTTTCTTAAATGGTCGAAAGTGTTTTGTCTTTTTGGGTAGACTTCTTCTTAAAGATTGTATTTATCTTTCTATAGACTTCTTGGAAACCAACAACACCGGGGTTGATTGAATTAAGAAGGAAACAACTATGCTGAATTAAACATAGTATTATAAGATCATAAAGATCTTTGGCAAAACATGAAAGTGTTGGATCACTTTCCAGTGAGTCTAGTTGTTGTAGGAGAACCACCATGACCTCGGAACGATTACGATTTTGGGCAACCACCTTTGACCCAACATTGAAACTATCGTAGAAGAAATCCAATGAAGAGACTGACCTCGCATCATTCAGTAGTGCAACTAATGACTCTTTTTCCAGTAAATTGGCTTCATACCAATTTATAACAAGGTGAATGCTAAACTCCAAATCATCAACTCCTTTTTTTAAATTAACCATCAAACTGGTTCATATATGGGTCTGGATTGAATGGTTCTATATATCTATTCTCACGTCGGGAGTATCTTGCCAAGTCATCAATCTTGCTGGCCACCATTGAGATGATAAACCTATTCTCGGTTTTATATTCATTGTTTTTAGCCATGTCAAAGTGTCCCTGTGAAAATTGATAATCTCCTTTTGGTTGGCTCTGCCACTCTTCAATGTTTGTATTATACACCTGCCTCATTGCTTGTACAGTTATAACCTCGTGATAAAGTGGAGTAAATTGTTGAAGGTTATCCAAAACATCAAATATATTACGAGAGATGTTTTTCTTTGTAGCTTTAATTTTGCGCTGGCTCTTTCGTTTGTGAAGGATAGAGGTAGTAGATGATTTGGAGTGCTTGTTTCGTTTAAGATTTTTGTTTGATGAACTCCGACCTTGCTTTAGTGATTTTTCAGCACTTGATGAATCACTTGTTGACAGTGGAATACATTTACCAGTCAAGATATCAAATTTGTCGATACGGTCCATGGTAATATTGTTCTGAATACCACCGATAAGGTAGATGTATCGACCGTTATCGTAGTAGCAGGCAAGTGAGGAACCACCTTTCGTTGGGATACTGTCGAGACAATCCCATTTTCTGGTGTTGATGTTGAAACGTTCGAATGTATTCAACGTGTCATTTCCACCGAGCTGGGCGATATACTTCTCGAGAATAGTTACCAATTGTTGCCTACTCTCCAGTACCGGCTTCGCCAATCTATGCTCTTCCACTATCAGTTGCTCGTGATATGTCTTGAACAGTTTATTAATATTTTTGGTGACTTCATCATGTGACTTTATCTTTTTGGCCAATTTATGTGCTTTGTCAAAGTTAAATTCAAACGGAACATTTAACTTTTCAACCTGCTGTGAAGGTAAGTTGGGTGGCTTCACAAATGCATGGCCTCTGTGGCCAGGTAATGTAATACAATCACCACACACCAATATATTGCACTCCTCACATAGAAACTTAACCTTCTTCTGAGGATGAGATTGACATTTTTCTGCTTTTGCTGACATGGTTATATTAGATGTGGACTAAACATTGTTTAAATAATATAATAATAAAAATATTGTATGCTTGAGTTAGAAATAATGTTTTTATAATGTATTACTAATAAGTAAAAATTGCAGAAAACAGTGTTGAAACTTGGTTTAAGCACGATTATGAGATTGCTTCTATTTTACTTTATTTTATTTGATTATTAGAATATTACAAAACTCTTAAATGGGTTGTTACAAATAAAATGATGATTCTTTTTCTTTTAAAGAGTGTGACTTAAAAAAAATAACTTTACAATAAATTGCAATCAAACCTCAAAATTGATCTTCAAACCAAAATTTTTTATCAAAATAAAAAAAGAAAAATTAATATCTGATATTATTTTCTTTTAAAATATTTTAAAATGATTTTTTTTTATTTATACTTACTTGTAATAATAAGAGTTTAAATATTTCTTATTAATTTGCTAGTGTGCTTGTTAGGAATTAAATGTCTATTAATTTATTTTTATTTATTTTTAAAATGCAATGTTAATGATCGAAAATGTACAGTCATCTTGGATCGATTTTAACTTCAAGATTGTATCTATCTTGTCATTGACTTTATGGAAACCGACAAAACGGGAGTTGATCGAATTAAGAAGCAAACAACTGTGCTGAACTAAACTTAGTATCATTAGTTCATAAAGCTCTTTGGCAAAGGGTGAAAGAATGGGATCGTTTTGAAGTAAGTTTATTTGATGTAGGAGCACCACCATGACTTCAGAGCGCTGATAATTCTGGCCAACCATCTTTGATCCAACATTGAAATTACTGAAAAAGAACTCCAATGAATGAGTTGAACTTGCATATTCCACTAGTTCAGACCACCTACACGTATCCAAGGAATTGAGTTCATAGGTATTCAAAACATAGAGAATGTTGAACTCCAAGGAAGAACTACCATCTTTTAAATAAACATTAAACTGGCTCTCTCCTGGATTCGGGTTGAATGGTTCCAACACTCTATTTCGACCACGAAAGTATGTTACAAAATTATTGATAATGGTGGCTATTATTTTGTTGATATTCATATTCCTCGTTTCAAATTCAATATTTATATCGATGTTAAACTTTCCATCTCGTAAGAGACTTTCTATTTTCGGATGGCATATGCTCTCCCACTTTTCGGTGATCGTATTATATCTTTCTTTGTGATAATATTGAGGCGTTACATTTGACTGAGAAATTGGATCTTTCTTTACTAGGTCGGTATCATAGAAACACTTGGACTTGGACAGAACATGCTCATACGCCTCGCTCACTCCTTGAACAGTGACAACCTCAGACTGGGATGGTGATGGTAGTGGTCTGTAGGCGTGAAAGCTATCGGAAACACCTATACTGCCATGGTAGTATGTCTTTTTATCTTGTTTGCTGGTGTGTTGGCGTTGGTGTTTTTGTTTGGCAAGCTTCCTAGCCACAAAATTGAATTCAACGTGGTCTTTGTTGGTCAACTTTTGTTTACTTGACTGATCTTTAAGTAGATTTGGATGACCTATGGTATATATAAACTCTTCGTTATCGGAGTTTGGCAAAGAGGATGAACAAGGAGTAGAGATAGTAGATGATTTGGAGTCTACAGGTACACCAATGTGATTGCTTTTGATCTTTTTCACATTGTTTCGTCTGACCTTTTTAATTAATGAACTACGAACATGTTTTGGTGGTTCTTCAGAAACTGATGGACCACTTGTTGACGAACAATTACCTTCGATCTCCTCTGTTTTGGCGAGATCGATCTTTACCTCTTTGGAAACTTGCTTACTGATAACTAAAAATATTAAAATAAAAAATAATGCTATAGCTATGAAATAAAACATTTATAAAAAAAAATTAAATAACTTAATCATATTATTTTTATAAAATATAATTTAGTAAACATTTTGTTATTACAAAAAATAAATCACATAATAATTAATATCATATGTGTGTAGTGGATTGAGATGAGATGGATGGTCATATTGTTAGATGAAAGTGAAAACAAACTCATAAGATATTGTAATATTCTCTCAACAAAAAAAGATATCACATTTGTGGAACGCTCTCTCTGTCATTATGTATCATTCATCTTCCACATACCAAAAACAAATAAAGAACAACAAAAACAACAACATCTAATTCAGTAACAATAAACTCTTTTTTTTTTAAGAGTTACTTCTTAAAATATATATTTTACTGTGGTGGATAGTTTAATGATACAAAAAATGAAGAATATTGTTGAATATAATATTCTGTTTGTGATAATGTTCGTAGTAGTAGTAGTGTAGTGTTGTGTTGTGTGATTTGTGTTTAGTGTTTTGTGCTTTGCTTAATTAATTTTGTATCATTTCCTTATTTGGTGGAATATTACTCTATCATAAATCTTATATTTTAATTATGATAATGAAAAAATTTATCAAAAAAAAAAAAAAAAGAATAATAAAAACTATATTTGAACTTCAAAATTAATAAAAACTTTAATTTTTTACCGTTATATGTTCCCACAATAAAAAATGAAATTAAAAAAATAACAAAAAAAAAACAATACCGCCAATTTTCAGATTTTTCAAATTTTTTTATTTTAATTCGGTTAATTAAATGATTCAATAATGATAATGATTCGATTGGTGTCAATCTTTTCTAGTTATTACAATTTTTTCCAGTAAATCAACAAATTTCACACACACATAACATACAATTACGTGTATATTTATATAAATAATCTAGATTTATTATCAATCATAAACATTTAGATCTATATACAAAAACAAAATCATTTTCTAAAGAAAATTTATATATCATTCATTTTTCATTTGATTAAACAAAGATAGCTTAAAGATGGACTCATTGGGTATCGATCAAATTCAAATCAACAAAGTACCAGCCGATACTGAGTACTACGATGTCATGAACGGTAGTCATCGTTGGGAAGTAAAGGTACACGATCATGGAAAGTATGTACTTTATTTTCATCAGGTCTAAAAAAATAAAAATAACAAGAAACTAAACATAACTTATGATTATTATTAACAATAAAAAAAAAAGAGTTGCATTGGTTGATTCTATGCCAAGACTTGCACCAGTTGGTCAAACTGCTGATTTCGCCATCGTTCAAGCCGCTCGTGTATCCTATGGTGCCGGTACCAAGAAAGTAACTGAAGACAAAGGTCTTATCCGTTATCTCTATAGACATCAACATACTTGTATGTAAACTAAACAAATATTAAAAATCAAAAGTTATTAATTATCTTTAATTTTATTAATAATAATAATAATATAGCACCATTCGAGATGATTGAATTCAAATTCCATTGTGTGATGCCAGTTTTCATTGCTAGACAATGGATTAGACATAGAACAGCCAATGTCAACGAGTACAGTGCCAGATACTCGGTTATGCCAGACAAGTTCTACCATCCATCGGCCGAAGACGTCAGAAAGCAATCGACTTCCAATCGTCAGGGTGGTGAGGATGCCACCGACACCAAGACCGCACAGGAGTTCCTCGACTATCTCGACCAGGTCGAAGCCAACTACAAGACCTACTCAGAGTTGCTCGACAAGGGTGTCTCTCGTGAGTTGGCACGTATCGGTTTGCCAGTCTCTGTGTACACCGAGTGGTACTGGAAGATCGACTTGCACAACCTCTTCCACTTCCTCCGTCTCAGAATGGATTCACACTCGCAAAAGGAGATTCGTGACTATGCCAACACCATCTTTGCTCTGATCAGACCGATTGTACCGGTTGCCTGTGAGGCATTCATCGACTATGCTTTCGAGTCGATCAAACTCACACGTCTCGAGATCGAAGCAATCCGTTCCGGTAAGCCATTGAACACCGCCAACAAACGTGAGACCGAAGAGTGGGAAGCCAAACGTAAACAACTAGGATTACCAGAGCCAGTCAAAGTCGAACAAACACAACCATCATCAACTGAACAAGCATAATAAGTTTAAGTACCATTTATGTAATTCCAAATAAAAATAAATTTTATTTTTAACACCATTTTGATTAATTTTTTGATTAATTTTTAATATTTTTATATTTTTTGGGTTGAAAAAACACACCTCAATAGTAAAATTCATTGTGGCCAATAGCAAAGTTATATAACGAAAAGAAAATCTATATTTATATATATATATATTATTAAAAAAAAAAAGTTATTATTTATTTAGATTTGAATTTATAACTTTTTTTTTTTTTTTTATCAATCTATTTATTTTTATTTCTACTTAACATTCAATCACTCCAAACATAAGTTTATTTACTTAATAAATGAAATAAATAATTTATACATAATTTATCACATTTATTATTTAATTATTAGCATTTTTTTTTCTTCTTCTCAAAAAAGTGATAAATTCAATTTAACATTTATTAAAAAGTCTTTTTAATTTTTTATAGTCACAACTTCTCGCATTCAATTTCACTCCACACCAAACATCCGAAATTTACTCAATCAATGAAATAAGTATTTATACATTTATAACACAAAAGTCTTTAATTTTATTTACATTTAGTTTTTTTTTAAAAGATTATTTAGCAAGGAGTGGAGAGGAATGGATTGATTGATGGAGGGAGGGAAGAGAGGTAAGGGGAAGTTAGATGATGGCAAGTATTATTTAAGATTAGAACTAATCTTTTATTTAAATAAACTCATCGAAACCATTTTACAGTCTCGACATCAAATTTGAGAGATCACCTTCATTGTTGGATATACACGCAATAATTTCCGAAGTGTAGGTACCAACCATACAGATTGGATGAGAAGGTGAATGTGTGTGTTGTGGTAACCGTTTCAATACCTTTCGGATACCTCCACTGGTGTGTTGGCTGCAATTTTATACTTATTTGACTGCAACAGCACCGTGGAAGTATGTATACTTTCCTTTTCTCTTAAAGGCAGACCAAGTCTGCTTGGTGATAGAGTAGGTGTACTGGTTTTCTTCCTTACCTCCCAGCAGGAAGATTCTAAAATCATTATCGAAATAACCAAAAACCTAAATAATAATAAACATTAACTGTTAGTTTCATATTCTTAAAAAATATAAAAATAAAATAAAACACATACCATTGCCAGACCAAACTTTCCTTCTTGCAACGGCGGGTTCGCCAGTTTCTCAATCGTGTTCGTAAATATTGAGAATTTACAAAATACATTGCACGTGATGAAGTATATGAACTCTCGCTTGTCAAAGGTGCAAGCTTCGACACGTTCATTGCCTCCAAAGTTGAGTAGAATATTGGAGGTTGAATCTTTGGTGTTGTACGACTCTATGCTATTGACTAGAGTGTATGGTGCGGACGCCTCCTTGTGCGTTCCACCTACTGTGTAGATGATATCTTCGTGGAAGCAGCAGTAGGTGTAGTAACGTGCTTTTTTCAAGTGTCCAACTTGAATACATTTACCAGTCAAGATATCAAATTTGTCGATACGGTCCATGGTAATATTGTTCTGAATACCACCGACAAGGTAAATGTATCTACCGTTGTCGTAGCAGCAGGCAAGTGAGGAACCACCTTTCGTTGGGATACTGTCGAGACAATCCCATTTTCTGGTGTTGATGTTGAAACGTTCGAATGTATTCAACGTGTCATTTCCACCGAAAATGAAAATGTGCTCGTTGGTGCACGCTACTGATGCAGACGAACAAGCACGTTTCATTCTGGTGGGTTCGACAATTCCCCATCGGTCGTTTTTAAGGTCGCACACCTCGACCGTGGACAAATGCTGAGTCGCCTCCATACCGCAAAGCACATAGATGTAGAAGATAGCGCAATCTTCTTTGTACTTTTTCATGTAACCACCGAGACTGGTAATTGCGGTTTCTTTTTGTGGACCTTCGCCTGTTGCCGGTGTGCCGTCGGGATTGGTAGTGGCGGTGGTCGTCTCTGTCATGGAGGGCGTCAGCTTCACCAGATTGTAGCCATCTTTAATCTCTGAAATTGATCTTGAAACCTTGGCTTTGTTGACAGTAAAGTCGTATGACACCTCGATTGGGTCGATTTTCATTTGCGCGAGCATGTTATTCACTTCCTTGTCCAATGTGTCTTGATCTTCCAGAATAAGTGCAATACTTCGGACTAGCTCTTCTGTATTCATTTTTGTTTGAGGTTTCTCAAAGATATCGTTATTTTTCAGCAGGTCGGCAGGCTTCTCGCAGTCGTCGGTTAGCAACACCAGCATCTCTTCGGTCTCCAAATCTTTCATGAACGTATATTGATTTTGCTTGATATTTTCGTACTTTGGATTCTCCAAAGTCTTTTCGGTGGTTCCGGTTACATCGTTGATCATTTCCAAACTCGGTTTAAACTCGCCACTGCCATTGCTCGACATCATCGATTCTTCGACCGCTTTGAAGATGGTGTACTGTGACTTTAGCTGGGCGGTATACTTCTCGAGAATAGTTACCAATTGTTGCCTACTCTCCAGTACCGGCTTCGCCAATCTATGCTCTTCCACTATCAGTTGCTCGTGATATGTCTTGAACAGTTTGTTAATATTTCTGGTCACTTCATCATGTGACTTTATCTTTTTGGCCAATTTCTGTGCTTTGTCAAAGTTAAATTCAAACGGAACATTTAACTTTTCAACCTGCTGTGAAGGTAAGTTGGGTGGTTTCACAAATGCATGGCCTCTGTGGACAGGTAATGTAATACAATCACCACACACCAATATATTGCACTCCTCACACAGAAACTTAACCTTCTTCTGAGGATGAAATTGACATTTTTCTGCTGCTGCTGACATGATTATTCTTTAATTTGTGGACTAAACATTTTTAAATAATAATAATAATAATTTGTAGTAATAATAATATCTTAGTTAGCGATATGGTTCTTATAATGTGACTACATCAAGCTTAAGCTTTTTATGTGTTATAAATCTATATAGATAACCTGCCTAAGTTTATTTATTATTTGTTGTTAGATATGTTATCTTAAGTGTTCTGTTAAGTACAGGTGTCCTTAAATAATAATAAATGAGAGCAAGTTTTATTTTTTTTAATAAATAAACTTCCTGTGTTATTCTTCTCATTCATTGTACAATGAGCATTTTAAATAAAAATAAATAAAATTCAAATAAAATAGTTAGAAATCATTTAATTTAATCTACATTCTTTTAATGCACATAGTTTTCTTTCTCTTTTAACTTACAGTTATATATTGTTATAAATTTGGGGAAAAAAAAATTGAAATGTTTATCAAAAAATTCTTTATAATATTAACGTTCAAACCTAAATTCAAAAGTTTGACAATAAAAAATGATTTAATTTTTTTTTTTTTTTTTGTTTTTTTTTTTTTTTTTTTGTATACAGTTGGTCAAATTTGAACTTTTTCAACATATGTTTAAGTATTATGAAAGATTATCTGACTGAAAATGATCATGGTGAGTCAAACGACTCATTAAATACTTAGAAAAAATACATTTTTTTTCATTTAAAAGAATAAACTTGAGTTTTTAGTTTTGGACCTACAGTTTTGAGAATAAATTAAAAATATAAGATGACAAGAATTAAAAAAACACTTAAAAAATTAGGAAATTAATTAATTTAGTCTAATCTTCAACAAAGTCAGGAAATTAGTATTGAAGGAAAACTATATGTTTGAATATGATCATTGTAAATCGATCATTCAATACATGCCAAATGTAAGTTATATAGTAATCTGTATAACTAGAGTTATAGATAAATTGATAAATATATAATATAGATAGTTATAGATAATGATGTACAAAGATATAGTAGATAAATAAAGTGTAGAATACAAGTTAGTTGGGAGTAGATTAAGTTCCCAATTGAATAATTGATTGATAATAAACTTGATAATAATGAAGATAAATTCATTCAAGCATCATTATATCATCTCAAATCTATGTGTTTATTATTTCGATATTTTAGTGTGTTAATTAAATATCGGTTAATAGATTAGTCGCTTATTATTATATTCATATTTTCTATCTCGATTATAATGAAACAATAAGCGAATTTCTGTATGATTTCTAATATCAATCTTTATTAGATTGATACAATCACTTACATTACCATCGATGGCAATTAGCCTTGACAACAAGAACATATTCCAATTGTTAAAAGAGATTCCTTTACTGACATCGCTTGACTTGTCACACACTGGTTTCCGCTTCGAATTCTCATTGGAAATGATAACAGGTTCTATTCAGAGACTGAAACTACCAGTGATACAAGATAATTTCACACTATCTTACAACCATCAAATTAAAACATTAGAGTTAGCTAGATTACATTCCAATTTGAAACACCTCAGTTCAATCAAATCACAAGACTTATAATGAATTGTGTATATGGAAAAAGTATCTTCACCAGATTGTAAAATTCACACTTTTTATACCAGGTATAATAATATGTGGACCAGTAGAGTGCTTGGCAAGAATCAATCAATCACAATACTCGATATCAAAAGTAATTTTCAAACTACTTTAAATATTTCATCAACAATGCCATCAATCAAACGATTCCTTTACGATGATACAAGTGATCCTCTTTATGAAAAAACTGGACACACCACAGGGAATGCACACATAAAATCAAAGTATCGATTTCAAAAAAACTATGCCGAATACCAATAAAAATGAAGCAGTGGAAGCTACCTATCCTCACCTTTTTTATAATGCCAATAAAACAGAAATAAAAAAATACTTTATTTTTTTGATCACAAAAAAAAAAACATAACAAAACATGAGTGACAAAAATCAAGACTACAGTGTTGGCAATCTTTTAGAGAATGTACCGTTGGTAAGAAGTGACGGTGATGAAGTATTCGAAACATTGATCAGTAAGGAAGGTGTAAAGATTGAGAGAATCATTTCTAATGGTCAGTCTTCACCACCCGACTTTTGGTATGACCAAGACCAAGAGGAATGGGTGTTTGTCTTACAAGGATCTGCCACCCTAGAGATGAAAAACACTGATGACTCAAGCAGACTAATCGATCTAGTAGCCGGTTCCTATGTTCAAATTCCAGCACACCAAAAACATCGTGTTGCCAAGACAGACACCACACAACAAACCATTTGGCTAGCTTTATTCTTTTGATATTATAAATAAAAAAACATAGAAACATTATCATCATCATCAATTCTCTTTTTGTAAAATAAATAACAATAAACATTAAAATTTAATTGCTCCATTTATCAAGTTATATTGGAAAGGTCAACATATTATCTCTGTTACACCAAAGGCTATAGAAGAACACTTAAAGATATATGCAAAGCAATCATCTAGAATCGATCCTAAATGTATACATTGGGCACCGATGAACCCTTTACCAAACAAAAAGAGATAAAAGAAATAATGTATATTTACAAGGAGTTTAAACTTTAACCAATAATGGATATTATAAAGTATAATAAATAATAATGATAAATAAAATCTTGTTTTTATCACTTTATTATATAAAGTACAGTAGTTTTATACCTTTTTTGAGGAAGTTGATTGATAGAATAAATGAAGATTTAGAAAGAAGTGTTTTTTTTCATTCAAAAAAAAATAAAATAAGAAAAGAACTAGCTATCAAATATCTAATGCTCTATTATATATGTTAAATAATGTTGTAATTAAATGATCGTAATCAAAAAAAAAAAAAAAAAAACTTACAAGATTATTTTTTTTGTTTTTTTTTTTTTGTGATCAAAAAGCTGTTTTTTATGTGTATCTATTTTCCGCATTATCAACAATGATTGATTGACAAAATTTTATTTTTGATAATATTTTTAGCTTTTGTCAATCAATAAATTTTAATTAATTTATATTTATTTATTATTTATATATTTTTTTAGAAAGATGGAGAAAGAAAAAAGCTTTTCTAATAGATTCAAAGTTGATATTACATCTTGGGGATATGGAGAGTTAAAAAATCCTAATATTATTCTTATTTTTGATAGTTTTTTGAATCTTGTAGAGAAAATAACTTTAAATAACAAGATTATTTTGTTTGGAAATCAGTCTACATTAAAACAACAGACTTTAAAAACTATTATTGATCACAGAGTTAAAAATGTAATAATTTATCAAAAATAAATATAGAATAAAATATTAAAATCTTATAATTCTTTCAATTAATAGGTAGATCAAAGACAATCTATTTTTACAGCAATTGAAATTCTAAATATATTCATATCAACTGTTGATTCCGGAAATGTTGCAACAAAGAGATGCCATTTAATGATAAATATCAACAATAATAAAGTTAAATTTGATATTTTTGGTTATGAAGATGTAAGTATCAATTAATAGTTTTATTTTAAAAAAAATAAAAAATAATTAACTAATTCTATCTAAAAAACAATAAAATAAAATAAAAAGAATTCCTTTTTTGAAATAGAAAATGAATTTCAATCAATAGCACTTTTGGGTGATAATCATTTTTTAGTAAGTTTTGTCAAACAACCACTACCATCAGAAAAACAATCACAGATTTAATAATCTTAAATGTAACTTTTTATATCTATATCTAATTATATAATCTATATACAGGGTTTAATTAAAAAAGTAATTAAAAGTGAAGATGTTGATTTAATATTATCGACATTGCAGGCAATTGCAATATTGACCAGTATGGCTGATAGCAAACCAATTCAAGCAATAGAAAGTGCTAAACGCTTCATTCATTTCGAACTTTCAATTGATCCTAATAACATTGAAGTGGATTTACAATCGAAATTAGTAAAACTGTTAGCATCTGGTATGTATTGTAGTATTTTTTAATATCTTTTTAATTACATTATATATATTTATAGTTTATTAATATTAATAATTATCAATAATAATAATAATTTCTAGAAATCTATCATTCATTAATATATTTTGTATTGGCGTGTATTAATGATTTCAATAATAATAATGATGATGTTAATAATGTTGATACCTATCAGCACTATCAATATCAGATTGTAGACTACTCAATGTCTGCTCATGAGAGTGTTGTCAACCCTAATATCAGTATTATGGTAAAGATGCTTCTACATGAATACATAATGTATTACTTGGCATGCTATCACGATTTCCCAAGTGAGCCAAACCAACTTGCACTGAAACATCTCACCTTTGCTTGGCACGTTCGAAAGCCAGATAGTCATCGAGTAGATCTATCCTATTCATACAAGAGTGTAAAGTATTATTAAAACAATCAATTGATATTATTTAACTAAGTATAGTTAATAATCTAACAAACTAATTACTAACCTTCATTTAATTTAATAGTTTGAATTCGATTTAGAGTGTTGGAATTTGTTTGAATATGATCGACATCTATTAATTCAATCTATTGGTTATCCATTACGTGATTTCCATAGAGAGAGATGGCTACATTTCCACCATGAAGATCATCGTATCATGTCTGCATTGGTTGAAGACAACGATGACCTACAATTCATAACATGTGTTGACTTACCTATTCAGTCTGCAATGTACACCGTGCAAGATAAATACCAAATGCTTGAAAAAGAGATGTTTAATCTTGGTTTAGAATCGTTTATCTTAAAAGAACAATCAATAACAACAACACCCGACAACAACAACAACAACAATAACAATAACAACATCTATAATCATAATAAGCAAACTACAACAGCATTACCACTACCATTACAACCACCCAGTTATGAAGAGAGTACAAGTAGTGATGGTCATTATCAAACATCCAATACTGATAATTGTCCATTAGATATACTCTATACTGATATTCGTCAGAGATATGCTAGCAGACTACCATTTATAAAAGTATGTAAAGTTTAAAAGCAAACATATATAAATATAACTTAATTTATTAATAATAATCTATATTTATTGATTATAGGATATTGTTATAAGATTCTTTAATCTATTTAGTAATTCTATTGATAGGTATATCAGTAAGATGGAATGGTCAGGTGATATATTGAAGCTATTGGATGGGCTAGAGTATATACTCGTAGATGGTGGATATCAATACATCGGTGATATTGTTAATTTCAATATAGATATCATAATTGGTAATCAAATCAAACGATTGAGATTCTACAAGGATAAGAATAAGAGTAGAAGAGTAATAGAGGTTCAGATGTTTAGAATCATACAGATGATCTTGTACCAACTGTCTACTCATCCAAAGACCCACTTCAGTAGAATACAGTCCAACCTTTCATTGACATCACACAGCTATGCCAGACTTTCCGACTGTGAAGCGATACGTTACCTCTCAAAGTTTGTCATCAACATGGTCGATCCGAAAATAGAAAATAGATCTATAATATTAACTGTAAGTAAAGTATAATATTTATAATAATATAATATTATAATACAGATATACTTATTATTATTATTATTATTATATGTTTTTATTAATAATAATATTTTATTAGAAATATCTTATTCAAGAGATCGTAAATTGTTTGGATGCGAATGACTATCAAAAGTCGATGACTGTTGTGCATATCATGTTGATGCTTGACTACCAGGGTATTGTAAAGACAAGTACTATCACAGATATGTTTGATAGTTACTCTAATAGTAAAGAATTGGGTGATCTTTACTATGACTTTCGTAAAAACAAGAAAAAGAGTATTCTAAAAGCACTACTGAATGCTTTTATTACCAGTAGCCAAGTAGTAGATAGAGATGATGAACATCAATCACTGCACGTCAATCTTCAAGTATCAACTAACTCTGATATCATTACCGACCTAAGTTCAACCTATAATTATAACAATAGCAATAATATCGAAAATCATGATTATAGTGGTGATGAAGAAGATGAAGATGACTACTACTATGATGCAAAAGAGTATGAAGATGACGAATACTACGACTATGACGACGACGAAGAAGAAGAAGAAGATGATGATCAATATTCTGATGCTACAGTCGATAAATATCAATATGGAGAGTATGACCAAAAATATGATCAAAGTTTTGGTGAAGATTACCAAAATGAAGAATATGAAGAAGACTATCAAGATTATGAAGATTATGAAGTTGAATATAATCGAAGTTTCATTGAATATGTTGGTGACTTTGATGATGATACTGATAACAAATATGGTTATATCACCCAAAGAGTCTAATTCAAACAATTAATCAATCTTTTTTTTTAAAAAAATTTTAATAAAGTTAATCACTACAAATAAAGATATCTATTTATAATAATGTTTAAAAAATAACTATAAATACAATGGTTAAAACAATTGTTACAATGCAATTATATTATATTTATATATTGAACATACAAATAAAATATAAAAAAAACATGTTAAAATATAAAATATTATTTATTTCATTAGTATTACTATTGATTTCAATGAACATGGCTCATTGTGACGAAAGTTCATCTGGATCTGAAAGTTTTGGTTCGGAGTATGTCACCTCAGAATCATTGTCTTATTTCTCTGAGGATAGCTGGAGTGATTCAAACTCACAACCCGGTGCAGCAAGTAAAATCGTGGTAGCTGAAGAGTCGACTCAGAAAGCGGCAGAGGTTTCATCTGGTGGTGGATATACTTCTGACACGGCCAGCAACACTGGAGCATCTGAGAGCACTGGAACAACACACTATTTATCTTATACAACAACTGGTGTACCACACACTACATTGGCTGATGATACAGCAGTCTCATCTGGTGGTGGATTTACTTCTGACATGGCCAGCACAACCGGAACATCTGAAAGTACTTCGGGTGCTAGCCCAACTGAAGATACCACTTCATCCACAACATCTATGACAACAAGTGATTCATCTTCAATGTCGAGTGAATCTTCTAGTTCTGAATCTACTGTTACAACAACAACAGATTCAACATCAACAACAGATGCAACAACTACAACAGATGCAACAACAACTACCACAACAGATGAAACAACTACGTCAACGACTGGAAACACATGGTTTTCAACTACATTCTGGTAAAAATGAAAAATATTTAATATTGTTATTCTCTCATTATTATTATTATTTAGTTGAAAAAATAAAATAAATATATATTGTTTTTGTTTGGTATTTTTTTTTTGTTGAAAATAGGATCACAATACAATATTATTGTACATTTAAATTTATTATAAAGTTTACACTTACCAAAATAATTATATTTTATTTATAATTTTTTAATTAGATTGGTACTGAATATTTAAATTTAAATCCAAATGTAAATATATATGGATTGGATTTGTTGGTGAAAAATTAAATATATATGTGAATTACAACCATATTTGTGTGTTTATCTTAAAAATGGTTGAGCGGCCAATTTCAAGTCATCTCTTATAGTAGTGATAATTGGATTCTATATATATTTCATAAATAAAATTAAATAAATATTTTTTTTTAAACTATAATTTCATTTTTCTGAACATACTTTTGGTCTGCAAAAGGGATTTGAGTTTTTTTGTACATTATTATTGTTATGATATCCTAAATTTTTCAAAGTTAATAAGATGAATGCTATATATTGTTAACAATTATAAATATTTACCCATTTTTTTTTCTTTTAAAATCCAAGTTTAGTCTAACAATGATCGATTTTAAATATTGATTAGGTTTTTTTTAGTATTTATGTACAAATATAATTAAAATCAAAAAAAGTTAACTGATTATTTGTTGTTTAATAAAAGAAAGATGTATCAAATATATATAAACAATTAAAAATAAAAAAATAGTATTTTACAAATTTTTAACAATGAACTAAAAAATATATTTTTGACACTTCTTTTTTCTGTTTAGCAAAATCATCAAAGCTTTAGATTATTTATTTTTTGGAAATTTTGATCAGATCGGCGGGTGGGTCATCACAACCCACCACCCATTTAGATTTTTGTAAATTTAGGGTTCTAATAGGAGAGTTTTCGATATTTTTTTTTTGGTCTTTGACATCACCTGTTTTTGATGACATCAAAATGCAGTAATTAATAAGCGAGAAAAAAAAAAAAAAAAAAAAACCATGGTTTTTACAACTATGTGATCTTTTTGTTTTTTGTCTTTCACAAAAAAAACAAAAAAGAAAAGAATCTAGATTCCACACATTTTGTGATCTATCTACAAAAAAAAAACAATATATAATATCTATATATCTATCTATTTTATTACTAGTTTTGTCGGATGTACATTCCAAATAGCTTCCACCAATAATTTTACGTTTGTCTAATCAAAGAATTTGAAAGAATCTTGCCACCACCACTACTTTCTCGCTTGCATTTGCAAATTCGCACAACACATGACCAACATATCGTTTCAAAATGGAGAAAGAGACTTTCCACCACTACCACCAACATCGCAAAATTTGAATATCAAATTAATTTTGAATGAGATACTCTCTTCATCGAGTTCACCCACCTTAATTAATGTCACAGCAGGTAGTAGCAATAACAGTAACTTCAATCAACATCATCATCATCATCTTAAAAATAGTACAAATACGACTAATATTAACATAACAATAAACAACAATCATGATATTATTCAAAGATTAATAAATGAAATACCAAACTTGGATGATGAAGTAATATTAGATAGTGTTCACCTAACACTCAAAGTATTAAAGGTAATAAATAAATATTATTCTCAAAATATTTTAATTTATTATTATTAATCATAATATGGTTTTTAATAATCTTTATACTAGTATTATCAATCGTATGGCAATGAAGATCTTAAACAAGCGATATGTTCATTGTCAACATCGTCCTCTTCGACTATGAGACTTAGTTGCTGTGATGACATCGATAGGAGTAGAGTGTCATGCAGTGATCTGAAGAGTGTATTGCGCGTCTTTTTGAAGTACGTTATGAAAGTGGTCGGCAAATCGAGTACGATCGTATTGGAATTCTACGATTGCTATCAACAGTTGATGAGTCGTGACGATGCACCCAAGTATCTGAATACACTGATCACTCTTGCAGATAATCATAGTGATAGTCTAGTGATACTGAGGTATTTCCATCATTGGTGTCGGTCAGAGGGAATCGTCGATCATAGAACGATAGCACAACACTACCTTAATCTTTGCCAACACTTTAACAATCATGTACAGTCTCAATGTATCGATTGGATCAACAACGATACCACCATATCCAACAAAATAAGAGCGAGTCTAATCATTCAAATATTAGACAGTAACATAATATCAAACAAACCATTACAAATTTCACAATATCATATATATCATCAATGTATATTTGAGTAAGTATAGGTACATTAATATTCATTTCAATAATCTAATATTGTTATTGTTATTGTTATAGTTTAATTATAGATGATATAGATATTATAAAGAATTGTATATCAGAGAGGAATTTAGAGATTTATCAATATTTTAGTGATAGATTCGAAAGGAGTGAACGAAATCAACGGTTGGTACAATCAAAGATATCGATTAATAGTAATCATCTCGATATCTATTATATGATATTCTATCGTTTTCTTTCACCTGTCGATACGGTTAAGCATTCTTTTTCACTACTTGGTGCAGTTTCAAAGTATTATTTATATTTGGAGATGGAAGACCGCTTGCTACTCTCTAGTGATATGATAGAGTTAATCATTCACCATCTAAATCTACCACCGCTGACCATCGATAGTCTGATGTTACTATGTGTATTCCATCGTCGTTCAATCGCATTGCCAACACGACTGTACAATCATATCCTAATGCTGATAACAGAGACCACTCACACCAGAATAGCCGTAGTGAAACCACTGGAGATGATCAACAGATTCGAAGGAATCGAGCAGTTGATTGCCGATGCCGTTCTCAGTCTGTATCACGCCAACCGCAATGAGCTAAAGATACTGGAACTCCTCTTCCACCTACTCTATGCAGTGTATAATTTCATTCCGACTGGATATACTGCGTCGATCATCAACGATCATCGAGCAGAGTTCAGACAGCTGATGCTGGATAGCCAGGTATTCCTTACCAAACACAAAAAGTTTAATTACTGGATTGACAATGCCATGCATTTCTCGGAGCACAACATCCAGCAGTTTATCAATCATTTCGGTAGTGTCAGTACGTTGATATTCAAAGTTCGATACTCGGCATTACTAGTGGATTTCATCGATAATACACCATCTCCAAATGACTCTATCAAGCATTACATCAAACTTTTGTGTACAGATCTACAGAAGTTGAGCGAAGAGAAATATCAAGAGATACTACAGTGGAAGAATATCGATAATCTCAAATACTTTTTGATAGAATTCTTCCACTCTTGCTATCCTTTGATATTGGTCGAAGTGGTAGCAAGAGATTCCGTCACCTATCGATACATCTTAATGATGTTGGATAAAGTAAATAACAATAATAATAATATAAGCAACAGTAATAATAGTGGTAGATATTTTATATCATCTCTAATCGAACAAATTAAATCATATCAAACAACTACAATCATTTTTAAATATAAAATAACATTCAAAGAGTTTCTGAAATACTTTAATAACAATAACAATAACAATAATAATAATAATAATAATAATATTAATAATAATAACAATAGCAATAATAATAACAAACAACAATCAAATAATACAAATTTACCAAATCTAAGTAGATTAATAATTGGTGAAATTGTTAAATTACTTTTAATTGGTAATGATCAAATGTCAATGAAATCAATTGTAGAATTATCAACAACATCAACACAATTTCACAAGATATGCTCAACTGTTTTATCGAATTATCCGTTGAAAACGATTAGACTTTACAGTAAATTGAATTACATTGGTTCAAAGTATTGCCTATTTCAGACACCTCCGTTACATCTATTCGATAAGGATATTCTTAACCTACCGAATGACGGTACTCTCGAGAGATGTTTAAACAATCTACAGACGATCACTCATTCCATGCAAATGAAACATACTCATCTACATACAATACCACTACCCAGCAGTAGAAAAGTTCAATCTTTGGTTTTGGCGTTACACGACAGTTTCAATTCGAAAGTACATTGTAGAGTTTGGAATCAACTAGTCAAAGATAGTACCACTCAGGAAAAGAAACATTTCCTTCAGCACTATCTAGATAATTATATGACAACAGGTGGTGATGACGACCACCAACTAAAATCTATCAGAGTATTTATAGATTTTAATCCAAAGAATAGGTATAGAGAATGTCCAGTGATGAAAGGCTGTCTTTCGATTCTTAGAGATCTCAGAGTGACACGACCAACAATGGAAATTAGTGTTACTGCCAACATCATCAGTCCAAACATTCTAACTGGGTGCGTAGGTCTCGATGACCTCTCAGTATTAAGTGAAATTACTGTATATACGAGTTCTCTTCCGTCCAACGATGAAATCAATGCAATGTCCAATCTAAACTCACTGAAAGTAATACACAACACCGAGGATGCTTTTGACCATACGCTATTGGATTCATTAATAACCAAAGTCACTCTTAAACATGTCAGCTTCCAAACTCACTATCGATCACTCATTCCTAAAGTATTGATGTATACACTTTATAAAGAGTGGTTAACTTTTAACATTGAAGAATTCCAATAATAAATAAAATAAAATAAAATTGTTGGTAAATTCATTTTAAATAAGCTTATAATACTGACTTGCCAAAACATTTTTAAATTGTTATAATAATTGTAAATAAAAAACATATGATTTCATTTTAAAAAACTCATTTATACTTGATATTTTAAAAGTTATAATGTTTAATCATTTTAAACTTTATCCTTTCTTCGAGTTGTGTTTTTTTAATGTTTATAATAGTTTTCTTAAAAGAACTTTTATATAAAGAAATAAATACCATCAGATTCTTAAATTTTTACATTTCATTACTAGAACAAACAAACTAATAATAAGCACATTTTTACGAATCCATTGATTTATTGAATAAAAAAGATATATTTCTCATTTCGAGATGAATTTAATCAAAGGATATAAATTTAAAAACCGTTTTCAAGGAGGTAATCAACAAGTTTTTCTACATGGAGAGCAGGATTACCTCCTTGTTGTTTGTAAATTCCAATGACAATACATTGACCAGTTTTGGCACAAGCAAAACAGTCTCCACCTTGTCTACCATAGATACTTCTGCCATCGGCCTTAGTACCCGAGTATGTCACACCATCAACGGTTATACCAGAATTAAAAACATTTTGTGGTGATCTGAATAGGTTAGCAAGCTTTTGGCCTTCACCAGGTCTTAAAAAGTTTATTGGACTACATGCCCATACACCACCATCTAAACCAATGATAGCTCCCATTTCAATTTGATTCGAACCAATCAATTGTTCATCAACATAATTCTAATTTTAAAGTTTAAAAGGGAAAGATAATAATTAGAAAACCATTTTTCATTATAGGGACCTTTATAACTTACTTGCCAAGACATATTTATTTTTTAAAATTAATTATTTTGAAAAAAGCACAGTTTACTAATTTTTTCCTGTTCTTTTTAAAAAGAATTTGACACTTTGATTCTCTTTAAATTAATTAATTAAATAAATTATTTAAATTATAGTTTAAAATGGTTTGTAAACTGTTTTTTACTTTTTTTTCTTTTTTTAGTCTGTTCAATACAAAAATGGCTCCAAAACCACTTCAAAAATGCTAAATTTGGACTAATAAACCTTATTTGATTAATTTTCTCAATGATAGTGGGGTAATACTAAAATTATAATTCGAAATAAGGAACATTATATTTACAATCATTTTATATAAATTATTTGTTTGTCAAAAATAAATTTATATTTTCTCACACACAAACATAATTTTGTTTATTAGCAGAATTTAAAAGAAAATCAGAGGAGAAATGTAAAAAACTTTCTACAAATTTCTATTGATTTATTTTGATTTTAAACTAGAAGAAAGAAATTTATATTTCTCATTTCGAGAAGAATTTTAATAACCGTTATCAATGAGGTAGTCAGCAAGTTTTTCTACACAGAGAGCCGCATTGCCTGGTTGTTGTTTTTCGTTGTAATATCCAATGATAATACATTGATTGGTTTTGGCACAAGCAACACCGGTTGCACCCTTTTTACCATAGAGACTTCTTTCGTCTGCCTTGATACCCATGTATTTCACACCACCAATGACAATACCTTTACTAAACGCATTAGATGGGCTTTTATAGAGTTCAACAATATTGGCACCCTCACCAGACTTTATAAAGTCGGATGGTTTTACTCCCCATACACTACCGTCGGCAACACTAAGGATCGCTGCATTTTCGAGGAGACCAGTTCCTATCAATTGTTCATCAACATAACCCTATAATATAGAAAATTTAAATGGTTTAGAAAGAGTAATACAAATAGAATAATATTATCAAAGATTAAATAAAATATCTTACTTGCCAAGACATAATTATATATTGTTATATATTTGTTATAAAATTGTATTAATAATAATGAAGAACTCCTTTTTAATTTCTTATTAATAATCAATCATTTGGTTTAATTTAATCATTTTTAACTATTGGTTAAAAGTTTTGTAAAATGACAAATTATTTTTGTGTTTAAACAAAAATGCTCCCAAATCTCACACAAAACCAGACTTAATTTAGAATATTTATTAACAAAGTCATTTTAAACTACTTTCTTTTGGTTGTTGCATCGCTGTAAAAAAATAAATTCATTGATATTAAATTCGACTTTAGCACACAATAAGTATTAACTACCAATCTCTTTTCAGTTCTGTCTGACTCATTCTTTGTGATTGGCACTCATGTGGAAAATCAACTAGCTAGTTCATCTTGCCAATCTTTGAAATTAATTAAATTAAACAACACAAAGAAAATAGCACAACTATTATTATTATTATTATTTGATTCTTTTTTATTTATATGATAAATACTTTTTGTTAATTTTTACATAAAAAAAAAATGTTGCAAAAATAGGTTGGTGTGAACATTTTGTGTTGGAAAAAGTTGTGTTAATCATTTGTGTGCGACATCGAATCATATTATTGTTCCGAAAATGTCGAGTGAAGGTGAAGATGATGTTGGAGTTTTTGATTTATTTCCACCAAGTGAAGATATAGAGATTTATAAATATAATTTTGGTGATTTAGAATTGAGTATTCGAGGTCAAGAGTAGGTAAGATTTGTCTAAGAACATATGTTGTTTAGTACTAAAGAATTAGATACTAACCTAAGGTGTATTGATCAATCACACATACACACACTCTAAAGACTACAGAATCAGAATATACAACCATCAACAGGTCTTTTGCCTTGGCCAGCAGCATCCATTATGTCATCTTTCATCGCGAAGCATAATGAACTCTTTGTCGATAAGAACGTGTTGGAGTTGGGTACTGGTGTCGGTATATGTGGTTTGATTGCGTCGCGATACGCTCGATCAGTATTGCTCAGTGATGGTGATACAGCAACTTTTGACCAACTCAACAAGAATATCGAGCTGAATTCACATTTATACAATGTAAATGGTCCATCGTCGTCATCGTTGTCACAATCAAAGAAACCTAAAGCTATCAAACTGCGTTGGGGTAAAGATGAAACACTGGAGCAATTGAAATCGGATTTATGTTTTCAACCATACGATATCATCATTGGATCTGATCTTATCTATCAAGATTCAAGCATTGAACCACTTTTCTATACGGTCAACCAACTTCTTGCAGAAACGTCGGATGCTACCTTTTATTTATCGTTTTTAGATAGAAAGAATCATTTACCAACAGTCGAAAGAGTATCTAAACAATTTGGATTCAATGTAAGTTGCAATTAACATTTATTAAAGTTATTACTAAACTATTATTAACATATTATATTATTTATCCATCCCAGCTTATATCAATACCGGTAGATAGTTTTTATAAAGAAAATACATCAATTTCAGGAAAGATGTTTATATTTAAAAAATAAAGTTAAGTTATTTGTTCAAACAAATACTCTCAAATAATAATAAAGTTATTCTTTTAAAAATCGTATTTTAATTTTAATTTCAGGTATTTATTTTATATATATATTTTTTAAATTATGTTATTTCTACATGTCGAAGAGAAGTTTACTTTTTTGTGATTGAAGATCTATACTGTTGTTTTGATTATTGTTGCTTTGATCATCATCACTGTCGTCCATAACTGATGTCGATTGAGGGGCAAAGCTAAAAACATGTTGTTTACCACCTCCACTATTAATTGAGTGATTATTATTATTACTATTACTTTCTTCGTCAGAGTCGTAAAGTCCTGGGAATCTTGATCCCTGACCGTCGTCTTCAATTTCAAACTTGGGGAGCATCTTGTATCTGGCGACTCCCGATCTATAACGATGACGGATGTACCATGCAGCCAAACCAATGACAAGAGCGGCGGCAACTAAACCGGCGATAACCTCGAGTGCAACGATTGCTGATGATCCATTCTTCTTACAGTCACCTCCGCTGTAGCCTGGCGCACAGTTCTGGCAGTTCTCACCTTCGTAGTTCGATGGACAGACACAGATACCTTGGGTATGATCGCACGATCCCTTACCACAACCACCTTCGCAGTTAAAGTTTGGTGTGCAGTATGGGAAGTTCTTGTAACCGACGTTACAGGTCTGACAACGGTTACCAGAGTATGCCTTGTTGCAGTGACAGATGGCATTACCAGTGTCGTCAGCAGAGCATGCTCCGATTGGAGTACAGTTGGTACCGGCAGTTCCTGGCAAGCAACCGCAAATGTCGTACGATGTGCATGGATTCTTGATACAGATGACTTGTCCAGCCTTATTCTTCTCCATGTAACCTTGGTCACAAATGTTACAGGTAGTTCCGACGTAACCGAGCTTGCATTGACAGGATGGATCGACGAATGCACCGTTTCCAGAGCAGGTTGTGTCGATGGTTGAATATTGGTGGAGTGGTGGGAGGACGGTGTTGGCACCAGAGTCATCAAAGAGATAACCTGGCATCAGTCCGAGGAGGTAGTTCTTTGAGGAACCAAAAGCAGAACTAAAGGTGAGAGTCCATGTGAGGGCGTCGTCCGTTGTGCAGACAACATTGGTTGGGTAGAAAGTTGGTGTAATTTGGTTGTCACTCAAATAGAATGCCTTCTTGAGCAAGGAGGTACCGTTGTTGCAACCAATCAATGCCTTGTTCGAGTTGTACAATGGTTCAGAGAATGTGATCGACAATGGCAATGCTTTGTTTGGTGACAAATTGACGGCACTTGCTGGCACGACCGATCCAATGTAGACGGTCTTGACGTCGAGGATAGTCAACGAGTAGAGGAATGGGAAACAGAGATCACCATAGATGGAAGCATTGACAATTTGTTGTGCCAATGGTGGATGGTTGATAACCAACACGTAGTCTCCTGGTCTCAAACGTGGATTGATAAGAGTCTGGGTGAGTGTGGTGAGACCGGTGGTGTATTGCGATGACCAATCACCAACTCCGATTTGACTGAGCGATGTGACATTGTTCTTATCGGTAACCTTTTGGTAGATAAAGAGGAGGAAGTTGCTGGCATCAGAGTAGTAACTGAACATGGCTTCGACGTGCGAGTAACGAGTGATTGAGAAACTGACATTGTAACGGAATCCAGAGGCATATGTATTTCTTGCGAGATAGTCACCAGAGAAGAAGGAATTGACATACTCGGTGGCCGATCCGTATTTGTCTGGCACGATGACAGACGATGGCATTGGGTTGGCAGTTTGTGGACAAGCGAGATCACCATAGATACGAGCCATTGGTTTAATAACGACTTGCATCTCGTACGATGGACACATGTCACGGACACGACCATTGTATTGCATGTTCAAAGTGTATGGTATTCCTCCATCGGTACGATCGATTGGACCGGCCATGAACAAAGCGGAACGTTGATTGTTGTTACGACTACCAGTGTTGTAGACAATCGATTGCATGTTTTGGTTGTTGTCATAGACATCGTAGTCAATGGTGACAACGGTATTCTCCTTGGTGTAGACGTTGATGAGTGATTGCTCCTTGAGTAACATGGCAATGTTGAGGGTGGAACGAGTCTGTGGAATGAGGAAAGTGTTACCAAACATGTTGAGAGTTCCAGAACCATCGATTGGACCACCGAATGGCTTGCTACCACCGTCTAAGCTACTCAAATCCCATGGAGTCAAGTCAAAGAGTGAACAATCGGTGTGGGTGCTGCTGGAGGCATCGTTGATAATCAAAGTGAGATGGTATGGAGTGCAATGAGCCTTGAAAGCACCGGATGGGAACGAAGAAACAGTCGAGATGAGCAAGGTGTAGTCACCTGGTTGAATCATTGCATTGATCTCAACGACGTTACGGTTGCTCTTACCATAAATGACTTGGCTTGGATTGTCGTTTCTCTGGAATTCCATATTGAGATCGGCCAACAAGAATTGGAATCCGATTTGAGCGTAGAATAAGCTTGGTACTTGAATGGAGAATGGAATGCTAATGATGTTTCCGTCCTTGGCCATGTCTTCAGCAGAGATAGTTTGAATGTCGTTGAACATGTAAGAGTTGGTGTTGGATAGGACTGGTGCTGGTGAGAGTGTGTTACAATCGACAGAGTAGGGGATGGAATCAATCTCTTTGGCGACTTGATCGAATGGTTGAATGACGAGTTCAAGATCGACGGCAGTGGCATTGTTGAATTTTGTAAGGGCTGGTTGTCCAATGGCAAGAATGTACTGAGTTCCAGCTCCGGATGGAGTGAGAACGGCTGTCATAGCACCGTAACTTGATTGTTGAGTGGTAAGGGTGATGGCTGGTACCATAACAGTGTTATAGGTATCGGATTCATCCACTGGAAGAATAGATGCTTGTACTCTTACCAATGACTTGGTAGTAAGAGTAAAGGTAAGTTGATTATGACTTGGAACACCGTCGTACATTTGATATTCTCCTTGGAGATGAATACGGTTGTTGTATTTGAGAAGTGCATAGGTATCGAGAGTTGGTGGTAAGATATGGAGGAATCCATCGGCTTGATCGATAGAACCGGCTTGTTCAATCAAGATCTCAAAGTTAAAGAAGGAACAACCCATGATTGATTTCAACGATTGGTAGGATTCATAGATGTAGAGAGTGTATTGTCCTGGAGCTAAACCGACGATATCCAACATGTTACGATTGGGTCTGACGACACCATAGGTAGTCTTTTGTCCGGCAACCTTTGGAACCAATTTCAATGAGAGATCACCAGTCAAGAAATCGTATCCGACTTGAGCGTGGAAGTTAGAGGTCTTGGTGACAGTAAATGTCATGGCGTGAGATGCAAGACCAGAGGTTTCTTGTTGGTAGAACAAGTTGTTGTTGGAATCGATAGAGTTGTAGTAGAAGGACGCTGGGAGAGTAGATGGAAGATCAGGTGGCCAGAAATCTTGACCAGCTCCTGGACAAACATCATCCAATGGAGTGGCTGGAGCAATTGCAATTTCCATGTTAAAGTTATTGCAAGTTGGGACATTCTTACCCCAACGCCAGTATTGAATGACAAACAAGTATGGATAGTTCTTTTGGAGGCTGGTAATGAACGATTCCTCAGAGTTGATACCGTTGCTACCGGAAACAACAACTTGGTTGGTAGATGGATCGACAATCTTGATATCGACATCAACGAGATTTGGTGAGGTGTAGACTCTCATGATAGAGGGAACTGGTACTTGGAATGGAATCTCTGATTTCGAGAACATGTTACCGGTGTATGGAACGACAAAGTTGCTTGATTCATAGTGCATTCTACCTTCCACACCGAGGAAACGGATCGAATTCAAAGAGAGTGGGACGTGTTCACCTGGACAGAGTTGAGCCATTGCCAATGGGAGAACATTGAGCTCATATTCGAATGGAACACAATCGAGACCGGTCACAGTACGTGGAGTTGAGATACGCTCGATCTTGATGATGTAGGTACCTGGGTCGAGGTTGACATTGATCGAGTTGTAGTTGTAGTCGTGGAAACCGCTGACAAACAACTTGGATACACCCTTGGTGGTTCTGTAGAGATTGACACGGAGGTCACCACGAAGGAAGTCACTGGCGACAGCTGTGTAGAGATTGAGTATTTGTGTGGTGGTCAAAGAGTACATAGCAATCACTTGTTTGGTTCCGAAAGAGTAGTAGGTACCCTTGGTCGTTGTAGCATTCTCAAAGATGTATGGAATACGAATGTTGATTTGTGGGAGAACGTCTTGGTTGTTCGATGGACAGTTTGGTGGGTATGTTGGAATCAAGTTGGTAGCTGGCTCGATGGCAATCTCAAGATTCATGAGTGGACAGAATTTGGTGGAAGTGGCAACGTAGTCAGTGTCAATCTCCAACTGGTAGTTACCGGCAACAACCTTTTCAAAGATGGTGCTGGCACTTTGGATATTGATCTTTTGGTCGAGGTTGTAGAGAGTGATATTGATGGTTGCCTTGTCTTGCTCAGCAACGATACGGATTACACTGTCGTATCTGAGGGTGAAGTTCATGGTGTTGTGTTGAGTGTTCATGAGATAGGTGTCTTGGATGTGGAGGTAGTCATTGTTGATAAATTCTGATGAGTCGAGACTGGCTGGGAGAATATCACCGTCGCAGTTGAAGAACGACTCGTCGTCGTAGACAAAGTTGATATCAATGAACAAGTCAAAGAGTGCACACTGCATGTTGTACATTTGATCTGGAGCATAGACAAACAATGTGTAGTTTCCTGGTTGAAGAGTGGCGTGAAGAAGATTACGATTGACTTCATTGTCACCGAATACACAACCTGTGATACCGGTTTGGTCACCTCCCTTGCATTTTGGATCACCGAATCCTGTTTGCAAAACGAGTGAGAGATCACCTTGGAGGAATTGGTATCCCATGATAGCATCAAAGATGGCAACTTGACCGGGCTTTGCGGACTTGACTGTGAATGTAGTGTTCCAGAGGTAGACTGCATCCTTGCTAGTGGTGTATGGGATAGAGTAGAGAGTTCCTGGGTCAGAGTAGGTGTAGTCATCGGTGACAACCGATGGGATGGTGTTGGCGGGTGGCAAGCTTGCTTTTCCACATGGCCAGTTGGTCATATCGTTGGCGAGGTTGGCAGTGGTATCAATCGAAAGTTCAAGGTTGAAAGTTTCACAGTCCAACTTGATGTTCTTGTCCCACAAGTAATACTTGAATTGGAGAACGTATGGACCGGCTTCCAATGTCTTGAAGATTACTTCTTCGTGTCCAAAGGTGATGGAACGATCGATCAATTCCAATGGCTTACCGTCATCACCGACACTGTAGAGCCACAAGTCGATATCGGCACGATGTGGTTCAGTGTAGACACGCAATACCGATTGTTCTTTCAATAAGAAGAGAGTGCTGTGTGATCCAGTGTTGATGTCCAAGTAGTAGTTGTCTTGAATGTGTACACGGTTGTTAAAGGCGAGATACTCGGTGGAGTTGAGGTCGACTGGGAGGAGTGGTGCGATACAAAGAGTACCACGATCGTCGTCACTCATTGTACAGTTTGGATAACCGGTGTATCCATAGTCACAGGAGCTACACATTGAACCGATGTCGGTGGTAGTGTAACCGGTGGTACATTGACACTCTGGATAACCTTCGTCGGCATTACATCTTCCGTGTCCGTTACAGTCAGCGTTGTTTGGAGCGCATGGAACGTTGACGGCACAGCTATTTCCAACACCGTGGTAACCGGCCTTACACTTGGAACAGTCTTTTCCGGTCCATGGATCGTTACACTGACAGACAAAGTCACCCTTTGGAGTGGCCAAGCAGTCACCGTGGTTCGAACATTGACAGACAAACATATTGTAGAGATGTACAGCGGTGGTGTTCTCGTCTGAGAACTTCTCATTGTCGGTAGTTACAAAGTCAGAGGCGTCAACTGACAACTTCCAGGCGGACGATGCATTGACTGGGAAGAAACTGACAACAAGAGTGGTCTTGTCGTTACGCTTCAAGGCGGCACTGCTTGGTGTGATAGTGAGACCGGTGGTAGTGGTCGATGTCAACAGCACAGTACGCTTGCTGGTGATGTAATCCAACAAAGATTGAGTACCATTGTAAAAGACTTGCTCAGAGAAACGAACGTTTACAGTGATTGGAAGATTTGGATTCAAGTTCCAACCGCCTGGTGGCAAGACACCCAAGACTCTTGGTGGCATTCCGGTAGCGAACGATTGTCCGACAAGGTGGAAACTGAAGAAATGACAGGCATTGGTGATGTTGAATGAATTGATCTTCATATTCTCTGTGATATCGAGGAAGTAGTTACCGGTTGTCAAATTGTATTGAATGATGTTGAGGAAGTTGTAGGCAGTGTCGGTGGTACGTGGCAATGTGTTGGTACCGGTTGAGAGCTGAGTGGTCGAACCATCTTGGTTTCTCGAGTACAAGATCATATCCATGTCGTTGTCGAGGAAGTCGAATCCGACTTCGGCGTAGATCATGGTGGTCGATGGAACTTCGAGAGACATACGATAACGGAAGATGTCGTTCTTGACGTTACCGTTGATACGAGCGGAACTAAAGAGATAACCGTCGGAACCAATGTTAACATCCTTTCCATATTGGAACTCGATGGTGTCTGGTGGAACTTGGTCGACTTCGTTTGGCATTGGCGATGGACACAACATGTCGTCTTGCAAGTGCTTGACGGTTTCGATTGCCCATTCAAAGTGGAGAGTGTTACAGGTCTGCTTGTTGTTGATTCTCATAAAGTTGACGTCGAGGGTGTATGGTGTGGCTTGTGGTTCGATACGCCAGAGGGTCGATTCGACGTTGGAGCTAGAGTAGGACGAGTAGATGAGTGATGCTGGATCACTGGCGTTCTTGTAGACAAAGAAGTCGATATCGTTGTTTGGCGATGTCTCGGCGTAGAGACGCATGTATACCGGTTCAGTTGGAACCATGAAAGCAATACGGTTGTGTTTGTACATTGGATCCTTGGAGAGGAAGAAACGTGAACCTCTAAAGACAATCTCACCGGCTGCGTTTTGTGGACCACCGTATGGAAGACTTCCACCCTTGGTGCTGAAGAGATCCACTGGGAGGAGGTTGGTGGTATCACATGGAGTGACATCTGGAGTGGTGGTGTTCAAGTAGTAGCTGAGTTGGTAGCTGGAACAAACGAGACCGAGGATTGGATTCTTTGCTCCGGACTTGTCGTACACTGTCAATTGGTAGGTACCGGCTGCGAGAAGCTCACTAAACAATGCTTGTCCACCTTGGTAGAGTGGATAGAGAGTCTTTACGACTGGCTTACCATTGATGGTGGTTGTCGAGTTGAGTTTCATCATCATCGATGTCACCAAATCGTTGTATTGCAACGAAACATTGAGATAGGCAGCACCAGTAATGCTAAAGGTCATTGGCATTGGTTGGAGTGGGAATTGGGTAGCACGATAGAACACTTGTGAGTAGTTTTGGTTTCCAACGATTTGTGTTGGAAGTGTAGCAGTGTTGGGGCAAGCGGTAGTGATCGATGGAATAGCGAGGAGATTGTCGACCTTCTCAATGGAGATGAAAGCAGTGATGTAGGTGCAGTCCTCAACTTGTGGAAGTGGTCCATTTTGTCCGTAGTATGTAAACTTGATGATGTAGTTGCCGGCTGCCAATTGGTCGTAGATGAGCTCCTCACCGCTACCACGAGCGTAGTCGATTGGAGTCTTACCACCTTCGACTGTGAGAGTAAAGTCGACGTCTACAGTTGGGTGGAATGGTACGTAGATACGGAGAAGCGATGGCTTGGCGAGGGTGAACTTGACAATGTCGTTACCGGCCAACACGTCAACGAGAACCTTTTGTTGGAATGACAATCCACCGTCGGTAAGAGCCGACATGTATCCGATCGAGTTGAAGGTTTGTGGGAAGAGCAAACTGTCACAAACGATTGTGTCTTGGTTGACTTGAGTGTCGTCGACCATCTGAATCGCAACGTCCAATGTAAAGTCGACACAGTTGTTCAAGACAACAGCAGAGTTGGCGTTGGTTGCCATTGGCTCGTAGACAGTGAGAATGTAGTCACCCGGTGTCAAAGCTCTCGGGAGGATATCGGCACGGTTGTAACCGAGCGACGAGTAAGTGATGACGGTTTGGTCGGATTTCTTCAAGGCGATGGCCATGTCGTTCCAGACAAAGTCGTAGTTCAAGATGGCACGGAACAAGGCAGTGTTTCCATTCTTGGTGGTTGGCACGCTGAATGCAATGTCCTGTGAGAATGTCTGGTTGACTTGGGTGAATCTGAAGGTACCGTTGACACGGACTGGCTCCAATGATGCGTCGGGGATAAAGTTGGCTGGTGGCAAGATGCTGGTGCACTTGTCCTTTGGATTCTCAGTGGTTGGGGTGATGGAGAGTGCAGCTTGGTAGGTGTAGCAAGCTTGGTTGTCAGTGACGAATGGCCAGTGGTAGAAAGAGGTTTGCAAACGATATTGTTTGTCTGGCTGTACGACGTACTCGAGTGATTCCTCACCGTTGAAGTTGTTACTCCAGGCGACCTTTGTCTTTCCTTCGTAGAGGGTGATGTCAATATCGATGGAGGCATCCTCAACGAATGCACGGAAGATCGATGGGATGGTGACGGTGAATGCTGTGTTTTGTGAGGCGGTAATCAAGGTGATGGGTGGCACCAAGAACTCATCGGTCAAATGGATCGATGTTGAGGTGAGCAGATAACCTGGGGTGTTCAAATTAGTGGGGAATGGGAGATTGCCAAAGCATGGGTCGCTCTTGTAGGTGAGTGAGACCTTCAAGGAGTAGAGGATGCATGGTGGCAGGAAAGTTGGATTCTTTGAGGTGAGTCCGGTCATGATGGCGAGCGTGTAGGTACCGTTCTCGAGTTGCACAAACAGGTGGTGAGAGTTACGCGAGTGGTCACCCAAGATCAAGGTTGGCTCGACGTTGTCGTCATCTGGATCGGGTACGGAAACAATGGCGATACGCATATCACCGAGGATAAAGTTGGAATCCATCTCGACATACAAATAGCTGGTTTTTGAGACGGTGAATGTCTGGTTGGTAACGGTGGCCTGTGAGGATTGACCGTTGAACATGAATTGGTAGGTTACTGGTGACGCTGTATTGAGGTTGTACACCTTGTTGGCATCGATGGCATCTTGAATTCCAGAGAGATCCGGTGAGATATTAGTGGTGATACCGTCGCAGTAGTTAAGCTCAGTGTAGTCTGTGACTGGAGCAATGGCAAACTCCAAACTAAAAGTATCACAAAAGACATCGATATTCTTTCCAAAGAATAATACCTTGAAATTGTAAGTACCTGCTTCCAATAAACCTGTAATCTCTTCTTCTCCACCCCATTTAAATGATGACATGACAACTATTGATTTTATAAATGAAAAATGTAAATTAATATGACATTTTTCTTCATAAAAAAAAACACTTACTTCCTGTGGAATTTGAGATTTGAACATCAATATCTACTCTATGTGATGGGATATATACTCTAGCATAACTTTGTTGTTTAATTGTAAACTAATATATATATACAAAAAGAAAGTTAGTTATGTTATGTTATGTTTGATATTGGATGTTTGTTTGTTTGTTTGATAGTTACGCTAACATTGTCGGAACCAGTTACCAAGTCTAAGAAGACATCTTCATCATAATAGAGATATCCTAGATCGTCGATATAACCTGGTGCGTTGAATGAATCTGGAAGGGTTTGAGCGTTACAGTTCAAGATGGTTTCGGTTTCGTGTGCCGATTCAATGTCGATTTGCAATGAGAATGGTGTGCATGGTGGCATGATCGATGCATCCTTCTCTTGAGTTTGATCGTACAAGTAGAGAATGTAGTCACCCGGTGTGACAACAGTCTTCAAAGTCGAGTGATCCTTTGTTGTGTGAACACCAATAGTACAGTTTCCTGCTTTAATACATGCGAATGATGTCGGTGCTGGTGTCTCTGCATCTTGAATCAATAAACTAAATAAGTGAGTGAGTTTAAAAAGTTAGTTAACTTGCTTGTTTCTTCATCATCATCATCATCATTGTTATTCTCTTCATTTCTCAGTTCAGTCTTACCCTAATGAACCACCAGTTAAAAAGTGGAATCCCATTGTTATTTCGATACCCCATTTGTCGGTGGAGATGACACCCTTTGGCAAGGTGAATGGGTATTGTTGGAAGAAGGTAATATTGTTTCTTCCTGGTGCGATGGTGTCGATGACATTAAACAATGTACCAGCTTCGTCAACATCGGAATCATATCTGAATGTTCCCTTATCGAAATTGAATTGAGGATTTGGGAATGTTGATTTTGCTGGACAATTTAAATTTCCTGTTCTACTTTTAATAGTATCCTAAAAATAACGAAAACAACAACAATAACAGTTAATAACTTTGACAATCAACCATTTGTAAATCAATCAGAATACATACGGTTGGTGTAATTGCAGCTTCAATTGTTAAAGTTGGACAATCTAAATTCTTTGCTTTGATAACAGAGAAGAAGAGTAATCTGACTTTATAATCACCTGCTGGTAGATCTGCGTAGATAACTTCATCTGCACCTGGTGTTGCATCTGCTGAATGCTAGTAGTAATATGAATAATAATAATGATAATATCATTGTTAGATTTATTTGTTATTTATAAATAGATTTGTATGTATGTATGTATGTTGGTGTTATACTTACGGTAATTGGTGCTTTATTGGCACCACTGTTTGGGTATAACCAAATGTCGACGTCGACAACGTGTGGAGCGACGTAGAATCTAAAGGCAGATGGAGTATCGAGTGTGAAGTACATGTCTTTGGTGAATGATTTGAAATCATAGTAAAATGTATTTAAGAAATGCATCTCCTGGTTGAAATCCAGGTAGGTGATCGAATTAAAGTTGAGAGGCAGCGGTTGGTATGGACATGACTCGTCGGATGTCAATGTTTGTGATCTATTGGCAGATACTAATACCGCTAGAATCAAAAACAAGGTAACGAACATTCCTCTCACCATTTTGAAATCTGTTGACGATGAGGGTTTATTGTTCATAAACCTGTGTAGTTTTTTTTAAAAAATTATAATTATTATTTATTAATATTAAATTATATTACAATTTTATAATATTATTGTTTGTTTGTTGTTGTTGTTGTTGCTTATTATTATTAATATTTCAAGTCAAACATCAATAACTATCTAAATCTATCTGTTAATCTTATCTAAATCTATCTATCTATTATTATTATTCTAACTCTATATTATCTATCTATCTATCTAACAATCTTATTTTATCAAAGTCGACTTTGATGAATGAAAATATGATATTACAGGACAAACAAACAAACAAACAGGTTCAGGTCGATGTTAATGATAATTTTTTTAAAAATAAAAAAAATTTTAAAAATTAAAAAATTATTAAGGTGTGAATTGACTAACGAATTGACAAAGTAAAGCGTGTGAATTGTCTTATTTTTGTTTACAACAAACACAACACGAAAACAAAGAAAAACAGGGAATGAATGAAAGGAAAGATAAAAGGAAACAGAGTACTGGTAATATCAACAGTACAGTAAAGTTCTTCGTTCTTTTGTTTTAATTAATTTTTTTGTACTGACTTTATAAGTGTGTTTGTTGGATTTCAATTATTATTATTATTCGGTGGAAATGTTCGACCTCTGACTTTGAGTGGAACAAGCAAGATCTATTTTTTTTTTAATAATAATGAGAGCTTTGTACTTTATAAAAGTGTGGTGGTGTGTGGGGAGGTGTTTATTTCGAAAATGGATACCCTCTTTAAAAAAAAATTTTTTTTTTTTTTTTTTTTTAGGTTTTCAAGATATGCAAGGTGGTTGGTTGTTTATAACAATAATAATTATAAAAATACAATCTCTCGATTTTAGAGTTACAAATATGATAATTAAAAAGAGTTGTTGATTGAGAATCGATATTTTTTTTTTTTTTTGAAATGAATTCAATTGATTGGGCTATGATATGATTAATTAAAATTAAGAGATCCAATATCCTGTAATATTTATTACTCTCTCTCTCTCACTGGTCAATATTAATTAACCAACTGAATCAAAATTAAAACAAATAATAATTATATTTATATATTTATAGACTCTGTATCATTATTTTAATTCCCTGGTATTGAAATTTCCAAATAGTTTTCATCCAAACTTTAAAAAAAAAATCAAAATATTTCGAAAACTGACTTTTAATTCTGTGTATCAGTCTGTTTTTTTTTTTTATCGATTTTTGCTGGTTTTGTGTTATATTAAGTCTATCTAATCTACTATACTGTTTTGATTTGATGTTTGTTTGATTGAACTGATTGTTTTTATTGTTGGTTGTTATTTTATAGGTATCTAAATTCTTACCTCATTGTATTTATAAAAGTAGTATATAAATACTATAATTATAATATCTAGCTAGAAAATAATAATTATTAATGATAAATATATACTACTAAATATATAATATAATGATATATCTTTATTTATTACAATAAAGTACAATGAAAATAATGAAAAGTAAATAGAGAATTGAAAAAACCTATCTAATTATTTTTAAAGTACTATTATTATTATTTCAATAAAATAACTGAAAAAAAAAAAAAAAAAAAAAAGAATATTTGAATTGAAGTTTTTGTGAGTGTTGGTTTTAAGGGGGTGGTGAGGACTTTGGTCTTGCATGTTAGATGCACTGCAGTTTGTGAAGAGCCCGCCTATGAGTGTGAGGTGCACCACCACATGAAAGAGCTCAAAAAACAAAAATAAAAAACAATTTCAAAAACAAAAAAATTAAAAATAAAAATAATTTTTTCAAAAACAGAGTTTTGACCAAAGACTTTGTATGGCATGTCGTTTTTTTCGTTAGAATTTTCTTCACCCACCCAATTATCAATTGATTCACACAACACAGTTTACCATCCACAATAATTGAAGTTAACTGATTAACATAAAACTCATTTTATTTTGTTTAGACTCTCATTATGCTCAGATTTTTTTCAAAAGTCTTGCTTGATATTAAAAACGATATTTATTTTAAATATTTAAGTGGTCTATGATATCATTTATTTGCAACGTTTTATATGTTCACGAAATTAATGGACTAACTAACCATTCACAAATAAAGAGATTTTAAATCATTAATTACTATTCATATGAGAGATATATTAATTAAATAGATAATAGTATTTTAATTTCAATTTTGGATAAACATGATTTACAAATATCTATTTTTATTTTATTCTACGGCTACCAGATACTAGATATTTTTGAAAAAGAGAATGCTTCAATTATAAATGGGCCAAATACTTTATCATCTGGGGTGGGTGTAACAGTAAACTTAACGAGAAAGAAGTAAGCAATTAATTGGTGATTGCCCAATCAACAAAATTCCGGTTACCAACAAAAAGTTTGCAAAAAAAATATCTAAATATCTAATTTATGTAGTTGATTGAATTAAAGTAGTATTATTATTACTTTTTTATTTAATTACTTTATTTTTTAGCTGGATAAGAACATCCAAACAAGAGATTTTAGCTTAAATATATGATATTTTTAGATAAATAAACATTAATACAATATGAATATATATAAAATCAATATATTTATAAAGAGAGACAAAAACAAACATTATTTTAAAAAGTTAACTTTTCTATAATTTGTATTATTATTATTATTTATGTTTGTAATAAGTCTTTGTTCTTTAATTTTTATGCTTCTTTTTCTTCATGAAAACGGGCATTTATTTTTGAATGAATTTTTTTTAAAATTTAAATTTTCATTGTTTTGGGAGTGTGTTTAGTGATCAGCAGAAACTCCACTCGAAACTAAGTAATTTTTCATAATTTATATTGTTGATCAATAATATCACACCTAACACAATCAGTATCAATTCAATTTAAGATATAATATTATATATTTAATCGTAGATTAGCAATAGATCTGATTTACTAGTGATTTTATTTATTGAAAATCTAAATTGTATAATAGAAAGATAGAAAGTTAGAATATATAGTTTTGTGTTAGCTTTGATTCTATAAAGACAGAGTTGATAATAAAGTAATCATGTTATCGACTTCATCAACAACCTTAAAGAATGTTTGTAAATTAGTATCAAGTAACAATGGTAATAGATCGTTTCCGATAAAATCAAAATCAAATCAATCATTCAATCAATCAATAAATCGATAATTCGATAACTCGATAACTCGATCTATCAGTAAATCTATCAACAATATGCTATTATAGCAATATTATTTATAATAATATTGTTATAATATATAATGGATTACATTATACAATAGTATTATAATGAACATAATAATATTAGATGTTATAATAGTAATAGAAACTACATGTAAATTCATGAATCTACATAATAATTGTTGTTTTATGAAAAAGTGTTCATATAGATTATTATTATTATTGACTCTGATGATAGATATATCAATAATATAATTTAATATAAAAGTAAAAGTAAGAAATATAATACTAATTGTTGTTTATTTTTTAGTAGTAGTTGGTAGTGCATTGGTTAATTATACAACAGCAGCAGCAGGTGGACCAACTCCACAACAACAAGTTCAAAATGCATCAATTAAAACATATGGTGGATTGAAAGATCAAGATCGTATCTTTACAAATCTCTATGGTGAGCACGACGTCTATTTGAAAGGTGCTGAGAAAAGAGTAAGTTAAAAAATCAATCAAATTAGAATTAAAAAGAAATATGAAATTAATAAATTGATTGATTATTATTATATTTTTTTTAGGGAGATTGGTATAGAACAAAAGATATTATAGGTAAAGGTAAAGATTGGATTTTGAAAGAGATGATGGCATCTGGTCTTAGAGGTCGTGGTGGTGCAGGTTTCCCATCGGGTTTGAAGTGGTCTTTTATGCCAAAGCAATCGACTGGTCGTCCACAATACCTGGTGATCAACGCTGACGAGGGTGAGCCTGGTACCTGTAAAGATCGTGAGATCATGCGTCACGACCCACACAAGTTGATCGAGGGTTGTTTGATTGCTGGTTTCGCCATGCGTGCATGCGCCGCCTATATCTATATCCGTGGTGAGTTCCATCACGAAGCCAAGGTCCTCGAGAAGGCCATCGACGAGGCCTACAAGGCCGGCTACCTCGGGGCCAACGCCTGTGGAACTGGCTACCACTTTGATGTCTACGTGCATCGTGGTGCCGGTGCCTACATCTGTGGTGAGGAGACCGCGCTGATCGAGTCGCTCGAGGGCAAACAAGGAAAGCCACGTTTAAAGCCACCCTTCCCAGCGATGTCCGGTCTCTACGGTTGTCCAACCACCGTCACCAACGTCGAGACAGTCGCCGTTGCACCGACCATCTTGAGACGTGGTGGTTCGTGGTTCGCCGGTTTCGGTCGTCCAAAGAACAGCGGAACCAAGCTCTACTGTATCTCAGGTCACGTCAACAACCCATGCACCGTCGAGGAGGAAATGTCGATTCCATTGCGTGAGTTGATCGACAAGCACTGCGGTGGTGTCATCGGAGGTTGGGACAACTTGCTCGGTGTCATTCCAGGTGGAAGTTCCGTCCCTGTCATTCCAAAGGACATCTGTGACGACGTTCTCATGGATTTCGACGATTTGAGACGTGTTCGTTCCGGTCTTGGAACTGCCGCCGTCATCGTCATGGACAAGTCGACCGACATTATCGCTGCTATCGCACGTCTCTCGAAATTCTATAAGCACGAATCGTGTGGACAATGTTCACCATGTCGTGAAGGTACCGGTTGGCTATGGGATATCACCGAACGTCTCGTAACTGGTGACGCTAAGCTCGATGAAGTAGATATGCTTGAAGAAATCTCACGTCAAATTGAAGGTAACATTATCACTTAATATAAGATTTATATGAATTTTGAATAATTATTTTCTGACACATTCTCATTATAGGTCACACCATTTGTGCACTCGGAGATGCTGCTGCTTGGCCTGTACAGGTAATTATCAATCAAAAAACCACCATAACTTTTCAAATTTTCATTTTTTCATAATATTAACTTTTTTTTTTTAAACATATTACAGGGTTTGATTAGACATTATCGTCCAGAGATTGAACAACGTATCCAAGACTTCCAAGCAAATAAGAAACAATCACCATTCTAAACTACACATATAATATTATCAAATCATTTTAAAAATCAAACTTTATATACAAAATACCATACAAACATAATAAATTCTTGAAATTTTAAAAACTTAATTACTTTATTATAACAAAAAAAAAAAACCCCTATTAATTGATTCATTTCATTTTTGATTGGTATTTTGTGATTTCTCGAATTTGGAAGTATTTATAGTTTTAATAAATCAAATATTTTTTACTTAATAGGAAATTACCTTGTAAAAAATAGGTTTTAAAAAGTGATTGATAATATCTTCTTTAGAATGTGACGATAAATACCAATTTACTAGTAAAGTTTTTGAGGTGATTCCTTTCTAACCAAATCTAGGATTTCATCCTATTTCAGAAATTTCATGAATCGAATCTTAAGAGTTGATTGTGTTGAAATGAATATGAACTTTGACGTTGATATTTTTATTATAGCACCATTAATGTTTTTTTATAAGCAAATCTATTTTTATGAATCGTTATCAAACTAACTTTACAACTTTTAATGTTTCTATGTTCCCCATCACTCAATCATATATGATTCAAAATTAGAATCCTCTTTCCCAGATTTCCTATTTGGAATTGTTTTTTTACTTTTATAAGCAAAATCTGTATATTGATTAATAAATTACTTTATCTATTTTGAAAATGAATGACATAATAATTTAGTATTTATTTCTAAACTCACAAATTTTCATCAATGAAAAAATAAACCCGAAATTTTGCAAAGAGTCTTCCAGATATTTTATTTTTATTGTAACCCCAAAAGATTGGCAAATGATCAAAATATTCTTATAAAATGCTGTTTATTTTTAAATTTCTATTTATATCAATGTTCAATACAAATAATCAGAATAATAATAATAAATATAAATGGAAATTGAAATGAATGAGAATAGTGATCATCACGATCCTATTGGTAAAACGATTGGTACTAATGAATCGACCAACTTTGCAAATCGAATCGATTATACCTTTAAATCAATCAACCACTACGTAAATGTGGTCGAGAAACGTGAAGGTAAAAATGTAAAGACCACCAAACAGATCTTACATGATATCAATGGAACAGTGAAGGCAGGTGAGATGCTTGCAATTATGGGTCCTTCAGGAGGTATGTAAACTCAATTTCAAAAAAAAGTATTCTTATCATTTCACTCTAAACAAACTCAATTATATTTAATAATAGCTGGTAAGACAACACTTTTGGATATCTTGGCTCATAGATTGGTAATCAACGGAACCGGAAAATTAATGATGAATTCCACTGCCACTCCTTACAAGGTATTCAAAAAGTTGAGTGGTTATGTCACACAATCTGATACTCTCACAGCCGCCATGACCGTTAGAGAAACACTAAGTTTCTATGCTCAACTTAAAATGTCAAGAGATATCTGTATGTATTTGTTTTTCTTTGTTTTAGTAATGATTTGAAATTAATTTGAAAAGATAAACTATAGCATATGAAGATAAAATGAAAAAGGTTGAAAGTGTTATTAGTGAAATGGGTTTGAAAAGATGTGCCAACACTCTGGTCGGAAATGATAAAATCCGTGGAATTTCAGGTGGTGAAAGAAGAAGAGTAACCATCGCTATTGAGTTGCTTACTGGTCCAAGTGTTTTGTTCCTCGATGAACCGACGTCGGGTTTGGATGCCTCTACTTCCTACAGTGTCATCAAAGCCATTAGAAAGCTTGCCAATTCCGGTAGAACTGTTATCTGTACTATCCATCAACCTAGATTGAATATCTACGAGCTTTTCGACAAACTATTGTTGTTGGGAGAAGGTGCCACCATCTACAATGGCGATGCTAGAACCGCTGTTAATTACTTTAACGAACTCGGTTATGAATGTAATGCAAAAACCAATCCTGCAGACTTTTTCATGGATTTAATCAATACACAAATTGAGGATGACGACGAAGATGATACTATTTCCAATATGGAAAGTAATAGTCAGAGAGCAAAGAAATTAACACCGGAGGAGATTATCAGACTTAAGAAAGTTTATTCAGAGAGTGCTGATTGTCAACACTTGAAACAGTCAATCGAAGAATTGGAGAGACATCCTCAGAAGGAGATCACCTACACCAAAACCAAGAAAGCAACTATGTTTGAACAATACAAGTTATTAATGGTTAGAGAGTTGTTAAACCTCAAACGTAATCCAATGTCTCAGAGAATTCAGATCATGTCGTCTATCTTCCAAGGTTTACTCTGTGGATTGGTGTATTATCAATTGGGAAACGGTCAAACATCGATCCAATCTAGAACTGGTGTTTTAGCATTCGTTATTATGGGTATAGGTTTTCCATCTGTTATGCTAACTGTTCAAGTTTGTAAGTATTTAATACAAGTAATTATTAATCAAAATATCATTTACTTATAAATATTATTTTAAAGTTCCAGAAATTATTTCAATTTTCTTAAAAGATAGAGCATCTGGTGTTTATTCAACTTTACCTTTCTTTTTAGTCGAAATCAACACTCGATTGTCTGGTTGGTATGTTCTCTGCAATAATAATGGGTACTATGGTTTATTGGATGTCGAACCAGAGAATCTATCCATTCTATGCGGCTGCACCATTCTTTAAATTCCTTTTGATTCTTGTCATGGTCAGTCAAGTCGCTCTTTCAATGGGAGTATTGATTAGTAGTTCCGTACCGAATGTTGCTGTTGGAACGTCGTTGGCACCTCCATTCATTATCTTGTTCTTCTTGTTCAGTGGATTCTTTATTAATTTAAACGATGTACCAAGAGGATGGATCTTTATGCCTTACCTATCGTTCTTCAAGTATGTCATTGAAGCAGCGGTTGTCAATGCTTTCACAGGAATCGAATTCAGCTGCCATGATAATGAGAGAATTGGAGGTCGTTGCCCAACTCAAACCGGTGAGCAGGTCATCGCAAGAATGGACTATGACATCAACAGTTACTGGAGAAATGTATGGATTTTAGTTTTATTTATTGTAGGATTCCGTTGTTTAGCATATGGAGTTCTTTCATTTAAGAGTCGTCCAATTAAATTTAAAACAAAAAAAGCACAAATCAATAATTAAATAAATAATTGATAACTCTGTGATTATCTCTTAATTATAATAATCTTTGTCAGTTTTTATTATTATTAATTTGCTTTTCTCTTTTTGATTAAACCTTGTCTGGCCAACATTTCATAGGTCTTCTTATTCATAACCTCACCATTTTCATCTTCGTACTCTTCGTCTTTGTCAGATTTGAATGAAACTGATGCATTGATTTCCTTGATCTTCTTGTTCAACTCCATAGCATCCTTAATCTTTGTAATATGGTGGAAATGAAGTGTATTTGGAATACCAATACACGACATACCATATGAATGTCTTGGTTCCTAATAGTTTATGAATAGATCAAAAGTTTGTTTGTTTGTTAGTTAGTTAATTAGTTCTCTTAATATTTAATTAACTATTGATATTAATATTGTGAATTACTTACTTGGAAATGTTTTTCGTATGCTTTTCTTCCCCAGTATGATTGATTACCACATATCTCACATTTATATTCAACACCGAGTTCATGGAACTTGTAGACCCAATATGGAATCGGCTTACCACTCCAATCTACTGGATAGTTTGCAATTCTAAGTTTGATTGGTTCATCATCAATCTCGATATCATCGATTTCATTTTCAATTGTATTCATATCATCCTAGTAGTAGTAGTAATAATAATATTAGTTAATATTCATATTTTAAAAATAGGTATCTTTTTTTTAAAAACAAAGATACTTACTTCAATTTCCTTAATACTTCTAGATTGTTTCTTAATGACACTTTCTTTGGTTTCTTGTACTTGATCATCGAGTAACTCACCTAGTTTTGATATTTGGTATTCCAAGAGTGAAGTTGGTTTTCTTGATTTATGATTGAATGCCACCATGTCGATGACCAATCCTCCGTTCTCTGATTGACTCTTTTGTAATAGTTCCTCCAACTTGATATGTTTCTTTCCTTTCAGATGACCATTATATACATTTTCCGATGCAAATAGTTTTTTACATGCTTTACAATAGAGTGGTGATGACGTATCATCTGTTGTTGCTGTTGCTGTTGCTGTTGCTGCTGTTGTTGTTTCTTTAGTATCCATTGATTCATCAGCTGTAGTTTCCTCATTTTTGTTATCATTATTATTACTATTATTATTGTTGTTGTTGTTATGACCGTTTGAATCACTCTTATTATTATTATTATTATCAGCACTTGGATCAAACTCTTTATTATTCCATTTATCTTCAAATTCCTTCTCGTTTGATTCATTCATTGATTTCATATCAAACATTGGTTGTGATCTCTCCATAAACGATGCTAAATACTGATACAGTTTATCTAAATATCTAAAATAGATAACATTCATTATATAATAGTAACAATTAGTAATCTGTTGTTTGAGATTTATTGAATCTATTCTATTCTAAACTTAATTTATAATTTACATACTGTTTATATTTAGCATTCTTAAATCTAGAGATATCGTTATAATTGAATTTGCTAAACAATGATAGATAGGTGATATAATCGATATTCTTTTGAACGAATGGCAAGTTCAAATATAATTCAAACATTTCATTTAAATCTAAAAATCTACCGTATGCTTCATTACCAGAGAATGAAAGTGTTGCTATAATATCGATAATAGATAATCACATATTATAAAAGTTAGAAGTTAGTAAATATTTAATAACTCTTATTAAATTGTTATCATACGTGTATAATTTAAAACGGAACCTATTCTCTCTATTTCTAGAGTAGGATACTTTCTATGATAGTCTTTCAACTCTCTTAGTTTATCATAAAAGTTACTAAAGATAGCAGGGCCTTGACCTGAAATCGCTGATAGATCTGCTTTTCTTTGACTAAATTGTTATATATATTTTTAGAATTATTAATGATCATTCAATTTGTTATGTATATCGATATAACTAACTTACCCATCTTCATCTTGATATATCTTTTTCAAATCGTTGGCACATTTTATCGATTGTTCCAAGTAGTGATTAACACAGTGACTCTGGATTACACTGTCTTTTTGAGTCTTTGGTTCCTCTGATTGTTCAGCGACAATCATCAATTCATATCTCTCTATAGATTCATGAAGTTCTCTTGTTCTCTCCAACAGTGTTGATGACATCTGATAATGATATTGCTATAACAATCTAAATATATTATAAAAACTTAACTAATCGGTGATTAATTATTGTTGTTCTAAATTAAAAACATCTCATTTTCAAAAACCATTGACGAAATTACAATAAATTGGTATATTATAATTTTATTAATATAAATAAAAGTACAAAATGAATCAAATTATTTTAAAGACACACATTAAAAGTAGGTCAAAAAAAAAACAATCAATACAAAAAAAAATCAAATACTTAAAAATAAAAATTGAAAACATGACAGGGCTTGTAGCTCAGATGGTAGAGCGCTCGCTTAGCATGCGAGAGGTAAAGGGATCGATACCCTTCTAGTCCATATAAAATCCCTTTCCTTGAAAAGGGGCAGGATGCGCGCATATTTTCAAACAAAGATTGTTGAAGGTGTCTCCAAAGATTGTTTAAATTTCCAAACAAAAATTTTTTGATGTGTTCTATGTGCACACCAAAACACACAGGTCATTCTTTCGATCATATCAATAATATTAAATTAGATTTTAATCACTCTGATAATAATAACGAAATAGATAATGACAATGAAATAAATAATAATAATAATGATACATGTAGTATTGGTTATTAATAGAATTAAAGATATTCAAACAAATATTCAAACAACATGCGATTCTTTGAAATTAAAAGTTGTGGAATATAAACAATTACAACAAACAGAACAAGAGATCGAAAGTAAATTCAAAGAGTTACATGAATTCCTTGTTGTTGAAGAACATAGATTAAAGATTCCAATCATCGATAGTAAACAACAATTAGAACAACAAATCGATAAACAAGTCATGACTTGTACAAAATAATGAAATCATTGAATTCAATCAATAATATCATTAAATCAAATTATAATGATAACAATGATCAATCTGATTCACAATCAATAATATAAACAGATACAACAGATAACTACCAAATAACAACAATAATTCGATCGATTTCACAATGTTCGGATCACAATGAATTCATTTCATCAAACAATAATATATTGTTCTATTTCGATGATCTAAACAACAATGATGATCATTCACTTTTAGATAAAATACTTGAACACAACAAAACTATTAAATTATATAATTTTGATGATCAACAATCAACATCACAACAATATCATTTAACTTTCAAAAACGAAACAAATCAATCAAATCAAGAATCAAATTCAATCATCATTTGTCCAATGTATCTCATCAGCACAAACAATCCTATATATTCTCAACTGATAGAAATAATAAAATATCAATCATCAATATTACAGATCGAAACAACATTCATTTCGAACACTACAATATAATAGGTAAAACAATGGATCTTTATTATCATATTTACAACTCAATTGTCAAAGTTGGTGACTATATGTTTGGTGGTAATACAGACCAATTAACCAAATATTCCTAGTATTCAATCAGCACGAAAACATTTGTAATCAATGAAATGATTGGTGTTGATGAATATTCTTTCATGTCAGCTTGTTATGATAGTCAAGATCATATCTATTTATTTGATGGGCATGGAAAAAATAGAGTTTATATCTACCGATACAATATCAACAATTCCACATTCGAAAGATACACAACAATAGATATCACCACTTATTCCCACCATATTACATTCCTCCTCAAAGGTTATTTCTATAGTTTCACACCAGAAACAAAAAAGATTGTAAAGTTTGATATAAACAGCAAGACAACAGTTAGTTTGCCAATTTAAATTCCCAATTACTTTACAAGAGGAGCATGTACAGATGGCAATGGCAATTTCTATATTCAATCGGAATTGGGATTACATCGAATCAATGTTGAAACCAAATAATTTATCATCAGTTTATTTACTCAATTCAAGGAAAAGATAGAAATTTCATTTATTCGATAGAAAACAACAAGAATTGACTCCCATTTGTTGTTTTCTCGATGATCAATCTAACAGATCTTCATGTGCCAACATATTGTATAATAAATAAATAATATTTCATTACTCTTAGCTTATTTACTTGTTGTATTACTATTATTTCACTCTAACTATCATCATCTATGTCTATGAATGAAAATTTATAAATTTCACATCCAACACTTTAATTAAATAGGCTGACTATTAAAATTAAACAGATTTTTAGATTTTGTTCATGTTTACTAAAACATTCGAATTCATTTTTTATGATTGTAATGTTTTAATCAACATAGACTTCATTTACTCGATCATATCGATGGAATAAAATCGGGAATACCAGATTTTATCAGGTTTCAATATTGAAACCCACGAATTTAAACAATTCAATAGATTGAATCAATATTACAAAATGACCAAGCTGATAGAATAAATTGTGGACATCATATATTTCAAAAGTAGGCTTATCATATCTTTAAACAATTCAACACAATGCTATTAATAAAATTAAAAAAAAGGAAATTGGTTCCGCTTATCTTGTTTTGAAACATTTAAACCTGTTGATATTTTTACAAAAAAAAGATTTTATCCGCTACTGATTGGCTGTGGGTTACATCTAAGTTTATTTTTTTTTTGAACTTAAATGATCATTTTAAAAAAAAAAACATGAATCCTTTTTGATAGAGCATAAGATTCATTTGTAATAAAAAAGTAACATCTTGATTTTTATTATTATCATTTCATAGTTAGTTTAAAAATAAACAAGTAAAAATGAATAGTTGTTCAAATCATAATAATAGAATATTTGAATTCATTTGTTATGATTGCAATGTTTTGATGTGTTCTGCATGTGTACCACAACATAGACTTCATTTATTCGATCATATCGACGGAATAAAATCGGAAATTAACAATCATATCAATAATAATAACAATGATAGTAATAGCAATAACAATATCAATAATAATAGCAACATACCATCATTTCTCGATATTCAGTCAAAGATTAAAATAACATTCGATTCACTAAAGTCAGCAGTCAAAGAATATCAACAACTACAACAAACAGAAGATGAGATATCGAGTAGATTCAAAGAGCTACATGAATTCCTTGTTGTTGAAGAACACAAACTAAAGAAACCGATCATCGATAACAAACAACAATTGGAACAACACGTAGAAAGTCAAATCACAGTCATGAAATCATTGAATTTAATGAATCATCAATTAAACCAATTCATTGCTGACTCTAATACTGATAATATTCAACCAACAACAACAACAGCAACAACAACAACATCATCATCATCAGCAGCAACAGACACAACAGATAGTTACCAAACATCTACAATAATAACATCAATATCACAATGTTCTGACCACAAAGAATTTATTCAAAACAATAACAATACATTGTTCAGTTTTAATGATCATCTTCATAATCATTATTCTAACAAGACTAAAAAAGATGACCATTCATTATTAAACCTTATACTTGAACACAACAATACATTGAAATCGAACAATCATATTGATGTAAAACACAACAAACTACAACAATACCAACTGATTATCAAAGATCAACAACTACATCAAATCAAAAATCAACTTCAATCCACTTTTAAACTTGTAATACAACAACATCAACCACGACAACAACTACAGGATTCATATATTTTATCAACCGATGTCGATGGTAAAATATCAGTTATCGATATAACAGATCAGAATAATATTTATTTCGTACAACAAGGATATGCCACTATTGATGCAAAGCTTGGTTTTTACTCTTCTGTTGTTGTTGGTAACCATTTCTATAGATTTGGAGATGAAGCGAAAGCTCGGAAGTATTTCAGATTTTCAATCCACAACCAAATATATAATGAAATTGAAATGAATGGTATAGAGGAGTGCGGTTATGTGTCGGTTTGTTATGATGGTAAAGATCATATCTATTTATTGGACGGTTGCATGAAACCTAAACTACATATCTACAGATTCAACATCAACAATTTAACATTCGAGGAATATTCAACTGCCGAAAATACAAATCCACATTACCACCATTTAACTTTTCACCGAAACAACTGCATTTATAGCTATATACCAGAGGCCAACAAGATTATCAAATTCGATATTAGCACCAAAGTAACAGTTGAATTACCAATTGAATTGCCCAATAAACAACAAAAAGCAGCATGTACCGATGGCAATGGTAGTTTGTTTGTTCTAACTAATACCGGATTTCACCAGATCAATATCGAAACCCACGAATTTAAACAATTGGATAAATCAATAGCTAATATGAATATAAACAACCATAATTTGATTTACCATCAAGCAAACGATCAAAAGAGATATATCTACTCACTTCAAGGAAAGAGTCATAACTATAGATATTCATTTGAACACAATCAATGGAAATCAATACTGGAAAATGACCAAGCTAATAGATTATATTGTGGACATCATCTATTTCATAAATAAGCTTACACTCTTATCATATCATATCATAACTTTAAAACAACTCGACTCTCTTCTATGAATAAAGTTGAATAGTCACCAATAAAATTTACAAATTTAAAAAATTTAAAAAATTTAGGTTTTTTTTTTTTTAACTTAAATCATCACTTTCAAGATATTATGATCGACATGTTGTTTAAATCTTATTTTCATATAGTTAATTCATCTTCTCTCAACAATAATATCTTTTTATTTGTGTTCTTTTCATTGGGGTTCCCTAGGGAACTTTAACAATTTCAGAATTAGAAATAAAATCAAAAACAAATAAAATGAAGAATAAAAAAAAATTGTTTTCAAAAGATCATACTTCTCTAATATTTATTCAAATTTTTACTTTTATTTTTTAAGAAAATACTTTATTGTTTGTTTTTTTTTATATAATCATTAGATACTTTTAATTTTAATTTACACAGTTAATGGTTATCTTTATAAATTATTTGGAAGTTGTTTTCTGAAAGTTTCTAAAGTATGTTAGGAAAAAATAAAAACATTTTAACAGTTATGATTATCATTATTCAAAAAATAAAATTTGATTTGCTTCAAGTTTGAAAAGATATGTCAAAAAAATTTGTTCCTAACCTTTTCCTAAGATTTTATATTGAACACTATATAAAATGTAGCGAAATTGGAGCTAACATTAGTTAGGAACTCCTAATTAGGAATCCCCCATATATGTGTCCAATAGTCAAATTTTTATTCAAATTTTTTATTTAATACACTATAGATTGTAATTCATAAGTTTAGTCGGGTAAAGTTCAACAATCATCTTTAGAATTTTATTTTTTATTTATTTTTTTGGAAACCAACCATTTTTTTTTTCTTTTTTTGGAAGCTCCAAATTTAATGAATTGGGAACATAAAATTTTACTTTTTGTAGAACAAAAAATAAGAATTTTTGTTTTTTTTTTTTTTAATATTGTTTCTATCTTTTTATCCTTATTCGATTTAACAATCAACAAGTAAAAAATGAATAGTTGTTCAAATCATAATAAATTCTTCGAATTAATATGCAATGATTGCAATGTTTTGATGTGTTCTGCATGTGCACCACAACACAAACTTCATTCATTCGAGCATATCGATGCAATAAAATCAGAAATAAATAATCATAACAATATCAATAATAATAGCAACATACCATCATTTCTCGATATTCAGTCAAAGATTAAAATAACATTCGATTCACTAAAGTCAGCAGTCAAAGAATATGAACAATTACAACAAACAGAAGATGAGATATCGAGTAGATTCAAAGAGCTACATGAATTCCTTGTTGTTGAAGAACACAAACTAAAGAAACCGATCATCGACAACAAACAACAATTGCAACAATACGTAGAAAGTCAAATCACAGTCATGAAATCATTGAATTTAATGAATCATCAATTAAACCAATTCATTGCTGACTCTGATACTGATAATATTCAACCAAATCTACCAACAACAGCAACAACAGCGACATCTTTATCATCATCATCATTATCACCAGATACAACGGAAAGTTATCAAACTTCGACAATAATAAAATCAATATCACAATGTTCTGACCACAAAGAATTTATTCAAAACAATAACAATACATTGTTCGATTTGACTTATCATCTTCAGAATTTTTCTGATAAAACTAAAAAAGATGACTATTCTTTATTAAACCTTATTGTCGAGCACAACAATAAATTGAAATCGAACAATCACAATAATGTAAAACCCAACCAACTACAAAAATATCAACTAATTCCCAATGATCAACAACTTCATCTAATCAAAAATCAACTTCAATCCACTTTCAAACTTGCATTCCAACTACCACAGTCATGTATTTTATCAACCGATGTCAATGGTAAAATATCAGTCATAGATATAACAGATCAGAATAATATACATTTTATACAAAAAGACATTTCCACCAACGGTTCAAAGATTACATATTTCTCTTGTGTTGTTGTTGGTAACCATTTCTATAAATTTGGAAGTGGAGTTAGCACTAAAAATGTTCGAAAATATTTCAGATATTCAATCGACAACCAAACATATGATGAAATTGAAATGAAAGGGATCGAAGAATTAAATTTGGTGTCAGTTTGTTATGATGGTAAAGATCATATCTATTTTTTGGATGTTCACAGCAAAACAATAGTTAATATCTACAGGTTCAATATCAACAATTCAACATTTGAAAAATATTCAACTGCCTATATATCAAGTTCAACTTTCCATCATTTAGCTTTCCACTACAACAACTGCATTTATAGTTATATTCCAGCAGATAAAAAGATTATTAAATTCGATATAAACATCAGAGCAACAGTTGAATTACCAGTTGAATTGCCAATTTTCCAACAAAAAGCAACATGTACCGATGGCAAAGGTAATTTATTTGTTCTAACAAATACCGGATTTCACCAGATCAATATTGAAACCAATGAATTTAAACAATTGGATAACTCGACAGCTAATATGAATATAAACACCCATAATTTGATTTACCATCAAGGAAATGATCAAAAGAGATATATCTACTCACTTCAAGGAAAGAGTCAAAATTATAGATATTCATTTGAACACAATCTATGGGAATCAATACTGTACGATGACCAAGCTGGTAGATTATATTTCACTTCCAGAAAGTCGTACCCCACTTATTTCAGTTTTTACAAATTTCGGAAAAATAAAAAATGAAAAAAATTTGAAAAAAATTTGAAAAAAAATTTGAAAAAAAAATTTTCATCACATTAACATCTATTTTGAAATCAAATAATGATCAAAAATGAATGATAATGATAGAAGTAGTAGTAATAATGTATTAAATGAATTAGATTATAAATTAAACATCAATAGTAATAGTAATAATAATGATTTTGGTTTAGTTAGTAATCAGAATGATGGTAGTGTTGATGAAGATGATGATTTAGTACCTGATCATACACTTGCAGGTGACTATACAACTTAATATCAAGATGACGATTCATCGGTATTGGATATAGATGTATCGACACTCTCGTTGCTCACCACAACAAAGATGGTAAACCATACACCTCGCTGAACGACTTGATGTTTGACATCGAACAACATCCACACCATGCACTGAAGATGTCGAATGCAATCGATCAAGATTTACAATCATTGCCATCTGGGTGTTATTAATACATGTATTTAGTTTTATCTATTCAATTCTATTCTCTTTAGCTATACTAACTAATATTATATTATAGATCTTAGTCAAGCAGAAGAACTTGTAAATTTACATAAGGTTATTGAATCGAATGATTTGATTTTATCAGAGATTGGAGATGTCTTTAAATCATTCGATGACGAACTACAGAATCTAATTAGATTAAAGATATGCCAGAAACTCATATCACTACACAACAACTATCAAAAGCACTATAGTAAATAGAATGTTAGACAAAGATTCAATATCAAAAGTTTTTAAAAGATATTGATACCACCTGATCTTATTAGGTAAATATAAATAGGAATTTTAATGAATACTATCTATCTGATTAAACTAACAATCTATATCGATTATCATTAGTGGTATTAATAAAGATGATATAAATGAAGATTATATCAATTATATAGAAGCATTAGAGTATAGAATTGAATCATTAGATGACTTTATGTCGAGTGAAGCTATGTTTGCTCAAGATATGGCAATTAAAAAAAAAAAAAAATTAAAAAAAAAAAAAAAAAATTAAAAAAAAAATTGTGGGTGGCCACGCAACTGCCAATTTTTTTTTGTTTTTCAGTGAGGATGAGAATCTTGCTGGGGGTTCAAAATTAACTACGTACGATTACCAAATTTAGGTGCTTTATTTTCAATTATTTTTATAAAAAACATGCCAACAATGTGTGAGATAGGGGTTTAAATCATTTTTTTAGAAGTACGAGTCCCCGGAGTGGTGGAAATTCTCTATTTCATAACCAAACTTAAAATCTTATCATATCTAACATAACTTTAAAATCTACTCTGTTCTAATTCCCTACAAAATATCATTGATTTTAACATTTAATTCCAAAGATTAAATAAATGATATATACAGTACATGTACCACCCACTAAGAAGCATTTTTTTTTTTTTTTTTTTTTTTTTGCAAAAAAAGATTTGTTGACTCATGATCAGTCAACAAATTGCAGGTATTGATATTATCCTAATATTAGGTTAATGAAGCAAATCTACGACCACCTATGGATCATCAAAAATGGCATTCCACCACTAACTGTTTTTTTAATAAACAATTTTAATTTCCGCATGCGTAACACTAACTGTTTTTTTATTGTGTTATAAAATATTCTCCCCTTCCGGGAATTGAACCCGGGCCTTTCGCGTGACAGGCGAAAATCCTCACCACTAGACCAAAAGGGAGTTGATGTTTTTTAAATCGTCCAATTATTTTTTTAACATAAATGTTCTTTTTCAAGTGACCTAGTTCAACTTGATTTTTTTTAAATTGAAAAAATTAAATCTTTTAAAAATTAATTATCTAGAATAAGGTTACTATATTTGAATACAAGAGTGGTTACACATTCTTTTTTTTATTTAACCATATCACATATAGAATGAAGATACCACAAAGGTGAGTTATCTATCAACCACTCACCAACACCATCAAAAACAAACAAAACCTAATAATAATAATTATTCCATACTCTACAGTGTTAATGATTTGCAATATGAAAGATTGAACAACAGTGATTATTCAAATTCTAATAGATTTTTACAATTCCCTAATAAATTTCGATAAATTATTAAAGAGTATCTTTAAAAAAGAAAAATCACTTTGAATCAAATACTCAACTTCAGTATTTAACTTTACATTGCAAACAAAGTATTAGTGAATGATGTGTTATTTTCTTTGGTGCCTTACTTTCTACCTTTGATAATCATTCCATCGGAAAAAAAAACAACATAATCCTATTTTTTAAATCCTATAATATATTTAAATATATTTCTGGTTTAATTTATGCTGTATTAAAGTTTTCGATTATTATTACTGTTGATGATAAAGTTTCTCTATTAAAAACAGATATATTTATAATATTTAATGTCAATCCCAAGAGACTCGAATATAGTTACATTAGCTGTAATAGGAACAGGTTTGTTTAAAAAAATTTATTTAATAATTCAATATTAATTATTATTAATTCAAACTATAGCAGGTAGAGATCCAAACAAACAGCTAACAAAGGATCATTTTAAATATATGTGTGATACTTTTGATGAATTTATCGAATCTCACCATCTTTTAGAAGGTGATAAACAACTTGTTGTTGTAAGTGGAGGTTCTGCATGGGCAGGTAAATATTAATTTTATAAAAACAAAAACAACAAAAAAAGATTTTAATTGATTTTGATCTATTTTGAATTTAGATCATGTAGTTGTGGATAGATTTTTAAATGATCCAAATAGATTTAAATTGATTTTATACTTGCCATGTCCGATTGTAGATACAGAAATCGATGATGACGATGATGATGTTTGTTATAAAAGGAGATATCAATACCTTGATACTGGAAGTATAGATTGGTATAAGAATCCAGGAAGAATATCAAATATGTATCATGATCAATTCGAATCTATTATGTGTGTCGACCCAATTGGCCAGATCATCCAAGCTAAAGAAAAAGGTGCAATATTAGATACATCATCCAATGGTTTCCACAACAGGAATACTAAAATTTCGAAATCAGATTTGATTGTAGCATTTACATTTGGTGAGGATCAACCTGAAATTGGTACGGGTACTCATGAAACATGGAAACAAAGTCTATCCAAAAAGAAATATCATTATTCATTATCAAAAATAACAACAAGATCATAATTAAATGTTAAATATTTTAATTGTTAATAAAAAAATAAAATATGATATCACCTGACATTTATTTGTTTACAAAAGAAAAACTATTTTAATCTAATCTCTTTGAGATGTGATTGAATAAAATCAAATAATCAAGGTGTGAGTGTGTTATTATCGATAAAAAAAAACATTCTCTAAAAAAAGATTTAAGGTGTGGTCACTTTTTTTCTAAATTAACCTCTTTTTTTAACCTATATCTGTTAAGAATTTGATCGATTTGGCTATTATTAAAGATTAATCAATAATTAAATTATGTTAATGAATGGTTATTATTTAAAAAAAAACTAAACTTGGAAAGGAAGTTGAGTAATAAATTAGAAGAAGGTCAGGTTGTAAGTAGTTAATTTTATTCTGAAATTGATTGTATTAGTTAGTATTAATAAGAAATAAGAATTTATTCAAATAAAAAAATGGAACCTATTATTAAAAATAAAACTATAAATAATATTAAAATTCATTATCCACCTTCACCTAGACTCTCTTCTGGTAATCCACAGTTACCAGCTTCACCAAAGTTGATGCCGCACCCAGTATCACCTAGATTAAACTCTCAGTTTCCTGCATCGCCAAGACTAGGTTCACAGTTTCCAGCATCACCAAGACTAGGTTCGCAGTTTCCTTCGTCACCAAGAGTTCATCATCCACAGCATCAACTCTTACTACACCACCAGAATCCAGCTTCTCCAAGACTATCGTCGCAACACGTTCAGCCATCACCAAGACTGAATTCACAGCATATTATTCATTCTCCAAGACTAACATCACAATTCCCAGTCTCACCTAGATTGAGTTCACAACATCCTCCCTCTCCTAAACTTCATCCACAGTTCTTGTCGCCACCAAAACCACATCTTCAACACTCACCTCTGTTAAAATCACAACCAATTCAACAATCAAAATCATCGTCGAATCTTCAAATTCAAAGTGAAGAGTTGGCCAATCAAATAGCAACTGCAGTAAAATATCAAGAATTTCAAGAGGACTTTCCAAATTCTTTGAAAAGAACTCTATGGAATTCTGTACAATTTGCCCATAGACATAAATTAATTGAAAGATCAGCATATCAAGTAAGTATATTGTTGTTTAATTATATTGAAATTAATGTTTATTTTATTAATACTTCTGTTATTTAAAGGAAAGATTAATTATACCATTAGCAAAAACAGCAGTATTTGATATTTACAACCAATACCTAGCATCTAGAGTTTATGATGGTGCTCAATTTGAAAGATCAGTAGATTTAAAGTTGTTGGCATTCAATCATAAATGTCTTTACTATAAATATGCTTTGGATGTTATTTTAGATTGTAAAGAGTTAATTTCAGTTGGTGGAAACAAGTTTGAATGTCCACATTTGATGGGTGATCCAGCTTTCGGTATGATGGAGCTTACCAAAGCACTGCTGAAACAACCATTACCATTGGAATCAGAAGGCCCACCTCAACCAATGATCATCGGAAACAAGTTCTTTGAGATTGATAATCTCAATTGGTTGTTTTACCGTCGTAGCTATTTGAAGATTAGAAATCTAAAGAAACTAATAGAGGCACCTCGAGGTGGAAAGGTCTTCTCGATTGCCGAGGCATCCGATCAAGCTCTTACCGAAATGATTCATCGTGTTGGAATGTGGGCGACTGGTGCAGCGACTGCATTCATCGAATGGAATGTATTCTCAAAGCTATTGGAGAGATACAATCAATTTGTTTATCCTATCCCACGTTTGATTTTCTTGGATGCCATGGTCAAGATTCACAGTGATTTGGGATGGATGATATCCAATCGTTTGATTCAAGATCAATTCGGTGTATCTATTCCTTTTATGATTAGTGATATCTGTCAGATGTTGGCACCCGTCTCCATTGCCATCATTAAAACCTACAATATTAAACCAACTTCAATTCAACAACAACCTTAAACTATCTATCTGTAAAATTGTGAAATAAATAAAATTTTTATTTAGTTTTTAAAATTATATAAATATAAATATTTCCAAAGTTTATTAGTATCATTGGAGCTATTGGTTGGTTTGATTTGCATTGTTATTATTATTTATCCGTAAGAGAATGTTCATGTTTGTTTGGTGCTTGATTTTCTTTTGGAGAAAATCAAAATTATACAAAAATTATTGATAGAAGAGACAGGTGTGTGAAACTGTTTGATAAGAATGATGATGGTATTGTATGGTGGTGAATATGTAGATAAATGTGATTGATTCGTTTCTATATCTCTTCATTCATAATTAAATCTTCATTATCATATTGATAGTGACAGACGATGGATTGGTCGTGATTAAATAAAGGTTGTTGTAATAGCGAAGCTGGAAGTTTTGGTAAAGATGAGGATGTTGTTGTAGTTTTTGAGGATGTTGTGGATTTTGGTTTGTTCAACAATGTTGATTTGACGGATGTTGTGGATGACGTTGTCTTTGTATTCTTCAATGGTGACGATGCCAATTGTTTCTTTCTAAGAAGATTATTGGCTGCGGCCGAGCTGGTGGAACCACCGGTGACAACCACTGGATTCGTTTGAATGGTGACTATCTTTTTCTTTACGACATGTCCATTCTCACTGATATTACCTCCAGCACTCATGCCATTCAGCTGATTGGAGATTGGCGAGAGTGGAGCACGTTTCTTTCCGATTCTCTCTACGAATGGCGACTGTACCATCGATGATTCCTCCGAGTGGCCATTGTTTCCGGTTTGCGAGGAAGTCGATTGTTGTGCTTGCAACTGTTGTTTCTTGATAAACAATGAACTGACGTTTCTTGGTGTCGATGGAGTGGTTGGACCGCCTACAACTCCCACTGTTTTGGAGGCGGCAGTCGAAGCAGCGCTAGATTTAACAGGTGTCTTGGCAACGGTATTAAGCTTCTTGGCGGCAGTACTATTGGCACCACCATTTCCAGCTCCATTTCCACCGAGCTTGTGTGAATCGTCGTTCAGTTTCGATTGCTTCTCTTTGTCTTTTCTCATTTTTTCGAGGTCACGCTTGATTCTGTCGTTGTCGGCTTGCTGATCCATCAGATCGAGATAGTCGAATCCATCGTAGGCAAACGGTTCACCGTGTGTCTTTTGCCACTCTACCAACTCCTTTCTCAGCTTCTCCTCGACGGCTGGCAACTTTTGAATGGCTTTTCTCAGTTTCTCCTCCTGAATGAATCTTCCACGATCAAACTTCTTCGAGAGCAATCGCTCTTTGTCACCGAGAACCGTCTGCTCGTATTCAATCTTTGAATTTCTAATCTCCTCACGCTTCTCGATCAGCGTAATCAACGGCTTTGAAATCTCGTAGACTTGACGCGCACGATCCTCCTCGGCTTCCAACAACTCCAGGTGCTCCTCACTGCCATCGAGTGTATCCTCCACCAACTCATCGATTCTCTCCAACGGCCAATGAATAATAGAGTAAATCTCTACAATATTAGCTTTACATCTCTCTATCAACTCTGATAAACTTGCTCTTCTCAATTCTTCGACTCTATATAATTCTTCTTGACACTAAATATAATATTATAATTAATTTAGTTAGCTATTTCATTATATTAATAATAACTAAAAACTTACGGCTTCAACAACATCCATTCCTAAACCAGCTGTTTTAGCAAAGAATGATTCACGTTCATCTTCGGGTACTTCGAGTTTATCCCAGAGTATAGTGATCTTTTGTGCATATTCAGTGACCATCGCTTCGTTTTCTTTCTTGATGATTTGTAACTTGTCAATCTTTTGTGAGAGTACGGTGATCGTTGCCAAACACAGTGAAATAGGTGATGACTTTCCTTCGTTGGTATCGGACATCTTTACGATCGACAATTCAAATTCGGTATCTGGTGCAATTCTCAATTCTGTCCACAATTCGACGATTACCAAACATAATTGTTTAACTTTAATAAATGCTTCATTCTATAGAATTATAGTATTGTTTGGATATATTAATAAACATCAATCAATTAAAAACAATATTATTTTTTTATACATACACGTTGAACTTGTAATTTCTTTAATTTCTTTTGAAGTGAAGAAATCTTCTCCATTGAATAATCATTTCCATTGATGTCACTCTCATTCATATGCGATTGATTCAAGTCTTTCAATTCCAATTCCTTTGAGATATCTTCAATTGTTGCTTCTAGATCTTCAATGAGAGCAACTCTATCTTCTGTTCTCTATATATATATATATATGTTTAGTTAGTAAGGTTTTTAATATACTAATATCTATTAGTAGTTATTATTGATTAATAAATATACCTTTCTTAAAGTACTAAGTTGAGATTCAATATAAGAAGATCTCTGTAATAGATTCATATTGGCCAATGGTTTGTTGGTATCCTTTACAGTCTCACCCAACTCTGTGGACATTGAACAAATCGATTCCAATCCAGCCAAGATCTCTTTGATTACATCATCTTTATATTTCTCTTCTTTCTTTAAAAGATTGTTATAGAGATTTATGACTTGTTGTGATGCTCTATATTATATTATAAGATTGACGAGATTAAATATTAATAATCATTAGAAAGTTCATTACAATATTGATTTTTATTATAATACATACTGATCACATTGTTGTACTCTATAGTTATTTTCAACACCAAGTTCATCCCATACTTTGACAATCTTTTTCAATATATCTTTTACTCCGTCTTCAATTGTCATAATTATAATTATTTATTAATTTATTAACTAATCAACATCTAATTATGAAATAAACAACTAACTAATTATATTTGATAATAACTTTAAACAATTTACTAATTATTATTATTAAAACTTAAGTAAATATTTCAATATTACTTTTTTAAACTATTATTATTATTATTTTACTATTTTATTTATTTATTTTTTAAAAATCTTTAATTATTTTTAAAATCTTTATTATTTTGTAGATAATATAACATCAATAGTTGATCATCATTCCAACACATTTAATTATTAATAAAGGATTGCTTTGAGACAAAAAGGCGCCAAACCAAAAAAATTTGAATTTCTTTTTGCCGGTAAAAAAATTTAAACTTTTTTTAAAAAAAAAAATAGATTAAATAATTTAATTTAATTTATTGTTATTATTATAATAATAAAGAATAAAGAAAAATGAAGGTATATTGCTTTAAAATTGAATTGTATTTAATAAAGTAAAGTTATTAATAATATTTTATATAAATTTTATTGTTTTGTATTGTTTTGTTTGGTTCTGTGTTTGATTTGATCGGTTTGTTTAGATTGCAATTGAAGGTTGTTGTCATGGTGATATAGAGATTATTTATAATTCATTGTTGAATATTGAGAAACAGACCGGTGAAAAGATCGATTTTGTTGATTTGCTGTGGCGACTATGAAGCATTGAGAAATCTAAATGATCTACAATCGTTGGCGGTGCCAGAGAAGTTCAAGCATATGGGATCGTTTCATCATTATTACAGTGGTAGACTGGTTGCACCCATCTTAACGTTGGTCATCGGTGGCAATCACGAATCATCGAACTACTTTAGCGAGTTGCCAAACGGTGGTTGGCTATGTCCGAACATCTACTACATGGGACGCTCCGGAGTAGTCCAATTCGGTGGACTAAGAATCGGTGCACTCTCTGGTATCTACAAGCCACACGACTACCAAAAAGGTCACTACGAGCAACTACCGCTAAACGACAGTACAATGCGATCGATCTATCATACTCGTGAGTTGGATGTCTTCAAATTGCTTGCTTTGAATAGCGGTGGTAACAATGCTAATGGTGAGGCGAGGCAGAAAGAGAAGAATAGACTTGATATTGTATTCTCTCACGATTGGCCACAAGGTATTGTTAACTATGGTGATAAGAACAAGTTGTATCAAGTGAAGAATCATCTGGCGCAGGATGGTGACGATCTTGGTTCGCCAGCGGGAATGTTGGTGCTTAGGGAGTTGAAACCTAGATACTGGTTCTCGGCACATCTACACGTTAAGTATGCTGCTATATATCCACACCCTGACAATACGACTACCAAGTTTTTAGCATTGGATAAAGTATTGCCGAATAGAGATTTCCTACAGATATTGGATTTTGAAGTACAACCTAATCGTCAACAACAACAACCACAACAAGAGCAGCAACAACAACAACAACAGAATCAACAATTAAAACTTCAATATGATGTAGAATGGTTATCTATTTTATATAATACCAAATCTATAACAGATAATCATAAGAATCACTATAATACACCACTTTCAAGAGATCTATTTAAAAAGTAAGTTACAACAATTTTTAAATACCTCTAACATTACAATTTCTAACATATATTTGTTAAATATGCTAATAGTTTATATACAGATGAAGATTTAAAGAATATTGACAATAGATTTATTGAAATCAATAAGTTAAGACAATCAATAGATGATAAAAATCATGATAATAGTGAAAATAATGAAAGTGTAGAGAATATAAGTAATCATCATTTAGAGATACCATTTAATTTCATTGAAAATACACATGCATATGATCCTTCGAATCCAAATAGAATGGATTTAAACTTTATCTATCCATCAAGTATGTATTAAGAATCATTTGGTTATTTATTTTAATCAATTCACATTAATCTAATCAATCTTATCAAAAATAGCATATGAGAATCCACAAAACATTGTATTAAATAATCTATTGGATGTAGTTTGCAGTAAAGAATCGATTCCTATTAACATTGATACTCTTACCAAATTGGATACAGAAACCTATCGAAAAGATTTACAAGATCACACAACTCCTAATCAACAACAACAATCTTTTAATAATAATAATAATAATGAAACAACTACCACAACAAATGAAGAAGAACAAGCAAATCAACAAGTGGCAAAGATACAAAAAACAGGATTGAATGAAAATTTAAAGATTTATAAAGATCAGTCCGAAATTGATATAGACAACTTTGAAAATGAATAAAGAATGTTAATTGTTAGATATATTTATTAAAAATCTATTTATTGATAAAATATGTTTGCACATGATGATCTGTCAGATTGATCATTCTGAAGAATAGATTCCCATTTGTTGTTTCCAAGAGAGAACACGAAATTTCTATCTTTTCCTTGTACCGAGTAGATATAACTTTGACCATCATTTGATTTAAGGAAGATAAGATTATAGTCATTATTTATGTTGATTTTACTATTGTCTAATGATTTGATTTCATTGGTTTCAATATTGATTCGTTGTAACTCTGTTTTTGAATATATATATATATTGCCATTGCCATCGGTACAGGCTGCTGATGGATAAGAGATTTTTGATACTTCGATTGGTAGTTCAATTGTTTTTTTGGTATGTATGTCAAACTTTAAAATCTTTTTAGTAAATGGAGCGAAACTATAGATATAATCTTTGTAGAGGAATGTGGGATGATGATAATTTGTATCGATTTCGATTGTTGAGTATCTTTCGAATGTTGAATCGTGGATGTTGTATCTGTAGATAACGGGTTTTGGTTTGCCATTTCCATCGAATAAATAGATATGATCTTGACCATCATAGCAAGCTGATAAATATTGGCATGGATCAACACCTTTCATTTCATTGATAACTACTGTTTTGGTGTTGATTGAATACCTGATGAATTTGTTGCAGCTTGCTGTATTACCACCAAATAGATAGATAAAGTCACCAGCTTTGACAATTGAGTTGAATGCTGTTGAATATCGGTTCATTTCCATACCTAAATCTATATCTTGTTGTTCAAAATAAATGTTGTTTCGATCTGTAATATTGATGATTGATATCTTATTCTTTCTATCAGTTGAGAATATATATGATTGTTTGTTTTGATTTTGTTGGGATGGATTTGATATTAATTTGAATGATGATTGGATTTGATTCTTGATTTGATTGATTTGTTCATTATTGATGATTAATTGATATTGTTGTGATTTCGATTGTTGATTGTCATGATGATTATTGATTTTAATTGATTTATTGTGTTCAAGTAATAAATTTAAAAGTGAATGATTATCGATCATTGACTTGTTGGATTTATCCAAATAGAACAATGTATTGTTGTTTGATGAAATGAATTCATTGTGATCTGTTGATTGTGAAATCGATCGAATTATTGTTGTTATTTGGTAGTTATCTGTTGTATCTGCTGTTGATATAGTTTCTGATTGTGAATCTGATCGGTTGGTGATATTAATATGATTATTAATTGAATTCAATGATTTCACGATTTTGATTTGTTTATCGATTTGTTGTTCTAATTGTTCTTTATTGTCGATGATTGGTTTCTTTAATCTATGTTCTTCAACAACAAGGAATTCATGTAACTCTTTGAATTTACTTTCGATCTCTTGCTCTGTTTGTTGTAATTGTTCATATTCAGCAACTTTTAATTTCAAAGAATCGAATGTCGTTTTAATACTCGTTTGAATATCATTCATTCCTCTAACACTATTATTACTTTTGTTATTTATTTCATTGTCATCTGTATAAATGTTTGAATGATCCTCTTTGTTGTTATTCTTATTTGATTTAATATTTTCAATATGATCGTATGAATGACCTGTATGTTTTGGTGAACAGAGAGTGCACATCAAAACATTACAATCAAAACATATAAACTTGAGACTTTTGTTATGTACTCCACAAATATTATTACTACTATTCATTTTATAGTTATTTTATAAAATATTTTCAACAACTAAAAGAATATTATAAAAAAAAAGTATAAGAAAAAAAAAAGTGATATTTTAAGTTTAAAAAAATGAACTAAAAAAAATTAAAATTAAAAAATTATTGTGACTTATGTTCGGCAAAGAATAAATATCTTGCTTGCTCAGACTATCAATCCTTGTTGAAATAAACCGTTTACACCTGTCTGAGGGAGGGAGACGAAAACTACTATCGCCTACACCTACAATATATTGAAGAATTGAATTAATTTAATATAATTATGAGATTAGATTTTAAAAGGAAATCCTTAAAACAAACAAAAAATTATATTAAATATAAATTATTCGACTGTTTTATTTAGTTCAATATAAGAATAATTTATTTTTATTCTTATATTAATATATAAATAAATAAAAATTATATATTAGATATAACAAAAAAAAAAAAAATAGTTCCAAAAAAAATGTCAGAACAAATTTAAATCTTAAACATTTACAAAAACGAACGAAGATGTCTGAAACAGTCAATACTACAACTACATCTACTACGAGTACGAACTCAACAGTTGATGTCGAAAAAGTTGAATTACAAAATGATAATAGTAATAATGAAAACAATATAGATACAACTAATAATAATAATAATGCCGATGAAGAACAGAAACCTCTTTCGAAAGGTCAAATGAAGAGAAAGATCAAAGAAGAACGATGGAATCAAGTCAAGGATCAACGTAAAGAGTATCTAAAGCAGAAGAAGAAAGAGATTAAGAAGAGAAAGCATCAAGAGATGTCTAGAGAACAAAAGTTGGAGAAGAAGCTAAAGAAACAAAAGAAGCAACGTGATCCGTCCACCATTGAATACAGCGGCAATGTAGTGCTCGACATGGAGATGTCAGACCTTATGAACGAGAAGGAGATGCGTAGCACTGTCAACCAGGTCTGCTACCTCTACGGTGCCAACACCAAGTCCGAGCATCCACTTAAGATTGCAATCACCGGTTACAAAGGAAAGATACGTGATATGATGGAAGCAATGAATGGTGTACCCAATTGGAAATCAGTTAGTAAACATGAACAAACATATATGGATCTATTCAATAACCAAGTCGATGATGATGTTACTAAAGTAGTTAATGAAAACGAGAATAATAATAATAATAATAACGATAATAATGATAACGAGAATAATGATAATAATAATAATAACAACAATAATAATAATAGTGTTAAGAAATTAAGTAAAGATCAATTAGTATATTTAACAGCAGAATCACCGAATATTCTTCAAAAGATTGACCCAACGAAACACTATATTATTGGATCGTTCGTTGACCATAACAAACTCAAGGGTTATACCTATAAGAAAGCTACGGAACAAGGTATCGCCACTGCCCAACTACCGATTGCAGAGTATATTCAATTATCATCTAGAAAGGTGTTGGCTATTAATCATGGTAAATATTATATCTATCTTTATCACTTTAATAATCAACCCTAACTCTAACATGTATATTTATATATTTTAGTTTTTGAAATTCTTTTACAGTTTGCACATAACAACGATTGGAAAGAATCATTTGAGAAAGTAATACCATCAAGAAAACAAACCAAAGATGAAGATGAAGACGAGTATATACAAAGTGAATTGAACAACAAAAATAATAACAATAATAACAACAATGAAAAACAACAAGAAGAGGATGTTGCGACAACATCGACAACCTCGACAGCATCGACAACCTCGACAACATCGACAACAACAACACAACAAATTGAAGAAACAACCACAAAACAATAAAAAAACAAGATTATTTTTTAAATCAAATCTATGCAACTGGGGTATTAATATACACTATGATTTACCATTTTCAAACGATAATTCAAAAAAGCTTAAAAAACAATAATGATGGCTCAGAACCCAGGGTTTTTTTCTTTTGGTTTTGGAACGATAAAAAATTATAAAAAAAGTGTAAAATTATAAAACAATGTTTACTTTTTATTCATTTTAAAACAATTTCTACCTATTAATACCTTAAAATTCAATTGTTGTTTGATCATTTAAACCATTGTAACTGTTACGTAGATGAAACAGCTCAACAAACGTGTGTATAAACCAAAGTAAAAAAGATATTTCAATTCATCAGAAACTTTAATGCCATTTTTGGTTTCGATTTCTTTAAAGTATCTTGTTTTCTTATATGAATATAACCCCAGTATTTTAATTACTTCCAAAAAAAAAAAACTCGGCACTGATTATAAAATTTTAAGTGATCTTTTATATAATAAATAAAAAAATATCACCACTACCCCCAATTCGCAATTTTCTTCCGAATTCGGAAAGATATATTTTACTCATTGATATTAAATTTCATTCATTATTAAACCTCTCTACTACTTTTTTTTTTTTTTTTTTTAATATAAAATCAAACAAAGGTTTTTTGTTATTTATTTTTAAAAATCTTTAGTTGTAATACAATATATTTTATAACTAGTTATTAAAGTAAGTGTTGTTATATATATTTTTTATACCACCCAATAATAAAAATAAAAATATAAAAAAAAACACACAATTCATGCCGATGTTTAAGTATTACTTATTAGATTTGGGTTGATATACTTGACAGGAAAGAATGAGAGTGTGGTTAGTTTTAAAATGAATAAATATAGTAATTCATATTTAAAAAAAAAAACTATTTTATTATTATTTTCAATAATATTATTTTCAACATTTAATAGCAATAATAATAGTATTGCAATATTGTATTGTTAATACTACCACCACATAGATAGATCTTTATATTAATCAATTTAATTAATATCTATTAAAATAGTAGTAGTAGTTCACAGTTTAGGTTACATTCTTTGTTGGTCAATCATTGTACTGTCTAATGAGATTGTAAATCGAAAATGTCGACATCAAAAACAGTATTGGATATAGAGTTTCCAAATTATATATCTGCAGCACTACCTTATTTCATTATATTCTTTGTTTTGGAGCAATTGTTTGCGCTAATCATTAAGAAAAAAGATGATTTCCTATTAAAAGATTCATTTTCAAGGTAAAAAACTTTTATATCTATCCTCCACTTTTTAGTACCATTTTTTTTTAACATTTTTAACATTTTAAAAGTTTATCAACAGGTTTAACTACGATTATATATGAAAAGATAGTTCCAATAACACTTTTGAAGTCTATCGAATTCATTGTCGTCATTTACATCTGGATTCACTACAGAATCGTTGATATCCCAGAGGATTCAAAGCTTGCATCCGTAGCTACTTTCCTTTTAATTGATTTCGGATACTATTGGTTCCATAGATTAGCTCATGAAGTTAATTGTAAGTTACATCAATCAGTTAAATCCATCTAAATAAGAAAGAAATTCGATGTTAACAATGTAAATCTATTCTTATTTATTTTATAGATATGTGGGCAACTCATGTTACACATCATTCAAGTGAGAAATATGTATGTATAATTAAATAATTATTATGATCATAATTCAAACTAATTTTATTGTTTTATTTCTATATAATTAATCTATAGAATTTGACAACTGCTTTGAGACAAAGTGTTTTCCAAATCTATACAAGTTGGATGTTCTATATTCCATTGGGATTCTTCATTCCACCACAAATGTTTTTCTTCCACAAGCAATTCAATACTATCTACCAATTCTGGATTCATACTAAATATATTGGAAAGCTTGGTCCTCTCGAATGGATCATCAATACTCCATCTCACCACAGAGTTCACCACGGAAGAAATCCTAAATACATCGATAAGAACTATGCTGGGTATGTTTAAATTTAAAATGAACATACCAAACAAACATAATAATCAAATTTATATTAACATTTTAATAATCAAAATTAAAGTACTTTAATTATTTGGGATAGATTGTTCGGTACTTTCCAAGAGGAGGAAGAAGAAGTATTCTTTGGTTTGGTACATTCACTCGGAAGTTCCGATCCAACATGGTGTCAGATTCATCATTGGTATGATATGTACAAGAGAACCAAGCATTATCCGAAGCTCACCGATAAGATCAAGGTGTATCTCTGTGGACCAGGATGGAGACCTGGCATCCCAAGAATGGGACTTATCACTGATATTCCAATGCCACACAAAGGTGATATTGCCGAGCGTATCGGTGAAGGTTTAACAGTACTACTGAACACCTATATTATCTCTCACTTTATGTTGATTTCCATCTTTTCGATTGTGTGCCTCTCTGTATACGAAGATGAATTGGGTCCAACCAGAATCACCTGTACCATGGCTTACCTATATCTAAGTTTAACAACTTTTGGTGCCATTTTCGATAAGAAACGGTAATTATCTTTATTTATACCAAATTAACAAATTGAATAGCAAACAAAAACTAACAAACTTATCTTATATTAGTTATGCTATGACATTAGAGTTGATTAGATTGGTATTATTTATTGCTTTTACATGGGATGCATTGAACTCAACCGTTCAATACATTAGATTATTCTACTTTGTATCTTCTGCATGGGTAATTGCCAACCATTTCAGTGGATTATCATTTAAATCTAAACTAAAATAGATTGTTATTGATAAAACTATTTTTATTTAACTTTGTAAATTTATTAGAATAAAAAAAAAAAAAACAAAGTAACAATTTTATTTATATTAATTAAACGTTTGACTTGTCTTGATCAAGATGCTTCAAGTATTGGTTCTTTCTTCTTTTCTTTTGGTGATGATTCATTGAGTGATAGATTCTCTAGTTGTTCCAACTCTTTTTCTAACTCTATATCTTCTTGTGATTTTACTGGTGGTGTCTTTGATGTTGTTGTCGTTGTTGTTGTTGTTGGATTCTCTGTCGTAGGTGTCTTGTTTTGTTGTTGTTGTTTTAATTTTTGTTCTTCTTCCAATTTCTCTAGTTCACGCTCCAACTCTGCATCTTCCTCTGGGTTTGATTCTGGTGCGTTTGCTGCCATTCCTGTTGTGATTGCTTCTTCTATTTCCTTTTGGTTGAGCATAACATCGGCAAAGTCGTCCATTACCTTATCGACTTGATCGACCGACATCTTCTCATTGACCTTCTTCAAGGTGGATACACCGACGCACAGCGTATCCATTACCTGTTGATTGGAATGCGCCGATTCAATGCTTGCCAATAGTTCATGTATGTTATTCGATGCCTGTTGTCGCTTTGCTAGAATCGACTCCAATGTCTTCTTTCTCTTCAGCTGTGTCAATGAAAGATCCCTCTGTTTCGCTCTGACATATGTTCTTATCTGTTCGCTACAGGCATCGATATCATTCTTTAACTTTTCTTCCTGAGCAATCAACTTCTCATAGGTATTATTCAACTCTAGCACACCCAAATCTGTATCCAAAACCACTACTTTCTCTCCTTCATTTGCAAACTTTACACCCTATTTTAAAATATAATAGTTTAGTTAACAACAACAACAACAATTATAAGAAGTTATTCGAGAGAACTTGTAAGTGTTCAAAACTAACAAACAAACAAACAAACATACCTTGGTTTCATTATTATGTACAATTAATTTTGCTTTACCTTCTTTATCTAGGATATGAAGTAGTAGAGCAAGTTCCTCTTTGGTTATCAACCAATCGGCAATCTCTTTCTCGACGTTCGAGAGTGATACTATATTGTCTATTGTCGATTGTATTCTATCGAGTTGAATTTGATACAGTTCTTCTGCTTTGATGTTTGCTGCAGCCGGACAAACCAGTTTTCTCTCGAGAACAGCCTTACTGTTGTCTGTCTTTCTAGGTGAGTTCATACTGCTCGGATAAACCTTTGATACTGACCACTGGAATGTAGGTACTGCAACTCTATTCCACAACCAACTGGACCAACCCATCTGTGTAGTGAATTTACTTAACAATTCAATATCATTACCTCTTTCAATTTCATCCTAATGTGGATGTTATATTATTAATAACTAACTATATAGACAACTAACAAACATTAATTCAATATAGATTTATCTATATAGTACTTACGATGATGTTCATTAAAGAAATAGGAGTGATACCACCTTCCACAGTGAATATCTCTTTCAGTTGTTGTGGAGTGAATATCAGTAGATTGCATTCGTCTATCACTCTTCTAATAGATTTCGACCAAAAGTTTAATATATTATCGTAACGCTCTGGGTTCTGTTGTCTGGAGGCTGGCAATCTACTCAGTAGAATCTTTCTGCTTTCATGTTCTTCATCCAACTCTTTTATATTTGAGACAAGTTCTCTTATTTTTTTAATTTATTTTGATATATACTACTACTACTATTATTAATATTATTGCTATTTATCTTTGTAGGACTAATATTATTATTTTTATTCATTCTTTACAAGTAATAATAAATATATATTTAAAAAACAAATTAATAGTTTTTTTTATTTTCAAAAAAATTTTTTTAATTTTTTTAATTTTTATTAATAATAATAAATCCAAGTTATAATAATAATTATATTGTCTTTTATACTCGTCCAAGTTTGAAGATCAAAAAAATTCAAAAGAGTTATAAATTATTAAAATAAAATTGTAATCTTTTTATTGATTAATTAAAAAATGAACAGTTGCATTTAATATGTATAAAATTGGAAGTTGTTGATGCTTGTGAAGTTGATTGTTTTGTTTATGTATAATTTTGTCATGACTGAATGATTCTGTTTGAAAAGAAATAGGATCGAAGAAATGTTAAAACCTTTATAATTTTTAAAATCTATTTGTTTTTTTTACATACTTAAGCATTAATTGATAGAGTTGTTAAATCAAAAAGAGAAAAATTACAAAGGGAAGAAGAGATAAATAGTATTAAAAAAATGAAGAGATAAATCATTTTAAAACCAAGATCTCTTCCCTTTGTAATTTTTCTCTTTTCTTTGTTTTTTCTTTCTCTTTGATTACTTTATTTCTCCTTTATCTCTTTATTTTTTGTAAACCTAAAGATATCATGATTATGCTTTTTTTCCAATACAGTAAAATAAAGAAACCAATTAAAACTACATTTGATAACATGAATATTTTAATTAAACTTCTACATCAACAACTTCAACTACTAATACATCACAAAAGAGACTTGGTAAAGATGAATATAATAAATTGTGGAAGAGTCTCAGTAGTGATGATTAAAATAATTTGGCCTTGAATTTTAAAAAAATAATTTAAACAATTTTAAATTTATTTTCTATCATCCATCATTTCAATTTCAAAATAAATCACTTATCTCTATGAAAAATATTAACTAAAATAAATATTGAAAAACTAGGAGGTATAACCAAAAAAAAAAAACAAAAGTTACAGTTGAATTAGTAAAATATACATATAATATATTATTTATTATCCCTTGAAGGGAGATGGTTGATCAAAATGCTTGGGTGATGGTGGTGGTATTGGAGAGCTAGGCCTTGAGTTTCTTGGTGATTCGCATGGTGAGCTTGGTCTAGAGGAACGAGGCGATCTTGGGGATAGCGAAAATGCGTAGTTGGAAAATGCCATGATTGGATTGAAATTGGAGATTGAAAGTTTGTCGGGTGTGGTTGGTGATGTGATGATCGATGGTGTAAATCTTGGCGAACTAATAGGGGTGTTATCAACAGAGTGATAGAGCGAGGTGATGTGTTGTGGCGATAGATTCGATGCCGATATATTAAAGTCCAGAGGTGGTACTTTGCCAGGAGATGTCATTATCGCTGGCGATGAAGTATTGGCTGGATCGCCTTTCTTTCCGAGACGTGGACTGTCGGAATCACGATCACGATGACGTCTGTGTTTGCCAGACTTGGACGACTTCTTTGTTGGTGATGGGTTACTAGTAGAGCTACTACTGTTATTTCCAATAGAACTACTACTATTATTATTGTTGTTGCTACTACTTGCAAGTTCTGCCAAATCAGAGTTGGAAGTTGAGGTGGTGAGTTGTCGTTCTCTGTCTTGTCGCTTTGATATTTTTCTGAGATGTCGCTTCTCGATTGCCACTGATTTCTCGTACAACTCTGTCTCGCTGAGAACTGTAGAGTTCAAAAGAATGTCTTGAATGAATGAAACCGGTTCAAAACAATAGGGAGCAAGTTTGTAGGTTAAAAACTTGTTGACTGAACTGGCTTCCAGACGTTTCTTGACGAAATTGAGTAGGGTGTTGTTGAACGATGGGTTACCTTCGTCCATAAACGTCAAATCCATTAGATAGAGTCCAACGAATGGAATGACCGGTCCTTTTGCTTCGGCCAGCACAATTCTATAGAGCTTGAAGTTTCCTTCCATATTTACAAACTTTTCCATTTCATCGAATTGCTCGCGTCTACGTGATGACAGTGCCCCCCACGTTCCCTTGAGACGGCTAACCGAACTACTGCTCAGACCACTGACAATCTGGAAGACTCCATTGAAATTATTCATTTCATAGCAGAGTCTGGCAACGTCCAAAAAGAATTTCAATTTCTTCAGACGGTATTTCGATGATTTCTCAATGACAATCTCTGAGGATATCCATTTCGAACCGTTGTTGAATACGTTGATCATGTTCATTACGTTTGGACAGATCTCCAGGTTGTTTGCATGTTGGCTACTCCATTTCTTTGATAGCAGTTCCTTTGCTGATATTCTAGAGAGTAGAGTCTGATCGATCAATGCCATCTGACGCGCCACTTCAATCGGTGAGAGATCCAACAGCGTAAAGCCAGCTCCATCCAACGGTTTGAGTGGTAATATTGGTTTCGGTGCGTTCGAAGCAAACTTTATCAACTCTTCCATGTCATCTCTATTCTTCTTTTTCGTCTCATTGAATATCGCAATTAATCGTCTCGCCGATGTCTCCTTCTCAAACATCAGTGTGTTTGTGAGGAAACTGTTGAAATTCTGTAGTAGCTTGGGATTTACCTCAAAGTCATTGAGATGATTCTTTATCCAATATCCCATCATTTCGATAACCTTTTCTTGAATACGTGGTTTCACAGTCTTTCTAAACATTGCCAGCTCGGTTGCGCTCGCATGGATAGGCGGTTCCACATGATATCGGACACAGAGCAATTGGAACAGCTCTGTCGGCGACAAAAACGATGAGTAAGTCGCAAAAAATATCTTTGGAAAAGCGGCTTCCGTGTAGGTAGTATAGGTAAGATGTTCAACCAACTTGGCAATGGTGGCATATTTGATGATTGGCAAAGATCCTATTGTACCCGCATCCGGAGTATAATAGATAATATTACCATCGTGGTCAGGCTCATCGAATCCGAAAATCGAACCAAAACGTCCACCCGATGTCATTCCACCTATCGATCGCTTTCCACTGCCAGTCGATAGCAACAGTAGTACTTTCGAAACCAACATGTACCATATCTTCCTGCAACGTCGCGACCTGTACCATCGTTGAATCGTGACGGCTGCACGATGCATCTCTGCACTCTTGCTTGCGTAGGACAAGCTCTTCTCGAGATCGCGCTTCTCCATTAACGCCATAACAACGTTTCTAAATCTATATTGTTTCTTCCAAGCTCTGTAGTGTCGTTGAATGACACGCGCACATATCTCACGACGATGCAACAGCTCCAAGTGCAGCTGCTTGACAACACCCACCACGTCACTCTGCAACAGCCGTGGAGGCACTGGATTACCCGTTAAATTGAGTGAGTCTAGATATTTCAAAAGTGACAACTCACATGGGATGTTGGTGAGTCTGTTGTGGTGGAGGAGTAGGTGATTCAGTTGTTGGAGATATTTGATTTCCACAGGGAGTTTCTCGATTTCGTTGTATTGTAAATAGAGTTTTCTAAGATTCTTTAGTTTCTGTATTGATGCTGGTATTTCCACCAATCTGTTGTTTGAGAAGCTGAGTTCGGTTAGTGATTTACAGTGGACAAGTGACTCTGGGAATACAGTGAAACTGTTGTCCCAGAGCGAGAGATTCGTCAGATTCTCCAGCGAGCCAAAAGAGTTGGGTAGTGCCGCCAGCCGGTTGCTACGAAGATTCAGGTTGACCAGAGTCTTTAGCCGGCCAAATGAATCGGGCAGTGCAGTCAGCCGATTGCTAAACAACGAGAGTGTAGTGAGTGCCGTCAGATTGACAAAGTCGGCAAAGATATATTCGATTTCGTTGTTGCTGGCATTCAGAGTTTTCAGTGCGTTCAGTCCCGAGAGCGAACCGGGCAGAGCAGTCAGCTGATTGTGCTCGAGTGACAGCGTTCGCAGTGATGTCAGTCCACCCAAATCGGGTGGGATCTCTTTCAGACAGTTACGCGACAGTGAGAGATCGCTTATTTTCTTTAACTCAAAGAACACCTTGTTGATCTTTGTGATCTGATTGCCGTCCACCTGGAAATCCTCGAGATCGGAAAGCAATCCGATTTCATCGACCACCACCGACAGCCTGTTATTGACGATCCAAAATATCTTGAGTGATCGCAGCTTATAGATATCGGGTGGTATCTCCTTTATCAGATTGTCATTCAGATTCAACTTTGTAATATAATTAAAGTTGGTGCATATAACCATTGGCAAATGTTTAAGATTGGTTTCCTTCAAATTGATATCTTTCGAATGATTCTTTTGTGCTTCTTCAAGCAATTTCGATACTTTTGATCCCTATCATTATCAAATAAATAATCAAATTATTAATTTATCTAAATCTAAATATATAAATCTTTTTTTTTTTGTTCAATTTACCATTTTTTATATATATTTAATATGTTTGATTTTTTTTTTTAAATTTGGTTTGGTGGTGTCAGATGAAGTGAAGTGAGGTGATATGATAGTGTGATTTATGATTTAATACTATAAACTATAATTCTAAAAATATATATTCTATTTATAATTATAATAAAAGTTATAAACAAAAAAACAACTAACTTTTAGATTTGATATTATTGAACTAGTTTGTTTATTTATTGTTGTTATTGTTGATTGATTGATCACTTGTTTAATGTGTTAGAACAGGTTGTTTATTGTTAATGATACTACTTACTAGTAGTATAGTCGAGGGGTGTAGGTGTGTGTGTTAGTTTTGATTATTTTTATGTTGAGAAGCACAACAATTAATTTATTTTTTATTTATTAATTACTGTTATTATTATTACTGTTAGTTAATGGTATGAATGAAAAGTCAACTTTATATATAAAAATAAATTTGTATATCTTTGGTGTGTGTATGAATAGATAAATGAGTGATGGTTTGTTTTTATATATGATGATGTGTGTATTCACACAATTCATCCAGTTTGTACTGACACCGTAAAATTAAATAAATAATTAAAAAAAAAATGGATAAATGAATGAATGGTTAATTGAATGATTTTTTAATAAAGATTAGTTTTTTTTAGCCATCAAAAAATCTGTTTGGGAATTGTTTTTATTTTTTGATGGCTGCAAAAAAACAATCAATTCGTTTTTTGAAAAAACAACACTTTTTTTTGTTTTCATTTAAATTCGGATTATGTAACAGTCAAATTTGTTGAAAATGAACTTTCTTTATTTTCGTAATACCTTTAATAACGACACTCAACGGTTATGATCATACCAGACGAATATGATCGATTGAGTGCATCTTTAACTTTACGAAGAACATTTAATCTCTCATTGTTAGTTTGTTGTTGTTCAGAGTTGGGTCTGATTGGTTGACAGGTCGGACTGACAAGCACAGCCGATACAGTTGAGGCACCATTGACATTGTTGATCTGAGCTTGTAGATTGGCATAGCCACTTCCGGTGAATCCCTGATTATCGATCCTAATTGGTCGGCCTCCAGCGACACTACGCGTCATATCAGTCAATCTGTTTCTAAAGATATCGGCAAATTGCAAAATTGCAGCTTCATTTGATACACCTAAAATAAATAAATAACAACCACAATAACAATAACAACAATTATCATTAATATTGAACACTCCATTCCATTCCATTAAAGAATAAGCATCTAAATACCTCTACTTTGTGGGAATGTTCCTCTATTACGTATAGGACCACTATCTACAAGATTGATTTGTAATGGTCCTTTTTTGGGTGGTTGTGTAGCTGCTTCAGCTTGCTCGGCTTCTTCAGCAGAGTGAACAACGGCGATAAATACTATTAAAATTAATGTTAATACTGTAGAAAATTTCATTCTTTACTAAATAAAATCAATTGATATTAAGATCATCTTTTTCAAATCCTTTTATAGAGAGATGACCATGTTCGGTTTATTTTTTTCTTGAATAACTTTGAATTGGAAACAATTTTACAAAAATTAAAGTTATAAATAAATAATACTTTAATAATAATTTATTTGTGTTTTTGATTTCAAATAATTATTTTTTCAAAAATTTATTAATACATTTTTTGTTTTTTTTTAATAATATAAAATCAATCTATACAATAATATCTATAAGTTCTGGAGGGTAGAATATGAATACAAACAATATTAAAAATTGTAAGTATTTTTAGTTTTATAAACGATTAAAAATTAGAGACAAGTTATAACTTGTAAATAAATGTTGTTGTAATTAGATTCATCTTTATTGTACAATAATAAAGATCACAATATATAAATATATATATATTTATTGTTACAATTATTTTATTCTTGCTTTTTAAATTTGTATTGCATGATTTGAATGAGGTTACCACAGGTATCATCGAATGATGCAATCATTACGGGACCGGCATCCATTGGTTCAACTACAAACTCTACACCGAGTGACTTTAGACGTTGGAACTCCTTGTCGAGATCTTCAACCTCGAACTGAGTGAATGGAATACAGTCGGCTTTCAATGCACTCTGGAATGGTTTGGTGGCTGGATGAGCGTTTGGTTCCAACAATAACTGAACACCATTCGGTTGATCCGGTGAGACAACTGTAAGCCAACGATAATCACCAGCAGAGATATCAGCTTTCTTTTGGAATCCCAATTTATTAGTGTAGAAATCTAATGCTTTCTCTTGATTATCTACAAATACAGTTGCAATAAAGATTTTCATTCTTTAAAATTCGATGGTATATAATATTTGATATAATTTTGTTTATTTATTTGTTTGCTTTATTTTTTAAATACCTAATGGTCTTTTACCTTTATTTAAATACTTTTTTAAACAAACGACAAAGAGAAACATCAATCATTTCTTGGAAATTGGCCAACATTATGTTCTTTTTTAAAAGCATTAAAAGTTGAAAAAAATATCTATCATTTATTGACATTTCAATGGGATCTACTTAAACCCCGCATTTTCAAATGACACGTGACACTTTTGACACCAGGCTGGTATGTCGCGCGACCAAAAATAATTCGGATATTTTTAATTTTTTTTTGACAATTTTTATTAAATTTTTATTATTATTAACATCACCATTTGACAAAATTTATAATAGAATCATCTGATTTATAGAGTTCATTTATAAGTTTAAATATTTTACCATTTTTGAAATTTGAAATCTCGATGAATCCACCATCCAGTTTGTTACTGAGGACGAGTGCATGATTTTCAGAGGCGAGCTTGATGTCGAATGTGTAGCTGTGAGAGCAATGCAATATGAGGTGACCTACGTTCGTTGGTAGTGTACGAATGTTTCTATAGACAGAGGTTATATCGGTGTTAAAGTAGAATTCGTCGCTGTAGTCAAACTCCAGTACGACGTGCGAAGGCATGCCAGCGAGCGATTCCATCTGATTGAATTCCTGGCCAAAGACAATACGCTCCAGGTTTACGAAATTCTGTGTGTTGATAGGCTGATTGAATCTGTTGTTGAAACGCAGTGTGCGGAGCGATGTCGGAAGTTTTGGTATCGGTTGATTATAGAGGAATCCGAACGACAGATGTTTCAGGCCACTTGGAATCACCGCTTCGTTCAGCTTCTTGTTGAAACCGTTGCCAAACTTCAGTGTTTCGATGGTGGCTGGCAGTTTGCTGGTGATCTGAGTGTTGAAACGTGCACCGAATTCCAGTGACTTCAAGTTGGGTGGCAGTGGACCGAGCGAGCGATTATAGAACTTGCCAAACTTTAGCTTGGTCAACGATCGCAGATTACTGAGCTCCGGCTGGCTATTGTAATTCTCACCAAACTTCAAACTGACAAGCTCCACTGGTAAATCTCCGTCTCTAATGGGTTGATTGAAATTCGCACCGAAAACAATGGAGATCACCGACGACGGTATGGAATTTGGTTCTAGTTGACGATCGAATTCATCGCCAAACACCAATTTCGTTGTTCCAACGGGTATAACACCGACTTCAAACAATTCATTTGCTATATATCTATATATTTCTTTATCTATAAGAATTGAAGGGATTTTAAAATAGAATGAATATCAAAGTACAATACTTGATTGATCGATTCGATTGATTAGTTATAGTTTCTTACGTTTTGACACACGAGGAGTTATGTTTGGTAAATCATTTGCATTCCCTCTTTGTTCATATGACTTTTGCACTACATTTGTGTAATCTTTCATATTAAAGAATGGTCTCTTCTTTAAATGTTCGAAATCATGTATAGAAGGTGGTGTTATCAACACAAGATATCCATCTTTTTCATTATACAGCTTTTTACAGGTCAAAGAAAGACATATCTTATCACTATTATCTAAATGACTAATAATATGTTTCAATATAGTATGTGGTAAATGTGACATTATAGAAATAAATTAAAATGTGTTGATTAAAATAAAAAAAGCTTGCAAGTGTGCTTTTTATGGTGTGATCATTTAAAAAAAGATCTATAAATTGAGGGGATAAAATTGTTCAAATCAAAAATTTCTTGTAATTATTTTGCAAAAAAAAAAAAACGACACATAATTTAAATTTGCTACACATAAAAGTAAAGTCTTTAAATGAAATAATCAGCTTCTTTAAGAACCAGAAATCGATATCTGAATTCAAACATCTTTGATTAGTGTAAGTATTCATCTCATTTTAATTTTTAAAAATAAAATAATAAAAATCTACTAAACATTTTATATTTATTATAAAATGTGAATATTTATTAGTTGTTCTTTTTTGGTGTCTTTGTTAATTATTATTCTTTTGGTCAGAAAGATGAACATTTTGACTATTTACAATTATTAACAGTGTAAGTTTAAATAATAAATATCACCTTTTTAATATTTTTTTAAAAGGGGTTATAAGTTACATTTTATCATATAAAAAAAAGTGGTATGAATTTGAAGTGATAGCTATTGGTTATTTTTATCTTTAGGGTTCCCAATATACATAAACTAATATAATTACCTAATGAACTTTGATTTTGATTCATATAAAGATCTTTTTGAACATATCGTTCAATCGATATCGATATTATGGTGATGTTCTCATAGCTCATTTTTATTGAACAAATTCAGCTATAAAAAGAATTCAACAATAAATTTATAAATCATTCTTTCTATTTCGGAAATCAAATTAAACATTCCAACAAACTAAACAATTTAAAATGAAACAATTTGCAATTTTATTAATGCTTGCTCTCTTGGGTATGCTCCTAACATTTGCATCTGCAAACAATTGTGATCGATGCTATCAGTTAGCTGATGATGTCTTCAATCAGTGTAGATCCGGAGGTCATGATTACAGAACTGTATGTATAAGAAAATAGCTATCTAAATATAGAATTTTTAACCAATGTTGTGTTAATAAAATTTTTTGTTCCTATAGTGTATTGGTCTCTACAATAGTTACATATCAACATGTAACTGTTAAGTGAATAAATCTCAAATAAAATAAATTACTTTAGGAATTCTAGATTTATTCTAAATTTTAAAGTTTTTTTCAATATATCAAAATGCAATTGTTTTTTTGAATTATTTATTCTGGAAAATATTGATTTAAGATTCAAGACAGTAAAGAATACAAATTTGATTCTATTTAGACTCATGTTTTTAAATCTAAATGAAAATAGAAAAAGTTTTAAAAATAGTTATCTACCCTTAACAAACTATACCATCTTTCGATTGAGGATATTGCTTATAATTTGAGTTTATTGTTATCCAATAGTTTGATTTGGTTGGTTTCAATATTGAATCGATGTAACCCTATGTATTAGAACATATTGAGATTTCTATTGAAATTGGTATGATTGGGGGTTTTGTGGTTGATATGGTTGTTGGAATTGTAATCCTTTTTGTTTTTGATAAGTAAAATTTGATCACAATTGATGTTACATTGCTCGTTTTTGAGGATTTCTTTGAATCTAAGGTAGACGAGAACATTGTTGGCAATACATAGTAAGACAGTATACCTTTTCCCTGTATAAATCAAAAATATATATTTAGTATTTCGATCTGTTCCATTTGTAATAAAATAATACCAATCATATGATAAAGTACCAATTAGTATCATGACTAATCTATTTATTAATGATAAGTACTTTAAAAAAGTAACAGAATTAAAATTAAGTTTAAACAAAATTTTCAAAGAGTGAGTGATAAAGATAAACCCCTAAATTCTAAAAGAGATAGTTTAAAAAAAAAATAACAAAATTTTGGAGAATAATCTTTTTATAATAATCTTTTTTTAAGAAATAGTTGTTTAGATTTACATATATTTATTAGAATATCTATAGCAACATGAATCAACAAAAAGATTTAAAGGATCTTTTAGCAAAATTCTTTAATGACGATCTTCAATTTAGTTTTTTACAAAGTATCAGACATAGTGCCAGGGATAGACCAATGTCAGAAAGCCTTAAGAATATCGTCTCTGGTTTAAAAATTCACTTTAAAAACAAGGAATCATCCAACAACAATGATGAACATATCGATAATGGTGTGTTATTCGAAATGTTATATGTATGTATTGATTATTTTAAATAAATGCAGAACAAAATTATCTAATACATTAGATCAACAAAAGTTAATATATCTACATAATACAGCAAATATCTATTTCGGTAACGAGTTAATTGATCATTTTAAAAGATATATTGTCGATTACCTCAAACCTGCAAGACATGCTGAACCGAATCTCGATCTTATTAACTTTGATTCGGCACTCTTTGATGATACATGTCTAGATATACTTGAATCACTTTGCAAAGAAGACGATCTTAAAGAAGTATATTCAATCTATTTCCAATTATGTGTTACCAAAGGAGATGATTTAGGATATGAAAGGCTTGACCGATTGTACCAAGAGACCAATATCTCTAAAATCGAAAGATTTTGTCTACAAATCATCAACGATAAAGAGTCAATCTTTTTATCAGATGAAAATAGATTCTTCCTCATTACTATGGTTATCATGCACAACCCAAAGAGGATATCAGATTTACATCAACATCATCAATTGGTATTTGAGTATGTATCTTAAAATCACTAAGATAAATTACTAATTTATTATTTTTTAAATACTAATTTATTATTTTATTTTAGGAACGTATTTACATGTTCTTCTCTGTTATTCACAATCACCGCGAACAATCTGACATTATTTGAAAAGTATTTTGAAGTGAATGAAAAAAACACCACATTTATCAGTGATATGGTCAAGGATGGAAAGCTTCATTCTACCCATAAATATGGACAGTTTGACTTGTTTTTCCCCATGTACCACCGATTTTTGCAATCGGAAGCTGAGGAGATCTATGAGAAGTATCTCGATGATCTTGATATGGTTTCAAGATATTTCTTGCTTTCAATGCTCCCTGCCACTTATATGGAGAGACCAGAGACGATACAGTATATTAAAGATCATATCACTTTCAGTAACCTCAATTCTCTGGTATTTATTTCACTCTATGTTCAAAAACAAATAGATATTCCAAATGATATTCGTCACATATCAATATGGGATGACTACAGACAAAGCGATATCGACGACATTTTTAATATCAAGGAAGTTGTCATTCAATCAGTGATTTCATTGTATCAAATCAATCAAAATTCAATGTTGATTTTCATCCTATTTAATCTTTTGAATGATTACCGATCATCAGATTTCATGGTTCAAACAATCAGACCTTATAAACACCTTTTGGATAGATTACAAGACAAAGACAATGTTGATATCAATGTTGATAAGTTTCCACTTTGGGTTGAAGTTACTGAATATATCAATCAAGAACAACGATTAAAATTATTGAAATTCTTTTGGAGTAAAGGTTTTTCAATAGAACAAATGGAAACCGTTGATTGATTCACCATCAATAATCAAGAATATCCGACTGCTTTCGGAGATATGCAATGACCAACTTGTCAAATACCTCAGCCAATGCAACAAAGTAGAGTTTATCAGATGTTATATTTCTGTTCAATATAGAGACAACTATCTCCTTTTCGCCATAAATGGACTTCCATAAATCATATCACAGTTGATCGATCGAATGTATCAATTACAACCAGAAAATCTCGATAATTTGATTAAATCAATTAAATTCCAACCATATTCAAATATCATGAAACTTTATCCATCTGAAAACTCATTCCTCAAATACTTTGATAATCAACAAGATCTTATTAATAATAATAGAGATGACAAGATTAATCTCAATTTTTATGGATATACAGAGATTATCAAATATCTAATTCATAACTATCATGATATGGTCAGAATCGTGGATCTTTCAACAGTATCGAAACAATTCCATCAAATATGCTCATCAATCATCTCAAACAATATCATTCCAAATATAATGATAAAGAGTAGAATTGATTATATTGGATCACAATTCTGTTTATTCAAGAATGCACCTTTCCACCTCAGAAACACAGAGATTAATCACATACCAAAAGAACACAAAATCAACTGTTTCAACAATCTTCAATCTTTGACAATAATACTTATCACCAATCGGAGTTTAAATATCAATTACTTTGAATTTAAAGCTCCCAATCTCAAAAATATCAAAATCTTTTATCTCCACAAAGGTTTTCTCAAACTCAAGCACATCAAAAACATTGAAGACTTGACCACTCTAGATAATCGATTCTATGATTTCACTTGTGAATATTCTGATAACATAGATGACATAAACACTCAGTCTGGGCAAAGCGATAATATGGGATCCAATGACGAAATAGATTTGGAGAATCTTCTCAAACATTTGGACAATGATGATTTGGAATCAATCGAATACAATTCAACATATAGAGCCGACTTTTCAGAGGTATTACAGTGTTTAAATCAACTCAAGAAAAGAAAACCACATCTCTCGATCAAAGTATCACAACGACATCTAAATCTCAGTAAACCACTTCAAGATGAATTTCAATTGTTCGACACATTGATGGTCTCCTACAATCAATTGTTTTTTTCTTCGTCCAGCATTTGGAAACAGATACTGTTTTCAACTGTACACTATCCTGAACATATTAAATGTATCCGTATACTCTTTGACCATAAATATTTACATGCACCCAAGCAAGTATTTTTATACTGTGTGGACAAATTGTTTTCAGAATTTTCATATGGTAAATTTAAAAAGATCAACATTATTCAATTTGTATTTAAAAGTTTGAGTGGTGCACCCGAAGTATTAATACCAGTAATCAATGAAACAAATCTACACTCCATTGAAACACACCAATTTGTACCAATCGATTCAAATTATTTAACATTTAAAAGAATACCAACTGACCCAATAAATGATAGTAATGATGAAGAAGAGGAAGAAGAAGAAGATCATAAAGAAGGTGAAGATTATGAAGATCATGAAGAATAATAGTAAATAAAATTATAATTTAACTGATTTTTTTAAACATATCCTTTTTTTTTTTTAAACTATCAAAAATATTTATCTAATTTTCAAGATTTGATTTTGTTTATTGATCTTTTAAATTCGGTAAAATCATTGTTGGGTTCAAAGTTATTTAATTTAATCTTTCTTTTCTCGACTAACGCTTGATTAACTATTGGAATCTTTATAGGCGAGTCCCATTCCTTGATTTGTAGTGAGAGTGTAAATAGTTCTATTGTTTTAAATGGTTGATAATGATGCATTGTCTGAATAATTGAATTTAATTTAACAAAGAATTGATCATTGTTAAAAGATTCAATTGTTTCTCTACAATTTAGAAGTGTCAAATCGAGTCTTTTCAACTGAATTTCTTTTGGTTCAATAAACAGATAATTCATGATCGGCACCAGTCTCCAGTTGGATGTATCGAGCGACCAAAGCTCCAACGATAGGTGTGTGGTCTTTTCTGAGTAGTAAGAATCACCAAAATCTTCATTCACAAAGTCTTTGTTTACCAATTGCCTTAATTTGATATAACCTTCCGAAGGTTTTGAATAGATGACCACTGTTGGATTCTCAAACTGAGCATTTGTAAGTAGACATTCAACTGGCGTTAGTTTACTGTGGATCTTTACATAATCTACAATTCTTGTGGAATAGTCGGTTAGAGAATCCACATATTCCACATAGATTTCCTTCAGTTTGGTGTTGGATCTTATCAACTGTTGAATGTAGCTCTCGTTCAACTCGGAGATAAAACCATATTCATATTCGCCGCTATCTAGACCGCGTTTCTCTAGATCCTCGTAGAACTTGTAGTCTGCCTCTCTCATGACATTGAGCAACTGAAAGTGATTGCGATCCATGTCCCAAACCTTTGTAAATTTCTTGCCACGCACCGATGCGGTAGTGCATTCCACAAACGATAGCTTCTCCAGTTGCGAAGTATTGAGAATATTGATTAGTCTTTGCGAACCTATATACTCTTGATCTGGCATATCAATAATTCTGGTGTGGGTGAGTGATTTCAGATTCTTTTGGCACCGCATTTGCCATGCTTCGGGAATGTACATTATCTCATAGTCATTAAGGTGTAGTGGCGTCGATTTGAACAAACAATATTCCGATCCGATGAACGATATCATTGATTTGATCTCTAGAGATTCATGTGGTTGTTCGGTCAACATCTTTGATATGACATTAAAGAATAGACGTGACACCAAAGACAAAGATCTAACCTTCCAGAGTATCGAAACTCGATGATCTCTAAATAACAGATCTAATATCGATTTTATGATAATAACAGGTAGAGAAGGTACTACTTTTCTTTGTCGATTATTATCATCGTCGTCATCATTGTCATCATTAAAATATTGATACTTATAAAAGTTATATAATGTTGATTGTAATCCTATTGTATCCATTTGCTTCTCTACATTATTATTATTCTTATTATTATTTTTAATATAAAATATTTGAATTTAAAAACTCCATTAAATCAAATTGGGTGCTTGGGTTCTTTTTTTTGATATTATTTGTTAAAAACAAATTTTTTTTTTTTTTTTTTTTTTTGAAAATTTTATAAGAAAATTATTTTAGTTGAAATTTAAATGATAAATCTTAAATTTTGCTAAGTTCGTAACAAAAATAGATATTTTCCAAAAAAGTTTCGGGTTTCATCGAAAACATGATATAACCTGTGGTATGCAAAAAACAGAAAATAAAATCAAATTTTTGGGAAAAATACAAAAAAAAAAAAAAAAAAGTGAAATTTTTGTGTGACCTCATTTTAATGTTAGGGTTATATACTCATCACATTAAACAAACCTATTAAAGACAAACTATAAGGTTAAAATTATAATGCTTAAAATAAATTATCATATCTCTGTGAGGTGAGTGATTTGATAATGTCGACCATATTATTATTATTACTGGTCTAATAAGGTAAGGCCCTTGTCAACAAATCACTGACTAGTCACTCTCCACTCTCACAAATCACACTAATTATCTATTAATGAATGTTGTTCATGATATTAGTTTAATTCTTTGCTATTGTTATTATAATTATTATTATTATTAGTTCAAAAATCATTCATCAATATTAAAATATATTATTATTATTTCAAATTAAATTAAATTAAATTAAAAACTTAAAAATATATTTATTATTATGTATTTTTATTATAAATATATATTTATTTTATTAATAAATGTAATTATTTATAGAGTTATAATTGCACATCAATGTATTCACGATGAATTATCGTCGAGAATAGTAATTGAAAAATCAGAAGATTACTTTTTAAAAGGTGAAAGCCGAGCGACCAGTGTTCACCCACTTCGAATTCGGTTCAATACCACCTATTTGCAGTTGGACAAACAACAGAGTTGCTATCGTGCCGGTAGTTCTGTTTTGATCGGTCCAAAGGGATTCCAATCGATCGGTCTATGTGACACTTACAAACGAACACCGTGCACCTACATCTGCAAGCAAGAGGATGTCGTTAGCGCCGAGTTGATCGACTTTTTCAATAGCCAGATACTACCGAATATCACTGAGTTCTTTGAACGCTATCTAACGGTGAATGCACCCGACCACAAAGTTCTGCGGACAATCATCAATTGTGGCGAAGCTTACGATATCGATTTGTCGCGTGGATTCAAAGGTGACTTTATGTTCTATGTCTCGGCGCATCCCATTGTGACAAACACGGAATCGATTGCTTATTCTCTGACGTGTGCTAGCCATGCTCACAACGATGCTCCCTACGTCGGACTTATCAATCTTCAACCGGCTTACTTCCAGCGATTCCTCAATGAGACCGCAAGGAAATCCAATCTTTTGGTGGAGTGGATGCAAGCCTATAGGATCTTACTTCACGAGGTGACACATTCGATCGGTTTCAGTAAGAAACTCTTTCAATTCTATATAAATAGACTCACCGGGAAGAAGTATGTAAATGTAACAACGAAAAGCACCACCAATGGATTGTCACCGTCTGGCGAGAGCTTCCAATATACAAGTCAATCAATTACGACGCCATCTGTAAGAACAGTGGTTGCCAATCACTTTAATTGCGACGAACAAAACGGTGCGGAATTAGAGAACATCGATAATAACAGTAGTGGAATAGTAGGTTCACATTGGAAATCAACTAAATTTGGTGAAGAACTAATGTTAACAAATACAATGCCGATTTCACCATTTACAAATTTAACACTTGCTTTATTATATGGTATGGTATATTTGTTTTGGATAATTAATTAACTAGATATTAACAAATAATAAATATTTTTATATATAGATTCAGGATGGTATGGATTAATCAATTTAGATAAAATTGAATCAACCAATTGGGGAAAAGGAAAAGGATGTTATTTTGCAAATCAAACATGTTCCATGTCGACTTGGAACTACACTGGTTACTGGCCAGCAGAGAACAACAAAGTAGGATGTTCCGCCTCGAGGAGTGGAATGGGTATGGCATCATGGACCGAGCATTCTCGGAATCTACCAGTGTACCAACAGCATTGGAGTAACTCTACAATAGGAGGTAATGGTGGTGCCGAATTTGATTATTGTCCATTCAGCAAAACATCTATCTTTTGTTTCGATACATCGCAATCAAATTCCTCAAACAACTTTTTTGATGATAGAGGTGATAGACATCTTTGTTTCGATCAAATAATTAACAGTAATAATAGTTTAGATTATATTCAAATGGGATGTAGAGAATATCGTTGTGAAGTAGATGGAACACTACAAGTTAAAGTCAATCAGAAATGGTATAGTTGCCAACCAAACGATAGAGTGGTAGTCAATGAGAATATAACAATAGTTTGTCCAGATGAATTCGATCAAACCTGTGGAACCTCTTCATTCGACATAGATACGGATACTCTTTCAGAACCTTATTCTGGATATAACAGTGCCATTTCATCTTTTAACCCAAAACAAACTTTAACCAACAATGTCATTATAGTAACACTTGTATATTTATTATTATACATATTTTAAAATATAAATAAATAAACAAGTCAAGTAATTTAATTAAAAAAAAAACGAACTATGAAATTTCGATTTCTTTTTTTTTTTTTGTTCACACGAGTCATTAATTTATCAATGCAAAGTGATCATTTTTATTAATATTATTCATTAAAATCAATTTAAAAGAGTAGAATATTTATATATATAAAAACATATAAAATGGATAATACAACAACGAGAAGATTGAAACAGATTCAGTATGTAATGAATGATTAATTAGATAGTCAGTGTAGTAATAAAGAATGATTGTATTAATAATATGCAACAACAATCTTTTGTTTAATTAAATAAATAGAGGTCACTTTTCGTCTCCACAGTCTGTGAGGGTATTACCACCATTTAAGAGTGACAATAGAGTGAATCTTGTATCGATGTGGAAGCAGATGACAACATTAACCAAGACGGGTGCAATGTTTATACCACCACTAGCTACCTACTATATCTATAAACTACTAAAGAGTAAAACTGGATTAGTAGCACAACTCATTACACAACATAAAGATATCGATTCAATCATTAAAGAGATCTCTGGAAATAATACATTAGATAATATAGTTAAACTTGCTGGTAAAGTAAGTAAATTCTTGGATATCATCAAATCAATCTTCGAAGATATATTAATCGTTCAGCAATATTAACACTTTACAATCTAGATAATAGGATTAGCAGGAATATATCAAATTTCACAAAGAATGCAAACATATTTAGGTGTAAAATTAACATTTAGTAGATCATATCAAGTTATGTTGACGATTTCATCGATTATGGAGACTATTTTAACATTTGTAAAGTTACCTCAAAAGTTTGTATTATTTGATTCAAAACAATGTCGACATTTCTATTTGTTTTATTAACATTGTTTTTTATTTATTTAAAGATGGGGACCTGTTTTTCTCATTGTTAGTGTAATATATACAATGATTTATATTAGAATATTATATTTGACGTTGGTACATAATAAGAAGATTGAAAGTTTATTGGGATCGAATGATAGATGTGTTCGTGGCGACAATCTTAGAAATACACAAGGCATTGCTCTGAATATACCGGGATTGGGTGCATGGGGATCGGTCGTTGCACTTACACTCTGGGTGTGGCTGAAGGAGGCACGTCGTTTGGTACAGAGTACCGGTGGTATTCTCTCGATGACATCGTTCATCTTGTCGGCGGTTGCATCGATGCGTGTCGGTTTGCGCGCAGCAATGACATCGTTCCCCGGGTTGACACCATACGAAGGTAGTTCAGCGGTGGTAGTAGCCATCATACTCGGTGCACTCCCACTGATCCCATCGTGGTCACTCTCAGAGTGGTCGAGAACACTTCTCACAGGTTATTTATCAATCATAGTTTCGATGTCAATCAATTCATACTTTGCATGGAAGCGACCCAATGCAATGCTTTAAATAATTTAAGAATAATAGCAATATAATAACAATATAATCTAATATATTTAAATGTACATACAAATACAAATTAAAAAAAAAGAAAAAGAAAACAAGTTATATAATTGATATATATATATATATATATATTAGATTATATAATATCTAATGTTAATATATTTAAACATTTTGTTATATTTTGTATAGAATAATATTAAAAGATATATATATGTTTTTTTAATTTATCTATTTTGTCTACTTGATTTAAATCTTGATACTTTTTGTTCTGGTTGATTTACTACAGGTTCAACTGGTTTTATATCTTCTTCTTCTTCAAAACTATCGGTATTCTTTTCTATGATATCACCAGAGAATGCTTGATTTTCTATAAATATATAAATTATTAGTATTTATAATGCATCCAGTTAAATTTAATGATAGTTACTTGGTGGATTTGGTGTTGATATTTCTTTTACATTATTAGCATTGTTAAAACTAACTTGTTTGTTAACTTTCTTTATAAAATCAATAGGATTGTTTTCATCGTGTAAATCCATTTGTGAAGGTGTCTTTTTTAAAAAGATATTAATAATTAATATTGTTATTTAAATATATATGTATATTTACCTTTAATATAGACTTTGGTGATTGTGATTGTTTATATGAACTAGATGTTGATGTTGTAGATGTTGTTGTTGTAGGTGTTGATGTAATATTGAAATTCTTTCTTCTTTGTTCTAAATAGTTCTTTATCTCTAATGAATCTTTAACGTTGAATTCCTCTTCGTTATTATCATCATATTCAGCGTCATCATCTCCGTTGTCTTCATTATCTGCTGGTTCAACATCGTCATACTCTTCAATATATTGAATGTCAGCATCGTTATGCTCACCAGCGGTCATCTCTACTCTATTGCCATCTTCATCGTAATATTCATAGACCTCTTCGTAACCATCGTCATCAGCATTATCATAGTCTTGATCATCGCCATACTCTTCGGATGCCGACTTTCTCTGTCCTTTCTTTATCTTTGTATAGTTACTCTCGTCGTCATCCTCATCGAGATCGGAATACTCTTCCTCTGCTCCAATCTTGTTTCTCGGATCTTCTTGATCGTCGTCTTCTTCGTAGTCTGAGCCAAGCTGTTCTTCCTCTGCTTCCAACTCCAACAATCTACTAAACATCTCATCCAACTCTTTATCACCCATGGTATTTTTCTTTTGCTTTGGTACTATCTTTTCATTATCTTTGATTCTCTGTTCCTCCAATGATTTCTTTATCTTTTCCTTCTTTCTCTCTTCATCTGAATCATATTCCTCCTTAATTTCAATGATATCTTCTTCTTCTTTTGTCTATTTTTGTTTTGTTTTAATAAATTAACAAATGATATTAATATACATAATATTATAAATTATTGAGATAATATTATTTAAAATATACTTACTTGTAAATATTTTGATAGATTAGTTGTAATTTCAAATCTTTGTTGTAAAGATTGAATCTGTTGATTTATATTTTTAATTGAAAAGTCAATGTCATTGTCTCTTCTTTGTATGATGTCGATTGTCTGTTTACATGATCTCTCAGCAAAGTAATTATCACCCAACAATATCATAATCTCGTTTGTATTGGTAACAGTACCTTCAAAGAATGCATATCTTCCCAACGGTACATGAACTTTCTGTGACAAAGTATCAGGCATAACCTTTAACTTTTCAATCAATTTTTGATATTCATTCTTTGTTACATTCAATTGTTTTAAATGAATATTTAATTCTTCTATTTTCTAAATAAATAAATGATTTTATTAGAAACAATTTTAAAGTTTATATCTATAACTAAAAAACATTAACAAACTATCTATAAAACATACATTTTTATATTTATCTCTAATTAATTGTTGTTGTTGTTGTTGTAATATTTGTTGTTGTTGCTGTTGTTGTATTGTAGTCATTCTTTAATTAATTGTAGTATATTATATTATCTTAGTAATATATGTTCAAACAAACAATGAAAACGAAACGAAAATGAAGATCTTTGTTTTTTTTTAAAAAATAAATTTAAAATAAATAAAAATTGCAAAAAGTACAATATTGTACAATATGCGTTTTGTGTTGTGTTCATTTGACTAGTTATTATAATTATATTCTTGTTTTATTTTATTTTTCTATTGAGAGGTATTGTTTGATGTTGGTGCTTCAATTCTACGGAATACACCATACCATTTCTTACCATCGATACGATTTACTTTTCTACCTTCTTCGGTGGCGTTCAAGATGAGTGGAATGCATGGGTCGTCGGTTGGCTCCAATTTGACTTCCTCAAACAATGGGTGACCCTTGAAGTGTTCGTGCATCCAGAGGTACAACTCTTCGACGTCACTGATAAAGTATGCGAGACCACCAACCTTTATAACGTAGGCATACTCTGCCAGGAGTGCTGGACTGATAATACGACGCTTGTGATTGGCCTTCTTAAAGTGTGGATCGGGGAACAGGAAGAAGATCTTCTCCAACTGACCCTTGTAGAAGAGATTCGGTAGATATTTCATAGCGTTCGTTTTCAACACTGAAATGTTCTGATATTGATTCTTCTCTTCGTTGTCTTTTCTGAGCTTTTCGATACGATCCTCGACGTACTGTACCACTTTATCACGAATCTCCAATCCCAATGCCAGTCTATCTGGGAATGTACTGGCAAGACCAACCAACAAACCACCGTATCCACATCCTACATCTGCAATGGTGACACGTTTCTCTGGTTGCTCAGAGAGTGTTTTATTATAATGTTTAGACCAATCGTAACATGATGGTGATACTGGACTATAATATAATAGTAATAGTAAAATTAGTCAAACTTTGAATTATTCTATAATGTTTTGTTAGTTTTATAACTTACTAATCGAAATTGCTGTCTGATTGTGGATTGGCATGTGCTTTAATTCTGTGATATGGTTTAATTGGTTTCTTTTTCTTCTCTGTAGTATTTGCTGAATTTGCTCTTTTATTGTTGTTATTGCTGTTAGTGTTAGAAACACTATTTGTTGTGGTTGTAGTTGTAGATGATTCACTCATTTCTTTTAATAAAATATTTATGTATAACTTATCAATTAAACTTCTCAATCAAAAAAAACTAAATCTTTAGTTCGTTTTTTTTTTTTTTCAAAAATTTCATTTTTTTTTATTTAATTATTTATGAAAATTTACTTGCTGCTTCACTACGATCAGTAGCTCTTGTACAGAACCCAACTTAGTTGGCCTCGCTGCAAGAAGTCTTTTAGTAAGAAACTCAGGCTATTGCTTGACCTCATCTTATTAAGAGTAATGTGCTATCGATCAGAAATGCAACATGTTAAACCTAGCAAAGTGATTGGGATCTACTTAACCAGATATTTAGTTTAGAATATGAATTAATAGACGACAATTCTGATCAATCTAAATTAGATAAACTAGTATCTAAAAAATCAACAGAATCCATTTACATATTATTCAAATAAGTTTAATATCAACCCACGTTGATCAACAGCCTTGCTTTGAAACGCATACAGCAAATAAGAGACACAGGCAAACACCAACAAATAGCAACCCAGCAACAACAAATTACAATATACAATCACCTTCTCAATCATCTACACCATCAACACTATCCTCTTCATCATCATTACACTCATCGAATAACTATATAGTTAGAGCCCACCCAGTAACGATTATCGTCAACAATAGTAGAACCAATCTTGGCACAAGATGACCCACTTCTCAAAAATAATACCACTAGTGGTACAATATATAACATCGCTTTATCCGATATTAGCAGAAGCCAGGAAGTTATCATCAGTTCAGCTCAATTATCAACACAACAAAACAACAACCAAATCAATATCAATATCAATTCAATATCTTTTGTGAATAATAATATAGATAAGATCAATGACCTTCAGACCAGCCCAACCAGTCAGAGACTAACGTCAATGACCTTAAAACCAAGCTCAACCAGTCAGAGATTGAGATTAATCGATTATTATGGATATGGTGCAACATTATACAGATAAGAGAGAACAATCTGACCGGGCCCTAGAGGAATATAAGATGAAATGTAGATTATTAGAATGTGAAATTGCCAATCACCAAAAGACTCTCGATGTATACCGTACCGATTATGACCAATTAAAAGAAATGATCGAAACAGAAGAGCTCTATCATCGAAAACACCAAGCAAATAAGCAGATGTTCGATAACCTCACCGATAAACAATCATTTGATGGTTTTATAAGAGATAAGCTACTGGTTGACAGGACTTCGAAATCTAGTGACCCAATTGTTCAAGCGATAAACAATTTGTTTAATTTTGGAAATCAAACGAATTAAAGTCTACATGGCTCATTCCTCTAGGTGTAGAAGGAGAAGAAACAGTGAAACAAATAGCCTATCAAATCTTTCCGAGAAAACTCCTCTGTACCACCTTGCATAGTGGAAAGCAGTAAGTGGAAATCCGGCATAGAGCCTCTGATGTTTGCTTTACAATATTAGAGTTTGGTTCAAATATTCGTGGAACCAATACAATGGATCATTTTACCATAAATACTTCAACTACTACTGTGACCAGGTCCCCGAACATTGTTATTGCAATAAGCTAAGGAAGTGTGTCAGAGAAAGACATTCCAGACTTTTACTCGACCATCCTCTGAGTAATACAGAAGAGATTAGAATACGAATTTCTATTTCCAAATCCGACGAGCTGATCCAACTTATAGAGAAAACTCTTTATGAAATCCCGGTTTTGTGGAGAGTTTTTTGTACCAGTTTACAAAGAGCAATTGGAGTACATCAATACGAAGAGTCAATCCACATCAACATCCCTAAATCCACATCCAACAGTGATGCCACCCCAAAGAAAAGAGGCAGACCTCCAAAGAACTCTACACCAACCTCTCTAAATGATGGCAATTCAAAGAGCCAATCCAAAAAAAAAAAACCAGAACACAAAATAGTAAAGCCAGAGACACCCCACATCAACTGATGATACCGCTCCAATCCCTAAATCCACATCCAACAGTGATGCCTCCCCAAAGAAAAGAGGCAGACCTCCAAAGAGTAAACCCACACCTGTCAGTGAGGGATAAAGGATAAAGATGAAAATAAATTTTTAATTAAATTAATTGTTTTTTTTTCACTCTTGCGATGCAAAAATGAAAAAAATGTTAGGGTGTTACTCTGCAGGTCGCCTGTGAAAATTCCTCAGTAACTACGAAAAAATCGTAGTGATATGTTGTGTCGCTATGTGCTCAAAGAATGTAATTAGACAAGTAGGATTACAAAAATATAAGAAAACACCTGTCGAAGTTGATGGACCTTTAATTCGAAAGTAAGTAGAGCAGTCCTTTTTACGATGTACAGTGTCTAAAGTATATTGTGGCCAGGGGGGGGGGTACGATACAGGTAGAGTTTGATTATCAGATATCAAATATAATTCAATAATAAATATAAAAATATATTTTGAAATAAAACTCTTATCTTTATCAAATTATTTATTAAAATGATTATTTCTATTTTTGGATTAAAAAATAAAAATTGTTTAAAAAAACAATGAGAAAATCAACCATGTCATACATATATTGTTGAAATGATGGTATGTGTCGTATTTGAAACTCCAGGTGGTGTATGAATTGTGAAAGGATGGGTTATATGAGGAAGTGTGATTGATAATTGGTAGTGAGATTATTGCTTGGCGAGGATCCAAATAATTTAGATTGTTAGTTATCTTGCTTTACATTAGTGGGTATGTAACTTGTGATATTGATTTAATCTTTCCCACAAAATATCATTGTTTTTAACATGGCCAAAAAAAAGCAAAAAAATGAAAAATTTAATTAAATTTTGTTTAGGAATGTAAATGATATTTTAGAGGGGAAAATCGAAACTTGTTCTTTATTATCTCGAAGGATGACTTCAGGCAGATAATAATTGCAATTAAATCTCAAAACGGCGTTAATTGAGTTGGATTTTTTTTTAGTGAAAAAATTTAAAAAACATCAATAAACAAATTTGTAAATCAATTTAGGTCGAACAAAACATTAAATTGTAGAAGAGAACCCGATTTAAATAATATATTAGTTTTAGTGATTTTTATTAAATTTTGATTAAGAATTTTTTGGTTTTTTGTTTATAAAATATTGTTGGCAACTTGTGAGTCCCTTGTGCGCGTGGTTACATTTCCCAGGAGTTCTATGATGATAATCTGCCTATATTCAGGGTAAGATTTAGTTGAATTGTGTTGATTTTTATATAAAGAATATAAGAATTTAAAAGAGCAGCTTCCAAGAGGTAAAAAAATATTGAAATATACCATCTTCGTGAAAGACTCTTTGATCATTTGATCATTATTATCGACATTTCCCATATTCTTTCGGTAATCTCGTTGCGATTCCAACATGATTTGAGCATTTTCTTGGGTATTTGTGGTGTCTTGAATCCTATAGAGACCTAACTCAGCAGATTTCAATTTACCCATGTAGGTTACATTAGCAACATTTCATTTAGCCACACTGATAAATCCTCGAGTGCTGATTTGAGGAGTTTGATTGATAAATTGATTAAGAGAGACTCTCCGCCACCAACAAAACGGTTGTTTCTTAAGATATCCATCGATGGTTCGTTGGTTGCATTTGTAGTGTTTGTTGGTTTAGTAGCAATATCTGCTGAGAAAGATATTCGATCTCCATATCTTGACTCTCCAAATAACTAATAAATGGATTGATTAAATTAAAAAAACTATTGTTATAGTAATTATTGTAATTATTGTTATTATAATTAATATTGTTATTGCTATTGTTATTGTTATTGTTATTGTTACCAAATCTGCAAATCGATAATAAATAACTATTATTTTTGACTAAAATGTGGTAAAAATCTCGACAAATTGTAAAAAAAATGATATCATTCCCTCATCGATCGTAATGACTTGTCTTCTGTCCTAAACTTTGATTCTATTGCTACTAGAAAAGGCTCTATCTTGAATAATTCAGATGAGGTATCCTTATTATACTTGATATTGTCATTAAAGTGTATATGGTGGTGAATGAATAAGAACTGTTTGCAAGACATGACACTATGAATTCTTTCAATAAAAGTTAGACCCTCCGAGAAATACTCTTCAATACTAGGTATCTTGATATAACCCATCAGCATGATTAGACCCAAATATAGCTCCAAAACTCTAATTGTAAGACCCTCCTCTTTAAAGTACACTTTCTCTTGATTTTCTTTATCCTTTTGAATTATGTATAGCTTAGTTTGATTGAGGATCGTCATAGTATCGATACAAATATTTGTTGGTGCCAGGTACATGATTGCTTATTCAAATGGCTATAGTATTTTAAACGAAAACCTACATTTTACTTCGGACGCGAATTGCTATTGCTATCACTATTGTTATTGTTATTGTTATTGTATTGCTATTCCTATTGGACTGGAATGCACTTAGAATGTTCTTTAAATTAGTGCTATGTGGCTTACTAAATTTAATGTTAAATACAACAATTCTTACTTTTCTTAAAATTATTTTATTTATACTAGTGGCAGTTGAAGTTTCACGAGACAAAACCTACAATCCATTTGAGCTATTGAATGTTGATTGTGCCTTGCTCCACTGCGTGATCACTTTCTGCATTCGCAGAAACCGACAGTTTGATTTCATCTTCCGTAGGTGGTTTGCCACCCCAAAAAATTTTATCACCAGTGTCATTTAATCCATTTTATAGATATAGTAAAGATCCAATAGAGCTTAATGTAGATATACTCAAGAAGCAATTAATGGATTTCCACAATTATCAGTATGTAACTGAAGAAGAGAGACTAGGCAAATATTCTAATCCTGCAATTTTCTGGTCGCAAAATAATAATCCTGCTTTTGTGCCTTCTGAATCTGTATTCTCTAAAGCTAATTATATTTTCTGAATGAAGACAATCAATGCTAAGTAGTACAATAAGAGATTGTGTCTTATTGTTTTGCAACAAATCTTTATTTACATATGCCAACAACAATTATAACAACAAAAAAATTATTAACATATGATATTGCCAAAACTAGTCATTGTGCTTCAAATATATTTTTTTTTAATATGAACTAACTGAAAAAGTAACCAAAACTAACAAACGTGTAGTTTGGCTGAGAATTTGTTGGTACGAAAAATATCAGTGAGTATTTTAACTTATTTTTCAAAAAACCAGTAAAATGAAGAAAAAACTGCTGTGTAAATGAATATTAGTATTTATTAAATCTTGCAGAATTGGTGAGTAACGATTGATCTCGATGAATTGTATCGAGGGACCACAACCAACTTTTACATACTTGGTTGGTCATTAATAATGGTGCCCTTTGCATGACCAATCTTATTTTAAGCACTGTCTTGGGGAGGACTCTTGGTCTTAACTGGCTCATACTCAAGCTCTTTGAGTTGTGTCTCGAGAGCAAGGATGCGAGATTTCATCTCTTGAAAGTCTTTTTTTTGAACAGAAATGACATCTGGCTTGGCCTTGGGCTCTGGCTCTGGTTGTGGCTCTGGTTGTGGATTTGGTTCGGGCCAAATTGTGTCAGACCCAAGATTTAGCTTTGCATATTTAGCAAAACGTTTGGTTGTTTTTTCCCAAACTGTATATCTCCTTGATATGCTATGATGGATGATATGACCTAGGAGGCGCCAGTGGGGGTTGTTTTGAGTAGGAATGGAATTTTGGAGAACTTGAAAATCCATCTCTTCGAGTTGATCGGGAAGGTTATGAAAATCTATCTTTTTCTTCGACAGGTCACAATAACAGAAATGAGTTAGTAAGCGATCACTGAACTCTTTTACTTCTTCCTTGAGACACAAGTCAACTCCAAAGAGACTCAATATTAATGTTATGTTTGAGAGGATCACTATTAAAACATGCTCTAGAGAGATAGATGGTTAATGGAAATGAGCTTTTAACCACTTATCGTATGAACTTACCAGATTCATGAATAACACCGTGTGCCACTAGAACTCTAGTGGTTCTAACAACCCAGCTCCAAGGGCATTGAGGATATTCTGAAATGGTATTAGTGAGCTCGTCACTAGTTTGGATAAAAAGAGGTAAAAATGAATGGTACCTATAAACTAATGAACGTAATTTGTATAAGTCCACCATGGTGATTGTTGCAATGTATCTTCAAGGTTGTATTTCAGTGGTCTGATGATTTTTAATTATATATATTTTAAAATAATCATAAATGAGAAGACAACTAAAACTATTTTGAAAAAAACAAATTAAAAAATTAAAAATATTTGTGTGTAACATTTTTTTCTGTATCCTCAATTTCGAAATATTTTGATCGGAGTTTTGTTTGGATATTTATTTACAACATTTGGTTAAAAAAATTGAAAACTCCACCATTTTCGCAACTGTACATCACAAATATCTATGAATTTAAAAGAAACAAAATGATTGAATCAATTTTTTTTTTTTGAATACGCAAAACATTGGCAACTCCACAGAGAGCCCCTAAACGTCACATTCTTTTGAGAATCAAAAAGTTGAATGGGTCAAAAAATTCAACATGAGTTATTTATTTAAAATCAATATATTTGATTTACTACACTTGAATTTATTTGTAAATTAATAGTAAGATAACATTGCAAAGCAAATATATGGATGGGTTGTATCATTATGTTTATCTAATATTAAAATTACTATTTTGTTTATCTATGACTAACACTTATTAAATAAACAAAAAATAATAAATAAATTTTTTCATCAAAAAAAAAAACTTAGAATGACCATACCACAGTTAGAACGATTACTATTACTTTATTTATATTGATTCTCTTGATTTTCTGAAGTACAAAATCTGACATTGTCCCACCTTCTATTTCCTTGTACAATAAAAGTGCTTTTCATTCTAAAAATAAATTAGTGTAAAAAAAGTTATATCGATAGTTTAAAATAAATATAAAATTATTAACTTGCTGATTCTAATGTTGATTTGACTACTTTCACTCTAAGCTCATGTAAAAAAGAGTGATGGTACCTCTCAAAATAAACTAAAACATATTATTTTTTGTTTTGTGATGAGAAAGATAGGCGTAAATTAATAGATACCTTTCAAATTAATTAACAAATTTAAAAATAAATTTAGAAATAACATTTGTAATACATAAATGTCAAGCATCATTGAATTGTTTTGTTGTATATCCAAATAAATAGAAAGCATTCAAACTCAACGCGACAAATTACAATGAAATAATCAAAACTTACAGGTTTCGAATTATGAATATACAGCAAAAGATATATTCGATTATCCAAAAGGATCACTGTCATTCAATTCGACGGAATATATTGTTATCATATCTTTTTATTTTATTTAATTATTAAGTTATGATAATCATCAAAACTGATCATGGAATGAGAAATCTAATCATTGATTGCTATACTTAATGTGGTTAAGGATGGGTGGCTGAGCAGCTCGTACATCATCAGAAAACTCTGTGATCACTAACTTGTTGGTGGATAACAGTTACAAGATCTATCGAATGTACCAGCTGCAAAACCATGTCATCTTAATAAGTTACTCGATTTTTTCAAGATTAGCTCTACGACCGGGATCAATGCTACCAAATGTATTATCATGATACTTTAGGTGGTATCGATATCACAATTTCAAAACTTTGTTGCTCCAGAAAACACCTTATGGGTGTTGCTTAAAGAGTGGTTATCTGTACTAATATCTTGTGTAATATCTAATATTTGTAAAACAGATTTTTATTTAGTTATACTTATCTTTGGTGAAGAAGAATGTGTAGAAGGGTAATCTTTTATCTGTGAATATTCTGTGATTTACGAAATCTATATATGATATTTTTTATAGAATCTAACAGATTTTTATTATGGTTTACAAAATATGTTAATATATCTATTTGATACACCTTAAATTTACTTTGTTTAGAATTCCCAAGTTATCAAAAATATCCTTTGACTTGAAAAAATAAAAGCAAATATGAGAAAATAAAAATTTAATTAAATGAAAATGAAAAAAAAAAAAATCAAAAAGATCGGAGGTGCATTTAAACCACTAGTTTTAGGGTTGTCAATCACAAATCAGATATAAAAAAAATGACAAATTATACATTCATTATTGTATTTTTATATTTATTTAGTGTGGGTGTGCAATCAACAGTAGTAAACCCACTACGTTATTTACCTACATTTAATCGTGATATTAAAGGTATCTATCTTATTAGAAATATTAGATCAAATATATATATATTTATTCTTACTTACTTTAATTATAAATAGGTCAATATACTGGATATCTAACAGTTGGTGAAACAAAGGAGTATTTTTTCTGGTTTGCTGAATCTTTAAATGTTCCATCTGCCGATCCTGTTGTATTGTTCCTTTCTGGTGGACCAGGTATGTCTTACTGATATGATACTACTAGCAAGTAAAATCTATTTTTTTTTATTGACATATTCGATCTTTTATATAGGTTGTAGTTCATTATTGGCATTGTTCACTGAGAATGGACCATTCACAGTTCTGAAGGACGACAGACGTCCTGGTGATGATCAATTCTTTGTTGTCGAGAATCCATATTCATGGATAAATGCTGCTAATATGTAAGTGATCACCGAATAAACATCAGACAATAGCTGAAAACTAACATTTCCTATCTATATATATAAGGCTCTACATTGAATCACCATGTGGAGTTGGTTTCAGTTATAATACAGATGGTAACTACACAAGTGGAGACACTCAGACTGCCGAAGACAACTTGGCTGCTCTCCAAGAATTCTTTACACTCTTCCCACAATATGCAAACAATGAATTCTACATCACTGGTGAGTCGTATGCCGGACACTACGTTCCTCAGCTTACAGCACTGATCCTCACCACTCCATCATCTGGAATCAATATTAAAGGTAATATTTATGAAAATACTTTTTAGTTAGTTAGTTGTACAAATTAAAATAATAACTTTATTATTATTATTTTAGGTATGATGGTTGGTAATCCTTCATTTAATTTTACTGTCGATGCTCAATTCTATCCAACATTTATGGCATTCCACGGATTGCTAAGTTACAACGATTATATGAACATGTCAAGTATTTGTAATGGTGAGTTTTACCCTGGAACAACCGAGTGTCAAGCAATCCAAAATCAATTGTCTGCCAACTTTGATTTGATCAATCCATACAACATTTATGCTCCATGTGTAGGTCAAGGACCATCGAGTGGAGGTTCATGTTTCACCACCAACATGGCATTGGCTTCAAACAGTCGTTATCATGTCAGATCGTCGCAAGTCTTTATTCCATGTTTGGATGAGAGTGCTCTCGTTGGTTATCTCAACCGTCCAGATGTACAAAAGGCAATCAATGTCGATACCTACAATATCCCAAGTGGAAGTTGGCAACCATGTTCACCAGTACTCAACTACTCTTCGATTCTTGAAGACATTCCACAGACTTACCAAACCATTATTTCTTATGGAATGAATATCTTGGTATACTCTGGTGATATAGATAGTTGTGTTCCATACTTAGGTACAAGTCAAGCAGTTAAACAACTTGGATATCCAGTGTTGGATGCATGGCGTCCATGGATTGTAGTTGACTCTCAAAACTACAAACAAGTTGCTGGTTATATCGTTTCATATAACACTGCTTCAAGCAATTCCAAAGCAAATCTTTCTTTCGCCACCGTCAAGGGTGCAGGTATGTGTTATAATGATAACTACTAAAAATTACCATCTATTATATATTAACATATTTGATCATTCACCATCTAAATCAATTACCATCTATTATATAATATATAAATTTCAAGGCCATATGGTTCCATTATACAAACCGGTTGAAGCATTGGCCTTGTTTGAAAGATTCTTATCAGCTGGACCTTATTAATCCGCAGGTCTTTGGTTTACCACTGTTAAGGGAGCAGTTCATTTTAAATTTCTTTTTAACAAAAATTTATTGATTATTGCAATCTGTAATAATAAAGGTTAACAATCTCATCTAACTATCTACTTGCTAATACTTTATTTTTAAATATCTTTATAAACAAATCTTTATTCATTTTTTATTTCTATTTAAAAATTAAATAAAAACTAGTGATGAAAAATTGAACTTTTTTTTTTTTTTTTTTGAAAACAAAAAGCACAGCTTATTAATTTTTTTCTGTTTTTCAAGAGAATAAACCAAATAAAATAAAGATTTGTTGTGGGTTAACCACCAAGCACTATTTTCATTTATAGTGGATACAATTATAGTTGTTATGATTCATCTTTAAGTGGTGGTATCTACAATCAAAATAACAATAGTAACAACAATAATAACAACAATAATAATAACAATAATAATAAAACAATCGACAAAGATAAAGATGATGATCAAGAGAAACAAAAAGATGAAGTAGAGAAACATAGACGATCACAACTCATATTGAGTTCACGTGAAGTAAAAGACAGTGGTAGAGATTGGAATCAAGAGTTTCAAACACTCTTACGTACGAAACCATCACTCGATAAATTTCAAAAGCTAACATTTCTAGCAATTGATTTGTTAAAAGTCAATTTAAGCTAGTGAGAAAAACAAAAAAAAACCACACAGCAAACCACTTGCTGTTCACACATGTTTTTTGCATGAAAAACAGTTTGTGGCGACTATTTTCGCTATGCCTGGTCAGGTAAGGGGGTTTTAAATGATTTTTAACATTTGTTAAAGCTGCAGGTAAGTAAATATATATATATATATATATTTATAAAACAATACAATATGTTGTCATTTATATTACCTAAATACATTTAATCATTCTTTATTAGAAACCTATGGTAGTTTCATTATTAAGGAAATGTTTATGCCAAGTCATTTGAGAACGATTGCACCCATCGATATTGGAGGTGTTGCAGGTGGTACCAAGTATATCTGTCAGAATATTCTATTCAAGTTTGCATACGATCAAAAGATACACGATCGATGGCTATACGGTGGAAGATATTCATCTGACTATGGTGCATCTAAAGCTGCTGGTAATGAATTAAGAGGGTAATATAAATTTAGTATAACTATTATTATTATTATTTACTTATATAGTTATTATAAATATAATATATATAGATTATCATATTTCTTTCAAAATCTATTGGATACAGATTTTGGTGATAGAATCAATGTACCGTTGATGTGTGTAATCGATTATTATGGAGAATACATAACGATGTAGAGGAAGTCAATTTAATGATGGAGAAAATCGGTAGAGTGATGAACTTAAGAGGTCATCTCTGGTATCAATCCTAAATTCCTGTATGGTCCGGGTAACTTGGAGATTCATCGATCATTGAAGAACAAACGTGATTACTTTGCAATTGATTTCGCAAGATTATTACCACCACAAGCATATTTCGATGAATATAAGTAAGTCATAGTATATATATTTATACTTTGTTTGATAATTATCATATCATTCTCTTACCTGTTATTATTCTTTTTTTTTGAAAATGATAATTATCATTTAGTAAACCATTATATCATAGAGATGTATTTTTTAAATTATTAAAACCGGAATTGGTTAGAGGATATGAGAGACCGTTGTCTTCGGATGCTTTCAGTGGTTGGGCTGCTAATGACCCGAACTATCAGGAGAACAATCAGGATATTGCCAATGCATCGAGTCATCTGTTGGAGGTGGTAGTTAGAGAAGCTGCCAATGGACTGGAAGCGAGGTTCATTGAGAACAGAGACTATCTGCTGGTTAATTTCGATACCGCGGTGGAAGTCCACAAGTTTGGTGTGAACTTACACATCTCGGTTTAGTTCGAAGTCAAATCGATTCACATTTCAAATCGCTAAGTAAACAGCTGTTGAATGAAATGGTCAGTCCTAAAGAATGAAATCAAAGATGAGCTGCGTGTCAAGCTGAGTGGTCACTTGATTGGCTCAGAGGAGAAGTGTATCGATACGATAATCTCATTTAAATACTGTTTTCAACGTCAATCGTTTCAACAGTGAAAAAGGGTTCTGGTTGGTAACGGTAAAGAAGTTGCTACTCGATAAATTCGGACAGAGCTGTTTGAGTGGCGACAACTGGATACTCAATACGTGGACAATCATGATAATCTAGTCACCAATTTACTTGGTTCCCTTAGGAATCTTACAACACTCAATTTAGTAACATCGAAATTCAGTGACGTATCACTAAGGTTATTCATTGAAAACATGAATCAACTTGATAGATTCCACCAACTTTAAGCTGGAACCTCAAGACAAACCTTGGAAATCAGTACAATCATTTAGTTTTGTAAATGCATCGAATATACCGGAGCAACACTTCCTCAATCTCGGGATCATTTTCCCAAGTCTGACGGAGCTATCCATACAACAACCAACCAACTTTACAGACACGTCATTCAAGAAAGCACTTCAGAATCTAGCACAACACAAAATAGAAAAACTCACATTGGATGGCTGTACAGAACTAACGGATTCCTCCATCATAGCATTATGTAGCACTACCTCCATATGTAAATCGATGACAAAGATCTTTTTCATTGTTCCAAAGATTGGTGATTCATCGATCATCAAAATAGCAGAGACAAACCTCAGAACGATCATCTCCTATTCCTTCAGGTTTGACGCATCCGAACAATATTTTTGTATTCGATATCCACATATCAAATTCAACCTCTATCCTCATCCCGATACTACTTGGTTTATGTAATACCACAATAGTAGTTATTGTAATAAAAAGTACAATTCAATCAGATCAATAAAATTATCGACAGATTTTATAAAGATATTAAATATACATATAAATAAATATAAATCATGGTCATCCAATACAAACTCCAATTCTCCAGCTTACACTTTGGGTGGTTTCTGAAATATTTTTATAATTTGAAATTTTTATTTATTATACTGAATACTATAGAAATTTAACGAATCCAAACTTTTGAGAGATCAATATTAAATCCATTGACAAATCCAATGCAATGGACTATTAATTGTAGACCACGATTAGGAGTAGGAGCTGGAATTCCAACTAACGGAATAGTTCTGTAAGAGACATTTTGGAACGCAGGATATGGTATCATATTCTCGAAATATACCTGTTGCCAATTCATTGTTTGCAGCTTTTGTTGAAGTCGTTGAACTTCCAATTGTTGTAGGGCAACATTAATATTTGCGATGGCAATATCATTTTGATATTGTTGAATATCGTTTTGAGTTTGAATAATCTCGTTGTTGTGAGCCAATTGTTGTCCTTGTACTTGGGCATGTCTACCATTGACAAGTATATTGGTTTGACAAAATAGGTAGATATTCATACGCATTCCATCAAATAAAACACCTGACTCCACTCCAGATCGAATCCATCGACACATCTTGAGTAATTGGTTGTTCAATTCATTGCTAGGAATATTTGAAAAGGAGCTAACTTCAATTACAAAGTCTGGATGAGTTGGAAAAGCATGAATGTCTCTATATGCAGGAGGAACGGCATAAAATCTAGCATTGCATATAAATGCTGAATCTGGTTTACTATGTTATTGTGAGTAATTGTTTTTAAGTAGAATTCTTTAACTGTGTTAATACATACTAATAAAATGTTTGTCCATTGGCATTTAGTCTAAACAATGCTTGTCCATCTAGATCTCTACCAAGACCATTTATTTCATTCCAATTGATAAGTTGGAAATTGAATGAAATATTTTGAGTACATGGAGTAGTTGCCATATCCTTTACCCAAATAGTACAAGGATGTTCACCTTCAAGAGGCAGATCTTGGTTAAACTCTAATATGAATGCCAAAGGATCTCCCTTTTCCATAGACCAATACTTTGAGGGGAGTAATGGCGCAATATTAATTGATGTTCCACTAGGAATAATAAATTTATTTGGTGGTGATGTCTTATTATTATAATGTGGAAGATTAATATTCTTATTACTAGTTACTAGTTGTTGATATACCCCAACAGATAATTGGGTAAAATCTTTGGGTAATAATATTTCACAATTATTCATTTTGATATTCTGTTAAAACTAAAAACTAATATAATAATTTAAACATATGTAACAATTTTTATTAATAGTGTTCAAAATAATATATTATAACAAAAATTGTGGGATTTTTTTTAAATAAGGAGCTTTTTACCAAAAAAATTCATTGGCAATTAATAAACAAAAAAAAATTGACATAGCGAACCACTTGCTGTTCACTGTTTGTTCTCTAGTTGACCAGGTACGATAGAGGAAGAGATCGGTGTCTTGGATGCGATCAGGGTTGCTTGGAATACATCTGACGGGAGTGAGTCTGGGCGCGTAGTAGTAGGAACAACATCAGGAAACAAAGTGGAGGTTGATGGGATTTGATCGTTATTGTTATTGTTCTCGAGATCACTCATTGTGAGATCATTTGTATTAGTTGTTGTTGTCGTTGTTGATTGATCCAGTGGTTGTTGTGGTTGTGGTGGTGTTGGGTGTTTCTGTTAATTGTTCGTTTGGATCTGCCATCTCTCATGTGATTTGTAATTAATAATAATAAAGAGTTATTTCTAATAATGTTTTGTATAATCTAATTTCCAAGTTTATTTTAATTTTTTTCTTATTTATTTTATTTCTTTAATTTTTATGTCCTCCCTATTGAGTTAATTCAATGAATCTTTAACGTCGCGTTAAACTCAATATATTCATTATTCAGAAGCTTGACGGCTGAGTGTTGAATACTTAATTTAGAAACAACAGAAACAACAGATTCTGATCTGTTGTTTTGAACTATTACTTATTTAGTTGATTAATTAATTTAATTAATTATAATTGACTGTTTCTTATATGTTGGCTGGTGATTATTATTGATGTTGATTGATAGGTACTGGCATTGCCTTGGCGGCTACCTTATTGTCCTTAGACGGACAACACACCCATTTTTTTTTTTTTTTAACAAATTTGCTTAAAAAAAAGTTTGTGACGACTGCAGAACACTATTTTCGCTATGTCTAATCAGATGTGGGTTTATTTGATTTTTAACATGTAGTATAAATATAGATTATCATATTTCTTTCAAAATATATTGGATACAGATTGTGGTGATCGAAGACAAAGTACCATGTAATCGATTGCTTTTGTTAATTCCGCATTAAATATTAAATGAATGTTGTTTTGATGGTATGTTACTAATAATAAATATCTGTAATTATTATTACAGATTAACATGTCATTATTACCAATTAATAAAGAATCATTGATATATGGAAGTAGTAATGGAGAATACATAACGATGTAGAGGAAGTCAATTTAATGGAGAAAATCGGTAGAGTGATGAACTTAAGAGGTCATCTCTCTGGTATCAATCCTAAATTCCTGTATGGTCCGGGTAACTTGGAGATTCATCGATCATTGAAGAACAAACGTGATTACTTTGCAATTGATTTCGCAAGATTATTACCACCACAAGCATATTTCGATGAATATAAGTAAGTCATAGTATATATATTTATACTTTGTTTGATAATTATCATATCATTCTCTTACCTGTTATTATTCTTTTTTTTTGAAAATAATAATTAGATGCCGATGTTGTTGTACACCGATCACTATCATGATATCCAACAGACAGAGTGTTTCTTCTCCATTATTATGCCAACACTCAACTATCTAAAGTTATCGTCGATTGGCTATGACAGTAGTGTTATTGACCATATAGGGCATTCCACTTCATTGAAAATCGATATTCAATGTCCGAATCTTCGAGAAGTTTATTTGACATCTGTGAAGCTACCGAAACCTCTGCTTACCTTGCTCTTCAAGAGATTCGAACACTCTGTTGAAAGTATTCCTTCATCCACTCAATATCTTAAGCGAATATGAAACATTGATCTTGAAAAAATCCAAAGCACTAGAGAGGACGGTTTTCACTACGCTATCATGTCTGGCAATGATTTCCGGTTTGATATTGGAGCATGAAGACGTAATCTGTTCAATCGTTTCATTAGCTGTGTTACAGAGTGAGCACTTGGTGTTTTCTATTTGTAAATTAGGGTTTCTAGTCCAGAGTCTTTGTGAGTGTTTATTGCCAAACCATTGTAGTATTGCATTCCAGATATTGCATTCCAGACTGCTCCAACAATAAATAAACACGAACTGTAGGGTAATATCAAACTCTATACCTTGACTATCAGTAATGGTAGTACAAGGATAATTTAAAAAAAATAAAAATCTAAAATAGATTAATATAGAAATTATAAAGAAATATACTCTATTATTGTTTCATTATACTCGAGATAGAAAATAATAGAAATATATTTGAATAATAATAAGCTATAAATCTAACCAATATTTAATTAACATTTCTCCATGATTGATATCTGATATTTTATTAAATAATTACTTTTACCGCCTATTCAAATTTTCTATTGATTCTCTATTTTTATAGTGCATGCAATTCTCTTATCAAGAAATACTAAAAGAATGAACCGTATCTCGAGATCCAAGCTAAAGAGAGTGATACATTATATTAATGTAACCAAATCATAGAATTACTCTAACAAAGCTCACTTTAATATCTATTCATTCAATCAAATTGGTAATTTTTATTAAAGTTGTACATCCGCATTAAATAGAATAGACGATTCCTTCAACAGCTAGATTCTATAATGTTGATACACTTTAATTTATCAATATTTATTAATTTATCTGGATAAAAATTTAAAAAACTGACTACAATTAATTGGTCATATCATACATACATTATATCTATTTATTAATAATCATTAGAATTTGTATGGTCAATATAACCTAAAAAAATAAATAAAATAAGGTTTTTTTTTTTAAGTAATGTAAAGAATAATAATAACTTCTTAGTATCACACTTTAACGAATGCGAATGTTTAATTATTATAAACAAATTAATTTAATCAAGATTAATGAAAACTTCTCCTTTTTCGATTTATAAATAATGAAATTGTATAGATATATTACTCACCCATTTACGTATCTGTATATAATGTTGTTTAACTATCACAAAATTAATATCTTTTGTAATAAGTGCAAATCTTGCAATGATAAAATAAATTAAATTAATAAAATTAATTAATAAAATTAAATTTTTTGATCAATCAATACGAACTTTACACTTCAGTGTTTGTTTTTCCTTTTCTTTTTGATTTTAAACTAAATAAGTATAATAAAATAATAAATACCACAAAAAGTGTGATTATAATCACAATCTTTACACAACTTAGTGTTGTTTAAATCAAAAAATGAAAAGATAATAGAGGTTGTTACGTAAAGGGGGTCACTCTAAGTACATATTCTATGTCATAAACAAGATAAAATCAGTCAGTTTTTAAAGAGTATGATGTGCGAATTGTCATTATTTAAACATTTAATCAATCAATCAATCAATTACTACTTTATATCTATCTATTTTTAAATAATTTAAACAATAATCATAATAATAATAATAACATGTTTTATTGATTAATTGATTAATTGATCGATTGTTTGATAAAGTTAAGTCAACTTAACATTCAAACAAGACATTCGTAATCTATTTAATTTTTAACAACTTTCTATATTAAATTTTGAATTATTAATAATAATTGTTATAACAATAATTAATATATAACAATATAATATAAATCAATCAATTAATCAAGAAACTATATATTAAATAAAAAAGGATTGATAAAAAATAGATAACAAAAAAACAAGATAATAATAACAAAGATTAGTTAGATTTAAATAAATAAAATTAATAAACTAAAATGATTAATTTAAAATTAATATTTATTTTATTATTTTTAGTTTCTTTAGTAGTTGGCTTATCATCTGCTTCATTAACATTCAGCACAACTCATCATCATCATAAAAATAAGATTGAAAGTGAAAATGACAGATTCGATGTTTTTGTGAATAATCTCGTTAGATCAAATAGTAATAATAATAATAATAGAAGATTCAATAGTTTGAAACAAGCTGCATTGAAAGGTGTCATCAAGAATGATGGTTCACCATCGACTACACACCCCATTAGAATCGTATTTAATACAACCTATTTGGATCCGGCGAATAAACATAAACTATCGTGTTTCTCTGCCAATCAAACCTATATAACACCAGCCGGAAACTACAGTGCCGTTACCGATTGTAGAAACAGCACGACCGATTGTGTCTACACTTGTAAAGCATCGGATGTCCTCTCCGTTCAACTCTACAATTTCATCATTGCCGAGATGCTAAGCCATGTGTCGTCGACCTTTGCCAAATTCCTCACGGTCTACGGTCCCGATTACTACTACTACGATAACGAACCGTTTGTTTGTGAACAAGAAGAGTATCTACTGGACTTGCGTTCTGGATTCGCCGGTGATATCATGATCTATGTTACTGCACATCCGAGTACATTCCCTTTTATTGGTTACTCTTCGAATTGTGTGGAGCACGCCGATGGCAAACCATTCATCAGTATCATCAACTTTAATCCGTCGGAACTAAGTCCATTCTTGGATCCGGTTTACAAGAGGAATAACGCTGCCAAATGGGATTCACTCGTACTTGGATTGGCAGAGCATGAAGTCATTCATTCATTGGGTTTCGCATCGTATTTCTATCCGAATTTCACAGATAGAGCCACTGGTAAACCATATACCTATCCGATCTACGAGGAGGTGAATGCCACCGGAATCACACCAAGCGGTCAACCATTCACCGTTAGAAAATACTACATCAAACTGCCATCGGTTATTCAAGTTGCACGTAATCATTTCAACTGTAATACACTCGATCGTGTTGAACTCGAGAACAACGGAGAGGAGGGTACATACGCTTCACACTGGAAAACTACACTTTTCAGCAGTGAGATTATGAATGGATTCTATAATCCTCATTTAACATTAACAAATTTCACTCTTGCATTATTATATGGTATGTTAAGATATAACTATTTAATAATATAAATACCTATGTTTGAATAGTTATATTAACATTTTTTAATATAATAGATTCAGGATGGTATGGATTGATAAATCTCGACAAGGTTGGTAATAATAATTGGGGTAAAGGAAAAGGTTGTGATTTTGTCAACAAACCATGTTCACCGAGCACTTGGAACTTCACTGGATATTGGCAGAATCCAAATTCAACAGGTTGCTCGGCAACTCGTGTCGGTATTGGAAAAGCAGAGTTGTTAATAAGAAGCCAACCACTTCCACCTCAATGGCAACACTGGGTCGATCCAACATACGGTGGAAGATCTGATCGTCTTGACTATTGTCTTTATAATTTCCCAAGTGATCTTTGTCAAGATCCATCCAAATCTTTGACATATGAAGGTGAAATTAGAGGACCTGATTCCTATTGTTTCAATCATGTCAGTAAAAGTAATGATTCTGTTTCATTCGGATGTCGTCGACAACGATGTAACAACAACAATCAATTGGAAGTTGAATTCCTTGGAAGTTGGTATCAATGTCTGCCAGGAATGAATCTAACACTCTCAAATTCAACGATCATCATATGTCCAGATAAAGATGATCAAACATGTCGACTTTCAAATTTCGATTACAACCCGTCTACTTCGCCTTTTATTAAACCTGACGATGACGAATCCGGTTCAACTTCAACAATGTACATTAAAAACAACAACAACCAATTTAAAAATTACATTTCATTACTGTGTACCATCATATCATCATTTACAATAATATTACTATTAGTGTAACAATACAATTCTATTTTAAATTATTAATTTCACAATATAATATGTCAGTTATCGACAATGGATTGACAAGATAAACCAACCAGAATTATTATAAATCTTTTTTTCAAACAATAAAATATAAATCTTTCTAAAAAAAATAATTTACTTTTCTGTACAATAAATTAAAGACAAATTAATTGTTTATTTAAATATGTTAAGTAACCTTTACTAAAAAAATACAATGAGGTTTAAACAAAGAAGAATAACTAGAAAAACAGATAGTATGTATAAACAATCATTTTATCAGTAGCAAAATGATCATCATCAGAAAAAAAAAAAGCAAACAACTAAATATTATTTTAAATTGAATTATTTTTATTTATTTTTTTGAGTAGATGAACTAATATGAATTGATTGCTGTATGACAAGGTTTTGTTATTGTTGTAAAAATAGATGAAAACAAAGATTTTTACAATTTTTTTTTTGTAGTCCAATGATCTTTCACTTTTTTATTTTTATCAAACAGAATCATTAATTAATAAGAAAAAAAATAAAATGAATAATAATAATAATATTTGTGAAATACATAACAAAAGTGTGGAGTTCATATGTTTTGATTGTAATGTTTTGATGTGTTCTGTATGTTCACCAAAACATGCACGTCATTCATACGATCATATCGATAATATTAAAGCAAATATTAAAAATAATGAGAATGATTCAATCTCTGCATATGACAATGAATTAAATGATAGTAACAACAATAATAATAATAGATTTAATGATATTCAAAGAAGTATCCAAACAACATTCGATTCTTTGAAAATAAAAGTTGTGGAATATGAACAATTACAACAAACAGAACATGAAATCGAAAGTAAATTCAAAGAGTTGCATGAATTCCTTATTGTTGAAGAGCATAGATTAAAGACACCAATCATCGATAATAAACAACAATTAGAACAACAAATCGATAAACAAATCAAAATCATGAAATCATTGAATACTGTCAATAATCATATTAATATTAATAAAAATAATAATAATAATAATGATGATCAATCAGATTCACAAACATCGTACTCTTCATTATCAGCAACAGCAGATACAACAGATAACTACCAGATAACAACAATAATTCGATCGATTTCACAATGTTCGGATCACAATGAATTCATTTCATCGAACAACAATACATTGTTCTATTTCGATTATGATCAACTTGACAACAAAGTAAACAACAATGATCATGATCATTCACTTTTAAATTTATTACTTGAACACAATAAATCAATTAAAATCAATAATCATCATGACATTCAACAACCAGCAATACAACAATATCGATTTATTGTTCATAATGAACAAGTCGATCAAATCAAGAATCAAATTCGATCATCATTTAAATTAACATCGATTCAATCACACAAACAATCATATATATTCTCAACTGATAGAAATAATAAAATATCAATCATCAATATTACAGATCGAAACAACATTCATTTCGAAGAACAAGATATCATTATGGCAATGGAAATTTCATACCCCCCTTACAACTCGATTGTCAAAGTTGGTGATTTTATCTATCTATTCGGTGGTACACTCATGAACTGTAATACATATATCAGGTATTCAATCAACACCAAAACAGTAGTTATCGAAGAAATGAAAGGTGTTGATGCATGCCAATATTTATCAGCTTGCTATGATGGTCAAGATCATATCTATTTATTTGATGGAAGTGCTAAACACAAAACCGATATTTACAGATACAACATCAACAATTCAACATTTGAAAGATACTCAACAATCGAAATCGATACAAATTACCATCATCTCACATTCCTCTTCAAAGGTTATATCTATTCTATAATTCCAATGATTCACAAGATTTTAAAGTTTGATATTCAGAACAAAACAACAGTTGAATTACCAATTAAAATACTTGAAAACATTCCAACATCAAGAGCGGCATGTACAGATGGCAATGGCAATATCTATATTCATTCAACTTTAGGATTACAACGAATCAATGTCGAAACCAATGAAATCAAATTAATTGAAAACAGTAGAATCACTAATTTCAACCACAATTTGATTTATCATCAATCAAATGATGGTCAATGTTATATTTACTCGATCCAAGGAAAAGATAGAAATTTTATTTTCTCATATGAAAAAAACCAATGAGAATCTATACTACAAAATGATCAATCAAACAGATCAAATTGTGCAAACATATTATATCAATAAATAGTTATCATTTATAAATAAATCTTTATTAAAAATAAAATAAGAAATGAATTGGTTGTTTCTATAATTTTAATCAAGACTGTTAAGAAGTATCAGAATACTGTCTTATCAATAAAGTAACTTTGAAATTTTCATTTAATATTATTTAATTGATTTTTGTCAAAAACAAAATGTAAATCACTTACAACATTATCTTTATCGCATATAATTTCTCGTTCACTATAAATTCTAAATAAAGATGAATCTTTGGCATGTAACAAAGAAATAATAGTGAATATTAATAAAATAGTTAAAATTTTAATATTTAATTTCTTATTTTTTTTATTTCAAAAATCTATGATCAAAAATTGTTTTACATAATTTTAACTTTAAAATTTTTAGTCGTAACTATTCAGTGATAAAAAGAACATATATGGGTAATACACCGACAAAACCATTATCAACAACAGCAACAACAATATCAGCAACAGCAACAGAGGTTGGTAGCGATGATAATGATGAAGTAGAAACAGGAACAGCCTCTGGAAGTGGTTTGTTTCATGGATTAAAATTGACTGATATAATAGATAGTAGGTTAAAACAATCATTACGTTATTGTTAAACAACATTGTAATATGATCTTATTCATCTTACTTCTTTATCAATTTTCAATAGATCTAAGCATGGTTTCAGATGATTGGGATACTGAGCTATTATTTGCAGGAAGATTTATAAAGAAAAGACATGGTTTACATTCATATACTATATTCGTGGGTTTTGATATCACAGAGATATGCGATGGTTACTATTCCATATGTAGTATGGAGTTTCAATCGATGAATCAAACGAGACTGTTCACTTGTGAAACGCCTAGAAAGATATCTTTTGGTGTTGACCTCTCCGTTAGAATGGATCTTAAGCAGACCAGTCTGAACTTTATGAATCCAAGAACTATGCCAATGGTTGAATCACCAGGCACCTACTATATCGCATCGCTCTCACTCATTAAATCGATTGCCGAAGAGGTGTACAAAGAGTTTGGTGACTATAACATTGTCGGTAACAACTGTTGGGATTTCTCCAAGCATCTTAATGACCGATTGTTAAAGTTGCCATCGGTAACAACCACCGATGTCAAACTATTCAATACGGTCAATAGTTCGATTAAAATTAATCCACAGTCATTGATTGATACGAATGAAAAGATGATGATCGCAAAGATCTACACATTGGCTCGCAAAAATATTCCACTGTTTGGTCAGATGGTTATTACGTTCATGGTGTTTATCAACTATGGGCTACTAAAGAGATTCACTGTAGCCAAATTTCATATGATGCAAGCGTTTTGGAACTATCGGCGAGAGGAAATACCAGCTAGAATTTCAATGTTCACCGGATTAATTAGGATGAAGGCACCAGAACTAATTCCATTCTTGGAGAATTTTTCATTCAATCTCTCGATTGCCGATGAACTTGATAATGACTTTTGGAAACAATTTAAAACATTTGGAACTATTCCATTTAAAGGTATAAAAGAAACAAAAGTATTTATAAGCAAAGATGGATCCGAAAAGAATATAAGTGATATAGATTTAATTTATTAAATCTCCTTTGTAATATAACATAACAACTGATTGTTGCTACTTTTATTTTTATAAATTTTAAATAAAATGATTTTGTACAATTTATTTATTATTTGTTGGTCTAATAAACAAACTACGCTTTACATAATAATACAATTTGATTTAACATTCGCAGTTGATTGATTGATAAATGTGTCATTTATATGTTTAAAATCTCTGGTTTCTGGGAACTTTGATAGTTCTGCTTTCTTTGCGAGTACTACTAATCTTGCTATGAGATCTGGTGTGACAGCCGATGATGCCGTTATTGATGAATGATGTACTTCATTTACGAGATCACGTAAACCGGCTGACTCTAGCAATCTAAATGCAAGACTTGCACAGCTCTCTGCCTTCTCATCGTTGCGAAAGAATGTACCTGCCGCCAATGTCCAACCTTTCAATGTCTTTTTGTAGTGTTCGAATCGGTGCTCTAGTTTCGAGGCATCTAAACTGTATAGTGTAACTACAACCTCTGCATTCCTAGGTGAACCATCACTTGTAGCCTCTGCCAGTCTATCATCATTATAGTCTCTCATTAAATGAGGAGCTCTAACCTTGAGCAGCTGCTCTCTCTTTGTCTCTGGCACAGCATCACCAGGCCATAGACTAGCATAGATATTGTTAGTCTCTAATGCAACGTGTCCAACACCATCACCTCCATTCAAAGAAGAGTTCCAAACATATATTCTAACAAAAGTTGAAATATTACAAATCTTTATGTCTTCCATTTTATTCTTATTTTTACATGATATATATCAATATCTATTTATTTGATTATTTTATTTTGTTTTTTTGTGTTTTTTGATTGATTCGGAAATGTGAACTGAAAAAAAAAATCGATTTAGATTTTTTTCTTCTTGAACAATCTTTAATTCACCATTTTTAAATAAAATGGAAAAAGATAAATTCTTAAAGATATTTAACAATTGTGTTTTATATAAATTAATTAAGTCTCCATGGTCAAATCCAAATGAATAAACCTGTTTTATAAATTAGCCAAAAAAGTACACGTGCTGAAATAAACAAAAACCATCTTAGTGTTCAACTTTTATCTTTTTTTTATTTGTTCGTTAGGAATATCAGATCGATCAGAATTACCAACAATAGAATTGATTTCCTCTTTAATAAGTTCATTCAAGAGCGTTTTTGAAATATTAGAATAGTCTGTTGAATTTATGATCTTTTCAAATTTCTTTAGTTCGACCAATGGGTAATCTAGCTTGTCCAAAAGGAATTCAATCATTTCGATGTCCTCCTTTTTAAAATAATGTTCCAGAGAATCCTCCATAGATATTTGATGACCAAACTCTGAATGTTTCTCCAAGAGGTATTCAATCATTCCCATATGTCCAGTTTTGATAGCCGATTTAAAGCCAACAAATGAACATTGACAATCACTTCTGTTCTCATAGATCCATCTCACAAGTGGATACTCCAATACGTTAATCGAAATATCGATTGACTCGTCATTGAACACACCTTGAATATTATTGTTGTGAAACCATCTGATTAATTTTTTGCATCCATTTCGAAAAGATGCTGAAATACTTTTTTTGTCAAAAACATCGATATGTGTCAACTATTTCTGAATTATCTCTTCTTATTGCCTCTCTAAGTACTCTTTCCCAATCGATAATAAAGTTCTCCGATAACCAATCGATAGTTTCTGAGTACAAATGATCCAAGCTGAGCGTTTTCAAAGTTGAAATCTCAGTTCTGTTTTCTCGCAACCATTTCATTGTTTCAAAATGACCATTACCGATAGCAAATAACAAAGCTTGTTCTGTACATCCTACATTTGGATGATTATCATGCAACCATTTGATCATTTGGAAATTGCGGATTTCTGATGATTCATTGCCATTCAGAGTTGCAGAATCTATTGCAAACAAACTTGGTTGTTCATTTCGTTTTTCAAAAAACCATTTGGCAAGTTCTAAATGACCATAAGAAATAGCCACATCGATAGATTGCCGAGATTGAAGTACATTACTTTGATTCTCATATAACCATTGTATAACTTCAATATAACCTTTTCTAGAGATAATTTGAATTATATCATCACTGCAACCTTCAGTTCGGTGTTGACGTAACCATTTGAGAACTTCTAAATGGTTGTTTGTTGCTGCATTGTTCATGGCTTGCACACTTGCTTCGAAAGTTGTATTTTCATTCAACCATTTCAAACATTCGATATTTCCATTTAATGCTGCATAATCAATTAGTGTATCCTCTGATTCTATGATATTGTGTTGGTGAAATAGTTTTGCAATTTCCAATTGATTGAAATAGATGGAATATTCAAGAAATGAACCATAATCCGGATCGAAGATAAAAGGTTCTTTGATATCGAGGAGATATTGAACAACATGGAGATGTCCACCTTCAATCGCAGCATAATACATGCAGGAATTTGATCTCCCTTTTGGTCTATTCTCGATCATCCATTCAATCATATCGATTCGACCTTTTTTTGCAGCATTATATAAAAATGAATTAAGAAATGATAGATCAAAAATCTCCAGTTTCTTTTTTAGATACTCGACAATTTCAATATCTCCAGAGAGTGGTGATTTGCTAAATGCAGAACGGTAATTCAATCTTTTCTTGGCAAACTCTGTACATATGTATTCGACCATTTCCAAACTTCCATACATCGCTGCATATTTTAAGATTCTACTGAATCTAATATGGAGAGGTGATGAAGCTATTGGTTTGGCCAACTCCACCAAATATTTGAGCATCTCGATGTTTCCACTTTTGATTGCTGCATTAAAAGTATGTGTAGTATCAACTCCAAAACTGAAAATAGGATGTTCTGAATAATATAGTTTAAGTTCTCTTAAATAAGAATAACGAGCCATTACTGTTGGTTTCTCTATTACCTCTGACCAACTGTATCTCGCACTATCAACATTTTGAGTAATAACATTATGTATACTCTTAATATGTTTGAATATTAATTTATATAAAACAAAATTATTAAATATCTGTAAGAATTTATCTTTTTCCATTCTATTCTATATGCAAATTTGAAGTACTAAAGAATGGCAGGAGTAAAAATGAAAAAAAATAAAATTGTAACTTTTTTTTTTTTTTTTTTTTTAGAAAAATTTATTTTTCTAGAAAAATTTTAGAATTTAATTTTTACTATTTATTTTTAATTTAACAAATAGGATTTATATAAAAGAATTACTATGTGTAATTTATTAAAGTTATTTTTATAATTATAAAAAATCGTCAGATTCGATTCCATCAGGTATATTATTTTTGATCTTATGATTGAGTAAGTATTGATATATTTTTCGATCTTGATCATCTCGACAAACTCTTTCTAACCTTTGATAGTTGGCACGCAAGATAAATGAGAAACTATGTTTTTCCAATGTTGCAATAAAATTTTTCAATTTCTGAAGTAACTCTTTTATATCATTCTCGAAGCAAGAATCGATATACCTGATTTCTACTGATTTCAATGTGTTTGAGTGTAATCTTAACAATGGTACCAAGAAGTCCAAGTTACTGAAATTTGGTTTAGCTATTGAATCTTTATAGATTTTGATATTGAACGATTCGATACCATGACCATTGCCATTCGGTGTGCTCTCCAAAATAGATGTTAGAAGTGAACTGTAGTTTGATTTAAATCCATAGTATCTTCTGACAGTGATGTGCTTTAGTTTCGGCATTGCTGGTAGATGTGTCAAGTAACCATCTAAAAACAAAGAATCTAAGTAGAAAGATAATTCATTGTCATAGGCGAATGTTTGATCTCCAATATAAGCTCGTTCAACTACATTTTTGGAATCCCAATCGTATTCGTCAGAGTTGATATGAAACTCCTCTACTCTTTCGAATAATTGATTGGTACGATCGGTACTCTCACCATATTTGATATATTTGATTGAATTATAATCAAAGAACCTTGGTGGTGATTGGACAAAGCAATGTTCACTTTGGAGATTGGCTGGACCACGTAAATAATAACCATTTGGAATATACTTTGAAACGATTTTGAAGATCTTTTTGGAAACTAATGCCATATTCAAAACAATCTCGACATCACTTTGTTCAATATCGAATGTTGGTAGATTTACCACTAAAAATGATATGATTCTTTCCAGTAATATATCTTGTAGAATATACCTAGAATCCTTGTTGATGAATGTAGGATCACTGTCGGTGATTGTATTCTTCTTCAATTGTACTTCATCATTTTGATTGATTTGTTCTTGATTCTTTTTGTCATTTTGATCTTTCTTGACCGAAACCTTCTCGTAGAAATCATTAGAGTTGAATCCCAAGCTGCTCATATATCCAAAAGAACATTCTTGATAGATCTCTATTCTTTTCTTTAATTGATGGTCTTCCTCATTCAGTTTCTTTTATTAGATTGTTGTTAAAACAAATGAAATGTAATAAAATATTAGTAAATTTATACATATTTATTTAAAAATTGAATATTATAAATACTCTTTTATCATTGATTATTCTATTGTAAATATGTTTTATTGTTGGGTTATGCGCTCGACATTTAAATGATGACATGTTGTTGAATACCTCGAATGAAGGATCAAAGAAGACATCGACAATGAACTTGATATAACCTTGAACATCGAAATAATGTATAAATTTGTATCGATGATATTCAACAAAGAAATTTACACATTTCGATCTTAAATTATCTTTTCCCCTCTCCAAACATTGATAATAGAGACTATAGACTTTATTGAAATGTATCAATGAATTTCGATTTCTTTGTCCTAAATTAGAATCGGTCATATCCACACTATCAAATATATTTAAAGTGTTTTATAAATAATTAAAAATAAATAATTAAAAATAAATTAAAAAATAAAACACAATGTCATTAAAATTTAAGGCTTAGAGAATGGCTGAAAAGATCAATTGATCTATTCAGATTTTTTTGATTTTTTCCTTAGAATCTGTATTTATTTGTTTTGGTTTATTAAATTATAATTTATTTTTAAACTAATCAATATATTTTTTAAAGTTATTTTAAATATTTTTAAAGATATTTTATAAGGTTATTGGAAAAAAACAACAATAAACCAAATTTGTAGTTCGACCAGCAATAATAGAATTAGAGTAAGAGACACAACAAATTATCGATCAAATAATCAAAATATATGTTATGTTGACTCTAACTAATAATATTTATCAAACAGAAAACTATTTTTATAAATAAAAAGACCAGCTATTATTATGTTCTCAGTTGTATGATTTGATCTACAGAGATCATGTCATGTCATATCATATATAGCCTAAACATTTATCGCTTCAACCAGATCCTACAAAGTTAAAGAATATAGACACTCGATAGCTTCGTTACTGTGCTTGTGTTGATACTCCAAACACCACGACCACGAGAACTCAGACTATCATAGCTAATGAGTGGTATAGTGATGAGAGACTAGAACTGGAACAATCGCATCCGTTTTAATTCAAGCCAATAGCTATTCGACCTCAAATCATATTCATACAGCTGTTACCAGAATCTCTAAAAGAACAGATTAGGTATGTAAAATAGATAGTGTATAATCTATATATATATCTAATTCTATCGTTACACTACAGTGATCAATATTTTTATTGCTTAACTTTTGTTTATATATAGATTGACAATAAATAGGTTGTCTATTATTTTTTTGTTTGTCTTTTTTTTTTTATTTTTCTATTTAAAATTATCACTCTATCTGTTAACGCGGTAACAAATATAAATCAACTTAATATTACTCATATATCTTTTGACAAGACAAAACTCGATCATTTACTTATTAATATTATTTTATCTTTCAAATAACTGTTAATAGGAAACAGTCTAATACAACCATTATATTTACAAAAAAAATGTCAATGAACAAATATCAATAAATAATAACAGGCAATAGATAAGATAGATAATTTGAAGATTGGAATATAGATATTCTATTTTCTAACAACAATAACAGAAGTTAACGGCAATAGCAAGATCAATGAATGATAATAACAAACAAAAATAGCCAGATATTCATCACGATCGTTCAAAAGTAACAATAACAACAACAAATCATATACCTTCAAACAGAGTCAAGGATGCCAATCAAATCAACACATTGCATGAGCAACAACAACCATTAACCTACAACACACTTAGACACGTGTTGTTGAAATTCAACATATACCCAAGACAATCATAACGGAGATGAAGGTACAATTGGTTAACACTGGAAAACCTCACTCTTTAGCAGTGAGATTATGAATGGTTACTATAATCCTTGTTTAACATTGACAAACTTAACTCTTGCATTATTATATGGTAAGTTAAGATAAAGATGATCAAACATGTCGACTTTCAAATTTCGATTTCAACCCATCTTCTTCTCCTTATATTAAACCTGACGATGTTACTGGTTCAACTATCACAATTCACAACAACAAAAACATCTATTATTTACTTTCATTATTGTAATAATTTTAACATTAATATAACACAAAACTATAAATAATATATTTAAATCGTTGTAATTTAATAGAGCAGAAACTATTACTATTATATGATGGTATCGAATAATGCTTTTCAATAAACACTATCTGTCATCATTTTTATTGATAGTTTATTGGATGTGGTATAAATTTGTTTTTTTATAGATGACCACATTGTCAAGGACTTCATTCTAATGATTTGATTATTCTTTAACAGTTTAGCATTGTTTTCAACCAAATCAAGATGTTAATCGCATGGATATAAGTATCTCAAACAGGTAGTTGTATGTAGACTACCTTTTTTTTTATTTGTAATAGTACGTTTTATTGGTGTAAACATCAATGTTCTCATTTAAAATAATAATAATACAATAAATAAAATCAATCAAATAATTAATAATTGAAAAAGATTAGATAGATTTAAATAAATATAAACTAAAAATAAATGATTAATTCAAAATTATTTTTTATTCTATTATTTTTAATTATAGTTTCTTTAGTAGTTAACGTATCGTATGCATCTTTATCATACAATACAAATGAAAATATAAATATAAATAAGATTCAAAGTAAAAATGATAGATTTGACAGATCAGAGAATGTAGTTTTTAGATCTCACAATAGAAGATTTAACAGAATGAAGCTGCAGTCAAATGAGGATAGTTATATTAAGAATGATGGTTCACCATCGACTACACACCCCATTAGAATCGTATTTAATACAACCTATTTAGATCCAGCAAATAAACATAAACTCTCTTGTTTCTCTGCCAATCAAACTATTATAACACCTGCCGGAATAAATACTGCCATTACCGATTGTAGTAACAGCACCATCGATTGTATCTACACTTGTAAAGAATCTGATGTCGTTACCGTCCAACTATACAATTTCATCATAACAGAGATGTTGGACCATGTCTCAAAGAAATTTGCCAAATTCCTCACGTTTCACGGTCCCAATACTTATTACTACGATAAAGAACCGTTTGTTTGTGAAAACGAAGAGTTTCTTGTGGACTTGCGATCTGGATTCACTGGTGATATCATGATCTATGTAACTTCACATCCGGTTGACAACTATTCATTTATTGGTTACTCGGTGTCTTGTGTCAGGCATGAAGATGGCAAACCATTTATCAGTATGATCAACATTAATCCATCGGAATTAAATCCATTCTTGAATCCTGTTTACAAGACAAACAATATATCCATGTGGAATTCGCTAGTGCTTGGATTGGCAGAGCATGAAGTCATACATTCATTGGGTTTCCAATCGTATTGGTATCTCAATTACACTGATAGAACCACTGGTAAACCATATTCCTATCCGATCTACGAGGAAGTAAATGCCACCGGAGTCACACCAAGTGGTCAACCTTTCACATTCAAAAGATACTATATTAATTTGCCGTCAGTTAACCAGGTTGCACGTAATCATTTCAACTGTAATACAATCAATCATGTTGAACTTGAAAACAGCGGAGATGAAGGTACAATTGGTTCACACTGGAAAACGTCACTTTTCAGCAGTGAAACAATGAATGGATTCTATAATCCTCATTTAACATTGACAAACTTAACTCTTGCATTATTATATGGTAAAAATAGTTAGTTTTTTATTATAAGTATTTTAAATTAACACTAAATAATATTAATATAATAGATTCAGGATGGTATGGATTGATAAATCTCGATAAGATCGGTAATAATAATTGGGGTAAAGGAAAAGGTTGTGATTTTATTAACAAACCATGTTCAGCAAGCAATTGGAACTTCACTGGATATTGGCAGAATCCAAATTCAACAGGTTGCTCGGCAACTCGTATTGGAATTGGAAAAGCAGAGTTGTTAATAAAAAGTGAGCCACTTCCACCTCAATGGCAACACTGGGTCGATCCAACATACGGTGGAAGATTTGGAGGTATCGACTATTGTCTTTACAATCACCCAACTGATTTATGTCAAGATCCAGCCAAGTATGAGACATACGAAGGTGAAGTTAGAGGACCTGATTCCTATTGTTTCAATCATGTCAGTAAAAGTAATGATTCTGTTTCATTCGGATGTCGTCGACAACGATGTAACAACAACAATCAATTGGAAGTTGAATTCCTTGGAAGTTGGTATCAATGTCTGCCAGGAATGAATCTAACACTCTCAAATTCAACGATCATCATATGTCCAGATAAAGATGATCAAACATGTCGACTTTCAAATTTCGATTTCAACCCATCTTCTTCTCCTTATATTAAACCTGACGATGTTACTGGTTCAACTTCAACTTTAAGATGGCACAACAACAACTATTTATCATTACTAACAATCATTGTATCACTTATAATATTACAATAATAATTCTTAAAACTATAAATTCACTAATGTAAATCAAATTTCCGCGTGCAACAAAAGAAAAATAAATAATAATCTGAATACCAGGTAAGAGCCTTTTCATAGTTAAAAAAAACAACAAAATCTTTTTTTTGTAATATGACAAATTAAATCACTGCAAAGAAAAATTTGTAACCTGATTAATTTTTTTTATTTATTAATTAATAAACTTTTTTTGTTAATCACTAAGGAAATTTTAGTTAACTATTCAATGAGAAACAAATCTTTTTGTAAATTTACACTATAAGATATGTTTTGTTTTGTTTGTTTATTTTATTTTTGCTAACGAAGAACCGATAAATAAAACACATGTTACGTGAATCCAATCAATTTCAAAGACAATCAAAACTCAATAAATGTTAACCAATAGTATTTATTAGTTGGTTGATTTCTTTTTTTGCTTTTATAATAATGATAAATTGATTTGATTATACAAAAAATTGATTCTTTTATTAATTAAACAATGTAATAGTACATTATTTCATATGCTCTACCTTCATTAAAAAACAATTGTTTACTTGTATCGAATCAATAAATTTGTATTTATTAATCTATATTTATACTTATTTTTGACATATAATTATTTGGATTTTTAATAACCATATATAGGTAGGTTAATTTGTCTTTTTTGAAACATATTAAAAGAACTGAAAGAGAATAATGAGTAAAGATCAGATGAAGTGGTAAATCTCAACTCAACAGAAAACACATTTTCATTATTATAATATTTTTTTATAAAACTTAAAGTTGATAAACTACCTCCTCTCACCAGTACACCATATACATATAAAATTAATGTGCAACCACAAAAAAAAACAAAAAAATTTGTATTCATATGAATCTTTTGGAAATATGGTGAAATAACACACCTCTACTTTAACATGTTGATGAACTATGATATGTCATAGAACAACTTATATGATGTTAAACTTTATCATTTGTTAATTACAAGTTTTTTTGTTGAGATTTACCACTACGTTGTTAACTATTATATAAACTGTGTTTGCTATACTGTTTCAATTGTTAATTATTAATAGTTTATAATTCAAATATTTGGATTATTATAATAATCAGAAATTTACATCTTAACTTTTTTTTTTGTTTGTTTCATACAAAGTAATATTATGAAAGCTGGAAATTCCACATTCTCTTTTTATTCTTCAATATAACCATTTAATTTTGTTATTCTTAAAGTCTAATTGTCTTTTCCTAAATAGTTTTTTTTATTTTATAATAAATGGAACCTAAATTAAACAACTATGAAGAGTTGCCCATTATTGATATATCAATTCTGGGTAGTGAAGAGGGAAAGAAAATAATTGCCAAAGAAATTCATTTTGCTTGTAAACAACATGGATTCTTCTACATCAAAGGCCATGGAATCGAAAAGGAGCTGCTAGACAAACTCGAAGATATTTCCAAGAGGTTCTATTCATTACCAATCGAAACCAAAATGAAATGGAAAATGGGAAATACCAACAGAGAGTGGCTAGGTTTCTTCAAAGTTGGACAAGAGATGACCTATGGTTCTGTCGACTGGAAAGAAGGATGGTACATTGATTGCCAAAAAGAAGGAGATATTAAACCAGCCATTGGTGTTCCACTTTTCCCAACTGCCGAACAAGAATTGGAAAACGACATCCAAGGTTTCAAAGATATCATTGAAACTTACATCAAGAGAGTATCTGCCCTCGCCCAAGATATCATGGAAGCTATGGCTCTAAGTTTAAATTTACCAAGAGATTTCTTCTTTAAAAAGTATACGTACGACCCATTTACCCAAATGGCAATGCTGCATTATCCTTCGTTCCACAAAGATAAGAATATTAGTAATCCAGATGATAGTTCTAAAATTGAGAAATTTGGAACTGGTAAGTAAATATTTTTATCTATCCTTTCAAAAGATAATTTATTAAAGAAATTTTAAAAACAAAAGGACCTCATACCGATCAAGGATTTTTAACTATTTTACACCAAGATAATGTCGGTGGTCTTCAAGTTCAATTAAAAGATAAACCAGGTCACTATATTGATGCGCCACCTATTCCTGGCACCTTTATTTGTAATCTTGGTGATATGCTCGATAAATCTACCAATGGATACTATCTCTCGAATGTACATCGTGTTAAATACAATATGACCGGTCGTGATCGTTATTCTTTTGCCTTCTTTTTCGATCCAAACCTGGATTCAGTACCAGAGTTGATTCCATCGGAATTTGTAAAACAAGGAGAAAAACCAGAAAGATGGGACAAACAAAATATTCATGAAGGTTTCAGTGGAACCTACGGTGATTATTTCATGGCCAAGATTGGTCGTATTTTCCCAGATTATGTATATAAATCAACTGGAAAATTAACATAAATATTAATATTAATTTTTATATTTAACTTTTATACCTCCAATTTTAATCAAATATTTTAAATAAATAAAATTAAAATTAAATAATTTTAAATCTAAAAGATAACATTTAAACTTGATTGATAGAAATTTTGATTGATTCATTAGGAGCTCTCTCTCATATCAACAAAATATTGACACAATCCATAAAAGGTAAAAGGAGTGTCAAAATCATTGACACTTTTGATAACAACACCAAAAATAATTTGAGATTGGTAATTTTCTAAAATAAAAAAGGAAATTTAATTAAAATTAAAAACAATTTAAATATTCTATCATTGAAAAAACCCCTTTAGATTTAGTTCATGATGATCCACCATAAAACATGACAATGACATCACCCACAACGACAGTTACTCCACCGGTTTTTCGAAAGTTTTTAATTAAATTTTTTAATTTTTCAATTTTTTTTTGTTTTTTTCTCAAAATAATGAGAAATATATCATCGATGTCATATGGCAAAGGTATACTTTGTGGTATCAATATGATTTTGTTGTATTCAAAAATAATCAATCCATCAATTTCATGATCATTTAATTCACATCTCAACAACATTCACATCGATTAATAATATCACTTTAAAATATTGTTATATTTGTACATATATATATATTACTTAAATCTGTACATTATTTTTATTCAAATTTTCTTTTTTTGTACATATTATTATTATCTACTTTTTTTATATATAATCAATTATTTTTTTTATTTTTTTGTATATTAATTATTTAGAATTAATATTATCTATATAAAGTAATATTAATTAATCAGGTAGGTAAATATCATTTTTGTTGTTTTATAAAATTTGGTTTCCTATTAAGTCTTCTAAAGATCTGTGATTATTTTTGATTATCATTGATTGTGTATCAAAAAAAAAAACCTAATAATATTTATTTGAATTATAAAAAATTTAATCGAAAAAATAATAATTTTAATCGTCAACTTCTTGTTAACCCCATATTTGCATTTAATTAAAATGAACAACAAACTTTTGTTAATTAATAGTAATAAAAATAGTATTCGATATCTACATCATCAAAAAAAAAATGTTGATTATTTTTAACAAACATAAACAAATACAGCTGCAACAACAACAACAAAGACGAAAAAAAAGAAACATCAATAATAATATTTAATTAATAATGAATCATATCACTTTAAATAGTTTAGAACTTTCTACTTTAAAGTAATTAGTAATTAGCAGTACGTATTAATCTTTTTTGTTTTTTTTAATACATTCAAACCTAAACATCTATACAATTAGCATAAACAACTAACAAAAAACACCTACTTAATCCTGTATTAGTTAGTTTAAGTTTTCGAGTTATAAGATGATAGGTCAATGAATATTCATATATATCTTAAAGTGTATTGTTGTTGTTGTTGTTGTTTATTAATAATTATTAAATAGTAGAGTACGTGTGTGTAATATTAATCTATCTATGAGTGTGAAATTTGTGCTGTGTGTTCTATAGAATTAACCAACCAAAATTAATTATATTTGCGAAATCTCCTATTATGTATATTTAAATAGCAATTTTAAATATAACTACATATATATATATAATACTTGTAAATAGACAAGACAGATTCAATTTTATCAGATGGTATATAAATCAGAATACAATACTAATCACTCGCTCACCTGACTTTCAAACACAACATATCATAACACAAAGATCTATTATTCTATAGACAAAATCAAATTTACCACACATACACACACCTATGTAAAGATAGTACCAAACTAACACAAAATATTTAAACAATTGTTTACCAGACCACCCTCCAACCAAACCACCAAAAATGTATATTATACAAATTCAATTAAAAAAAACAGACTATCTTTTATCTTACTATCTAAAAGTTAATCTGATTAAAAATTATATATCAATCAAAGTTTATCACCGATGTGATTACATTGTCTGAAATTGCATATTGCTTTTAGAACAAAATCAATAGAATGAACACTCATTCCCTCCTACTACAATTATGTGCAATCAATATAGTATATTCCATACATCAGGAGTCAGATTCAATCATCATAATCAATATGATCAAGATCTAACCAATCAAAACCCCAACAGTATCAAGTAATGTTTATTTTTTTATGATTTGTGGTTGGTGTGTTGTTTTATTTTGTACAGACAGACCTTCTCTGACTGATCAGATCAGCTCGTTTGATTGACAATCAATCCATCATCAACATCATGTGAGCACAAATAGAATTTGTAGAGATTGATTTCAATTTTCATTGCAACAACCCTACACTCAACCTGTAGGAATATTATCTATCGTCTCAACACAAGAGACACAATTCAATCGTTGTTGGACTATCTATCTTACATCATCCAAGTTTGGAAATCATTAATACAAATCTTTGCCTTTCCATATATATTCAATATAATTCCACCAATCTATGTTTATACATATGATAATAATATTAATAACACAACAATCCATACAAAACAAAACACCCACACCCACACCCACAAATAAATAAACACACTAAACAATTGAATACAATTAATTAGACAACCCATTCTATGTCCTTATACCACACTTCTTATTGTAAAAAAAAACAAAAAAAAGTAAAATAGGGAAAAAACAATTGTTTGTTTTGTGTGTGAAGAAATTATTATCATTATTGTTATTCTCACTATTATTATTATTATTCTGATTATGATGATGACAATGATGATGATGATGATGATGATGATAATTATTATGATGATGATGATGATTCATTCTTACTTGTTGATGATAGTCCATCCAACACAATCTCAACACAAAACACACTCCACTGACATATCATTAAATCGATAATTGTTGTTGTTATTTTCCGTATCAAACCACAAATAAACAACACACATGTGTTGTTCCAGTCCAATAGAATAACAACAAAACCCCTATCCATCTAAATATCTATCACATTATATATCAAATGTCCAGAGACACACACAACACACTTTTTCTCATTGTCAAAACGATATAACAACACCACCACACTATTGAAACACTTTTGACTATTTCCTGTTTCAGCTGACATAAAATAATCAACAGACAAAAGTCATATACACTCATCCTCAAACTCTATAGTTTTGTTTTTTATATATATATTTATATATTTATTTATATATATAACACCACACACGAAAACAAAACACACCATTTCATTCCAACATTAAATTTCTATTTTCCTTCATTTATCATTTCTTACTTTCTATCATTTATTATTTTATTTATTTTATTTTTTAGATAAAGATTATATATCATTATAATAGCAATAATTTTATAAAAATAAAAAAAAATAGAAATTTATTTATAATAGTAATCATATTATAATATTATTTATTAGGTAATTTTTTTATTTTTTTGTTATCAAATATCTAGTTTGTTAAATCAAAAATTGTGATAATTCCATCAGCTATAACCATTATCGTCAACAATGAAATTGGAGTATTGTTGTTTGATAAAATAAATTGTTTTTGGAATGATGATGTCAGATTCAAATGGAATTGTTTTTATTTATTTATTTATTATAGTTGTATTATTACTGTTTGATTTTGATATTTTATTTACAACAGATAACCACCTACTTCCACCAATAAGCTAATTTCCCTATTGCTTTTTTTTTTATTCATTGCCATCGTTGACTTGTATTGATTAAAAAAATGTTTTTGAATGATAAGGCAATAAAAACATGATAATGTTTTGATTTTTTTGTTTTGTTTAATAAAATCCAAACTGTCGATAGTTGTCATCAATATTAATAATATTTAATTTTATAATTATAAACATAGGATAAAAACTCATTATTACAACAAGATAAATTAATTCATTGCTGCCACTCAAGTTTTTCAATTATAAATAACTAACAACATCAAAAATTAGTATATTTATCATCAACAACAACAACAATAGTAACAAATAATAATAACAAAAGTACTACAAAGTTTAACCTACAGATAAATTTTTGAAATATTTTTACAACATTACTACCGTTATCAGTCAGATTATTAGCCATCTCCATATCTCAATAGAATATTAATAACAAATCAAATTGGTTCCAAATATTTATCAAAAGTAAGTTTGATGTTTAATTTTTGGTTATTTCCTGATATAATCTATCAGAGATATACAATGTTTCACAGCAATACAGTACACTCTTATCTATCAACAACTACTAAAGATTTTTAAAATTATCATTTTTTTTGTTAATTATAACAAATTATCATTTTATCCACGATTAAAATTTTGGATAGTGTCCATCCATTTTTTAAACAACATTCTAATTATCAAAACCATCCATTCTTAACTTTCCATATTACAATATTATTCTTTTAGAATAATTATTAATTTTTTTTTTTTTTTCAAATTAATAGAAATCAATTGAAATCTATATTTGGCTAAATATCTAAAATCAATACAACACAACACACAAATGGCAGATGTTATTCATACAACTATTAGATCATATGGCCAAAAACCAGGTTCATCAATTGCCACCGGTAATAATCAGTTGCCTTCAATCAAGAAAGATGGACCCGACTCAATGATACCAAATTTTTCATTACCAGCTCCAACCGGCAACAGTAGTAATCATACGATCAGTAATATTATCAATAGAGAACCATCGCCTGTAAATAACCTTCCATCGATGTTGTCGTCTGGAGGACCATGTTATATGTGTAAAACTACTAAAAGTCCATACTGGGAAGAGTACCACCACAAATCATGTTGTGCCAATTGTTATAAACGATCGATCCTCGACAACAAACATATTCCATCGCAATATTCATCTTCATCTTCATCACTTATCTCTGCCTTATCTTCACACGGTGGTTCAATTAATCCACCTCCATTTTCGAAACTTCCAAACACACTCGACAAAAAGTTTTCAATGTCATCGTCGGCACACGCCTCGATGGCATCACATTCATCCTCCATTCCATCGTCATCCTCCTCCAGCAACATGATTTCCATCCCATCCCAACCATCCAAAGCATTTATCACCTCCCTACTTTACGATCTCAACCACTCGCATGAATATATGGCCGAGTCTGGAGAATTCGAGAGTAATCCAGAGCAATACTACTGTAAATTCTGTGACAAGACGTGGCCATCCTCATACTTTAAGAACAAACAGTCGTTCGGTGCCCATTGCTCCAACTGCTCGAGGAAGAGAAAGCAAAGAGATGACGGATTCCCATTCGTGCCAGAGATCAACACTGAAAAGCGTCAACGTCGTGGTGATGAATCGTCATCTGATATCGAAGACAGCGATATCTGGTCCTATCCCGAAGACACCCACCGCATACCATCGTCATCACCATACTCACCACACCAAGGTTACTCGTCACCAACTCATTCTCCAGTGCTAGGTGGTGCTATTGGCGATGGATTACGATTCGGCTTGCTCGATGTCATCGAAGACAAAATCGCCGAAGAGAACGAGTTGGAATTCATGAGAAAAGATCTCAAGAACTTGGTATCAGAGATTATTATACAAGACATCAAGAAGGAGAAGGACATTCAAGATCTGAAGGTTGCACTCTCCAAAGATATCCGTGAGACCGAGTCAAGAGTAATGGAAGACATCAACGAAAAGAATGCCGACGAAGAGAAACTCTTGAAAAAGATGAAGGAAGAGGTATTCGCCGAATACCAAAGCCTCGAGAACAAACTGAATGAAGAGATCGAGAGAGCCAAGCAATACCACAAGGAAAAGCCAAACGGTGATCGTGTCGAGAGCAACGAAGAGATCAACAGAACCATTGCCAGCATCAAATCAATTATGACAGAGAAAATCACATCACTAAGCAACACACTCATTACACAAGGTCGCGAATTGGAACGATTGGTATCACTAGAGACTAAAGAATGCGAAAAACATGTAAATAAGAAATTCGATGACATTAAGAAAGATTTAAACGATTTTACAGATGGTCTTAGCAGCTCATTCGAACTAGTGGAATCTTTAATACAACAAAATCAATAATTAAAATAAATTATTATTACTATTTATATTATAAACAAAAATATATTATTTCATAAGTTTTTTTTATTTATTTTAGTTTACTGGATTTCCTCTTCTGTCTGTTATTGATGAGAAGTAAATCGGTGAAAGATAACCATTTTTGTCACCTGCACATAAAACAACACCATTTTTAGATAGGAAGAAAGGTATGCCATCATCTAATGCTTTTTGTAAATTGATATGAATTACGAGCTCACAGTTTCCACGCATGCCCGAAACGACGTCACCATGATCACCGGTTGCAAAGTGTATATGATTTCTATCCATCTTGTTCAGACCCTTTGATTTTATAGATTCTAAATGTTTTCTGTAGGTTCCGTGAATCACAGACGGTACGTCATTGACTGATTCTATTTTCTTTAAATCTACATCGTCTACATGTTTCAAAGTATGACCTTGATTTGCACGAATATTTAAAACTCCACCAATCTCTTCTAAATGATATCTCTTTTTATCGTTTGTGTCTACAATTTCTATTTTGATTGATTAAAAATAATTGTAAATATATATTATTGTAAAAGTTTTACACTTGTTGTTTTAATTACCTCTTAATTTTTCTAAAGTTACTCCTCTCATTTGTTTATGATTGAGTACATCATTTACCTTTACAAAACCATCATTCGAGATTGTAAGACCTTCCTTTACTGCACCATGTCTAAGTAGATATGATAAAGTTTTAGATATTGCAACATCTCCTTTTGACATTTTATAATATATCTTTCTTATTTTATTTTATTTTTACAAATTAAATATTTGATTTGTTACATGTTTATGAATGTTATTGGTTTTTGAAAAAGAAAAATTTAAGAAACAGAGAAATTTTGGTGAAAAGTGCATATCAAAAAAATTTGCAAAATTTTTTTGTTAAAATGATAACCGTTAAACAGCAGAAATAGCTTGTTTATTTTGAAAAAAAGAATATTTTTGTTTTTTTGTCTTTAAGATTTAATAATTATTTTTTTATTATTTTGAGGATTTCACTTTCATTCTGTTGCTTTCTTCTTTTTGCACCCTGATTACCCATCTTTTAGATTGAATTTGTTGTATGATAATTTCAACTTCAATTAAAAAAATACCCACATCACACTTTTTATAAAAAAAAAACATAAGAATAGAAAAAAACCCAAAAAAATATTCAGTTTTTTTAATTTTAATTTATTGTTAATCCCGATTAATCATAATTATTTCACTGTTAGATACATACATAACATTATTGTATAGATATATATTTATATATTAATATATATTAAAGGATAGTTTAATTGATAGAGATGAGAATATGAATTATAGATAGATAAAATTTATATTTTTAAAACATTTTAATTATTCATCTTTTATTTAATTTTATTTTGTTATTTTTGGTCTAATATGTTTGCACAATTTGTTCTGTCAGATGGGTCATCTTGGAGAATTTGTTCCCATTTATTGTTGTCAAATGAGAACAAATAATTTTGATTTTTTCCTCTGATTGAATAAATATAACTTTGACCATCATTCGATTGATGATAAATCAAATTGTAGTAGTAGCCATTCATTTCGATGGTACTCTTTTCGAAAGATTTGATTTCATGGGTTTCAATATTGATTCGTTGCAGTCCTGAATATGATTGAATATATAGATTGCCATTGCCATCTGTACATGCTGCCATTGGGTTCCCAGTGATTTTAACTGATAATTCAACTGTTGTTTTGTTGTTTATATTAAATTGAAAAATCGTAGCTGGTGTTAAAGTATAGATTTGACCTTTGAAGAAGAATGTGAATAGATGGTAGCTTGCAATGATATCGGTTGTCGAGTATCTTTCGAAAGTTGAATCGTTGATGCTGTATCTGTAAATAACAGTTTTTGGTTTATTAAAGCAATCGAATATATAGATATGATCTTTGCCATCATAACAGGTCGATAAAAATCTGCACTGACCAACACCTTTCATTTCATTGATAACTAAAGTTTTGTTATCGATTGAATACTTGATATACCCGTTGGAGATGCTATTTGCACCAAATATATAGAGAAAGTCACCAACTTTAACCATTGAGCTGAATGTTGAAGATGAACCAAGATAGATATCTTGTTGCGGTTCAAAATGAATGTTGTTTCGATCTGTAATATTGATGATTGATAATTTATTTTTGCTATCAGATGAGAATATATATGATTGTTTGTTGTTTTTATTTGATATTACATTTTGTTGAATTTTTGATTGATTTGATTTCAATTGAAATGAAGATTGAATTTGATTCTTGGCACTATTGATTTGTTCATTATTAACAGTTAATTGATATAGTTGTGGTTGTTGATTGTCATCAGTATTATTATTATTGATTTTAATTGTATTATTATGTTCAAGTAATACATTTAAGAGTGAATGATCATCATTGTTGTTTACTTTGTTGTCAAGTTGATCATAATCGAAATAGAACAATGTATAGTTGTTCGATGAAATGAATTCATTGTGATCCGAACATTGTGAAATCGATCGAATTATTGTTGTTATTTGATAGTTATCTGTTGTATCTGCTGTCGTTATCGTTTTTGATTGTGAATCTGATCGATCATCATTATTATTAGATTTAAATCTGGTGATTTGATTATCGACAGTATTCAATGATTTCATGATTTTGATTTGTTTATCGATTTGTTGTTCTAATTGTTGTTTACTTTCGATGATTGGTTTCTTTAATCTATGTTCTTCAACAACAAGGAATTCATGTAACTCTTTGAATTTACTTTCGATTTCATGTTCTGTTTGTTGTAATTGTTCATATTCCACAACTTTTATTTTCAAAGAATCGAATGTCGTTTGAATACTTCTTTGAATTTCATTAAATCTAATATTATTATTATTATTATTATTATTATTATTTAATTCATTGTCATCTGAGTAGGCGTTTAAATCACTCTTATTTTTATTGATATTTGCTTTAATATTATCGATATGATCGTATGAATGACGTGCATGTTTTGGTGAACATACAGAACACATCAAAACATTACAATCATAACATATGAACTTTAGACTTTTGTTATGTATTCCACAAATATTATTACTATTACTATTCATTTTATTTTTTTTCAAATTTTAACAATAATTTTAATCACAATTCATTTAAGTGATATCGACGATCAAAGTTTAGATATTTTTTTGATAAATATATATTTCAAAAAAAGGTGGGATAATAATAAAAAAAAATTAGATATTTAATAATTTGTATTTGGTATTATGATTATTTTATTATCTTTTTTTATCTAAAAGTATTTTTACAACATTAACTCTGTCTAAAAACATTGATTTGTGAAATAAACTTGCAATGAATTTGTTATTGTTATAACCAAATACAATGTAATATTGATCATCAAGTTTTCGAATGCAACTCTTATTATCACGGTAACCTTTAAAGGAAATGTTGTCAACCATTTTTGTCGTCGTTGGAAATAAAACTTGTGATAATTTTATGTTTTGAACAGAGTCTGGGAGAATTCCTTCTGGAATAACAATGTCATCTCTTCGATCTTGAATGAAAAGATTATTCACAGAGTTTGGAATAATTCCTGGACATGTGAAACTGTTCATATTGAGAACGTTGAGTGTTTTCAACGATGACGGAAGTGTGTTCTGATTGAACCGAAAGTCACACCATGTGGAAATCTCAAGGGTTTCAACGCCAAATGGGATGACTCTGAGTGTTTCCAAACTCTCATTGTCAAAGAAATCATTGAGACGCAAACACTTGATATCCAAACCGTCAAGAGATTCCTGTTTGAATGCCGATACTTGTAGACTTTCCAAGTGATAGAGTGAGCGATCCGGGAACAATTCGTTAATGTCATACGCAGAATTAGAGAGATTCAGATGTCTGATAGAGGTGGGCAATGCCGATTGTAACGTTAGTGTGGGGGAAATGTACAGTCTTGTCAGTGATTTTGGTAGGTCACATAGATCTAAATAAGAATTGCCAACTAACTTTAGTGATCGAAGATTCTCAAGATTCTTGATTGACATCATCCACGACACTGGCGCATTATGTAGTTTTATTAAAGAGTTTGGTAGTACGTTTGAATCAATATAGATATCTCTGCCATGGTGAACGAACTCCTCTAGATTTGGTGGTAACGATCCAACTTTGAGATAGTTATCGGGTGCTAAGTCCAAGATCTTAAAGACCTTCAGTGAAGTTGGTAGTACTCCAGGTTCCAATATTTGGCTGAGTGTAAAAATCTCAAAACTCTCCAGAGTATCAGGTAATACACCTACTTCAATCACCTGATTGAAATTACCGTGAAGTTTCAGCTTCTTCAGATTTGGTGGAAAGCAACCTTTGAACAATGGTTCATTAAAAAAATGCTCGAAAGATAGTGAGGTAATATTGGTTGGTATTCGATGTTTTAAAGTCCTACACTCCTCTATACTAGTTACATTAGATTTGCCAATCAAATCATAGAGTCTTGTAAACAGTTTATCTGACTTGTCAACTCCATACTGTAAATATATGCTCATCGAGGCCTTTACTATATTTTGATCTATTTCATCTATACTTTCAATTGAATCTTTAGGATATATACAAATTAGTAAATATAGTTGAAGTTAACTATCAATTCAAAAATATTAAGTGTAAAGAAAATAATTACCTAGATCTACTATATGATCATAAATACCAATATCTCTGTGTTGTGATGACACTAACATCGAACATTGTTTCTTTTGGCTGATTGATTCATATATTAATGATCTAAATGAACTCAATGTGATTCTTGAACTATCTTTATCAATACAATATAAATTATTGCTATCAAACAATAGATATCTATTTCTATTATCAAACCATCTTTTACAAACTAAACTAAAACAAATCTTATCGATATTGTCTTTCAAATTATAAACAATGATTGATAATAAAGCATGTGAAAGATTTACAAATTTATGTGTTTCATTATTATTGATAGACATCTTTAGAGAACAACGATTTAGAAGTTCTTTAGAAAGGGTTTTGTTAAAAAATAAAAATGTAAGGTCACCTTTGTAAAATTTCGATTTGTGGATATTTCTATAAAAATCTGTTGTTTTAAAAACCAGAAATCAATTCAACTAATTTACTTTAAAGAACTGTGTTACTTACAAGTGCTAATTTTGGAAAAAAAAAAACAATAATCTTTGACTAAAGTTGGGCAACAAAACCTTATACAATCATTTACAAAATGGAAAAAGATAAATTCTTACAGATATTCAACAATTGTGTTTTAAATAGATTAATATTCAAACATGTTAAGAGTATACATAATGCTATTAGTGGTGTTAGATATAGTTGGTCAGAGGTTATTGAGAATCCAATAGTAATGGCTCGTTATTCATATTTAAATGAACTTAAATTGTATTATACCGATCATTCTATTGGTAATTGTAGATTTGAAGTTATTGATACATTTAAATCAGCAATCAAAAGTGGAAACATCGAGACTCTGAAATATTTGGTGGAGTTGGCCAAACCAATCTCAAGATCTGTTTATGAACATCGAATTAAATTCGATAGAATCTTATCTTATACAGCGAAGTATGGAAGTTTGGAAATGGTCAAATACATATGTAGAGAGTTTGACAAGAAAAGATTGAATTACCATTCTGGATTAATCAAATCACCACTCTCTGGTGATATTGAAATGATCAAGTATCTAAACGAACAACTGGTGAATTGTGATCATTCAAAAAATAAAGAATTAAACACTTCTAAAAGAGGTACAATTTTTTATTATGCAGCAAAGAAAGGTCGAATCGATATCATTGAATGGTTGTTCGAGAATAGATCAGAGGATAGGTCTGAAAGCTACGCGTATCATGGTGCAATTAAAGGTGGACATCTCCATGTCGTTCAATATCTCCTCGATATCAATGAACCAATCAGACAAACTTCACATCCGAAGCATGGTACTTTGTTTGACTATTCAATCTATCGCAATCAATTTGAAATTGCAAAACTATTACACCAAAATAATATCAGAGAATCAAAAGAGACACCAATCGATTATGCAGTTTCACATCGAAATATTTCAATGTTGAAATGGTTGAATGAAAATACAACTGTTGCGGCCAGTGAGAATGCCATGAACAATGCAGCAATCAACAACGATCTAGAAGTTCTCAAATGGTTACAACAGCATCGAACTGAAGGTTGTAGTGATGATATAATTCAAAGTGTGTCTCATTTAGGTCATATAGAAGTTATTCAATGGTTATATGAGAATCAAAGTAGTGTACTTCGATATGAGCCAATCTATGGAGCTATTATCAATGGTCATATAGAACTCGTCAAATGGTTTTTTGAAAAACGAAACGAACAAACAAGTATTTTTGCAATGGATTATGCAGCATTGAATGTATCATCAGAAATCAGCAATTTACAAATGATCAAATGGTTGCATGAAAATCATCCAGAGGTCAAATGTACAGAACATGCTATGTTATATGCTATCGGTAATGGTCATTTCGAAACAATGAAATGGTTGCGAGAAAACAGAACTGAGATTTCAATTTTGAAAAAACTTAACTTTCAAAGTATGAAGAGAGGAAATGCAGAAACTATCAAATGGTTATCGGAGAACTTTATAATCGATTGGGACATTTTACTTATAAATGAAGCAATTTTCGATAATTCAGAAATAGTTGACACTATTATCAAACAAAATCTTAGTACTATTGACAAAGATACTGTCTCAACAGCATTTTACAAAGGAGATCTAAACATGATCCAATGGCTCCACAAAAATAATATTCAAGGTGTGTTCAATAGCCAGTCAATGGAGAATTCGATTAAAGGCATGCAGTATCCACTTGTAAAATGGCTCTATGAAAACAAAAGTGATTGTAGATTTTCATTGCATAGCTTAGAAAACTCCATTACAATTGGACACATGGGCATGATTGAGTACATCTTAGATAGACATCCAGAGTTTGGCCATCAATTATCTTTGAAGAAATCTCTTGAATATTATTATCTTTATGATGATATTGAAATGCTTGAATTCCTTTTGGACAAGATCGACTTCAAATTGGACGGACTAAAGGAATATCAAAAGATGATAGATTCCACACCAGAATATTCTGATGTTTCAAAAACACTTTTGAATAACCATATTAAAAAGAAAATAGATAATATTGATGGTGATACAAATCAATTTGAAATTCAGGATAGATAATATTAAAAATTGTACTATTATTTTATTTTAAAATAAATAATTGTTATTTTTTATATTAAAATGTCCCCCACATGTGACTTTAATTTTATTAACCATGTTTTCCACATGATTGTATTAAAAATCAATTTTATCTCATTCAAAAACAATCACTGTCTGTTCAGAAAGAATAAAATATTTTGTATTTGATCAGAAAAAAAAAGAATTATCTCTGTTTATAAAAAAAAATTTTAAATTTTTAACTCAAATTAATGATTTGTATTTTGTATTATGATTATTTTATTATTTTTTTTTTCTAAAAGTATTTTTACAACATTAACTCTGTCTAAAAACATTGATTTGTGGAATAAACTTGATGAACTTGTTATAGTTATGACCAAATACAATGTAATATTGATCATCAAGTTTTCTAATGTTGCAACTCTTATTATTAAGGTAATCTTCAAAGGAAATGTTGTCAACCATTTTTATCGTTGGAAATAAAACTTGTGATAATTTTATGTTTTGAACAGAGTCTGGGAGAATTCCTTCTGGAATAACAATGTCATCTCTTCGATCTTGAATGAAAAGATTATTCACAGAGTTTGGAATAATTCCTGGACATGTGAAACTGTTCATATTGAGAACGTTGAGTGTTTTCAACGATGACGGAAGTGTGTTCTGATTGAACCGAAAGTCACACCATGTGGAAATCTCAAGGGTTTCAACGCCAAATGGAATGACTCTGAGTGTTTGCAACCTCTCATAGTCGGTGAAATCATTGAGACGCAAACACTTGATATCCAAACCGTCAAGAGATTCCTGTTTGAATGCCGATACTTGTAGACTTTCCAAGTGATAGAGTGAGCGATCCGGGAACAATTCTTTAATGTCATACTCAGAATTAGAGAGATTCAGATGTCTGATAGAGGTGGGTAATGCCGATTGTAACGTTAGTGTGGGGGAAATGTACAGTCTTGTCAGTGATTTTGGTAGGTCACATAGATCTAAATAAGAATTGCCAACTAACTTTAGTGATCGAAGATTCTCGAGATTCTTGATTGACATCATCCACGACACTGGCGCATTATGTAGTTTTATTAAAGAGTTTGGTAGTACGTTTGAATCAATATAGATATCTTTGCCATGGTGAACGAATTCCTGTAGATTTGGTGTTAATGATCCAACTTTGAGATAGTTATTGGGTGCATACTCCAAGATCTTAAAGACCTTCAGTGAAGTTGGTAATACTCCAGGTTCCAATATTTGGTTGAGTGTATTAACCTCGAAACTCTCCAGAGTATCAGGTAATGCACCTACTTCAATCCTCTGATTGAAATTACCGTGAAGTTTCAGCTTCTCCAGATTTGGTGGAAAACAACCTTTGAACAATGGTTCATTAAAAAAATGCTCGAAAGATAGTGAGGTAATATTGGTTGGTATTCGATGTTTTAAAGTCATACACTCCTTTATACTAGTTACTTTAGATTGGCCAATCAAATCATAGAGTCTTGTAAATAGTTTATCTGACTTGTCTCCATACTGTAATTGTTTGCTCATCGATATATTACAGTATTGATTATTATTATTATTGTTATTTATGTCCATAGTAGTTAATAATAATATATAATTAATTAAATAAAGTATTTAGTTTTGTTTATAGATTTAGTTTTATTTATATATTTAATGTTAGATCTTCTGTCTATATTTCTTGTTCTTTCTGTATCTCTATCTGGGATATTTATATCTGTTGTTTGTTGGTATTTTACATTATTATTCCGAATTGTAGTATAGTTGATTCGTTGAATATAATAAAATCATCTGGATGATTTGTATGCTGGATTATATGTTGAATATAATTATCTGAATTGTAATATTAATTATTGGGTTAATTGTATATTGATATGTTGGTAGTTGAATTGTGTTAATTATCTATATTATCTAATATTATTGGATAACACTCCTCTTTCTTAAAAAGAAGTATTCAAGAAGAATACAGCGGTGTTGGATTTGATCTTATGGTACTTTGACATAAGTTTATTGCGGTGATGTGGGTTGGTAACTGTCTCTAAGGCGTTTAGAATATTGTTCTCTCTAAACAGTAAACTGTTAATATTGGCTACAGGGTTGAGGTTGTCGATTTTCTTGTTGAAATCGTTGATTTGTTTGGATGCATGTTTGGCGAGGATATGTCTTGAAACCCATCCTACAGTATTACTTATTTTAACTAAATAATCAGTGTTACTAGTTAATCTTCTTTTAGATACTATTTTAAATGATCTTTTCTGAATCATTTCGAATAATTCCGGCGATATTGCAAATTTCATAATACTATTTATTAAAAGGTTAGATTCCTCTGTTACTTTGTTGTGAGGGTAATCTATTACTGATTCCTTTTCTTCTAAAGTTCTTAAAAGATTTATAAATGTATTTGGGCTAGATTTATTATTATTTAAAATTTCTCTAACTTTAAGATATGTATTTTTTTCAGGATTTAAGATTCTCGATAACTGTAAATCTGAAAAATGTCCTTTAGGTTCTAATGACGAATCAATACTTGATATATCAGTCATCAAATCATTTAAATCTTCAAGATCAGAGATATCATCTTCGTCTTGATTAATTTCATCTTGATGATTAACTACGTCGTCTTGATCCATAGTTTCATCTGTGATTTCGTCTTCATTACTGATATCAGACATTTTTACATCGGATATTAATTCATCATTATTTAGAAAAGAATCTAATTTTTCTACTGGAATGTATTCTCTCTCGTTCACGTCATCCTTTGGAGCGTGTTTAAAGTATTTTACGTGCAACGTTTTAGACGTTGTTCTAATTCTTGAAACTCCAGAGATATAATCTCTTATAGTTATATTTAAATTTTGTTTGTCAATATCGATGATCTCATAGGGACCAGCGTATACTGCTTCTAATTTGTTCCACTTCTTGGAAGGTCTCTTTTCCTTTACATACACTTTATCACCGATCTTAAAATCATTATACTTTTTATTTTTATTATAATTAGACAACATCTTGTTTCTAATCTTAATTAAGTTATTTCTAACATTTATAATGATTGTAGAGGTATAATTTAATAATGATTCAATCTCATTATCGTTCACTGTATCACTTGGTTCTCTATTTAAAGGAACTGCCAAGTCGGCGACAGTAGATGGATTTCTACCATAAGCAATTAAGAATGGTGTATAATTTGTAGAAGTAGATTTAGTATTATTTAATCCAAACTGAATTGTATCTACATGTTGATACCAATTTCTGTTTAAATCATTTTCTTTGTCTTCGATTAATAACTTTCTTAAAGTATTTTTAATCGCTCTAATCACTATCTCAGCTTGTCCATTAGCTTGTTGATGATCAGCTGTAGTGAAATTAAGTTTGATATTTAATAATTTAGCAAATTCTTTCCAAGTTCTGGAAGTTAGTTTGCTGTCTCTATCGCTGGAGATGTATAATGGTACTCCGTGTATCTTTATAAACTCGCTTTTGAATAATCTAGCAAGTTCTAAAGAAGTATATGTGCTATGCGTGGGTATTAATGTAGTATACTTTGAAAATCTATCTACGATTACCCAGATTTGATTGAATTTTCTACCATTACTATCTTCCACTTCATTTAAATTCGTAATAAAGTCACATGACAGCAATACTCCTAAATATGACAAATTCTCTCAAATATAAATAATAAATTTTAAAATATTTAATTTAAAAATATTTAATATTTAATTAATATTTACAAACAAATATAATAAATAAAACATTTATCAAATAAATAATAAAGAAAATTCAATAATAAATAAAATGTTTAAACACAGTTATAAAGAATAATTGTTAAATAATCTAAATTTATTTATTTTAATGTTTATTTTCAGTGGCAGTGCATGCACATCTGTGGTGTTGTCAATATACTCAAAGGTTTATATTTGGGTATTGTTGGCAACATGCTAAATATGGAAAAAAGAAAAACAGAAAATAGATTCGAATTAGCTTAAATATTTATTAAAAAAAGAATTAACATACCATTAATATGAGAGGTTGCACAATGTCCAACCTTTTTGTTTGATAATGAAATTGTGAAACATTCACATAAATTACATTCGAATCTGCTGGTGAGACGCGAAAAAGTAAAATATGTAATTAATGTTGAAAATTTATTTTTTTTATTTTCTAATATTTTGTTGAAAATATAATCTTCCAAATCAGTGATATAAATCATAAGATTCCTCTTTAAATTAAGTTGGAATTGATTTATATGGATGATGTTGTTGTTTATGTTGTTGTTATTGCTGTTGTTATTGATTTCATATGTGAGATCAATGATTTCTTCTGTATACTTGTTTTCCTTTGTTAAATCAATTATAATCTTCATTCTTAATATAAATTGTTTTTTCTATACAAAAATGAAAATATGATTTGCTATTTATATTAAATTCTATACTATCAAAGTAATGAATGAGTTTACAGTAAAAAATAATATTTTACAATATTATATAAAAAGTTAAAAAAGTTAAAAAGATTACAAAATATATTATTCAAAAAATAAAGTTTTACAACAAAAGATAATTAAAATGATCAGAAAATAGTTATTTTTGAAAATTCTGTAAGTTAACATGAGATAGAGTTCTAAATAGTTTTGTAAACAAGTATATATCCACATTAAATTGTGAACAAATACTCAAGCAAATCATATAAAATAAACAAGAAGTGTGAGTAATGTTTATAAACACTGAGAAAAAAAAATTGAAAAGAAGAGAGAGAATATATATATATATATATGGTTGAAATAGGTGAGTAAATAAATTTAAATAAATCAATAATTCTCAATTTACAATTATATTTATGATAAAACAGAAAATAAATAAATACAGATACAACAGTGAATGATATTTTAAGTGTTATATCACAGTGCTGTGATTTGGATTATTCAACACTCCTCAGTACTATTAATAGATGAATATTATTAAATTTAATTGATTTATTTAATTGATTATTTGATAAAATCTAATTTAGAAATGCTGTTAGAACAGACTTGTGATTTGATAACTGTTTTCCCAAGAGACCACCTATTTTTAGTGAGCATGTCAGAGCTGTAACGGAATTCAATCTCTGCAGGTGTAGATGTGCATTGAATGGCGAGATAGTCTCTAGCAATCCTAG